CCGCGCCGCTCGACTCGCCACTGCCACGTGTGATGTGACCCCGGACGCTTGTCAATTTTGTAGTCCGCGCTTATAAAAAATACGAAATTTCAAATTGCCAGGTATGTATGAAGATATTTGTTTGTTACAATCAAACCTTTTTTATTTTATAATTAATGTTATTAATTTTGAGTATCTTTACGTATAATTTCGTTACAAGCTAGATGCAGTATTTAATTTTATTAAATTTCAAGATGGTGGTAGTCGGGTAATTAGAGCTTATTAGGCTCTGATTACCCCAACATCAAAGCATCTTGGACCACTACCTAACATAACTAACAAAAATAAGACTTCTAGACAAAAACAACATTCAGTAATTTTGTCTAGCACGCCAATGAAAGCAGTATTTGAAGAGAAAGAGAAGAAACGCTTAGAGAAAAAAAATAAAACTGAAATCAGTACAAAGAGAAAGGGAGAAACCATCAACAAAAATAGAAAAAGTAGAGCAGAAAAGGGAAAAAAACTAAAGAAGGCAATGAACAAAAAAGAAAATGTAACAAGAGTTAAAAAGAAACTTTTTGAGGATGAAACGGAGACGTCTGAAGACGAAGATGTTGAGAATCTTTGCGACGATGAGTCAGAATATTCAGAAGAAGAGACATTGTGTGCTATTTGCTGTGATATAGGAAAAAACAATGAGATGTGGTACCGTTGTAGAAGTTGTGGTAAATGGGCACATAAGCAATGTTCTGGTTCTGAGAGCCCAGTTGATTATATTTGCGTTTTTTGCTTAGATCCTTAAAGTTAAATGTTACACGATTACGTTATATTAAATTTTATATGAATAAGTGAGATCCAGACTGAGATAGAAATCTTTGAGGCTGATTTAATAAATAAGTAGCTCCCGTTACCCATATGCGAAATTATAGGCTCTCATTGCCCGCAAAGTCGGGTAATGAGAGCGATCCTGTTTTTTTCTTTTAAGTTTATTTGTGGCAAAATGTCAAATTATGTTACGTTAACGCTGTGATTAAATGATAGTCGAATAAGTAAGGATTTAGTTTCTAATAAAAAGTTAATAAAGTATCAATAAATTTGGCTTTTATTTAACTTTTTCCTTAGTAGGCTCCAGTTCCCCCCACCTCCCCTACTCGTATATTTGACAAATCTATAGTCCAATTAATATATAAAATAAGTCAAGCAATAGTGTTCTTTTGGTTATACATTTGGGACTAATCCAGCTTTGATGAATTTGTAAATTACACCGTCAAATTCAGTTTCTCTATAACGTTGTTACCAATAATATGCGACACAGCCACCGAATTTCCCCCGAGCGCTATACACAACAAGCCACGAAGAAGAATAACCCAAGTGAATGCAAAATGAAAATTATCATACAAATTCCCTTTCTTATATGAACGGTGCTGTTACTGTCGCGAAATATGCAAAAATATGGAGCTACGCCATGTTAAAGTAAATATCACCCGTATAGCTATATATATTATGTATGTCCAATCTACAATACAATACATTACTTTCTAGGTGCACGTGAAGTACCTATTAAGGCAAATAATTTAAAAGACTAAAATCTTTTTATTTCTAACCAGTGCCTTTTTTCTTCACTCTAAAAATGAGCCGTAGTTGGGCTAGTGGTTTGACTGTGCAACTCTGATCCCCGACGTCGAAGGTTCGAACCCCGGCTATGCACCAATTGACTGTTTTTCTGTGATAATCACTCGCTTGTACGGTGAAGGAAACATTGTGACTGACTTTGCCCTAAAAAGTCGACAGGGTGTGTCAAGCACAGAAGGCTGATCGCCAACTCGCCTATTAAGAATAAAAAAATCACGAAACAAATAACGAAATCTGAGGCCAAGACCAAGGGTTTTTTAGTACTCGCGTAATCCAAAGACAATATATCTCTGTAATTAAGGCTCTGCATCGGTTAATCAGTCTGATAATGTTTGTCCTATTATGACACGGTGCAGCGATAAGGAATTCTATCTTTTACATGTACATATGTAGGATCTTTCATTCCTTATTCCATAGATATTATATCATTCGAAACAAACTGTGTTTAAAAAAAAAGGGTGCGTGTACTTATGTACGCGCGTAAGAAGTTATACTTCTTTGGCATTATTAAAAATAGTTTGGCTTTGTTCCACCTCCAGTTTTTGATGTTTCACAGCGATAAGATGACAACTCTTTTTTTGTATTCAATTTAGTGCACTTACACTGATTCATCAATTGTTTTTTATCTCTTGTCCTTATATTTGCTACAGAAAAATTACATGTTTTGATTAAACAATGTGGTAATTTTTTTAATCAAAACATTACTCGATAATAATAATACAAACTGATAGTTAACCTCAATTGTAATGAAGCACTTAGGAAGGTTGATGAGCACAGTTTTTTCACAAATATTAATTAGTATTGGTTTAAATATTCAATTTAAATCACTTCTGATTATATATAATTCAAAAAGCATTGCTAAATTTCTTTGAAAAAATAATTAAAACTCCTTTATTTGTTTAAAAGGTAAATGACAAATGTCATTATGGTCATTCAAAATTCTTGGCATACGAACTTCACGCATATTCTATTTCTTTTTACTTGTAGATTGTCTTATTCCTATCTCGCTCGCGCACGCTATATCACACTCCTAATTTTGTGTCACAGGTGCGCGCGCATCGTAAAATTTCACTCTCATAAATTTTTCATAACGCGCCTAAAGAAGTATAACTTCAAAAAATTGAGTGATTTAAAGTGTCAAAAAATCGCTTCAGTACAGAACACTAAATATTTCAAAAACGTAATTTACTTTCACAGTTTGAATTCAATTTATTGTACAACGAATATTATGATAGTCGAATCTGTTTTGAATAAACTGTTGTTCCAAAAATCAAAAACGATGATGCTGAATAGCCACACTGTGACCTGTCAATAACAAAGGGGTCGACGTTGCAATTTTGTATTTTTATTCCTGCCCGTTGAAAAGAGAAATATGAAAATATTTTGTAAAATAAAACGATTCATGCGAAGTTTGTTTGTTTTGGCGACATATTTGAATGTTATTATAACGTACTGTAATATCCGGTCTATGGACGGTACGGCTACCTTTCAACCGTAGCTATTATCGGCTCCTTACGTTCCTTCCACCATAATATACATTAAACACCTTTGTCCATTGCTCTGGAAAGTCTTCTACTTTCTTCGATTAAGTTATAAATTGATTAAATAAAATTTCTTATTATACAAATACTTTAAGTGATCAAATGTCGAAAAAAATATACCCATTATTTATATTACAAAGCTGATGAACTCTTCATCATGTTAAACGTGTTAATCTCCTACTGGTACGACTAGAAAAAAACCTCTATTCATCGAAAGGTTTATAAGCTATTTTACGTTATCAATTAAAAACATATACAGCTTTCAATGTACATACTAGGAATATCTTCAAACCATTGAATTATTTTATTAACCATGAAAATTTATTAAGCTATACATAATCCCGAGGGCATTAGAACTGTGCGGCAATTTCTGTTCATGTGCGTAAATTTCTGACAAAACTATTGTTTTGGGGTTGGCTGACTTATTTAGAAATATATAAGTATTTATGTCAGATAGACAATTATAGCTAAGTTAGACAACTATATTTAATAGCAATATGCACTTTTTTGGAAACAAACACCGACCACACCAAATCATACAAATTTTCTTAAACATCTCAACCTGTCCTATGCTGAAACGGAAAGTATTCTTATTGTGCAACAATAGTTTAATTATAGTAAGTGTTGTGTAGAAATTATTGTCAAGTACCTCAAGTATAGAAGAGACTAGCTGGCCACAGCACAGGGAGTCCTAGTGTGGGGGCTATTGCACTTTCTAACTAAATATCTATTTTCATTATACTTAAGATTTTTCTTTCTTTTTTGAAGTTATACTTCTTTAGGCACGTTATGAAAAATTGATGAAAGTGAAATTTTACGATGCGCGCGCACCGTGACACAAAATTAACAGAATGAAGTTGCCAACGGAAGATGCTACGGCATTGGACATAATTTAAAAACAACATTCGAATAATAATAGAATTTATGTTACACTTAATGTAAGAGAATAATAAATAATAAATCAAAAACTATTTTAACTATTGAATAATGCCAAAGAAGTGTAACTTCTTACGCGCGTACATAAGTACACGCACCCTTTTTTTTCTTTCTTTCAGATAAAAACGCCGTGCGAAGTCATATAAACAAAGTCTTTTTTCTGAATACGTTTATTAAACATCAATATAAAATATCAGTATCCTCTCTTAAAACTACTATTAATATAATAATATGTAATTCATAAATGCGTAAATACAAACTAAATTATTGAAAATTATTTTAATAAGATTCTCACAGATTCAAGGAATTAACTTTGGCTTATTATTAAAACTACTTATAGACTAAGTTAAGTAAATTTATTGCTTATGGTCATTACTGGCAACATTAAAAATAAAAATTCAAAAATAGAAAACTATATTATATTCTTAAGGTGTTGCCATTTTGTATCATGTTCCAAAAGCTACCATTTTTAGTTTTATTCTATATTTAAAAAATTGTTACGTTATCTTTGTTCCATAACTTAGACAAGTTTATTGTGAATGTACTTATTTCTTATTACTTTTGAATTGAATGGCAGTATGTCGTGGAATACTATAATTTTAATAGAATCTCAACGCTCATAAACAAGAACTAAAAAATAAAGTTTAACGCACGACATTACACATTAAAAGCATTTTATTAAATGCAAGGTTTCACTGTATAAAAGCTGCAAAAGTATTCTAAGCAATTAATAAGGTTTAAAGATGCCACTGTTCTGACACAGATGGCGCTAAAATAAGCCTATGTTAATTGTTGTAAAACATGTAACTAATAATTAGTGCGATACGCTCCATAGAACATATTAGAAAAGTGAAATTAATAAAGCTATTTATGACAACATGTTTCAATTATTTCTCAACAGATGGCGCTTATCTAAAACTCGTCATGTCTGGCAAGTGCCTCGCCGAAGTCTGTGGCCTGAGATCCAACAAAGAGGTCGTATTTATCAAGAACTTCCTCCTTCGTCAGTTTCTCATCGGCGTCACCGTCAGCTTCGAAGACGAGATGGCGTGCTTCAGCCTCAGCGTGGTCAAATTCGGGTGGAGCTATCCAGTCCTTCACTTCTGTTTCATCCATGTAGCCATCTTTGTTTGTGTCTCTGAAACATGTTGTTATGATAGTAATCTATGACATTTAGCTTTAATGAGTGCCCTACGCATAAAATATCAAATATTACAATTTTTTTTATTTAAGTTCTGGATTGAGTATTGGTTCGAGACAGTACACAACGGCTCTACGTTGTTTTGAATTCAATTAAAGAAAAACAGAAATCAGTCAGTCCCATACCCACAACAACATGTGCACCACATAACATTTTTTCTTATATTATTCAAAATTCACTAAAGAGTATGTATGTACCTGTAACCAGTGAACTGTTCCCTCTCCTGTTTCACCCAATCTGGTTCATCATCAACACTCTCTCCGTCCTCAGGCTTGTACATGTCCCCGATGTACTCTTCAAGGGACACCTTGCCATCCTACAATCATATTTTATTGCTTATAGGAAAACAAGATAAAATTTACTTTTTACTTTTATGTGTGCCTTTTAGGCCAATTGTTAGGATCTCCAGAACATATGGCGGCAGTTTAAGCATCTCTCATACATATATTAAAAGCCTACAGTCAGAAAAAGCCTAGGCCTAGTATGTAGTAGCCTAGTAGGAGGCCTATAATTAAACTACATGTATCATAAAAACAAGCTAGGCTTCGCTCCAGTTTCAGCACAACAGATCACCCTCACACGATAGAACAGGCCCAATATGTGCAGTTTAATAGGCCATTATACCTCGAATTTATCAATTTCAGTAAAGCATCAGACACTATAAGCCACGTATAAATCTGGGAAGAAGCAAAGCTCGAAAAAAAAATTACGTTAATACAGAAAATATACGAGAATTGCACAAGCAAAAATAAATAAGAGACCCGAGGAGCAGAATGCAAAATAACAAGGTGTTGGGCTAGGAGATTGTGCAGGCCAAAAACGTGCATTGCAGTTCTTGCTATTATATTCAAAAAACTAAATTGGATGAATAAGGGAATTCAATGAAGATATACTATATATATCCATGACAGATGACATAGACATGTAGGTAATGTAATGACAAAATCTATTGTGTACCGAGAAAGTACACAAGGCAGTCTCAGATTGAATATCAACCAAACAAAAAAACAAGTAAAAAAGTATGGTTTAGTATAAATCAAGAAGTCAATCGAAAAATTCTGCACCACAAAAAAGTTTTGGCGTTTAAAAGAAATGCTGAAAGGCAACTAAAATTAAAAAAAAGCTGTTTTCAACACCACGCTCCTACAATGTGCTTTATACGGATATCAAACATGGACCATTCCAACGAAGTTAGAGGAGAATGAAGATAATGCAACCAGCATGGAAAGAAGTCTTCTAACGTAAAAAGAAATTCTTAATAAATAATTGACGACTCATTGTTCTAGTGGTTAGTACCCCTGACTACGAATCCATGGCATGGCATGGTTCGATCCCCGGCTGAGACGAACATCGATGTGATGAGCATTTGGTGTTGTGCTTAGGTTTTGGTTGTTTAAATATGTATTTATATATATATCTATCAATAATATGTATGTATATCCGTTGCCTAGTACCCATAACACAAGCTTCACCAGCTTAGCATGGGACTCGGTCAATTGGTGTGAATTGTCTTTAAAAAAAAAAAATACTATTCTTACGAACAAGACAAGACTGAAGGACTAACAAAGAGTTAACACTTATGCAATCTCATAGACCAACAACCAATGGACCCTACAATTATTAACATAATTAGGCTAATACTAAAAACAGCTTATTATTATTATCAATCAATAAGGGACCCCATAAAATATTTAAAAAAAAGATTCTTACATTGTTCTTATCAATATCTTCCAATGTCTCAAGAACAACTACATCCCTCATACCAGAGTGATCTTCGGGATGCAGGAATGATGCAAATTCAGTCCTGTTCAATGCATCGTCTTGGTTTCCATCTGAAAATAATAAATCACTTTGCATATGACAGATAATACATAAAATCTATATTATTATTGCTACAGATACAGAATACGTGGGTTTCAATAAGTAATGCAATACATTCTCCTTGGAAAGAAAAATAATACTGGCATAGACAAGATTTTGAGTTTTTTTTTAATAATTTTATGGCCTGGTAACGAGACCTTTAAGCCAAAGATATTGGGTATAATAATAAAAAAAAAGCAATCATTTCTCTTTAGTTTTTTAAGTCATTTGTTTGCGTCGTGTCGGAACGTATCGAAAACATTGTCTATGCTCGTGTTTGTTTTAAAGTAGAGTGCCCATAATATTATACACAACCATTGGACTGGTATAAAAGTGTCAACGCTCTGGGTGACCAGAACGCTTTCTGACGCGTAGAACAAATTTCACAAAGCTGTTTGGGTTTATTCCAACAAGATCTTGACCGTCTTTTGGCTCGATTTATTACTTTGAACCAAATATGGCTTCACTGTTATCGCTCGAAAACGAAAAACAGTCCATGACCCAAGTCAAGTTCGGAGTTGGGGATGAAGGTCTTTAAGGCGTTTCAGGGGCTAATATTAAAAAATAATTGCGTCACACTTAATATTAATTAATATTAAAGCAAAAAAACTTGGCGATTAAAAAGAGTGGCGAAGAGTTTATTGCCAGTTCTTCGCTTCCGTTCTACGCCCTTAATTTGAGAACTGGCAGTAAATGTAAAATTAGAAGCATTTAATGTATATTTCTTTTTTTGACGTTCATAAGTGTACATTTTGTTACCTACATGAATAAATGATTTTTGACTTTTGACTTTTATCACATGTTATTGTCCACACCTAGTAGATCTTAGGATCTTCAAATGGTAGAAGTAATCATTACATAAAAAAATAGTTACACCTAGTAAATGAAGAGATTAATTTACAATTTAATTTGTGGATTTGGAGAAATTATCCAACCTGTTTTAAAAAGAGGGTGCACTTATTACACTTTCCGGAACCCTATTCTAGTCAGCCACTACTTGGTTTGGGAAAATGTAGTAAGAAAATTCAATAGGTTGTTATTCTTTTAAATATAAAGAGAAAATTAAAAACTCCATGACATCAATTAGAGCTTTAAAGAACTGACTTACCAGCATAGTGCCACCGCCTGCGGTCTCTCTTCATGAGGTTTCTGTAGGCAAATCCTTCAGAATTTGAGCTGAGCTCACTGGGGCTCATGTCATCCATAAAGCCATAAACAGTCTTTCTGTATGCCTGTAATGATTATAACTGTTTTATCTATCATGTTTGAATTACACTCAATGGGTATGAGGCAGAGATATTGATAATGTTTTAATAATAATAATAAAGACTTTTATTCCCATCGACTTAGGTACACATATAAACATAGTTCATTATATTAAACTAGGTATTAGAAGGTTGAAAAAATTATTCTTATATTTGGATCTTGCTTGATTTCTACAGATCTGTTTGCCAGTGGGCAAAGGTCTCCTTCGAAAGATCAATGTTAAATATTAATCTCGGAAAACTAGTTGCTTTGCAGGGAATCTAACCTGGGAAATGTGTGTTGCATATCATTTGTGTTAGTAGTTAACACAGAAGCAAACACCTTTAATTACAAGTTACACCATAAATTAAAATTTTGATTATATACTGGCAAATTTCTAGTTTTCCTTTACTCATATGAATACCAACAACAACAATACCATTATCGTAGAATTGGTAAGTGCTTACATACATGCTGTTATATGTAAAATAATTGTATAACTACATATTAGATCCTGTCCTATATGATAAGAGCAGAACATAGACTGCCCAACCAGAAAATATGTGCGGGAATACCTTGCTTTACTAAAGTAACTAAAATACTAACCTCCCAGCTAACAGTTTCTGAATTTTCTGGGTTGTGCTGCTTCCAATGTCTTTCAACATCCTCATCAATGTAACGTTTCTGTGTGTAACGAATCCAGTCTTTTAACTCAACAAGAGTCACAAATCCATCATGGTCGGCGTCAATCTTATCAACAATTATTCTGGAAGCATATGTGTTCTGATAACAGGGTCAATATACCATGATAACATTTAGTATATTATACTTTCAACAAAAAAATTAAATATCCAAAAGATAACATAAAATAATAAAGATTATTTTGCTAAATTTTATGAAAACATATATATATTTAGTCTAGAGGCTAGAATCTAAAGTAAGTTAAAAATAGTTTTTGTTGATTTCTTATTACACCTGTGATATAAGTACTCTATTTTATCCAAAAAATATTAGACTTGTTAAAAACTATACACTATCACACAAATCTCACCTAATTACCTACTTACAGGCTTTAAAGTAAACATAGCATAGTTCAAGTTATTAATAGATATGAACACATCTCTACAAACACAGATTTTCAGCTTATCTTGATATAAAATAAGCAAATTAAGGATGGAACCCTATTACTTTCTATATATTTTTTCTCTGCGCTATAACAGAAATAGAAGCAATCGTAGATAATAGATGTACTTATATAATTTTGATTTTAAATATAAATTGTTAAAGACATAACTGTTAATATTTTACTAAAATTTAATACCTTATTCATATATTTTGTTTGAAATAATATGTGTGTGTTAATAAAATAAATACATAAACTTTAACTAACTTACCCTAGCCTCCTTTTACTTTCTTCTGGTGGTAACTGATCAAAGGTTTTGGCTTGGTCTTCTCCGAGGAATGCATCATGGTCAAACTGTTTGTTATGATGTTCATTTCTATAGTGCTCTGCATCAGAGAGATGATCCATCATCCTTTTAGTTTCTTCAGGATTTGGAACTCCTCCAAACACCGCCGTGATGGCCAATGCTATGTATAATGAAGTCAACATTTTTCTAAAAAAATAAGATTAAAAAGAAGTTAATACAACTGCATTTACTATATACATATATCTATATAATACAAATAATAAAAAAGGAAAAATACGATTTTCTTTTAAATTATTTAGAAAGGTTAATTTATTAAGTTTAAGTTTGCTAAACTTTTATTTATACCATTAGATCATTAATTTAACTGTACCATTAAATAAATTACACAATCTAAAAACTAAGATAGTTTTTATTCACCTTAATATATGATAAGCAAGAAGTGAAGTTATTTTTCACTACAAATATAATCGAACTAAGCTAACACAAGTTCTAACTAAAAGGCAACACGATAAAACAACTTACATTCTTGCGGTGACCTACTCAGCTTTAAAAGTTTAAACGAATCAACTGATTTATTAAATTGCCTAGTTGGAAACAGCCACGTCGACAAAGAACACGCAATCTTCCTGCTTAGTCTATTCCCGATTCCCGATAGTTAATTTATATCCCAGTAAAATAAAGTAGGCGTATATATTTAACCGGCCGCCAGCCGTGATTTGTGAGTTCTCAATTATTAGTTCCACAGAACAAAAAGCTCTAGAATTGACAGGTTAACAGATAAAAAAAACATAATTCTGCCAGTATAAGAGATTTACTTTTGTCAAAAAAATTAAGGCTGTTAAACTTGAAAAACATAAAGCCTTAATATTACATGAGAAAAATTCTATAGGATGTAGGTGGCAGGTGCCATTAAACATACTCCTTAGCTCTTCATTTATAAATTTCACTTCACTTTGCTTGGCAGTTGGCACAGAAAGTCGGTCAGATTACGGATAGTCAATGGGCAATGATATATTGGTACAACATTAAGCTAGTGCCTAGTATTGACATTGATACTTGTAAGTTGTAGTTTGTCATGAATAGTGATCTGTGATCTTATGAGTTGTGGCTGATATTCAGTTGTGCATTATTTTTGCCTACGCGTAATTCGTGTATAAAACTACAAGTAGTGTATAATTATGGTTTTCAAAAGAAGAACAGAGATTAATTAATTTACACTTGTCGAGCGTTCCACGTGTTCCGCATACTAGCCGCTAAAACAGGATTGCAAATGTCAATATGTCAGGATCTCGGCCTTAATTTCCAACAGAGAATGGTAGGTTGTTTTGGGATTTCATATAGTTTTCTTTATCTCTAATAAAGTCAACTGGAATACAATTAAATTAACCGAAGGCATCACACCAATGCACTCAAAAAATAACCACAAAACTAAACTGCAAAACATAATTAACTGTAATATATAATTTCAATGTTTATATTGAATATTATATAAATTAAGATTTGTGTTCTAAGTGTACATTACAATTTTATAATACAAAGCAACAGAAAATAAATTACTTGCTATGAAGTCTGATAAGAAATAATATTGTGCCATTGATATCTGCAATGATTTTAGGGCGCAACCGCATCACAGTTGGAGAAAGATATTGGATCAGAACAGTTTCCACCAAATGAGCATTATTTTGGTTTAGTTAATGTGAGTAAAATTAAAGAGTCTCATTTTTTTTATTTAAAATGACTGAGTCATCATTCATGTAGCCTAATTTAAGTTTAACCAAAAGTAGTGCTGAACAGAAGAATGTGTCCAGTAACACTTCTTACATTCTCTACAAAGGTATACAGTTCTTGTATTCTATTTTTTTTCCATCACCAAAATTTAGTCACAAATAGAGATAACTTTATCATATCCTATAAAGTATCCTCTAATCATCATTTTAGATAAGCAATTAAATGATTGGAGAATTAATAAGACTATGTCTTTGTCAATAACTTAAATACTAATAAATTTATTAGTATCTAAAACTCTAAGTATATATATATTTTATCCCTAAATAAATTGTGTATGAACTAATATAATATAAACTTAATATTACAGTTTGGCAACACATGCTACAGTAACTCAGTTCTTCAAGCTTTATACTTTTGTCGTCCGTTTAGAGATAAGGTTCTAGAATACAAAGCTAAAAACAAGAGAACCAAGGAAACATTATTAACATGTTTGGCAGATTTGTTTTATAGTATCGCAACACAGAAGAAAAAAGTTGGTTCAATTGCACCAAAAAAGTTTATTGCTAGGTTGAGGAAAGAAAAAGGTGAGTTAATGTCTTTCTGACCCTAATGATGAAATTTATAAGGAAAATTGCTAGTATTAACTCATAATCAAAGTGTTAAAGTTTTGTCTATTTCTGATGTGAAGAGTACTGTAAATGACAGCTTACTATTTTTTCAGAGGAGTTTGATAACTACATGCAACAGGATGCCCATGAGTTTCTGAATTTTCTAATAAATCACATAAATGAAATAATCCTTGGTGAGCATTTTTGTTGTATCTACATATCTTTATACATCTCTAGCAAACATAATGCTTTTGAAGATAAAACCAGGGCTATGTTTGAAAACTTATATGTGTGTATGATACATACAGAACTAATTTTTGTGTCAATAATTAGGGAATGATTGGCACAAAAGTAAGATACAGGAGTATACATATTTTTATAACCTATCTATATATTTTGTTCTATAAGTCACATGTTTATAATCTCCAATCTAATTGGATTGAGTTCAACAAACAATCATATAAATTAACCTTTTCCTCTATTGAAACATCAAATGGGATTTAACATACCTACAATTTCAAGTAGGATTATAAAGCCATATATATATATACTTGCATTAAATGAATAATACTTAAAAGAATAGAATAGGAAACAATTATGCAAGTTAAATATGCAGCTAAGACAAAATGTTTTTTTAGGAATAAATATGTAATTACTTTTTGGGAAGATAATATTATCATATTTGGCCATTTTCAAAAGTTTAAACATTGTTAAATATGACATTCTTTCGGCTTTCTCAGCTACACTGATAACAATTAGTTTTAAATTTTATGAAATCAATAATATAATAGTACCATATTAATCAGGCATAACTATTGGTGAAAAAATTCATCATTACAAACTAATACTAAAACTAAAATACTTGATATTGTTCCTCTTTATAGTTTACTTTTTTCATTGTAAATTTAGGATAAGTCTTATTAACACATCGCCTGAGTAACAACTCTTACGACTATAGCTTAAAGATATTCTCATATAATACTAGTGGACCCCACAGACGTTGTCCTGCATGATATTTAAAGCGATTGGAAGCAAAGTATGAAAGTACCGACTGCAGTGCCATCTGCCGCGCTGATTTGTGAATCTAAACCATTCCCAGATCCCCTTGAACACACAAAAAATTTCATCAAAATCGGTCCAGTCGTTTGAGAGAAGTTCAGTGACATACACACTCACAGAAGAATTATATATATATAAAATTATGATTTAAACACTTATAGGCAATGACAAGCACTTATAGGTAAACATGCCATACACAATGACATAATACAAATATTGCACAAAACAATTATTAAGTATCAGAATACTCAATCAATTTTAAATTAAATATATTAAAATATATTATTATTACATATAGCTTTGCCTTTCAGCTGAACGCAATCAAAGCACGCTGAAGTTGCAAAAGACGACCGGTTCGGGCGAGAGTGTTACATGTAATGGCACTGTTCCACAGAACAGCGAGCCAACATGGGTGCACGAAATTTTTCAGGGTACCCTCACTAGCGAAACTCGTTGCCTCAACTGTGAGACCGTTAGTAGTAAAGATGAGCATTTCTTTGATTTGCAGGTTCGTAATGTTTATACAATTATTAAAACTTTTTTATAATTGATTAAATTAATAGGATAGCAAGTCATAAGTCATTTAGCATCAAAGATATTTTAACAAATGAAGTATGTCAAAGACAAATTAAATGTAAAATGTGTATTACCCTATTAAGAACTTTGCTTGTGTATAAAATATGCCTAAGTTGTTTTAAAGATTTATAATTAGCAAATTGTATTGTTGAGTATCTGTACGAGCCAAGGCTGTACATTTTGTTTACTCAGGGTTTCGTAGTTTTAAATAAGCGTGGCGATTAGGTACCTAAATCGTCGTAGTTACACCCCGGGAGTATAGCTAGACACAGGCACTCTCTTCGGCATTAACATTACATTAATTTAGCATTAAATTATTTTATATATACTTTGTTTAACTTAGGTTGATAATAAATAGTGTATTAACATTATTAAAAAACAACCCCACTGGCCCAGGAACCGTACCTTTTGGTCCTTCAAGCCGGATTTGAAATAGCGTCCTATGGATTAATCTTTCAATTAAAATGTTTATACAGAAAACAATTTGTGTTATAAGCTTATAATTTTTTAATTTCAGGTCGATGTCGATCAAAACACGAGTATTACGCATTGTCTGAAGTGTTTTAGTGACACGGAGACATTATGTAATGATAATAAGTTCAAATGTGACAACTGTAGCAGCTATCAAGAGGCTCAAAAGCGCATGCGCGTGAAGAAACTGCCGCTTATTTTGGCATTGCATTTAAAGAGATTCAAATATATGGAACAGTATAATAGACATATTAAAGTTTCCCATCGAGTGGTCTTTCCTTTGGAATTGAGGCTATTTAATACGGTAAATACTTTTTTGTTATTCTGTTCGGATAACATTTGAAAACTAGGTTAAGACTTTGAGCTCCATAATTAAATTTATAGGATCGAAGCCTTAAAAAATACGGACCTCATCGGCAACTATCTATACTATTATGTGTTTAGCAGGTCGAATACGATTTTACTTACAATTTGTATACTTTGCTACAAAAATTCTAAATTATTTGACCAAACTATAGGTATAGTTTCATTCCAATAACAATATTTATTACTAACGAAACACACACACAAAATAATAATCAATAAAGAAATGATTTACATTTTAAATGTTAAATGTTTGTGTGTTGTGGTTGTAACTGGCTCAGAATTATGCTGTGGAGTAGAAGTGTTCCACAGTGCTGGTCATTCTGCCAGAGACCACAACAGTTAGTGTGCGCCGCAGACGCAAACAAGAAAATTTATGTAATAATAATAATACATAGTATAAAAACTAATAATAGTAAACATTTGTGGGTAAAAGTATATAGTAACTATATTCGTGGGATTTTTGTTGAGTAAGTAGATATGATAGAGTAGTTCATAACTGCGACAAAAAATTGATTGTAGTTGAAGATTTTTCAGCAGAGGGATATTATTCCAACAATAATTAATGTTTGCGAAACTTGTTAAGTTTGTAAAATACGTTAGTTGTATTTAAATGTACTCCAGAAATTCAAGGACATATCTCATAATAATAATAGCAGTACTTTGTTTTCTCTCCAAAATCGTTCAATATTAGAAGTATATGAAATTTGCAGTCAGACGACGCAGTGAACCCTGACCGGCTGTATGACCTGGTTGCCGTGGTAGTACACTGTGGTTCAGGCCCCAACCGGGGACATTACATCAGCATCGTCAAGAGTCACGGCTTCTGGCTGCTCTTCGACGACGATATGGTTGATGTAAGTTTCGATAAATAAAAGTTCCTTTGTCTCAACGCTATACGTTACGTCTCTACTCTCTACTCAATTTGTATGAATACAGTAGGAGTTATTAACTTCAATATTACAGCTCAGTTCTCTAGGAAATATATACAGTGTAAACTCCACGTAACGTCCCTTGTAACGACATACCCCCTAATCCCCTAAAGCGACGAAATCACTCGGCTTTGGTTGGTTTAGATTGTTCTCCATACAACGAAACACTCTCCATAGCATTACACTCACCCTCAATAACGGCTATTACATAATAAATAAGTACTTTTTAAGTTGCCGAAATTAGTTAAAACTGTGGAGCTGTGTTATTTGTCGCTTTATTGTCCTAGCCCGTAATAAACTCGACTGTCGGCATCATACCTACCGAACTTTCTAAATCCGTTCTTTTGTTTACGAATTGGGATTGCTTGAGCGTGCTTTATCACGAAGATGCCTCAATATCGCAAGATATGAATAAAATAAGTAAAAAAATACTACAACTAAATATTATAATATTACTAACACTAGTCTGAAATAAACTTTTTATTTTTCTAATACAGGCTTTTCTTCTTTCCATTTAACGACAACTCTGTAATATCAAAATATGCAGTCCCTTGAGTGTCGTTATATAGTTTAGTTTACACTGTAGTTGGTTATTCCTTGTACATAATATGTTTAATTCAGATAACATACATAACTACCTGCATCTAATTTTTATACCTAACCAAGGGAGATAAGGGTGTTTTTAAGTAAAAATAATATTGCTGTTTATGTTTTCAGAAAATCGACGCATCTGCAATTGAAGACTTTTATGGCCTAACCTCTGATATACAGAAATCATCCGAAACAGGATATATATTATTTTATCAGTCTAGAGATGCTAGCTGTTAAGTTTCCCTATTATAGTTTAAATTATTAAAATTAATCTAGGCAACTCCTGTTGATATGCCCATTATGTTAAAGTTGGAAATGGCATATTTGTTTATTATTTTTGAATTCATCCAATTGTATATAATTCATGAATAAAAAGAAGTGAATTATTGCTGCTGTTTTTATTTTTTAGTTTTAAGCACTTATAAATTTGTAATAGGACATTGCTACCTACATTTTAATAAAATATTCTCAATACTAGTTCAGCAAGACAAAAACTAGGCTTACTAAATTAAAAAAAAACTAAGTGTATCATTATTTGCAAGATTCAGAAACAAGACATTCAGGTATTTTAATTTGCACTAATGTGCAGTCTTGTTTCTATCTCACCCATATACGCCCAGTTATAACAGATTAGTTGTTGATAGCTGAAATGAGAGTGAAGATATTTTTTTAAATAAAAAACCAATTTCCTTAAAAAATATGTATTTAGGCTACAAACTCATAGGGAATAGGAGCAAGTAACACTGGTTTTTCACTTCCATTAACAATGTGTGAAGGCCTGGGCTGCTTGGGTTGCCTCTTAAGGTTGACTTTCTTGCCAGCGGCTTTAGCTTCCATCAAAAGCCTCTCATTTTCCTTGACACGTTTAAGGAAGTCTTCACGGCACTTAGAGTGCTTTACATGTTCAATTCTGATGTTGATCCTCTTGGGGATGATTCTACCACGCACCCTCTTGTTTACAATCACACCGAGGGCATGGGCTGTAACATTGAACACTCTACCAGTTTTACCATGGTAAACTTTGTGTGGCATACCTTTCTGAACTGCACCATTTCCCTGAAAATTATAAAACAATTTAATAATACTGAATTTGCAAGCCCTACGAATTGCGGCAATATAACTAGTGCAACGATACAAGTGAAGCAGTTTTAATAAGAATGATCATAAAGTCTACAAGTTTAGTCTTATTTTTGGACATATTTTAATGAAATCATAAAAATGTCCTTATGAAATGCTGATGAGAAGGTGGGGGATTACTAACCCTGACGTCAACGATGTCGCCGACTTTGTACACTTTCATGTACGTGGAAAGCGGGATAGCTCCATGTGTGCGGAACTTCCGGGAAAATAGATCCCTAGTGCTACGACGATAACCCTTGGAATTCGTCATTTTGTTGCCTAAAATAAAGAACAAATCCTGGTTATTGAACGTACGCACGTGGCTTTAATATTTACATTAACACATTTAACGAAATGTGATAGATATTTGATTTCACTATATTTAAGTGTATTGTCAACATTTAAGTAAAATACACTGAAATTCTTATATTTTAATAACTCATTTTTAATATAATTTATAGAAATTCACCTTAGCTTGACAGCGCTTGGCTTTTGAGAAAGAAAAAAGGATAGGTTATTTTGTCTATGCTGCCTTGAAGTTTAAATGTAGTAGATAGTAAAACAGACGACAGATTGTATGTTAGCCATAATGAACAGAATAAGATGCTTAGACAACGTTAATTTCCTTAATTCTTGGTTAGCGTATGTGTTTTTTTAGGACTTAGGATGATATTCTGAAACGAGACATAGCGCAAAATATGACTCTCGTATGTAAAAATTCGTTACGTTTTCGACATACATAGAAATCGCAATTCGCGGTAAATATCGAATATGACTAGGCATTTAATGATTATAAGATTTCATTGATCATGATAATTAGGCAATTTAAATTGTACTGAGCAAATATAAGTTAAATAAAATTTCGTAATTTAGTTATTGGCGTTCTACACGTTAATAGTGAGAGAAGGAACTTTATATCTGGGTCAGCAACCGTATACAGTATACTTTGTATACTCGTACATAATATAATTTAAAAAGTTCATTTTAAAACAGAAGATTTAAACAAAAAAACATTTGAAACATATTATTGTAACGGTTTTTACAGGTTTTTCCATTTATAGTCATTATTCTGATGGATACGATAATTTTGATCTATAATAATGTTATGTAATTATTGTAAAGAGGTAAAGTTTGTGAGGTTGTACTGGGTTTTCCAATTACAGAGCATTTTGCGACTCAGTGCCGCACAATGCCGCATAATGCTGAAGCTTAATTGGAACGTGAATTAGTTTTCAAATGCATCAGCAGAGTGCGCTAAGTCAGTGTTGTAAAAAAAATGTTGAATTTGTATGAATTGAGTTAGCAACCTCATTAATGTATAAATAATGTGGTAAACAATAATAATTGGTTGAAAACTTTTTACGCTTATTTTAATCATCAAATTATTTCATTAACATTTTTTTTATTGAAATAATAGAAAACCTTTAAAGAATATAAGGTTTTAACAAGCTAAATTTACAGTAAAATATTTAGTTTCATGTAAGAAGTTTACATCATTTACGTTTTGAGTAATATTTTTTAATGATTTCTAAAAAAATTATAACTTTTTCAAAACCATTGCAATTTTTTCTAAAGTATAATCCTGTAAAATAAATTTGTTTACAGATCCGAATTTTAAAATAAAATTGTATTCATATTTTAAATGTGGAATATAAAAAAAGTAACTATTTATCATCCATACTAATATTTTTTTTTTAGCAGTTTGAAATAACTTTAATTATTTTAAAATCTACGACGAAACGAAAGCCTTACAAATTTTTCAACAATAAATAATATTTACTAATGAAAATTTCGATAAATGCCAACTTAAAGAAAAATACTGGTCAATTTTCTGTCACTGTGTTGGTATTGTTTGCGAGAAGCTCGCGAGAGCATTCGTTTTGAGAGTGCTCAATTGTGCGAAGCGTTGCTGTAGTTGGAACACTCGACGTTGAGCATTATGCCGCAAAATGCGCTCTAGTGCTGTAATTGGAAAACGCACATTTTCGACTAGATGGTTGCTATAATCTATATAAAATGATTCGAGAGAGATCTATGTTTGAAGTTTTATCTGTGGATATTTCATGTTTGTGATTTGTCTTTCATTTTGATTTTTCATTGAGATTTTGATTGTATTTTGTGTACATTTTAAATTATTTACTTTTATGTATTATAATGAAAAATTAAGATCATATGGCATAACAGCTTAATACTATCAAAATGAATACACCGATTGATAATATTATCGTAAATCCATGTCAATACACACCCGTTTATATCATTGAAAATCCTACTGTTTCTCAGGTTTACTTTTTGTACACAATTGTATTTTTATGTCTTATAACAGAGTTACTTTATTAAAAGAAACTACTTATTGCAGACGACACCAATTGTTGTGACTACATCAGCTCAAAAACCACAACTTAGCAATTTAAAAGCGTTTTATGAAAATAGCGGTAAACTGGAAAATAACCTCCTGCAGCGCAACGAGAATATAAAGACTCCTCGAATAATCAAGAAAGTTGATAATAATGTGATTGGAAACAACTTGAAATTAGCAAATTTTCTTATGGCAAAGAATGAATTTAAAATTGAAACTGTTTCTGAACAGCCATCCATTCCTTACAATAACATCGTGTTGAAACCATTATTTGTTACAAATACTCCTAGCAGTACTAACATACAACCCACACTTCCTAAGTTAGATGTGCGAAGTAAAATTGTTCGAGTTAAAGACATCCCAATTGCAAAGCAAAAAAACAGAAAAATATTGCCAAAGATGACACCAAAAGAGGAGTATGTTCGCTTTTGTAGAAGAGTATGGGTTTGACTACTTTGTAAAAATATTAATTTAACTAAACCATTTTATATTTTTAGAACTATTGCAAAACCATCAAAGACTACATCTGTACAATTAATTAAATTAGGTGAAACCTATCATTGGTAAGTTTCTTTGCGCAACTATCAAGTAAAGGTACTCACAAATGCATGTATGTGAGATTACATAAAGAATTTTTAGTATTTTAGGAATTTTTAAAAAATAATGTTTGATTAATTCAAAGTAATAAATTATTTATTCATCATAAATATCTCTTGACACCTTATTCACAGTTTTAAGGAAATTTATTATTTATTAAAGATATATATACATATAATAACTCAGGATATGTATTCACTTTTTTATTATATGTATATATTATGCTTAAAACAGCAGTTTTCATCCTAATGATTTTATCACCTAAAAAATAATATCTTACTTAAAACTTAAAAAATCTGGATGTAACTTTAATTGGCAATAAATATATTATAATATATATTATTTATGAAATAATATAATTTTTTTAAATTACAGCCTCAATGATCTTAATGATGAACAGATGAAAAAAGTGAATCATGCTCTAAAGATTTTTAACAGCCCAAAGAACTCTCCAAAAGAACTATCTTTTGATCCTGCCACTAATACTCAGTACATATACAAGTAAGCTTAGATTTGCTGAGGCTATGAGTAATAAAGTAAATCAGAAAGTGAAATTATTTTTATAAAGAGTATATTCTATAACTTAACTTATAAAGAAATTTTCTCTCTTTTTAGAGTTTTGTCACCAAAAGATATAGTACCAAATAATAAAGAGAAAGAAGTATTAAAGCCTAAGAAACCAGAGATTAAAAAGGAAATAAAAAAAGTAGAAAAAATTGTACCTGAAATTGAGGAAGAAGAACCTGTAGTTCCCCTTGAGGTAAAGTAAAAATCATAGTAATAAGAGTAATTGATGTGTTAAAAAATAATTTGACTAAAATTAACTACTATTAACCAAAATATATCTCATCTAGAGGTCTTGGGTTTTGATTCCCAGCAAACTAGTAATACTTTCAGGTTAGAAGAAGGCAGAAGGCTGATCGCCCATGGCTTAAAAAAGTAGTATAAAGTAATGTGATTGCCCCATTTAAGGATTATTGAATATCACACAATACAGTTAAAATTAAAAAATCTGCATTTTGTAATACAACACTGGAACACTTTTTTACTTATATGAGCTGTTTGGTTTTTAGACAACAATCACAAGGAGTGGAAGAAAAGTAAGATTGCCAAAAAACATTTTGCCAGAGGAAACCACACTTCAAAAACCTAAGAAAAAACCTGGCACTATTGTAACTTGCAATCAGTGTTCTTTGGTAAGTTTCTAACTTGAATGCTTAATTATAACTGAATTAAATCTGGTTCAGGTAATTAAACATATTCTATCTGAAGTGATAATGTATATAATTTTGTAGAATTCTAATAAAAATGTATTATATTCCAGCAATTCAACAGTTTGTATCGATTAAGAAGACATTATGATCACCATCCAACCCATGTACCAGCACCTGGCCATACCAATCTTTTCCACTGCCTTTTGGCTATAATTAAAACTGGATCTGAAGATGAGCAAGCCAACATATTTCTACAACAATTAGAACAATTTATAGCCAAGATAAGATCTTTGATCCCTTGCTTCATCAAAAGTGACAGTTTAGTAGGCAAGTTAAGCACAATAGGCGAAGATGTGGCGAAGTAAGTGTTCTTATTACATTGAATTGAGTCTTAGTATACAGATTAGAGGGATAAAAAACTACAAAAGTTATTGATTTTTGAATAAATTACTTTTATCTTGTAATCAATATCATTTTCTTTTCAGTTTATTTGGAATTGGCCCAGGAAAGTACAATGTGAATGTAGGTGCATTAAGCTGCAACAAAGATAAGGACGGCCATTGTCAACATAACCCACCACCACCTAATATAACTTTAGAACAAAGCCCATTAGATAGCAATAAAGGGGTTGTCGATATTCCTCAAACAGATGACTGCGCTAGAAATAATTCTGCAGATAAATGGCCAACTGTCAGCAAAAGGTTGGAATCCCGTAAAAACCCTGAACAAGGCGCTGCTAAGAAAATTAAATTGAGTGATACAAAAGTGCCTCTCGAGCAATGTGAACTTGATGATGTAGATATCGACGCCTTTTTTAGCAATACCAACAAGACTGAAAGTCCAATGGATATTAAAACTGAAACACGAGAGATTGACTTAAGTGAACAACTGCAAACAAATCTAAATAAGGACCTTAAGAAACAGCATTTAAAATTCCACAGTACACATTTTGATATCCGATCATCTCCAATAAAACCAACCTCAACAGTCTTCACAAAATTTCAAATAAATCCAGAAAAATTACCAAAATTTGACATGCAAGAAATACAACCTTTATTAAATCAAGAAAATTTCACTGAGCAGGTTCATACTCAGGCAAATATAGTCCCAAGTCTGGAAATTGATTTATTTACTCAAAATAATTCTTTACCGTGTAAGGAGATGTCTGATATTAGTCTGCACTCCTCAAAAGACTGGTCTCTTAAATACATGGACAATGAAAGTAATATGAACTATGTGAAGGCTGATAGTATAATAAATGATAGTACAGATTATTTAAAATCTAATGTGTTAATAGAGCCAGCTTTATTACATGTAAAAGAAGACTCAAAACTAGAAAATGGAAATGCTCATGAAAATAATTTTAATGAGAACCTATCTCATCAGGATTCAGTTTTAAGCCTACTCTCATACCCAGAAGCAACAATACGAAATAGTACTGTAGATTTTAGTCTAGATTTATTTAGTTTTAGTAATTCATAGTATAAATTACCTTAGATAATAATTTTTAAATGAATTTTTTTTATTTTTTTTTTAGAAGTTAATATACAAATTTGAATAAATTGATTTCTTTTCATAATTACTGGATTTCGAATATAACGACAATAAAGAGACATCATCCCTTCGTCGTTCTATCCAGATGTTGGTACAGGGAAAGGTAAAGGAGATATCAACATATATTATGAGTAAAACACAGTTGCTACTCAGAATATCACTTTGTAACTGAATCATAAAAATAACTCCTAATTTTTTAAGTTATAGTGTTTAAATGGTTAACTTCCTATGAAGGTAATATTTATAAAACAGGTTAGGTCTACACATTTGCTGACCATCTGTCTGATTGTATACGAAAGGTTAGAATGTCTTTCGCTACCTTTCGTATTGCATTTACATTATCTGCTAGGGATTTATAGCTAGGTTGTTACAAATGTTAATTGAAAACAGTCACTATAACCAAATGCATCCTTACATCAAGTCGCTATAGCCATATGAATTTTGTACTGAAGTATACATTAAATTGGAAGTAGGTTTAACATTTCTGTAGCTAAACCGTCACTACAAGTTCGTAATAAATGAAATCCACTGTATTAACAAAAACAGGATTTATATTAGAATTACACACATTAACTTTCTATGTGAATCAATGATACTTGCAATTTAAATTATCTTTATACATGCTGTTATAAAAATATACTAGAGTATGTAACTTTGTTAAAAACAAACTATTTTTCTTACTAACATCAAAATCTTTATTATTAATAGAATTTAAGTTTTTGAAGACAGTAGACAATACAAAATTTACTTGCAACATAAAACTTTAAGCCTGTAATACAGGCCTTGCATTCTTTGCCTCAAGATTATCATTGGTGAGTGCATAGCCTGTACCTCCTCTTTGCAGTAGAATAATATCTTTTTCCTTCAATTTATCACCTGTGAGTGGGTGAAGCCAATCTTTCTTTATAATTTTCTCAACACACTCCATGGTAACAACATGACCTGTAGTTCTGAAATGGTATTAATGAGTTATATTGAATACAATAAATGATGTTAGCAATATCTAATAAAGCCAACCATATAATTTTAAAACAGTAAAGGATTTTACCTGATTACAGCACATGGCACAGCATTACTGAGTATATCATGAGTGATTGGACACATATACCTATTCTCTTTTGCTATCAAAGATTTTTTGTCGTCTGGATCCTTTACTAAGGTCCACTTAACTTCAATAAGATCCTTCATTTTTAAAGGTTTACTACTTAGAGGACAATACACTGTAGGATCTGGTTTTTGTAATTTAGAAATTTTAGCATCTGGTAATTGTGAGGGTATCCAAAAACTAGGCAACTGTTTATGTTTACCATTAGCAAGGTTTGAAATAGAGCTTGATTGATGAGATGCATCAGATTTTGCTCCGTTTGTAATGTTCTTTTCTCTATTCATAAATTTTATTAAATTTGTTTCTCTTTCGGCTTCTGCTAGTTCCTTTTTTTCTTCATCTTCCTTTTTTAATTGCTTCTCATAGTTCTTTAACTTGCGTGTGTATTCAGTTTTCTTTGTTATTATATATTCCAGGATAGCTTCTTTGTCAAATAAAAATCCGTCTTTTGTAATGACTGGATTTCTACAAGGCTGCAATGTAAGACTACAGCAATCAAAGCTCTTTACCGAATCCTTTCCAACTCGTTCACTCTGCGTACCATATCCCGAAGCTGCAGCATCTTTCTTTTTTTCGTGATATGTATATACTGCACCTGCTGTGCAATTTCTAGCATGTCTCGTCATTTTATTTTAATACAAAATTTTGAGCCGCACAATAAGAGCTATTTAAAATTAAAAATCACTGCCTCGAGAGTCGAGTAGCTTAATACTTAAGTAAAATTATCAAACAACAATCATATTATACATTATACAGTTCAACAAAAATCTATCAAGTCGATAGAAAATGATATCGTGAGTTTTATACACTAAAACTGACAGCTATTATAAGTAATTTGTGATTGACAGTGACATGACATGATGCCTTCTTCCGCGCAATCACCCTAGGGTGGCGCTGGGTACCCCGTTACGCCCATGGGCTTGCGGGGGTATCCTTTCCGCGCCCCGCTCAACGGCGGGGCGGTCGCTGTGGCGGGCCTGGAGCGGCCCTGAGCTTCACTTGCGCTGCGGAGCGTCTTCGCTCTCGCAGCGCTTTGTATGTTTGTACGGTGGGTCTGGTGGCGCCCCCGTGGCGACAACGGGCGCGCGTGGGCGCGGCCATACCACACCGGGTGAGACCCTCGGTAACCCGAGGGAGGCCCAGCGAGGCAGACCTGCGGCTGGATCCTCAGCGCGCTCCGAGGCGCCAACGGGCGGGGTCCAGTCCTTTCGTCTTTAAATTCGTTATTGTGAGTGAGGCTCGTCTCGTTCCGCGCGAACGAGTTCGCGCGGGTAGGCTCGGCGGTGTTCTGGCGGTCTCGTGTGGAGCGGGGCGAGGCGCTGGAGGTGCTGGTGGCCTGAGGCGTCCGCACGCTCGAACATGCGCCTCGCCAGCTCGCCGATGAAATCGTCTATGGTTGTTATTTTTAAATCTCGCTGGATCGTGGAGTTTCTCACGTAGCGCGGCGCGCCGACGATGCGCCGCAGGGTGGTGCTCTGCACGGCGCGCAACCGACGCCGATGCGTCTCGGCCGCGAGAGCGTACCACGCGGGCGCCGCGTACGTGAGATGAGGTCTAATGTATAGTTTGTACAGTGCTAATTTACGCCTTAGCGGAAGTGCGGACTGCAGTACAGGGCGCAGTTTGGAGGCGACCGCCTTTGCGCGGCCTGCGGCTGCAGCGATGTGCGGGCGCATCGTTAGGCCTCTGTCCAGGGTAATGCCCAAGTAGGTCGCTTGGGAGCGCCACTGGACCTCGACCCCTTGGAATTGCAGCGGCGGCGGGAGACGCCCCCAGCCGAAGACGATGGCTTGAGTCTTGGCGGCGTTTGCGGTGAGGCGCCGCTCTGCCAGCCAGGCTGGAAGGGCGTCCAGCGACCTCTGCAGTTTAGTGGCTGCGTGGCGTGCGTTGAGAGAGGAGGCGATGAAGGCGGTGTCGTCCGCAAACAGCGACACCGCGCACCCCGCAGCAACTGGAACGTCATTCGAATAAATAGAATACAGTATGGGAGATAGGCAGCTGCCTTGAGGGACCCCCGCGGCGATCGGCCGGCAGCTCGACTTCACCCCCCCGACGGAGACGTGGAAGCGCCGGTCGGAGAGGAAGGAGCTGATGATCGCCACCACGCGCCGCGGGAGATTGACAGTGTAGGGTGTAGGCCGTAATGAGTATGTCAGCTGAATACTGACACTTGACAGATCTTCAATAAACTTAACAGTTAACATTGCGTGCGTTGATAGTTATAACAAAAATAGCGTTTTAATTTTTGGCTTAGGAATAAAAATTGTTTCAAGTTAAGTATATGTATTATTGGTAAGTAACCTGTAAATTGAATAAACTTTGATACTCAACAAAAAAATAACGTATGAATGTATAGGAAAGTAATCTAACCTAGCTCCTGCAAAAACTACTTCGAAAACAGAAAACTGCACAAAAACATTGTACTCAAGATTGATTTTTTATTTATATTAGATAGATTAGTATTTAATAAATTTAATTATTTGAAAATTATGATATATTTATAAAATGCGTTTATAAAACTATAAAATATATTAATAGGATATATTGTTTTTTCAGAAATAATAGTTTAAAATGTCTACTCGCCATATGAGAAAACTTTTAGGAAGTACAGCTCTTCCACCTCCTGATGAAAGTGATGACGATGACTTTGTACCTCTATATGCTAAAAAACAAGGTGGAACTTATGCTGCTGTAAGTAAGAATTGAAAGGTTATTCTTTTTAAAGTCTTCTTTAAGGACTACCTTGTATGATATATAACTTCCATGAGCAACCATTCAGGCCTTGGGATCAGATTACTGCACTATTATCAAGCTTATTATTTTCTCAAAAATAATATATATTTATTACTCAAATAGGTAGGTCCTTTAAAACAATAAGCATTAGCTTTCTTTTAAAATAATTATTATCTTTGTTTTAGCTTGAGTTAGATTCAGCACCAGATCCTGAAGTAGAAGAGAATATAATTGAGACTGAAGAACCAGAGTGTCTTAATGTAGATAAAAAGAAGAAAAGAAATAATAGAAAAAATAAAAAAGGAAAATCAAATACTTTTGATGTAAAGTATTATTTCTTAATATTTTATTGAACTTAAAATCATATTTAATACCACTAATATATTATTCACTATTAATGAATGTATTTATACCATAAACTGCCCCTTTATACTTTATCATAACATAGGTTAAAGCCAGTACATGACATACAATTTTCATACCTTGCACTGTATCTAAATATTGTCATAGTTGTAGAATAGTGGCGGATCTGACAAATAGTAAACAGGACAGCCATTTCAAAATTATATAATCATGTTAGTTTTTGCAATTTGTTTTTTTTTCAAATCCGACATTGTTCTTCGATCATGACCATATATTAACAGCTGGATTATCTTAGATTAGTTTATGTATGTATATAAGACTTTCTCAGCTGGAAGATAAAATATAGTATTCTGCGCTTGTCTCTGCTGACTTTTGAGTGTAACAATCTTTTTTATTTGAAACAGCTTGCATACCAAACCTCTTTTTCTTACAAACTTTTTAATTTTTCAGATGGATGAAATAGACAAGTCAGTTAGGGAAGTAAATGCGCTACTTGGTGAACCAAAACCACAACAAGAATCACAAAAGAAAGACAAGAGATTGGAGGAAGAGAATATGTTGTTTTCTGTTCAGCAAAAAAATTTAGATTCTAACAATGAAATGGTCCGAATCTTTGGACCTGAAGATGATGAAGATGAAATTAGGTAATTTTTTCAGGTATAGTGGTTACTTGCCTTTAAAGTTTTTATGCGAATGTTCTATAAGTATTCAGTTGGAGTGTAGTCTAGACAATGTAACAATGTAGAAAATGTCGGTCTTTAACAATTTCATATTCATGATATTGAATATAAATATGCAATACCTGCCAAATTCAAACTAAGATACCAATAAAAATTCATGTTAGGCTGGAAGCAATGGAACTGACTCATTTTTGCATCAGTTTATCAAATCAACTTATTAAGCATTCAAATTCAAATGGAGTGAGAAAATTGGAATAAGATCATAATATATGAGCTATTGCCGCTGGCTAAAAATGTTTTGATTCAAATATTATGTTGAGTATAATTTATGAGTGTTAGCCTAGTGGCTTCAGCGTGCGACTCTCATACCTGAGGTCGTATGTTCGATCCCGGGGTGTGCACCAATGGACTCTTTCTATGTGCGCATTTAACATTTGCTTGAACGCTGAAGGAATACATCGTGAGGAAACCGACATGTCTTAGGTACTGGAGACTGATCACCTACTTGCCTATTAGATTTAAAAATGATCATGAAACAGATTCAGAAATCTGAGGCCAAGACCTAAAGAGGTTGTAGCGCCACTGATTTATTTATTATAATTTATGAGAAAAAATATGAGTCCAACTAGTCTAATATTTGCATTAAATTTCAGACGACAAAGACTACGAAAAATGAAATACCAGAAAAATATTGTGACCCAGAATATGTATGCCTTTACCAAACACGGTAAGTTTCATATTTTCATCAAATCATTACTATTCATTAACCAGTATAATTGGCAGAGTGTATAGAAATACTAGAAAAAGCATAGACAATTTAAAAAACCAAATTAGGATTTTATTAATTTGACATGTAATTTTTTAATTCAGTCTTATCTTAAAAGAAGCATTTGTTTTTTGCACAGGATAGAAACTAGATTGTTCAGGCTATTACTGTGCCCCTTGGAGACTACCTATTGCTGAAAATTTAAATTTTGATTGAAAAATTATTGTCAGAAAAACGGTTAGAGAGAGATTATGATTTAATGATTCTTCAGACTTCAACTAATTTAGTTAGCAATGGCTTGTTTATTGTGGTTATCTGAAGTAGAATTTTTTATTTTATTATATTAACTTTTTAAGTTAAATGCCTATGGGGTAGAAAAACCCATAATTTATACAAATAATTGATTCAACGTTTACGATTCCAAAATACATATAAAGCGTGAAGCATCTAACAATAAGTCTCACTGGCGTACGCACTACTAAATACCCGCTCGCGAGCACCTATGTATACGTACGTAACGAACGAGATCAGTTTTTGTAGTTGTGTGCGAGTGTCGATAAAAATATGTTTATGTAAACTGTCGACAAAAAGTTTTAATGAAATTTAATTTCTAATGTATAAGACTGTTTATCTTTAAATAATAAATATTTGAAATTAATAAATAATATGTTTATACTACATACTTAATCCAGTTTGCAATTTTGAATCATTATTATTATTCTCTTGAATGCAATTCCGTATATAGTGACTATCCTGCCTTATCTTAAGGTGTATTTTAAATGCAGCCTATTAGGGGATACCAATGTTACTAAATACAGAAAAAATCTTTAATTTTATTGAATATTCGTTACTTGTAAAGTCTACTGCAGTAAAATTAACAACGTAATATTATTTTCCAGGTTTATCAATGTCAATAAAGAACTCTGATAAGGACGTCACATATTTTGTGTTTGACCACAATAAGGAATATAGAAATTTACACCAAGTGTTCTTAGAAACAATTAAATCGTATGTATTACTTATAATTAAATGATCCTAATCCTTGGGATTGATTTGCTCCAGTTCAAACAATTTGTATGACAATACTTGGCGATCAAAAAGAGTGGCGGAAAGTTTCTTGCCAGTTCCTTACCCGCTCTACGCCCTTGACTTGCGAACTGGTAGTAAATGTAAATTTACAATTAATTTAACTTCTTTTTGACTAATTATAAGTGTACTTGTTTACCTATATGAACACAGGCTATAGGAGTGTTTCCCAACCTATTTTAAGTCATGCTTATATAATAGGTTTTCGGAAGAAATTACTTGGAAATTGTTAACAGAATACAGTCAGTAAATTTTAAATTGTAAAATGAAAAACTGTAATTATAAATAATTATTTAAAAAAAATATATATAAGACCCCGTTAACAATCAAATTGCCCCCCTGTGGGGCGTGGGCCTCACGTTGGGAAACACTGGGCTATAGTATATTTAAAAATGGTAGTGATCCATATTAAATCTTCGATAATGTAACCCAAGGTGTAAAAAATACAAATAAAAATCTTTATATTGCCGACACTATAGTCTATAACACAGTAGAATGTTTTTCTCACTACATTAAAATTAAAAATGTACCTACAAAGGTTTAGACCATCATGCTGCCACAGACCACAGTGTTAAATAAATTAGGTTTTTTAATTTCATGTAAAAGCTAATTTGGCGAATTTTTTTTTCAGTGCACAGACGGTGGGAGGAATGGCACAAATTGATTTTTTGTTTAATGAAATGCACGTGGAAGCATTATTGGAGGTAATATAAACCTTTGTGGCTCAGAAGTTGATGTCGTATAACCATTTTGCTGGATTTGATTCTCGGGGAAACAATATTTTTTTCGTGTCATATAATTTTTATCCCTTGATATAAATACTTCATATTGCCCAAGTGGTGTCTGAAAAGTCTATCTAGAATCTATACTAAAAATTATCAAAATTGGTCAATACCACTTACTAGCGAGTCTTCTAACATTGAGACTGTCAATGATTATTTATAATGGGCTTTTTGACCATTCGAAACAAATCTACTTAAATTAACTAGTTTTGTTCTGTAGTAGTTTATGTAACGGTTGCAACAGTTATAGATTCATATACATTATCTTATGAATTGTGTTATTCCTACGGTTCATACAAACTCGCCAAGCGGCCACAGATTACATCAAATTTAAAATGCCATAAAGACTATTGAAATTTGACATTTGACTCCTAATTTCTGTGACCAATTTGTTTAGACATTATGTCATTAATATTGTATCGCAATTCAGGGGCCTCATAGCCTAGCGGTCTTATTAAGTGGCAGCTAGGTGAGGGGTACCGGGTTCGATTCCCGGTTCGAGGGCAAGTTTTAATTTAATTTAAATTTGTTCTCGGCCTTTGGGAGGGTTGTGCGGTACCGAGCGAGTGCCTAAACCGTACATGGAGAACACGGTCGAAGTTCTAAAGCAAGCACGAATTATAAAAAATCTTATACTTGACGATGGTTAATGCACAAACCGTGCCAGAGCCATTAAAAAAAAATGTATTTATTTCATGTTTTGATAATTTGTGTGTTTAATTGTAGGTAGCGGACAGATATTTTATGGTAGAGGAAAATTCAAGGGCGAATGAAGTTATAGAGCAGGCGATAGCATATATGCAGTTTGTTGCACATCCGTGCTTTTCTCTTACTGGGGTGAGTGGTTTATTTGCTCTACTTAATTGTACTAATTTATTTCCACCGAAATATTTCGTAATTTAGCTTAGTCTAGTTTTTAGAAAGAGTTATATTATTGCAATGGTATTTAATTAGCGGTTATTATGACTACTCAAAACTTACAATATACGTTTTGACTTTAATCATATTTACTTGAGCAGTGTTGGCCTAGTGGCTTCAGCGTGCGACTCTCATCCCTGAGGTCGTAGTTTCCATCCCCGGCTCTAGACTTTTTATGTGCGCATTTAACATTCGCTGGTTTGGTCTTAGACAAAGAAAGTCGATGCGTGCGTCAGGCACAGAAGGCTGATAACCTACTTGCCTATTAGATTAACAAATGATCATGAAGCAGATACAGAAATCTGAGGCCCAGACCTAAAAGGGTTTTAGCGCCATTGATTTTTTATTATTTTCTATCGGACTCAAAGTGTCCGATTGGCAAATGGTAGCTCGCGATCGGAAGAGGTGGCGTTCTCTTGTTTTAATGTAAGATATATTATCTTACATCGTTGGCGCAGCGACCTTTGGGTGAGCTTTTGCCTCCAAAACAAGAGAACGCCATCTTCCGATCGCGAGCTACCATTTGCCAATCGGACACTTTGAGTCGTGGTAGAAGTGAAAACTTCAAATATTTTGCTTTCAAGATAGTGAGAGGAATGTAATTTTAATAGCAATCTTTAATTTTGATTAAAACTAAAATAATTAAAGTTTTTAAGTCGATGAAACGAAAAAGCGACAGACAAATAAATTCAAAATATTTAAATTCAAAATTCATTTAATCATATAGGTCACACATTGTACACTTATGATCGTCAAAAAAAACGTTAAACTTAACGTGGGAGAAAATGAGATAAATGATAAATGATTTATTTTCTGTAAGTAGGTTTGTACAAACACTTTTACACGTCAATCATATTTTTTTTTAAACTAGATGAGTTCGACGTTTCCTATCTGACTACTCTGAGAAGAAACGCCGAAACAAACTCAGAGGTCACAGTCTTTTAAAGTCCAGACATAACAAGATTATGTGAAGACCATGTAGATTACAGTCTGAAATGGTCTTTTGAGGAAAGAACCACACAGATTGAGTGGACCTGTCAAGTCCAAAGACAAGACATTTGGGTAGGCCGCATAAATTACTAAAATAAATAAAAAACAATGATCCACGTAGTCTTCACATTCACAACAATTAAAAATAGTATAAGTAATACTTTAGAAAGTAAGTTTATTAAGTTAATTAAATAGAAAACATTATACAGTGTAAAAACTTCCTATCTCATTTTACATGTCGCTTTTTCGTTTCATCGACTTTCAAATCAAAATGATACCAAATAAGTTTTCACTTCAAAAATTACCTTAAGACAATACTTTCAGCGAAGAAGCCGTCTAGAGTACAAGTACCTTGAAAATCGGCCCTTCCACGTGGCCCTATTAAAGTTCGCCCACCTGTTATCAAATCGTGCCTGTCACAGAACGGCGTTGGAGGTCGTTAAGGCCCTCCTAAACTTGGACCCTAACGACCCGTTAGCCGTTATCTTCATTATCGACACGTTTGCGATAAGATCAAGGGAGCACAAATGGTTATACGACTCGGTAGATTATTGGAACCGGAATCGGGATGGAGAGTTCATGTTCAATCTTCAGTATTCGCAGGCGATGTGTTGTTATCATCTTTCGAAGGCGAAGAATAGGAAAGGTATACATTTAATTAAGTATTTTCTGTTTTACTGATACACGATATTAATTGTGTGTTTGGAATTTTATTTGTTTTTTTTAAAGTAATCTTACAGCTACACATAAACATATTATAAGAGAAAACACTTAGACAATATACATACCCTCAAACAAATTTCATTGTTAAACAATATATACGAAACAGAAAAAATAAGTCTCAAATTAGTTCGGTCAAATTAGATCAAAAAACAAGAGCGAAGCCACCATAATTACCATCAAGCTGAAACTGAGTGAACTGGTTCAAAACACAATTAAAACAACTTTTCAAGATTCCCCATTGTTGCGCCTATAGCCTGGGGGTAAAACTGATGTTGGCTGACTTTTTGAGTGGTTGAAATTTGAAAGAAATCTATGAATTTTTAATGTTTGTTTAATGAAAATAAATGTTTTTTTATTAATATTTTCTGGAAAATAATATATTTTAGTATGCGATATTTAGTTCCTGTCGTAATTTGTTCTTTTACGCATGTTACTTACAAAATAATTTAGATGTTTGATACTGCAAAAAGCAAATACGCGGTCACATATACCGAATAAATCCTTTTTAGATTAAATTCTCGTCTCAAAATGTTCGTTCCCATAATCCTCCGAAACGGCTCGAACGATTCTTTTGGTTTTTTTTTGCATATTCAGTAAGTCTGAGTATCGGCTATTTTATATTATATTTATCAAAGCCCTAAGTAATAATTTTTATTTTTTAGACAATTTTTTTATGATATAGCATACAAAAATACATACAACCCCTAATTTTCACCCCTTTACGATCAACCCCTATTTTTATTATAGTATCTACTATTTATTTATTAGTTATTTTTATTGAACTAAAAAAAAATTCTAGAAATAATATACATGGCGAAACAACGTTTGCCGGGTTAGCTAATATATAAACAATTCCAAAATACGCTTTAAAGAATAATTTTTATCGACTTGCCTAATTAAAAGTATTAAATGATAATTTATTTATACGGGGTATAAAGATCCGACCGATGCCTAAGAATCATTCATATTAATTAGTCTCCCTATTAAAATAATGCTATATCTGTATTAAAGAGGATTAACCTTAAATTAATTATAACTGTTTTCAGTAACACCCGAAGAAGCAAATGATAGATTACAGAAGACGCTATTAAGGTTCCCATTTGTGCTTATAAAACTGATTGAGAGCTGCAACCAAGCCGTGCCGGAGGAGATACGGAAATGTAAATTCTTCAATGAATTCGCATCTCTCAGGTAATGCTTTTCCTATTTGTATTTTTAAGGTATTAGTTTTTATTGTTTTTTATTTATTTACACTTCGTTACCATAATACACATCATACATAAAAAAAGGGTGCGTGTACTTATGTACGCGCGTAAGAAGTTATACTTCTTTGGCTTTTTTTTTTAATATAATTAATTAATAATTAATATTTAACGTAAACAATTTAATAATATTTAGTATATTATTCATTTATTAATTAATATTAATAACAATTATTATTATTATTTTATTATATTATTCATTCAATTTAATAACTTGGTATGTTTCATAACCTTTTAACTAAGTAACAATAGGTCTTTGTGAAAAAGCATTGCTAAATTTCTTTGAAAAAATAATTAAAACTCCTTTATTTGTTTAAAAGGTACTACAAATGTCATTATGGTCATTCAAAATTCTTGGCATAGCTGCTAACTTCACGCATATTCTATTTCTTTTTACTTGTAGATTGTCTTATTCCCATCTCGCTCGCGCACGCTATAATCACACTGACAACTTTGTGTCTCAGGTGCGCGCGCGTCGTAAAATTTCACTCTCATCAATTTTTCATAACGCGCCTAAAGAAGTATAACTTCAAAAAAACGGCCTCTTCCAGGCAACCCTAATATGGAACATTATAAAAAAAACTTAAATAACATGTAACTATAACTAAAATAAAATCTAAAGAAAAAATATAAACAAAAATGTAAAAGCTAATCCAAAGGTTAATTGATTCACAATTAATATATCTGTGCCCATAGGTCAGAATATGATAAATAATAATATAATATTTTAGTTGAAATATTTAATACTTTATGCATTTCTTACTTCCAAATTTGTATAATTTTTAAGTTTAAATCAGTTATTTATATTACTTTACTGGCTAAATTTTTAATTTCCTTCTCTTCTCTCTCTCCTTATGAAAATATTTAATTTTCACTTAATCCCTTAAGTATTACGTAACGAATTTGGGGGGGTCCTTTTGTAAAACTGCGGGGATTGAATTACGCGTTATTGTTAATATTATTTTCGACTTTCCAGTACTTTAGACCACATAATGGTAACTTTTAGGTATAAAGAGTCACCAGGTGGTCACGAAACGTTTTACTATTGGCTACAGAAAAACGTTACGGCGCGTTACATGAGGGAGGGGGGAGGTCGTCAATAATCTCCCTAAGATGTACAATTGAACCATTAAATTGAGGAGCGAGAGTCGCTGATCGCAGCCGCTTTCCGCCTCCCTTGGTCTAATATGTAACTGCGTCCCTCAGCGCGGCTTGCTCCGCCTGATACACAGTACAGCACAGAGCCAGTACATATTATTAAAAGGTTAAAAAATCTGTTTCCAGTACACCTCAAGCACTAAAGGATTTAATGAATTTATATATAAAATTCACTTGGGCACGCTGGAGAGAACAGCCCGTATTGGAATGGCTCACTGCTAACGCAACAGAAGTTATACACAAATTGCAGAACAACATTATTGATGAGGTATTTTATTTATTAATCTTTATTAGTTAATCTGTCCCGACTGGAATTTTAATATATATTTTTTTAATGGGCAACATTGAAAAATAAATCATTTTTAAGTTTAAACAGTATTTATAAAAGATTTAATAGTTTTATATTTAAGCTTATATTTTTTTCAGAAATCAACAATGGCAGACGTTCAAAACCGATCTCGGTTGTTCCAAAAATGGCCTGAGGAGATAATACGACACTTATGTATTATCAAACCTATGTCTAATCTAATAGTTGAAGGGGTAAGTTTTATATCTATTTAAAAAAATACATTTTCACACACACATTTTACACACCCTCACGAATTACGTAAAATTTATGTATTTTATTCGACTTTAACTTAATTAACTAAACTATTAAACTGGATTGATATGAGGACTCAAAAACTGCTATGTATGTATGTAATTCATTAAAATATTAATAATTATATAAAACTATTTACACACAACACAAAGCTTTAAGAATAAAAAAAACAAATGTTCCCATTAGTAGTCGTTCTCTAATCGATTCTCAAGGTATTTATTATATACCACCGAATATTCGTATATGTCAATGACAATGTCAGTATTTGACAGCTCGAATAATACTCGTGCTCGCTTAGTTTCAAATATGCACACAGAGCGCAGTTCATTATTTTAATTCAGGAATCTATTTATTAATCTATATTTTTGTATTTTAGGCGGTTCCAGAAGTACCATCATACCCGCTTAGGACTAATCCTTGTCCTCCCAGTAACACAGTCAATCGATACAATTATGCCCTGCAAAGACAAGGTAATATGGAGTTTTTGCAGGGACTTCTGAGAACGATACGACCAACTTTCGATAATGATGCGCAAAATTAATAATCTGTGGATTTAACTGGCAACATTAATACACGAATCGTACTCCTGCTAAAGGACTTGTATCCATTATCATAATAAATTTATAAAAAATCAATGCAGTTTTTGGCGGGAATGTCTTTATTGAGTGATGTCCAAATATGTCAAGTTTTATTTTTCTTCCATGAAGTGATTCCCACTGTCATAATAATTTATATTTTTTTAGTAGTTATATTGCTTCATGGTACGAAATAGAAGGACATTTTTGCTAATGTCTTCAATTAACCAGTGTTATGTTCTGCCCGTGTACTATCAAAATTTGTGATTTTAAATGTTTTGTGAAATAAATTTAAGTTATTGTATTTCTTTTCATATTTATTTATTTTACATTAACATCTATGGTGCCATACTTTATTAATCAGTATAAATTAGCTCGCAATCTGTTCCAACCTTTTCTTTTTGAACAGATGGCGGTACAAGACCTGTACCATAAATTATGGCTGAAAGCTCGATAATTATTTAATTTCTCGCAAATTTAATTTGCATCGTTAGAAATATGGTGCGCTTCTACGGGCTTTGTATTGTAATAACAATACAAATGTTTTAATACATACAAAATAACTTTATTGTCACCAAATGTTTTAATTTCATTCTATAGGTACAATAGTGTGGTTATATCCTGATTTCTTAAAAAGTCACAAAATCAAAGGGGCCGCCGCCACACTTATTTTGCTCACAAACATTTAAATTCAATTTTATTCCAGTTTCTGTCATTATCTTGCTATTTTTTATTTGGTTTTATCCACTCATCACCTTCTAAGCCAAATAAAAAAAGTGCGTGCGTAAAAAGTACCTACACATGTCAGAACAGAAGTGAAACTTTCTTTGGCAAACTAATTTTTAAGTTCATATTTATTCAAATCTAAAACTTTGGATTTCCGAGACTTAGAGGGAGGGAAAAAGGAAGATATGTTAGGAATTTAATTGTCATTAAAGTATTAAAAGTGTCGAATATTAATACAAATTATATATTTTTTTAAATTTATTTCTTCGATAATAAAAACACGTGGCATTTTATTTTACAATTCATCATTTGATATTTCAATAACTTATTTTGCATAAAATATAAAATACTTTATACGAAATTGTAATTTTAAAAATATAATTTCTATAATGTAATTCGCCCTTCTCAATCGGTCTCAATTGCTCTTGATTTTCTTCGACAAAAACGCTGCATGCTGCATCTTAGTGACGCTAATATGTATTATTATTATTGCGTTTCATCCGTAAAAAAAATAGCCTCATGCGCCTAAAGAAGTTTCACTTCAAAAAATAATTCATAATTTTTCCTATAATAATAGACATAATAATTTTTTGCAATAATTACTAAGGGAAAAATAAACTCTCTGATGTGTTGTAAACTTGTTATTTTTTGATAATAAATATATTGTTAAATATTTTTAGAAATTTAATTTCCCTTATTATTTGAATGAAGCCCCATCTCGTGCCACTATTTACAATTAGTTTGGACGTAGCAATCTCAATGATGCTTCGCGTGAGGAAGGTCCTTTAACAGCGACTACTGAACATAACATTAGTGCTGTGCGACGCGACGCATGATAGAGGAAGATAAGAGAGTGACCTATCAGCAGATACGGGGAAGCCTAGGCATTGTTATGAGTCAAGTTCAAAAAATTAAATAAGTAAATATTTATTATTATTCTCTTACATTAAGGGTAGCATACATTGTATTATTATTCGAATGTTGTTTTTAAATTATGTCCAACGCCGTAGCATCTTCCGTGGGCAACTTCATTCTGTTAATTTTGTGTCACGGTGCGCGCGCATCGTAAAATTTCATTCTCATAAATTTTTCATAACGCGCCTAAAGAAGTATAACTTCAAAAACCCATTAAAAGTTTGCTATCGTTGAATAATTTTAACTAACAATATGGTAGATATTTATTCAATCATCAAAGGTAATATTGATCTGGATATAGCTGATTGCTTATTTTGTAGAGCGCTTTCTCATTTTCGCAGATAGTGCCATTGTTGGCATTGGCTGATACGAAAGCTGACGGACTGGATCATTAGTTATAGTTTTTTTTTATATTATGGCAACAGCTTCAACTTTATGCCAGTTTCAAGTAAAAGGTTGGGAAACTACACGCGAAAAAAAATAAACAAAGACATCAAAAGGAAATAAAGGGATAAGCTGGTTAAAAACAAAATATGTACATAAACATATTACATCTTAATATTATTATAGATTATGAAAGAAGATAATACATTATAATACAATAAAGGATAAAGCAAAAGGCAGGAGATTTTAGTCGGAAACGGAACATGAAGTGATTGTAAGGAATTCAGAAAGGAGGTACGGTCATATTGGGAACAAGAAAAGAAAATATGGTCGAGGTCACCAATATCTTCTCCACACTCACAAATATTACTATCAACAATACGAAGCCTTGCTAAATGATGAGGTGTACAAACATGTCCTAAACGCATTCTGGAAATGATAGAAGTGACAGTTTTAGAACTTTTAACCTCAAAGAACCATAGTTTACTGGGGATCCTGGGTTGAATTTCATCATAATGTTTGCCTTTGAACTTGCTGCTTCTCAACCAAACATCATTCCATGACTCCCAAAGATGGGTTTTGGGAAGAGCAGCTAAATCATGACAATATATAATTAATGTATGGGACTATGTCTCCATCCTTTATAGCTTATTTAGCAAGCTCATCGGCTTTCTCGTTTCCTTTAATCCCACTGTGACTAGGAATCCATGCAAAGATAACGGTGTTATTTCTTTGAGAACATATTAAAAGCTTATCACGTATTTCGCAAATAATAGGATAACAAAGTTTCATTTGGAAAGGAAATTTTAAAATAACTAGTTCTAAAGCTTTTAAAAGAGTTTTAATCTTTTGAATTATTTTATGTTGCCAATGAATTAGACCAACTCCAACACAATCATCAACAGAGATTTTAGTGGCATCTGTAAAAATATAATCCCAACCTTCCCAATTTTGTTCCTCAACGCTACTCATGAAACGAATATTTGTTTCCAGAATATCTTGACGCCTATATTATATCTTATATCCGGATCAAGAATTAAAGAATTGAATTGTGTCATAAATATGGGTAATGATGGAGATCGATGAATGCGGCTGTGTAATGTTAAAAATTTACGAAAGCTTATTATTAGACATGGTAGTGATTTGTGACGCCCAGTAACGGGATGTATGAATAATATTGTTCAATTCATGCAGTTTTCTATGTAGACGGTGGTTAGAAAACTGCATAGATTTGAACAAGAATCGATCACTTAAAAATTGCCTTCTTAATTTTAAAGGAGGATCGCAGCATTCCACTTGAAAAGCATTGGATGGGCTTGATTTCATTACTCCTGTCACAATTCTCAAAGCTTTTGACTGAATGACATCAAGTTTTTGACTTCCCAAGACACTTCCTCCATCTAAGAGAAATGTGCCATAATCTAAAACAGATCTCATAAGAGCGTTATACACAAGTTTCATAGAAAACGGATGAGCACCCCACCATACACCTGAAAGGCATTTCATGATGTTAAGCAGCTGTGCACATTTCATAACAACATGTTCATAATGGGCAAGTCCAGACAATTTTGAATCCAATATAACTCCTTAAAATTTAATTTTTGTTTGAAGTGGCAAAGGTTGACCATTGAAGGTCACATTTATTATAGGAGTAGTACGTTTTTTGGAAAATACGACTATAGAACTTTTGGAAACTGATAGATCTAGGTAATTTTTAACTAACCAGATATTAAGACAATTAAGTGAACTAGACATGGAATTGCAAGCCTTAACCACAGATTTATCAACGGAATAAAAAAGAAGATCATCCGCATATTGTAGCACATTTATATGGGAATTTATAGATAATTCTAAATCATACGTGTAAATATTATATAAAAGTGGGCTTAGTACCGAACCTTGGGGAAGGCCTTTAAAAACTGTACGCTTTAACTCGGTACTATTACCATCTTTCTGAACGATTAATGATATGTATCTGCAGAATAGTAAATTGATGATAAAATGTATTAATAACGTAGGAACCTGTAGCTCTAATAATTTGCGTTGTAGAATAGAAATGTTCACATTATCATAGGCGGCAGAGATGTCCAAAAAGGCAGCTACAATATCTTCATCACCCGAAAAAGCTATGCGAATATCTGTGGTTAATATAGCTAAATTGTCTATTGTAGATTTTGACTTCCGAAAACCGTATTGACTATTGGCTATTAAATTATTGTTTTCTATAAACCATTCCAAACGATTCTTCACAAGATGTTCAGCCATTTTAGTTAAAACGGAGGACAACGCAATAGGCCTATATGAGGCAACATCATTGGTAGGTTTGTTAGGTTTTTTAATCGCTATAACTTCTTGAGACTTCCATGTTTCAGGAATATTACCTGTGACCATGACGGAGTTTATTAAATTTAAAAAATACATTAAGGCAGTATCACCAAGATGAGATAAAAATGAGTACATAATACCATCCTGACCAGGAGATGAATCTTTAACATGGGAAAGCACACCTTTCAATTCATGTAAAGAAAAAGGAGAGTTTAAAGAGGAAGAGTCATCTCTCAAAGACGATTCCAAAAGAAAGTAGATCGATTCAGCAGTTGATGGAGGAGCTTATCTGTTAAAAAAGGGGGAAGTGAAGACGATGATAAAGATTCTTTGAAAGCAGATCTAAAACGTTTAATACTTGTCCAAACTTCTGAAGGGCACGTAGAAGGAGATAAAGAAGTACAAAAAAAATTCCAGCCTGCCTGCTTTTTATCTCTGAGGAATTTACTTGTGGTACTAATAACTTCATTAAGAATATCTAAATTTTCATTGGACATGTCCTCTGCATAAACTCTCTCAGGTTCCTTTCTTCTACTTACAGCAACCATACATTCTCTATCCCACCATGGAGGAAAAGGAATCTTATTAGACGGATTTCGTTTGACAGAAAAAATCTGATCGGCAGATTCTATTAAACATGTAGCCAAAGCTCTAGAGAGTGGTCTCACCACCGCTAACTAATTCAGGCAAATCATTTATTTTAGATTCGACAAGGATTTTAAATGCAAGCCAATCAGCATTATTTAATTTATATTTCACACGAGGTTGTCGTTTTTGATAAGGAGAGCGTTTAATAGGGGAGGATATGATAATCGGGAAATGCTCACTGCGAAGAGTAGATGATGAAGTGTACCAAGAACGAGAAGAAGCAAGATCTGAAGTACAAATTGATAAGTCAACCGCGCTAAGCTTTTCATTAGGCTTTGTACGTCTGGTTGGTGAGCCAGTATTAAGTAAACACAAATTATGTAAATCTAATATTTCAACTAAACCATTGGAGTCAGTAGTGCCACAACCAAACATTTGGTGATGAGAGTTAAAGTCACCCAATAGAAGGAATGGACGACTAAGTGAAGAGAGTAAATTTTTAACGCTATTGAGAATAACTAAAGAGGAACGAGCTAGGTAGGAAACTATAGAAATATTATCAATTTTGATGCCGACAATATTAATGGCATCATTAGAGATTAATGAAGAAAACGCTATTTCAGAAAAACTAATTGAGTTCCTGACAAGTAATGCTACGCCACCATGGCCATCAAATCTATCATCACGCAAGCAGGTATATCCTGGTATCCTAAATAGGTACCCTGGCTTCAACCATGTCTCGCAACAACAACGGGAGAATGTTTATTTATCAAATATATTAAATCATGTTTCTTTGGAACAACACTCCTGCAATTCCATTGAATTATCTTGCAATCCATTATTTTTAATAACATTAAATGATTTAACTTTTTCATTAATAGAGGCAACGTGGGACGGTTTCAGTAAGTTTGAGTTTATTAAAGGAGTTAATAATGCTAGTATCATTTTTAAGACATCAGATTTTTCTTCTTCTTTATTTTTGTAACCAACCACAGCACTGCCATTTTTAGGCTCTGGAACTTGGAAGTCTTTTAATACATTATTATGAGCAACACGATCATAACCATGTTGTGATTTAGGAGGAGAGCGAGGTTTTAAGAATACTGTCTTTTTATATGAGGCATTAGTAGAATTATTACGAGATACAGACTTCGCTGCGTAAGAATATGCGGGTTTTGGTACTTCCGGAATTGTTGAACTTAATGCATCCGCGTATGAAGGCTTAACAGAAGAAAAATATTTACTGGCTTCGGCATAAGACATGCAGCTCTGAGCCATTTTAACTTTAATTTCTGTCTGTCTCACAAATTCTGGACATGACTTATCTATAGCTGAATGGGACCCTTCGACTTCACACATTACACAGTACAGAGGATCTTTATCTGACCTGTCACATGATACACCTGCATGTTGACCTCCACAGTTATAACATATTGGAGTCAACGACATTGAACTTTGGTATGACCATAACGGCAGCATTTATAGCTTTGTATGATAGGATGAATATATATTTCTACTGGAAGAGCATTATAGCACATGAAAATCCTTTTTGGTAAAACTTGCCCATCAAATGTTATTACAACTGATTCAGAGGGTTTCCAAGAAACTGAGTCATTAATTTTTACCTTGCGATTCAAGCGTCTTATTTTAAGTATTTTGCCGCAGCCTATAGGTACGGATACATTTTGTTGTACTTCCTCTACACTCCAATCTACAGGGACCCCGCGAACTAGACCCATTTATTTATTTTATTTTTATTTATTTACACTTCGTAGCTAATAATATAAGAAACACAATACATAAAAATTATAAGGGATGCAACGGGCGGCCTTATCGCTAATAAGCGATCTCTTCCAGGCAACCCTAGTTAAGAGAAAAACTAAAAAAAAAGACACATGATGCGTATGAGAAGTGCAGAATCCTTAATCTAAAGTAATACAAAAAAAAAAAAAATTAATAACAAACTAAAAACTTAAAAACTAATCTTACAAATACATGAACAGCGAATAGTGATGTAAAAGGAATCATAAGAATTATACAAGTCACGATTGATGAGGATAGGATAAGGTTAAGAAATGATTATACAGAAGAGTTTTAAAAGATGACAGAGAGGTAGCCAATCGTACGGAGTCAGGCAGCGTATTCCACAACTTAATGGCGGAGATCGTAAATGAATTGCCTAAGAAGGATGAAGTGTGGGATGGAATTTCCAATAAACATCTATTAGAAGAGCGTAACATATAGTTAGAAGGACCTAAGAATTTAAAGTGATTTTTGAGATAAGAAGGGGTTCTTGTTACGCTGAAAGTGGGAATGAAGGCTTTTAACTTTTTCGTTTCCAAAAGATTGCAGTTAAGAAAATTATTGGCGTCTTTATAATCGGAAAAGCCAACTACGCACCTGTTTCTTCCTATACGCTTTACACTTCCGGCAATAATATTATTAAATTTGTTCTGCTCTAAAAAATTGCCAAATGTTATTGGATGGAGAATGGTCCCGTCGTCAGGTGGACTTTGAATACGTTGAACATGTATTAAATAAGGGGAAACATCAGTAGAAACATATTCAGTACGGCCAATCGAACGGGGGTCTGTATTGGTTACTGAAGCTGTGGTGTTGTTTGAATTTCCCGCGTTAGAGTCTTGAGAGATATTTGAATTTTCCGTGTAAGATGTTGATGGTCGAGAGGACGTGCTATGTGAATTATTATTATTTCGCAAGTGTGGAGATGACGTGGATTGAGATATAGGTCTTGAAGTAACCTTTTTAATTAAAATTGACTCATCTTCTACATTGCATAAGCTTTCGCACTGACAGTAATCACCACTAGAACCACTACCTTTATTTTTTTTTAATTTTCGTACATTGCCGACAAAGGCGCAAATAACGTGTTCGTTTACGACTTCCTTCACCTGTTTGAGATGATACCGAACAATCGGTATCCATTTTGTCAGATTCATCTTGTGAACCAACAGATACATTTGATCCCACAGGGAGATTCAAGCCAACAAGGCCATCATCCCCCCGACCTAGAGGGCTTGTTCATACAATATTTACAAAAACTTACCGACTACACGATGACACTATACACAAATATGATATAAAGATTACATATAATACAAAAATTAAAACTACCAGCTTATCCTCTGCGTTAATTAGTAAAATTAAATTAAATATTCACCACCGTGAAAAATACGTCTACCATGAACGAAGTTTCCCGCGCTTTTTTACTTAGTTATAGTTTTCACTTTTCAAGGCGTTAACATGTAAATACACAGAATATAGAAGAGGATATGCTATCGCGTGACCTACCGTGTGATACTGTAACTGTATTGCCATAACTGTGATTCATATGTCAAATGAGATTGGTTGTTGACACTTGTGACTTGACGTAAATGTATAAGATAAAAATAAATAAAACTTTCTTAAATAAAAAGGCAAGATAAAAATTTTAAATAGCAGAAACACAACATTATAATTTGTAGGGATAATTTTAAATATATATCTCAGTACGTCATAAGAAATGATTAATTTAATGGACACATATTTATAGAGAGATTTTCTTTTATCAGTAGTATTTACGTACCGGCTCTCTAGGGGACGGTTGTGTTTATCGCGCAATACAGATCAAAATTGTTTTGTTCACTGGTGTGTTTTCTTTTCGGTGCTTTTATAATTCTGGCAGATTTGAAAGTGTTTCAGTGATCTTTTGTGTTGTTACGTGTGTTATATCTGTTAGAAAACCTTGTATGTATAAATAATAATGAACTTATCGTTTGCGGGTTGTGGTTTTCTTGGCATATATCATGTTGGAGTATCAGTTTGTCTTAAAAAGTATGCACCGCATTTGCTGTTAGGGAATATATCAGGTGCTTCTTTTGGAGCAGTGTCTGCTTGCTGTTTGCTCTGTGATCTGCCAATAGGTAAGATTAAAAACTGCTTTAATAATGTACACTATACTTTTATATACTAAGTTAATTTAGTAATAATTTACAAATAACTAAGCTATAATCTAATCAATATGAATGTTTAATAAGTACTCAGTTTGAAGAAAAGTTGATGATCTGGAACAGTTGTATTAATTGTGTTGATGCCCACAACTTTTATAGTAAAAATAAAAAAAGAAATTGGTAATATTTTAGATAAGAACTCTCAAACATACACGTAAAATATGTGTAGGTGTAGGTAATAATTATAAAGTTATTATAATTGGGTATTTATTCTATTTTAATAAGCTGCTTACTTTGTACTTTATTATGAACTGAACTTTTCTATTATTTAGTTTTATTAGACATTACTTAATACATAAGAAGTACAGCCTCTATTAAATAATAGAACCTATTTTTAAACTTTCAATACAGACAATATTAGTGCTATATTAATCACGCAGAATAATTTAATATTTTTTTAAAAATATGCCGTAAAATTAATTTATTAACATTCCATAGAAACAAGTAAACCTTGGTGGTAAGATTAATTCTTAGATTATTAATTAGTAATGTAACAATTTTGTTTATTGATAAGCTGAAGTAGATAAATATTTCTTTATGTTCATAATTATTATATATAAAATCTATTCAATGCTAAATGATAATCTTAAATAAATTAAATAGTTGAAATAGAAATACAACAAACAGGTGTTTCACCGTCAGCTAGATTTATTTATCCATTATTAAATTGTATGAAATTGCTATTCAGGTTAATATTCATATTGCACAATTATATATAGATAACAAGAATAATTACTCATGTTGATAATGTGTGTGCTACCTTCACTAGATAAATGACAGTTTCACAACATATGTATTGTTAAAAAATATATTAGAATTGTAAACCTCCTTTAGGTTTTATAAATTTGGTGAAAACCCTTTTGTCCAGTAAGAATAAGTTAAGTATTTCCATAAACCTATTTTGAATTATATTATTATTTATTTATTACTAATAATAGTACTAATAATCAATTTTTAATACATATTATTTATCTGATTGCATATGATGTTATGCTTAATTTATTTTGCCTGGGTTAACATTAATATGTTTATGTTTAAGTACAAAGACGAGTGCTTAATGCAACCATGTTTAGGCTATAGTTTATTAAAAATAAATATAAATATCTAGGCATTACATACACATAATATTCCCTTACTATACCCATACTCCCAAAAATCATTGTATTGTGCTGAGTAGAAATTAGTCAATTATGAAATATAATTATTTGATTTTCATATATAGTGGGTGATTAGTAGAAAAATTCATGTTCAAAGATATGCTAAGGTGCTATGTGCTACCATTCCAAGCTCTACATACTTACTTTACTTAACTTATGGTAACTTTTTACTTTAGTATGGCCTTAACACGCTGCTTACTTACAGGTTGAGAGGGTTATTCATAAATAAATTCTTTAAATTTTTTATAGGGGAAATTACAAGTGATGTCTTAAGGATAGTTGGTGAAGCGAGGGCTGGCTCCCTCGGACCTTTCAGTCCATCATTTAACATACAAAATGTACTCCTGGAGAGCATGGAGCGATACTTACCCACTGACGCCCACAAAATCGTCAGTGGGAAACTTCATATCTCACTCACGAGAGTGTATGATGGGAAGAATGTTATAGTATCGAAATTTGCGACACGGGAAGACTTATTACAGGTATTTTTTATTTATTTATGGGTAACTAATAGTTATTGTAAACAATAACTGTATGCATCTGAACTATAACCAACTGCTGCTTATAAAGAAAGTCCCTTCGAAACCAAGGCATTGTATGTACAGGGTGGTCAAAAAGTCGTGGATCAAACGTAAATAGGGGATAGATGAGGTCATCAGCTGCAAAAAAATCTTCTACGGGAGGTCTCTAAGCTCAACTCCTGCAGAGTTATAATTTATTTTGCGTTTTTATAAGAAAATTGACTTTTACTAATTCTTATTAAAATTCGGAAATATCTACATTCTGTATCTTTTTCATAATATCCAATAGATTGGTACTGATGAGTTCGTGCGTTAGACATGTTTATTGAGTGTATTGAAGATAATATTAAGTTTTACGATATAACTGTAATTTAATAGGGATTCTGAAAAGGTATTTGACATGGCCATGAGACGCTCTATTATCTTTCTAGGTAGAATAACAAACAGCGCCAAAAGTTGAGACCTCCCGTAGAACAATTTTTCCTCATCTATCCCCTATTTGCGTTTGATCCACGACTTTTTGGCCACCCTGTATAGAGATCGCTTTGTCTAGCATTGTTAGTACAGTATGAATTTTATGTATGTATTCTACACAAATACCTAAAGTTCAATTGTCTTATTACTTCTTGGGTATGCTGCCTTACACCTATTTGAATTTCAGTAATCATTTTTAATAGACAAAACAGACTTACACCAGTTTTATGAAAAGTTTTAAACATACTTGAAATCCGTAGGCGTTGCTAGCATCATGTTTCGTGCCAGTATTCTCCGGGATGCTTCCGCCAAAGTTCCATGGGAACCGGTACATGGATGGAGGCTTTAGTGACAATCTGCCTGTGTTGGACGAAAATACCATTACTGTTAGCCCATTTTGCGGTGAAAGTGATATCTGCCCGAGGGATTTGAGTTCGCAACTATTTCATGTAAGTTTTATTTAGCTAAAGGCTGGTGATCTGGCACCACAGGGATTCTATAGCCATAGGCACTGGCCTCTCACAATTTCAATCCTGCATTGTGTAAACTGTGGAGACAATTTAATTTTTGTATTAAGCTAATTCCTTAAAAGCCTTCATTATTAGTTAGTTTTTCAGTAAATGCTGGTGTATTTAACTACATATATTAATAAATCTATATTATATGTAAAATTGTGCTATTTTGTAGGTAAACTTAAAATATACAACTATCTAAGCAGAACATGGACCGTTTCGCCCGCATACTGTTTCCTCTTAAACCAGAGGTGCTGTAATATGTGCAAACAAAGATTCGACGATGCACTACGATTCTTACAAAGGAACAATATGATTACTATAATGTAAATGCTATTATTATAATGTAAATGCTATTACTATAATGTATACGCCATTATTATAATGTAAACGCCATTATTATAATGTAAACGCCATTACTATAATGTAAACGCTATTATAAATAATGTAAAGGCTATTACTTTTATATGCTTTTAAGCAAATGCTGGTGTATTAAACTATGTTAAGGATCGACCGATAACGCTTCTATATTATATATAAAATTGTGGTATTTTGTAGGTAAACTTAGCAAATACAAGTATAGAACTATCTAAGCAAAACATGAACCGTTTCGCCCGCATACTGTTTCCTCCTAAACCAGAGGTGCTGAGCAATATGTGCAAACAAGGATTCGATGACGCACTGCGATTCTTACATAGGAATAATATGATTACATGCACTCGGTAAGTTATTTTACTATGCGATAAGAATAAAATATAATAATATTTTTTGTTTAATTGACAACGCCTAGCACGCTAAATGTAAATTTAAATCAAGTCTTAAGATTTTAATCAAATATTGCGTGATAATAGATAAATGTTGCCATATTAACTCCATTTATTTATTTTATATTTATTGTGGAGCCGACAGACGGTGTCCTGTAACCAAATCTTAAATACAAAATTTCAAACTTAATCAAATAATCAAAAAAACATCTAATTGTAAATAATCTGAACTATTCTCGAATCTTAAGTAAAACACAAAAATATCGGTTCACGCGTTTATTGCCTTACGGCTTTGTCGGGAAATATTCGATTGTCTTAGTCGTGATATTACTAAAGCCCCATCCACCTTGACAAACAATGGCAAAACCAACACAATCACATACGAAGTGTGGATGGGTGTTTTTTGTTTTTGGGCTTTGTGTGTTTAGTTCCATCAAAGTGTTTCAAACTTTGCTCGTATCCACACGTTTGGCACGTATATCGCGCACCTTCGGGAGGCGGACTATTTATTTGCTACCTTTCTTGCGCGCAAAGCGTAAAATGTCTGATTGGAGCCTCGTTCTGACATTTTTGTACTTTTAAGTAAAATTAAAAAACACGGCAAAGTAAGCTCAAATAATAGGTCTAAGCCTTGTCGCTTTCTATGTATTTTAATCATCCACCATCGTCTTTGCTTTCTTCTTTTTTCCTTTTTCTTTCTCTTGCTTTATTTATAATAAAAATATGTCAACCCGAAAGTAATAGCTGCACAGCTCGTCGTCCGCCATGTTTGCCGTTCGGAATGTTATGAACGTTCGCCAAGCATGTGGTGGCTGTTTGTGTTGGGTGATTGTGGTTGGTGTTTGGGACTTCGTTTGCTTTTTGCGGTGTTTGTGACAGCCACGTGTGGTGCCCTTATCGGCACGATAAGCTAATAGAAACTCTAAATAAACACATCAACCGATCAACTTCATAACTTATAATTGTCAAATTTTCAATCATACTTAACCATGGTTAACCTATGTTTAGCTGTCAGTTGCGTTTTTTATACCATTTTTAACAAATGAACGGCTAGGCTGATTTGGCTGATACATTTTTCGTCTTACTGTTTGTTACGTTTTGTTATGTCACGCCCCACTAAAACAAGGTTCAATCTCCTATAGATATCTCCCCACCAATTTTCAGCCATATCGGTTCAGTCTTTCTTTAGTTATAAATAGTGTGAAAACACGGTTTTCCTTTATATATACGGATTATTCCTTTACAGATGTCTAGCCGTACAGTCAACATATCAATTGCAAGATGTCTTAAACGACACTTCATTCGAATACGACCCCGACTGCGAAGAATGCAAAACACATCGAGAGGTGAGTAAAAGTAAAAGTTGTCCAACCAGCTGATTTCTGCTTGGAAAGTTTCTCCAACCCATATTTTATATACCTAATTGGTTTTTTTTTTAATTTTTCTATTTTGTATCGATCGACAATACGATCTTGCTCGAGAAAATTAAAAAAAATACTACTTTAAAAAAAAATACTAAATGTTTATTTTATAATATAATAATCCTATACCACATCTCAAATGTTATAACCTCCAGCATATTGGTTCTATTCCTGGCAAAATAATAACCCTACGAAGAAAATCTGAAATTGCCTAAGTTTCTGGACTATGACCAATTCTGTGTGGTCCAGAAACTGAACTTATAACGTATATTTGCTCATTGATTTTGATTTTAAACCATCTTCATTTACACCAGTTTTTAGTATTAGGTTATATTTATGTCAAAGTCAAAGTGAAAATCATTTATTCATTTTGGTAACACAATGTGCACTTATGAACGTCAGTAAAAAAATATATATTAAATGCTAAATGCTTATAATTTTACATTTAGTGCCAGTTCTCAAATCTAGGGCGTAGAACGGACGAGAAGAATCGGCAATAAATGCTCCGCCACTCTTTTTAAGCGCCAAGTTTTTTATTTTACACAATATTTGTGCAACCTTGTTCCTCGTGACCTCTTAAGTAATTAATAGGTAAATAATAATTTAAAAAAAAAAACTAAAAACACAGATTTGTCCTCTTTCAGCAATAGGAATGTTGAAATAGGAGCACGCACTTCCCTCGCCATATTTAAGGGAGAGAGATGTATGAAATATATCTTTAAAATTTTTAACAACAGGACGCCCTAGTAGATGACCTACCAGATACGGTGATGACGATATTCCAAAACGCGATAGATTCCGCCAACAACGGCCTTGTCAATTGGGTGATGCAGCAGCGCGGTATGCGCGCCGTCTCACTTCTAACGTTGCCTTACCGCGTGCCCGTTGACGTCATGTATGCTACATTTACCAAGTGAGTGTTTATTATATAATAACATATTCTTGTTCACTATATTGTAACCACCATTATTGCAATGTAAACGCTATTACAAAAATGTAACCGCTGTTACTGTAATGTAAACCCCAATACTATAATGTAACCACCATTATTGCAATGTAACTGCTATTACTATAATGTAATCGCCATTACTATATTGTAATCGCCATTATTATAATGTAAAGGCTGTTGCTATAATGTAACCGCCAACATGATATTACTGTTATTGCTATCGCATCATTGTGCATTGTGTTGCTTATATATTGATAACTGTCACAATTGTGTTTTGTCCTAGCAAAACTTGATAAATTCTGTTCACCATCTTCATAAACATAGTTCCCTTATAGTTTACTTGTAGGAAAGCCAGAATAACACGATCGATTACGATCAAACTATCCCAAAAATACCAACATTATCATAGGTTTCGTTACGCAATTAATTTATGGACGTACCTACCTTCCTCCACTGTACTTTCGGGTCTTTCTCTCAAATGTTTAGGCTGATGAAAGTAATTTGGTTAAAACGTTATTTGACTGTTTTAATAGATATCAGCAATAACATTTATAATATTTATAATTAAAAATTATAAATAATTTCTTCTCCTACAAAGATTTGAACTAATCGACGTTTGAGCCGGAAATTATTTTTATCAACTTGACGTATACAGACGTAACGAATTAATATCGCATATTGCAATTGATAACAGACTGACCCGAATTGACGCAAAATTTGAATATTTTGAAAACATGAACACTTGATATTTGTATCCTTATCGCAAAGAATTTGTTTTGTTTTGAAAAATGAATACAACAATTCAAAACGTCACTAAATAAGAAATGTCTGGCAAAAATATAATCAAAATACGAAAATCAATACAATTTTAAGCAAGAGGTTATATTTTTTGCTTGCGTATATCACCTGAAGTTGCGTACTTCCTGCAATTTGCCAGTTTTTTTTTATTATTACATGATGTTAGGCGATAAGGTGTCTCTTATTATATAATAGTATTTATGCAACAAAATGTTAAATAAAAAATAGTGCGTGCGTACAAAGTACACAATTCAGAAGAAAAACTTCTTTGTAAATGAATTATTACTAAGGTAAAAGCCCAATAGACGATCATGTAAAAGTATATGATTACTCCATGTATTTGTATATCTATATTCACACTGTATACGTGCTAATGATAATATAAATAAATAAAAAATCTGCGTTTACTTCACAAGACGTTATGCGACAGAATTGCCATCTGAAGTTCTAATATTATGTAACTACTAAAGGAATACATCAACCAATAGCGTGTATTTTTTCTCGATCTCCCTTACTTTCTCTCTCAATCTTTCTCACTACAGCTCTCTCCCACCTCTCGCTCCATGTCACTGTGCGTGATGCGACGTTCGCTCTATCTCACTCTCTCCCTCGATCTTTCTCACTTGCTTGGCTATTTGCTTCATGCTACGTTCCCCCTTTCTCACTCTCTCTCAATCGGTCTCAATCGCTTTCTCCCTTTTCTCGACAAAAAAGCTGCACATCATCGTGACGTTTCATCCTTAAAAAATTTACCCTCATGCGCCTACGAAGAAGTTACACTTCAAAATCTACAAAAAACCTGTTTCTGAGAATTTATGTAGTTGAATGTTTTAAACTTTCATAGAAACATCCGGACTTCGCGTGTTTACGCTCTATTTCGTTTGACGGTCTGTGTTAGCAAGAGTTGCATAAGCGGTTTTCACATAACGTTTATCGGATTAGTATTAACATATTTTCTATTAAGAAACTGCTCGCAATGTCATGTCGTTAGTGGAAATATTTTTTTTATTGATAAAAGCTTGCCAACGCCAATTAATACAATAAACAATGCTAAAAAAACCACAATGTACAATTTTGAATGTGACAAGCACTTATTGGCAAACATGACATACACGAAGAGATAATACAAATATTAAACAAAACAATTGAAATTACAAAAACTATGTATATGTATAGTGATGGCAGTGGCGTAGCTACCTAGGGGCTAGGCGGGGCAGTGCCCCGGGGCCCTCAAGCTTAGGGGGCCCTCAAATCCTCACCAGAAATCTCGATCGTTCTGAACTTTTGGAAATTTCTCCCATTTTCAAAATAAATATGACAGGTTGCAACCCCACTTTAATCAAGACATTAATTTGAGAGAAATTCAAAAGTTATATGTTATAGGGAATTCCCCTAAATTCTTTCTATAGGTTGGCAGTGTTGTCAATTTGACGGATAGTTTATATAATAACCCTTGAATCTTCTGTATTTCAATTCGCCAAACCTACATCAAGTATTAATTGTAATTTATGTTGTTACTGTTTAATATTTTTATTATCTGCCCTGCACAAAAAAGAGCTTAAGTAGCTTAGCATTTTGAAAGTATTTGTATATTTCATATTTTTATTTGATAAAACCTAATCAGTTTACATACCAGTGGGGGACCATTTTTTAATTTGCCCCAGGGCCCTTGGTCACCTAGCTACGCCACTGAGTGATGGGAGCAACTATGGATATCCAGACCTAGCTCGTTTATCAGAATGCTCAATCTTGACATCGGTGAGCTTTGACCAAAACGCGTTCTACGGAAAGGAGGGACAAATGGAATGATGCGTGGGGTTAAAATAAACAATATTTTTTTATTATGGAATATAAGATACAGGTATCACTTATTCCACGTCATTAAATTTGAATAGGTAGGCATCCCTACTCATCGGCAAAGAAGACAAAAGGTGTAGGCCGAGAGAAAAAGCAGGCGTAAAAAACTCTCAGTACTCCTTTTAAATAGCAAATCACCAAACAGACAGACTACAGATGACTAGAGGGTACACGAAATTTAAATTTTGTTAAAAGGTTGGCGGCAATGAACCTGATTGTTAAATAGCTCAAATGCAAATTCTATATATTGAATAAATCAAAAGAAATGTTTTCTAACATAATATACTGTTTTCAGTTTGTTGTCAACAAATTACGTTTGTTATTCTGTCCTTCGACGAGGACCTACTCTAAAGATTTCCATTTGCATTTGACGTCTGTGCGAGCCCACATTGGACCCGCTATCTTTTTAAAATCTATCTATCTATCTTTTTAATACCAATTATCTCCCCCTGACCAGTGCTTAATAGGAGTAGTAGTTTCCACAAGTATTATTTAAAACGCTTTTAAATAAAAAGGTTTTTCATAATTTCTCTCTTACCTTACAATTTCTCCGCTTAATTTTTTAAGGCTACCTAGAATTGCTCAGTGAGATATGGAAGTGAATAAATATAGGTATTGATAAATAAATTTTGCTATAAATATTTAACATACACAGTTTTTTATTGTAGTAGAATTTGTTTAGAAGGGAATTTTTTATTCAAATGAAATTGCTTTTGTGTTTTGTTTATGGTGCTTAGATTCCCGCTTTCATTACACACCATAACCCTAAGTCATTTAATGTTCGGCCTATATTCACATGGTATCTTTATCGGAATTAATTGAAAGCGAGCTTCTCAGTGTCATGCAGAGTTCCAAAAGTTGGCGCGATTCGTTTGAATAGTACAGTACTGTACTGAATTGATGATGCCTTACGATTTTTTATTATATGACTAAGCCAAAACACGTTACACACGTTCATCGACATACTAATGATCTGTTTGTAACAGTTTATTTTCAGCTTATGTATGGCGAAATTTCAAATAAAAATATTATAGAATTAAGAAACAACAGAGCCTTGTGCTATCCATTAATCTTTTCTATGTAATTTTTTAAATCTTAGTATATTTACAACAAACCCCCCCATACGCTTCACAAATAGCGCGCTCTCTCGAGGAGTTGAGAGAACGTGGAATGGGAGCTTCTTGACGCTGTAGTGGAAGAGACAGTGCCAGTCGAACTGACTGACTCGGTTTTGGATCTATTAATTAGACACAATTTAGGTTTTCTTAGTTTTAGCATGGCTTAATGAGTTGCACTTATCGCTTTCTAGCTATATCGGTGATAAGGTAGAGACCCACGCTGAACAGTACGCTGTGGTGGGAAATGTGAGAGTGATTAGGAAGAAGTGTATCCGACACAACAATACGATGACTAGGTTAGTGATCGCTTGGTGGTGGTTTATGTGCTTTGATTGGAGTCTCTTATTAAGAGAACTGTGATTACCGGCCTTTGTGTTCTTTTGAATGGAGAGATTTGATGTCAAAGTCAACGTCAAAAATCATTTATTCATATATGTAACACAATGTACACGTATAAACGTCAAAAAAGAAATATACATGAAATGCTTCTAATTTTACATTTACTGCCAGTTCTTAAATCAAGGGCGTAGAACGGAAGAGAAGAACTGGCAATAAACAGTCATGTCAGTTCATCATTCAATTTGGCTACATAGATAAACGTAATAAGGATCAGATTTATAAACTAAAAGAGAACTATGGATCTCGTATGTCAAAATCCAATACGTTTTTGGCGTTGAGGAGTCAGAACTTAAGTCTCGTTTCTGTCTCGTTTCTTAACCTCATATGTAGATAACTCCCATTTGTTCTCTATACACACTTAAATAAGTGTCAACTATCAGCTGTAAATTTTTAAGTAAGCGTATTGTGTTCAAACGGGCTTGAGACAAAATCACTCTACGACTGGCGTGACCCACGCCAAAAAATTTGTATGAAAAGTCACCTGACAAATGGAGCGTATGTCATACATAAAATTCCTTTGGCGATTGAGTCACGCCTTTGGTAAAGTGTCTCAAGGTGTCTATTTCTTATTATCGCCTTAGAAATCACCATTCTGTGACTTTGGACTTCAGGACCTGGAGTTGACTGTTCATTATTACTTAAGCTACAGAAACGGAAATTATATAAGTTTTGTTTAGATTAGCTGGCGCCACGCTTAATTTGTTGTTGATAAACGTATTTGCTTTTACATAATTTCTTAATAAATATAGGAATATTGATACTCCTACACACGGCCCAAAAAACACTGGCGATATCGGGACAATGGTGGTGGGGATGAAATCGGCTCGCAGTTCGAATCGGCAGTAGCATCCTCTACAGTCTACACGTATATTTACTATTATGGTACTATTTGCCAACACACGAGGCGATCTAGGGTCTCCCCACCACTTCCCCGATATTTAGGGCCGCGTGTAGACGCTTTGAACCTCCAAAAAGGCATGGTGATAACTTTGATCATACAATATCCTTTTTGATTACATTTAGCTTTTGTTTAAATTTTTGTGACTAACAATTTTTTTTCGTAACTTTTAATTATTAACCAAACTTAAATGCCCTTTTGGGTGTCCTAAATTCAGTAGTATTTCGAATTTTCGGCAATAATTACATAGGAGTCTTATATGCCTGACACTAGTCGATTGTTACCATATACATACATAAACAGAATTTCGTGTTTCGTTTCGCACAGGTGTTGTCAAACACACGACCACCGGGTTGATGTTTGACAAATAACGACTAGGCGAACACAACTCATGCAGCTATATCGTCTATTATCTATGTTTAAATAGGTCAGTGTGTGAACACAGATAATACGCGTTCTTTGTTATTAGTATCAAGTTTCAAATTTTGCGGTTTCCAGTACAAGTTCAAATGTTACGCAATTACTATGATGTAATGTCTAGATTGAATAGCTGTTTCATTTATACTAGCTGACCCGGCAAACGTTGTTTTGCCATGTATATTATTTGTTTGGAAACATTTTTTTAGTTCAATAAAAATAACTATCAACTATAATAAAAATAAGGGTTGATCGTAGAGGGGTGAAAATTAAGGGTTGTATGTATTTTTGTATGCTGATACAAAAATATAAACAAAAAAAAAAAGTTTTAATGGGGTGGACACCCCTTATCACTTAGGGGTTTGAAAGATAGACAGTAGCCAATTCTCAGACTTACTGAATATGCATAAAAAATTCATAAGATTCGGTCGAGCCGTTTCGAAATAGTATGGGAACGAACATTATGACACGAGAGTTTTTTATATTAGATTTAAGGTCGCAAATGTTTTGTAAAAACTGAACTGATTAATTATCAAAATCAAGGTCTCCGATTGCGTAATGAACGATATGGTTTTCGCGATTTTCCGATTTCATTATTTATAACATTGAAGAAATGATTAGATTAAATACTATTAGATACCTAAGTACTCAAACTTAAATTCTTCGTGAATTATGAAAAATTATTAATTAAACTTAGTCTTATTATTAGTATCTTTGTTCAGAGCTCCAAGGTCAACGGCGTCAAAGTCTTTTAACCTCTATAGTCTATGCCATTAGATGTTCAACGAATAACAAAATCACTAGAAATTTTAAATTACATGTCATAGTCGGTTTAATCACTTTTATTATTTGCAATCTAAATATTTCTTGAAGCATAATTTTTAGTGTTTGGTTCGCAAAATAATTACTACAACTGTCAATTACGCGTTAACTGACAAAGGAAATAGCAAATGGATTATAAAATAATGGCAAACAATTTTGATTTATGCATCTCCAGTGTTATGTTTTTATACAACAGGAGGCAAACCGGCAGGAGGCTTGCCTGTTGTTAAGTGATAGGCACTATGCGCATGGACACTCAAGGACCCTAAGTCTAATTGGTTAGAAAATACTTCAGTGGGAAGCTGGTTCCACATAGTGATGGTCGCAGCAAAAACTGCCTTAAAAATGCTCAGTTGTGGAACGAAAAAGGTTCTCAAGAAAATTCTATAAGGTTTTTCGTTTCCACAAACCCTAACTTTCACCAACTAATTTTTGTTTTAAAATCGCGAAAACCTGATGAGAAAACTGGAATGTTTTACACCCAACACAAGACGTTTTGACAGAAAGCTGAACTTTCTCATAGAGAAATAGCACCATTCGTCATCTGGCTTTAAAGATAGCCAGTTCGACGCACATACACCACTCACACCATACCCGCACTTTCACACCATCACACAACACAGCCGAATGACGTATTACTTAGTTAAATGTTAATAACTTTTCCTTTCGTAAATGTTTGAACCTGTATATATTATGTAATCCATCTTTGGTTAAATCTTTAGTATAATTGTTTTTATATATAATTTATGTTAGCTGTAGAATTACGAAATAAATAGATCGAAATATATAATTTTGATAAATTTATAACATTATGTCTGTTTCACAATGTATGGATAAAGTACCAAATAGCTATGCAACACATAAATTATTTAGAAGATAAATTGTGCTATTTGACATTCATCGGACTCATAACTTATGATGGACTTTATGTGACGAATAGCGCTATCTGACAGTCGTAAAACGCAACAATAGTGTTTATCCTACCAATAAGTAATAAATAGCTAATTTGGAACTTATGTAGAACTTATTCGTACATTGTGAAACAGACCCTTAGCCTATTTAATCAGGTCGAATAATTAGAGCATTAAATAATTTACACATAATTAATCTGTTAGTGCGGTATTATTCTATCACGTTTTCAACATATTTATCATAGTTCGTTCGACCTCGAATATAACAGATAATGTGAGTACATTACACTGTGTTGTTTCTTGTTTTTGACAACAGATGACGTGGTCTCGGTTTGAATGATGCATCTTAATGTGGCCTGCTATGATATTATGGTCATGTCGGAATAGACAGTTTGGCAGACATAACAATATTGTTTGGCATTTATGGTGTAAATAAATATATAAATACTAGCCCCGTGTTTAAGATTTAAAAAAAATGATCATGAAACATGACTTAGAAATCTGAGGCCAACCTAAAGAGGTTGTAGCGCCACTGATTTATTTTTTTAAAGGTGTCTAGTGGTCATTATAAAAACAATAATACCAAGTAATTTAAGTTTTTTATCTATTAATGTGTTCTTATCATAATGAGTTCTGTGATTGATGATAAACCGTTATCTATGGAGTTATCATTGATAAGATTTTTATAGATCCTCCTTCAGATATATTGAACTATTATAATGCCAATGTCAATATCGCAATTCATTGAACTAGAAAAGTGATTATTGATTCATCATGTTAATGTCCTTCGGTAGTAGGAACCTGCTTTTGCTATTATCCAGATTTTATTCTCTCAAACATCACACACGTTACAAGGTAGACCAGTGGCGTAACTATACCACCTGGGGCCCGTGGCAAATTCTTTTGATGGGGCCCTATCAGTAAAAATCGTCACGTTGTAAAAAAATTTTTTTTTGGTTAAATTTTTTTTTTTTTTTGTTTTTTTTGGCCAAACAAAAAAAAAAAAACAACATTTTATTTTTAGTTTTTATTTTTTTAAACTTCGAGGTTTTCAGCGTAGTGAAGACGTGTATGAATTAGGTGTTCTCCGGCCATAAATGTTTTATTCTAATAATTCATCAACCCCAGGCATATCACAATCATCCCCATCCTCGCTTTCATCAGATGAATTATTTAAATTAATTATGATTCGTTCTGTGATTGTTGTGTCCTCTCCTTTTTCCCTCAATAGCATGCAGACAAACTTTTTCCATTCAACTCTACAGTTATGGCGTTTTTTTTTTTTTTTTCTTCTTTTAATTTTTTCCCCCCCTTTCTCTTTCGCACTCTTTTTTTCGCCATATGTTTTCCCTATCCCCCATATATTTTTTATAGGATTAAACCCCGGATGGTATGGTGGTAAACGCAGCACAGTATGACCGTGCTGTCGTAATATTTCGTCTATCTTGTACTCTACAAATCTCGCCTTGTTTTGCAGAATCAGTTCATATAATTGAGGCTTAAGCAACGTGGATGAATGCTCAATGTTTCGCAATGTCAGCCAGTCAATCATTTGCTGTTTTCTAGAATTACTATTCGGTGAAGGATTTTGTTTTGTGTTATGTTATGGTGCGTTGTCAACAACAACAACACTATTTGGTTGTAAGTTGGGTATTAATTGAGTTTGAATCCACCTTGAATAGTTGTCATAGTTCATATTGTCGTGGTAATCTCCACTTTTTTGGTTGGCTTTAAACATAAGCAATGCATTTGGTATAAAGCCATCCATACCACCGGCATGAACAATGATTAAGCGGTTGCCTTTCGATATATGTTTTGCTTCAAACCTGAAGTGCTTCCATCTGACCAAGATTTCGAGAGGGTATGTGATGTATGTATATATGTTTCGTCGGTGTAAACAATTGGTCGGCGTTGTTCACGATATTCAGCAATTTTCATCAAATAATTAATTCGCAAGTATCTAATTTCGTGTTTTTCCATAAGAAGTTTCCGGTTATCTTCCTTCTGTTTGCTTCCAATTAAAACCTAATGACATGACGTGTTTTCGTAACGTGCTGACACAACCTTTATAATCGATATCTTCTTTTAATTTTGCGTGCAAAGTTTTCAGAGGGGGATATCTTTACTTGTGATGTGGAAGTCATGAATTGTTCTTCTGATAACTTGCTTAACAAATTTTTTTTTTTCTTTTTTTGGTTTTCGATTTGGTTTCTTTTTAGGAGATTTAAATGTTACTTCCTGATCTGAAGGTCGACATTTGCTTTCTGATACTACCTTTCTGACGGATGCTATTGAAATTCCCGTTGATTTAGCAACTAATTGAGTGGGAGTCATAATACCTCCGTTTTTTTTTTTTTTCCCCCCTTTTAAATTTTTTTTTAACAAAAAACACAAACCCCCTTTTTTTGGAAAATCAAAGGGCTTCCCCCGCCCATGTTTTAACCCTGGGGCCATTTTTAATTAACAATATAAAGTTGCAACACTTACACACAAATTAAACACTTCAACAAATATTATAACAATAATAACAAACAATAACAAAAAAAAAAAAAAATAAAAAATTTAAAAATTAACATAATAATTATAATTTTTGAATGAAATGTGTGCTTTATGTTCTAACAGTACCAAGCGACTGACGCCGGACTGCACGTGGCACCTGCGGACAGCGTAAACTGGTTTATTCTGGTTTTGTGCGTGTTTCCACTTTCCACTATCAAGTGACGATTTTTTGCTTTAGATTGAAATATCTCGGAAACGGTGCGTCCTAGGCCAAAAATAAATTTTGACCCCCCCCGTAGACCCCCCGGGTTTTAAAAACCTAGATGAAAGGAAAAAAAATATATATCGGTCTCTCCTCTTTGAAGTTTCACTTCTATCGTGTGTGAATCGCGCACACACCTTTTTTTTATAAAGTCAAAACCTTTTTTTTTAAATAAAAACTTGTTTTTATTGATAACAAAAATCAGAGTGTTGCTAGGGATAAGTATAATATTAAATAGTAATGTTAGGATATCGAAACATTTTTGTATAGGCCAGAACGATATAGTGGAAACGCGCTCTAAGATCTGAGTAATATACACACCACTACATATGCAAAAATTTCTCGAGACTAATTTCACTGTACTTAGTTTCATTTTATTAAACTTCGAGGTTTTCAGCGTACTCAATTACACGTTGTATATGTCCCACTAATGGCCATAGGCCTCTTTTCTCAGGCGAGAGGGAATGGTCTGTAGTCCCCACGCTAGTCCAATGCGTATTGGAGACTTCACATTCATCCATAGAACATAATATCTCTTGGGTAGGGGCTCTCTTGGGTCGAGAGCCCGAGGCATTTATCCAGCCCTGCCACCCTATTGTTACGTCACTGAGGAGGACAATCAGATACTTATGAATATATGTTATAGAAAGGATATACACGTGTGAAAATGACATGAGAACTTAAGAAAGCGCAGCGCTAACCAGTACCATACAACTTCCTCACAATCGAGTAGCCCGTCTTACCACACAACTCACTAGATGACTCTTTGTATTCAAGAGCATGGGGCTGCCAAACATCCGCTAATATACACTGTTACGCTGGCCATAGACGGACCGCATGTTGCAGTCAAGACCGACTGCTGTAGAGCGGTCGCGTTAAAGTCGTACGCACACCACTCCACCACGACCGCATATAATGCAGTCGACTACGACTGCTTGGAGCAGTTGTGTTCGACCGCAATATAATACTGATCCGAGTTCATTTACAAGATGGATTTCGATGAAGAAACACTGCTACTTATACTATTATTACGCGAGCGTAGGCGTAGAAGACACCGTAGTATGTGGGTGCGTCCAATACTACAATCAAGAGAACAGCATGGAATATTTCATACTTTGTATCACCAGCTGAAAAAAAAAAAAAAAAGTTTTAAAACTACTTAAGAATGTTTTTCCGCTGGTTTCATTTGATGAATGTCGTGGTTTAGTATTTTATTTTTTTTGGGGGGGGGGCGCGCGGCCGGCAGCAACCGCTTGTAGCGGTTCGTGTATGGTGGGTCGCGCTGGCAGCTCTAAGCAGTCGACCGCACGGCGAAACTCGACCGCAGAGCGACTGCTCCGACCGCTCAGAAACTGGTCGTGCGGTCCGTGTATGGCGGATATGAATTTAGTATGGAAACTGCAGTTCGCCATGCGGCGACCGCTTAGAGCAGTCGGTGTTGACTGCAAAATGCGGTCCGTCTATGGCCAGCGTATGGCCACACTAAATACATCATTATGTAGAAATAAAGAAAATAAAAATAATAGAAAATAAATTAACACATTTTCTAAAACGACGTCTATTATAAAAGAGGAGGCTTAAGCGTGACTTACTTTGACTTAATGTCCCTAGGTGGGGCAGAGGGAGGGATATCCGTCACAGAAGTTTCATAGCTTGTAAATCAAAAATAATAATATGATTTTTTCTCTATGTTCTTAGTTTATGTTCCATATGCAACTTACATTACGTATAGGTACTTAGAAAATGTTTGCTTTAATATTTTTTTTTATAAATTTCTTTATTACACAAATATACTTAACCTACATAGTAATAATAATAATAAAAAATGATAAATAGAAAATTTAAACAAATTTAAAAAGTTTGGTCCCTGTGGCAGTGTACTTTTAACGCTGGCAGCATTTCCTGTCTGTATTGCGATACTTATTCGTTGAGCGAGCAAAGCACCAGCTCTAGAGTCCCCGGTAGGTACTATCTACCAAGTGCCAACTTAAATCTTTATTTAGTGCCTGCGCACTTGAACCCCACGTCCCAAGAGTCACTCCAAAGGGAACAAAATCAAAGTGGGAGGAAAGACTTATATTTGAGCCGTTTATTATTACATTTTACATTTTTATTAATCTGAAGGAGATGCATTTATCGTTACATTAACATGTTTATATTAGACATTATTGTTTTGACAAAATTTTACGGCGAATATTGATTTCGACTCATACATTTCGACTACTTATTGTACTTCAAAACAAAAGATGCATGATGTAATTGGTCAAAAGGTTGCATTCAAAACAATTAGTCACCACCAGATGCTCGCTTAGTGCGTAGAACAAATACTGTATCACCCTTGTGTTTGTTTACTATGTATGACTGTTTCATCAATTCATTTGCCTTTTGTTGTTTGTCTGAAATCTTTTAAAATGTTCGTATCGTAATACGTAAAAAGTAATCGCTTTAATATCAAATACTTTTTATAATATCAATAAAAATATAAGCTTAATTAAAGGTGGGTTTTATTATGAATTTGAGTTGAAAGTCCATATCAATATAAAACACTAAGAACGCCGATGTCTTTCAAAGATTTGATTCATTAATTGAATTATATAATAACAACTAGCTGACCCGGCAAACGTCATTTATAATAAAAAATAGGGGTTGATCGTAGAGGGGTGAAAATTAGGGGTTGTATGTATTTTTTAATGCTGTATCATAAAAAAATAAAAATTAAAAAATTATCTACAAATTAAAAAAAAAATTAGGGGTGGACTACCCTTAACATTTAGGGGGATGAAAAATAGATGTTGTCCGATTCTCAGACATACCCAATATGCACACAAAATTTCATGAGAATCGGTCAAGCCGTTTCGGAGGAGTTTAACTACAAACACCGCGACACGAGAATTTTATATATTAGACTTTTGACTCAAGGACTTTTATTTTGAGAATTTCTGGAAATCTTGGATGATTACCATTCAATTATTTCGTTTAAGACAGTGACCTACTTTGGCATATTTGCAATTCTGTTCCATTATATTCACATTTATCTTGTTAATGAAATAATTTTTTTTTTCAGGTTCGTAGCATGCACACCGAAGATGAGCAAATCACTATGGAAACTGAGTTGGCGTATCATCAGACAATTGCACGGGTTTTTATATTCCGCCCATGATCGTTCAGAAGCTGCCAGAGTGTATTACAAGTTGACCATGGATAAGGATGAACACCGATTGGATAAGAGGTATATTTTCTAGTAGGGACTTTAGGGATTCGTGACTTGTAGTATTGGTGAAGCAAAAGATAGATTAATAATTCCAGTAATAAATTATCATTTAACATACTTATAATATTTTTGGTATCAAGAACAAATAAGTTCTAATTTTTTTTCTTCCAATGATTTTGGTGTTTGCTCATTCCTAGTCGAAGAAATTCTTCCGTTTGTCCACGTAATTAGAACCATAAATTAAGTAACTTAATTACGAATACACCCTCTGGCAGTCATCGCAGCCCATTTTAAGGGTGCGTAGCCGGCCTTAAAATGGGCTGTGGAGGGAGGAGTACACCTCTGAATAGTAGGAAGTCGTCTCAGGGAAGTCCTCCGGAAGTCGATTCCACAGTTCGCTAGGTCGCAAAAAAAAAGCCTTGTGAAACGGACTGTGGAAGACTTCCAGCCATCAAGGTGATGTTAAATTTTGAATTCATACGGCTTGAACGGTGTTGAAACGAGGCAGGAGGGATCAACACAAACAATTCTTCAGATCACTTCTTTGTGATTTGTGGAATTATAATTTCATACTAAATTGAATATCTTTTAATTTTATATTATATCTTATAAAAAATCTAAATGTCATTAATTGGAACGTAATAAGATTGCGAAATTACAACTAAGAAGCGTGTTGTTTTTTTTAAATCGTAACACAAATATTATTGCATTGTACAAAATGCTGACGCGTTGTTATCCATTGGCTTTGATATGTCAGATAAATGGTTAATTGGAACTTATAATTAGTTGTTTACTTATGCGTATGAAAGCACAGATATCAACAAAACATTGTGTGAAGGGTTCTAGTCTGTAGAGTTATTTCCGATCCAAGTTGATATTAGCGAAGCAAAAACACTTTAAACATAATATGACGTATCAACTATCTTTAATCGTTTAAAACAAAAGCTTATAACTAACCTAAATAGGGGGCCTCATAGCCTAGCGGTCTTATTAAGTGGCAGCTAGGTGAGGGGTACCGGGTTCGATTCCCGGTTCGAGGGCAAGTTTTAATTTAATTTAAATTTGTTCTCGGCCTTTGGGAGGGTTGTGCGGTACCGGGCGAGTGCTTAAATCGTACAGGACACGGTCGAATTTCTAGACAAGCACGAATTATAAAAAATCCTATACTTGACGCTGGCTAATGCACAAATCGTGCCAGAGTAAAAAAAAAACTAACCTAAAGTTTTGGTAGTGCGGTGCGACGCTTGACTAACAAAAACTGTAACATTATTAAGTTAAAACCAAGAGATACATCTCTTACCTATAACGGATATAAGTGATGTCGAGCTATTGTTCATTGTTTTATTACAATTTATATTAACTCATTTATTACTACTAAAACTGACGTTTTACAATTTATTGCCTACAAGTGTAACTGTTGCTAACAATTGGTTTGCGCTTCTTACTATCAACTAAAATATATGTCGTAGCCAACTAGTTAATTTACCGTTCAATTAACAGCCCAGTCTCTTTAATAAACAGCGCCTAAATAATAATCAGCCATTTGTTCAAACACCTAGGCAAATGACTTGAATCGATGACGTTACTTTACTTACCTATCCTGTTCATTTCAATTTAGTTCCACTTTCTGCTATTACAAACTGTCAATAAAGCGTCGGCAAACAACAAATTTGATGATGTATGGCACAGTTTAATAAAAATAGTATGGAAGAATGTGACACTAGAGTAAGAACACTAATAAGTTACATTTAAACATATTAAATAATAAATTTGATTAAATACTTGCTGACCCGGCAAACGTTGTTTTGCCACATATATAATTTCTGAAAATTTTTTTTTAGTTACATAAAAATAACTATCTACAATAATAAAAAATAGGGGTTGATCGTAGAGGGGTGAAATTTAGGGGTTGTACGCTGTACTGTTTTTGTATGCTGTATCATAAAAAAATAAAAACAATTTCTTATTTCTAAAATTTTTTTTTTTTGGGTGGACAACCCTTATCACTGAGGGGTTTGAAAGATAGATAGTAGCCGATTCTCAGACTTACTGAATATGCATAAAAAATTTCATAAGAATCGGTCGAACCGTTTCAGAGGAGAATGGGAACGAAAATTGTGACACGAGAATTTTATATATTAGTTCCAAAGATGACTCAAGCAATGAAATTAATTTTATCCTAAAGCTTATCGTGCCAATCAAATCCGGAAAGTCAAAGTCGTATCGTTCTGACATTGAGATGTGGCATTTATCGCAAAGATATAAGATTCAAAGTTTATTGACACGCTTTATCAACTAATCCGTAGTCGTTAACTCGTACGACCTTTCGTTTTCAATACACCCGGAACTGAATAGAAAATATTATTGTTGCGAATGTCAAACAACTTTGTTAACAGTGCATTGACTGGAATATTGTGATTCTGAAACTCCCTTATGTCAAAATCCAGTACAGATTTGTCGTTCAGTAGAAGCCCTTAACTATGAATTTTATCAAAGATATATTAGCTTTTGTTTGGTCTACCTGGAACTTATTACCCAGAGCAGTGTTGGCCTAGTGGCTCCAGCAACTCTCATCCCTGAGGTCGGAGCACCAATGGACTTTCTTTCTATATGCGCATTTACCAATCGCTCGTACGGTGAAGCAAACAGGTGTGTCACAGGAGGCTTATACTATTAGATTGACAAATGATAATGAAACAGATACAGAAATCTTAGGCCCAGACCTAAAAGCTAGCGCCACTGATTTATTTATTCATTTTTCTATACCTGGATATTAAAGGATAGTTTCATTTGCCACAAATTTATCTACAACATTCCACACCTTCCACAACAACGAATGTTTGTTGAGTAATATTTAGTTATTTTCAACGGCAATCGTCTACATTCTAGGCAAAGTTATCCGCGAAGTTATAGCGATATCCATAGAATTTATTCTTAGTATTGAATTTGACAACTTAGACAAAGTGTACAAATAAAATGATATGAGACTGTCTAAATAGAATAATTGAAACGAAGCTAGAATAGTTGGGGAACTGCTGGGGACAGCTGTTTCTAACTCCTGATAGCTTGACACAATTACAAGAACAATAATAATTGTGCGCAAATGATAACAATTATCACTTTCGACTCGAAAGTTGATCTAATTGCGCACAACATATAAACAATTTTAATTAATTTAACGCTTATCAAATAATTACGGGATTAGGATAAATTTTAGTATGATTTCATTGGTGACCAAACTTGCTGTAAAAACAATAAAAACTTCAGAAATTGAAATATCTTTTGAAGTAAGAATTGTCTAGAAATAATAGATATACAGTGAACAATTAGTTTCAATTCCAGCATTAGTATTCATTTATTTTTTTCCCAGTTATCATTTCATTTTTATTTAGTTAATTCATGCATAAAAATTTAAATTATATTCAAATTCAAAATCATTTATTCATTGAGGTAACACAATGTACACTTATGAACGTCAATAAGAAATACATATTTAGTGCTAAATGCTTCTAATTTTACATTAACTGCCAGTTCACAAATTAAGGGCGAAGAGAGAAGAACTGGCAATAAACTCTCCGCCACTCTTTTTTATCGCCAACTTTTTCTGTGTTGTGGCACCTTATTTATTATCCTTGGAACACAAATTTTAGGTTCGTACATCATAAATGTTGTTCTGATGGTTTCTTAATTAGACTGGATACATTAAACACGCCGTTTGTGTTTTATTATAGGTAGGTATATATTTTCTCAGCAGTGAGCAGTGTTGGCCTAGTGGCTTCAGCGTGCGACTCACATACCTGAGTGCACAGCCGGGAATCGAACCTACGACAGGTTCGATTCCCGGCTGTGCACCAATGTACTTTCTTTCTATATGCGCATTTAACATTTGCTCGAACGGTGAAGGAAAACATCGTGAGGAAACCGACATGTCTTAGACCCAAAAAGTCGACGGCGTGTGTCAGGCACTGGAGGCTGATCACCTACTTGCCTATTAGATTTAAAAATGATCATGAAACAGATTCAAAAATCTGAGGCCAAGACCTAAAGAGGCGAGCCAATTTTATGTTAAGGCTTAAATTCACAATGGACAATATAAGAAAGATTGACAAGACAAGACACTTATAAGTCTAGACTTGAATGTTACTTCTATATCTTTTAGCATCAGTTAGCATTAACGCTTGTATTTTCAGACGTGCGAGCCAAGTGTGCATAACATATGGGGACCGAGATGTCCTCCCCGAGGCAGACACATTTGAACACATTCTTAACGTAACCAACCACAACGATGCGTTATTGGCCTATTACTACCTTGACAGTGATAATAAGGTAATACTTTCTGTTATACTAACGCTCCCTTACGAGACCTATACGCATAGAATCGCGGATGGTTTTTTTTACTTTACGTTACACTTCATGCCGGTTTTCTGTGAGACAATGGCCTGGTACTAGGGATGTGACATTCTGCATAAAAAAATCGATTTTTTATTAATCGATTATTTTTTAGCATGAATAATCGATTAATAAATAACCGATTTTTCCTAATTTTTGAATTAATTTCAAAATAAACACCCTAAATATTTTATTTTTCATGGTTTTTTAAATTAAAAATAAACAATAGAAATTATAAACACAAATTAACGTTTAAGAATAATCAAAATCGAAATTAACTTAATCTCGTTTTGATAGATTTTGATAAATGTTGAGTGTATTCCTTTTCAGTAGCACATTGCAGTATTTTTGTTGTCTTTTTAATTGTATGTAGGCTTGTGCTGCTGAATAAATTTATTTTACTTTTAAATTATAGTGTTCCATTCAAACTTGAGTTTTTGTAAAATTAACTTCTTTTATCATCCTTTTGATGCTTTACAAACAAATATCAATGTATCGAGTATATCAATACATCTTCAAAGAATCGGATTCAATGTATCGCATTGTAAACATCGTTGTGTATCGAATATCCCTAATAGTTCGAGGTCCGGGTTATAAAAGACCAGACATAATGTCGGGAGGTGGCAGATAAAAAATCGATTATGATTGATTTTCAATTATATTATATTTTTATATTTAAAATAATCGATTATTTTAAATATAAAAATCGCGTAAAAAAATCGATTTTCACTTTTAAATTTTTCGATTTTAATAATCGATTATTTTTTCACATCCCTACCTGGTACTGCCCCATGGCACTGCCACTAGGGAGCTATCTAAAGCCTTCGTTAAGTTGACTTTCCAGGAGTCTTTTATTAAATTTAAATCAGTTCTTGTGATTATTCAAACAAACAAACAAGTACCGAAGGATGAATATAAATTTCTTTTAAAGTTTGTTGAAAATATAATCGCAGTATGATCCACTGCGACACAGGTCTGTACATTCTTGGTTGTTGTTTTCTGTTACTTAAATCTGATACGGAAAAATATTTAAAATACACCTTAACACAAAGCAACAAAGATTAATAATATATTGGATTTTATATTATAAATAATAAATGAATCATTATCAGCGCATCAGAAACATCAGCTTTTTTGATATTTTATTATGATATCGTAACAGATACATGTTAAAAATTTCAAAACTAGAGTAGAACTGAAGCTGATCATATAATATATCAACTTAATATGAGAAAATGTTGGTGAATAAACATCGTTTATCATCGCGTGACGCGTGGAGGGTTGTCGCGCCACTCTCGCCTGACCCCTGACACTCGTATCTGTGTGTTTTGCATTTTCGATGCAAATGGATAAAATACTTGATAAACGATAATTCTTCTACAATACAAGAATACGCACAGTAAATCTCAGAAGTATTTATCGACCATAATCTTATTAATACATAAATTAAAAGCTCGATTGTGCGATACCAAAGTTACATTTGTATGGCGACCATCTTTATTTCGGCCATTTTAAATGTTTTACATTAACCTTGTCAATGATTAAAAAAGCACTCGGTGCCACCGCTTGCAACTGTATAAAGCGCAAATTCGGTCATGTACTGTTCTCACCTCTGGGCGGGTACCAGCTCCTTCCACTTGGCCGTACGAAGAGCGGTTCAAATCGTCGACGACCAATCTCTCTCGTTGACCCCTTGGTGTTGTGTAGAGATGTGGGGTCACTCTGCATCTTCAAGCGTATTAACCATGGAGAGTTTTCGGAGGAGTTGTTCGGATTAATACGTGGGTGACACTGAAAATGTTTAGAACTGGCCATTTAGATTCTTTTTTTATTTCAATTTTAGAACTCTTTGGTAACCTAATGTAGTAAATTGCATTAATTTGTCATTTATTTGTGCGAATTGGCGGCAAATTTAAAACTCTTGTTACACGTGAAAATTGACCTAACGCGAGAAAATTTTCAGTCAATGATTTATTATGACTTTTGTTGTGGGCTTACTCAACAACAAAACTATGATAGGCTGCGTTTAGCATTTCTTAATGAAGTCCCATCTCGTGCCACTATTTACAATGGTTTAACGAGTTTAAGCGTGGACATAGCAATCTCAATGATGATCCGCGTGAGGGACGTCCTTTAACAGCGACTACTGAACATAACATACATGCTGTGCGACGCATGATAGGGGAAGATAAGAGAGTGACCTATCAGAAGATACGGGCAAGCCTAGGCATTGGTATGAGTCAAGTTCAAAAAATATTACACGAACATTTAGGCGACAGGATGCTTTGTACCAGATGGATTCCCCATACATTTACCGACGACCAGAAACACCTTCGCATGGACTGGTGTCGCCAAATGTTAGATAAATTCAACGGCGGTGACTCAAATGCTGTATTTGACATCGTCACAGGTGATGAAAGCTGGATATATTGCTACGTACCCAAAACTAAAGATAAAATTCGAGGTATTCGCTTTACGAGCGAAAATGCCATAGAAGAGACCCCTAAGGAAGAATGGGCCCATTGCTTTTCTCAGTGGTTCCATCGAATGCGACGATGTGTAGAGAGGAACGGAGATTACTTCGTAAAACAATAATAGTATTGGCAACTTTCTACATTAAGCCGTTTTTCATTTTCTAAAACAATTCAGTGTTACCTAGGTACGTCATCAGCACCAAGGATGTAGGGTTTCTAATATCGTATGAAGAGAAATAAAATATTATAAACTGAATAAATCATTAACGATAACCTCGACATTCAATTAATAAAACTCGTGTTTACATGGCTAAGGTAATGTTTACCGTTTATAGTTCACAACATTGTGCATTAAACGATAACCAGGCAATAAATGACGTAAGATTATTATCATTATTTTTGATGCTTTGTACTTTGCACTAAAATATCATTGACTCCGTAAATATTATTATCTATCTTAGAATCAAAACCAATGACGCTAGATCAATAAATGTGTATGAAATTTTTTAAAGCCTCAATTCATTGAATGTAAACCTAAGGACAGAAGAAAGAACAAAATGGATAAAAATACGATTTGTGGTTCGCTAACGCTTTATACGTTTTGTCCCGTAGATTTCTTATTTGTTTTTTTTTTCGTATAAATAACACTCTTTGTCGCTACTTCTCTCTTCGAAGCCACTCTTAAAGTCACAGCCAGCATCGGAATACATACTTGGCAATGAATTATCAAACGACGTTCAGTTTCGCGGTTATTTGGGCAGAAAGGCTAAATTAGCCTCCAAAAAGCTTGGTGTGCTCAGCAGGCATGTATAAAGCGCGAATTCGCCCCCACATGGATAATTGCTATCACCTCTGGGCGGAAGGTCCCCAGTTCCAACTCCTACGAAGAGCGGTTCGAATCGTCGAAAATCAATATTTCCGATCCCTTGGCGTATCGTAGAGATGTGGGGTCTCTCTGCATCTTCTACCGCATTGACCATGGAGAGTGTTCAGACGAGTTGTTCGGATTAATACCTGCAGCTGAGTTTCATCATCGGACGTCGAGGCAGAATACGAAAATCCACCCGCATCACCTCCATGTCCGTCGTTGCACCACCGATAAGTGGAACCAGTTGCCCACCGAAGTATTTCGGAACCAATTCGACTTAGGGTCCTTCCACACAAGGGCGAACCAATTCTTATATAGAATATGTATTTTCAGATGAAAATGACAGAGATCTATGACGTAACGGACGCGGACACAGATGCCGTGCAGTCCCCGGATGAACGCGATCTCAACAAACAACTCGAGTTTGACAACGATTGGTCTGGAGATTTTATGGCTGAAGGTACAAAAAAAAAAAAAACATTTTCCCTCGTGATCCTGTCAATATAATCCGCTGTAAAACTTACAATTTACTAGCTCCTAAAAAGCACAGAGGATATATCTGACCATTGTAGGTAAATATTGGTATTTTATTTTAATGTTAGGAACATTACCATTTATTAACGTCCATAAAAAAGACTATGGCGCTACAAGTTTTTAGCTCTCGGGTCTCGAATTTCTGTATCTGTTTTATGATCAGTTATCAATCTAATAGGCAAGTAGGTGATCAGCCTCCAGTGCCAGACACATACCGTCGACTTTTTGGGTCTAAGGCAAGCCGGTTTCTTTACGGTTTCTTTACTTTGTTTACTGTTCGATAAAATGTAACACACAGAAAGAAAGTCCATTGGTGCACAGCTGGAGATCGAACCTACGACCTCATGAATGAGAGTCGCATGCTGAAGCCAATTTTATATATTTGCACGCAAAACGGGTTTTAAAATTATGGTAAATACGTTTTGACAAATGTGTTAAATTTAAACTTTTTAATTTTTTTCCAGAAGTGGAAGAGATAGAAATAGAAGAATTAGAGAGAAGCATATTTTCGGAAACTGAAAGTGAGTGGCGATCTAATATGGAAGAATCCGAGCCCGAGTCAGATCAACCGGAATCCGATAGACCAATCATGTTTGTGGCGAATGCATCATAGAATTTCTGGGAATAAGGTTTCAAACCTTGGAGCCATCGCGGGCTGCAGCAGACTTTTTGCAGATCATTTTTGGCGCCTTCTACCCTCTTCTTTCTATCTTCTGTATCTCTATATTTAAACTTGACATATACGTTTTCGAAAAGAATCTTAAGCTTAAACAAAAAAAAAATATTTCTGGCAACGCACTCGCGAGTTTACACCCTGTTCTACAAAAAAAAATATCGAAGATCTGCTAAGTATGATCGTGTCTGCCTATGACTTTTCACCTTTCGTAAGCTACAAAATTCAGCTAAAGAATATACTAGAGGTCCTATATCTTAATTAACTTAATGTATATTTTATAATCGGATAATACAACAAAATCATGGCCAAAGTGGTATAGCTTACGGAGCAAATAAAAGTGTCTCTATTAAAAAAAGAAATGTCGATATATCTCTTCTCACTCTTCTGTATTTGCCTCAAATTTTATATTAAAACACCTGAAACACATAAAATAAAAGTAATTTGGACATTGTACTATGTACCTGAATTTAATTGTAAATGTTACCAGACCTAGTTTCAGAGTTCAACTTGACAATGACATTTTTGACATATGACAATGCGTCGCCTTAGGTATATGAAAAAGTATTTATTGTTATATTTTTATATTGTAAAACAATTTAAGTAAGCGTAATGTGATAAAATATTATAGGGATTTTATATTTTAATATTTACTAATGTTAAAGTAAATTTGTGGACTTTTCAAAGTACATCTTGAATTTTTTTTATAATTTGCTTACGTCTTAATATTTTTGTTGGTGTTTTTAAACCTAAAACTATGAAATGAAAAATGTAATTATTGCTATAACTAAATACAAGAGAGATATTTTAATAATATAATTGTTAATAAAATTTTAATACAACTGCCAAATAATCTTATAAGATATAATTTATTATTCAATTGTTAGAAACAATACCATTATTATTAAGTGGTGTAGGTTAAATGGGCAATAACTTCGGAAACGTCAATCTCAAAGATCTGTCAAAACATTTTCATAGATGCCAAGTTTGACATCTTAAGATTTGACGTTCTTTACGAGCCTTATATTGTAAAAGGAAAAAGAAAAAAATGTCTAAGCTGACTCTTCGACCCGTGTTCTAGAACGTTAATCAAACTATCTAGTTTCAAGAGCTGTCTCACCTTTTTTCCGTTCGCAGATTGACTAATTTGATATTTTGACATTCCAGACGAGATTCTGATTTGGGAAACGAATTAGAATAATAACCTCCGTCTTAAAAATTGCCATTTAATTCGGCTTTTATTATCAGTGTTTTTAATTCTAACAGCTATTTGTTTAACAACCGACGTCACAAATATAGTACTAATATGGGAAAATTGTTTTTTATTTTACGATTTTTATCTGTGGTTTTCAATACTAAATTTTTTTAAAGAATTTAATACCGAGTTTTTACTTTACTTTTTCTTTCTGCCTTTTGGTCTAGGAATACGCAATTTGACACAAAACAAGGCTTTCTAAAGAATTATGGAGTAAAATAACTAGTAAATAAATAAACATTAATAAGAATTAAAAATTTACGTAAGTCACGTGTTAAACGTCATATTAGTAGTTCGAGGACTCCCACAGAGGATTTCGGGATTTACTACACCGTGACAGATTAAAATACACGGGGATTCCTTGTACCGTGGTTAAGTGGCCATGCCTGTCAAGGATAAAGGATCAGATTAGTAAAAAAAATAATCATAAAACTTTCTCGAGCGCGTCAGATTAAGGTAGGGTGAGTTAATTACATGCTAAGTAGTATATATTTCACTAATTTGACAATTTGCAAGTAACGTTACGATATGGGAGGGCTGCAAATTTGTAAAAAAAACTTCACCTCGACATTTTCGAGCGTGGCTGTTTTTTTTTTTTTTTTGAAGGAAATAATTCAAGGATGACGAAGAATATACGTAGTTGGTCCCAAAGTTCTGTCACTGTCACTTTATTTTTAAATTTCGAACATGGTTTTATAAAAAAACACCAGCAGTAATCAAAGCTATCGAGGCGCGAATAGCAAGGAATCCTGTCCGAAAACAGAAGTCGATGGCTTTGCAGATGGGTGTCAGTAGGAAAACAGTAAAAAAAGTTTTAAATGAAGATCTTGGTCTACGAGCATACAAAAAAAAGAGTGGGCATTTACTTAATGCTCGTCTAAAAGCAATAAGGCTTAAGAGATCGCGGGTGTTGTTAAAGCGGTACGCGAAAAGCCGACACAGTGATATCCTCTTTACGCATGAAATTTTTTTCGATATTAAAGAGAAGTACAATAAACAGAATGATAAGAGTGTACGCAGAGTTCCGAGGGTGCAACATGGACATCATCCATCATCAGTAATGGTCTGGTTGGGAGTGTCCTATACGGGCCAACTCAAGTTCATTATTGCGAAAAGGGAGTCAAGACTAGTTCAAGTACACTTTTGATCTGGTTTTGACTCCCTATACGCAAAAATAAAAGAGAGCAGAAGAAGAAATGAAAGAGGCCAGCAAGAGACAGTTTTGGATCGGCTTGTCATAGACCTGCCCAGCACGCTATTTGCGGGACATCACTTCGTGTTCGAGCAGGACTCAACACCTGCACACAAAGCGAAGACCACTCAAGCCTGGTTTGAGTCGCAAAACATCGACTTAATTAGACATGAGGATTGGCCTTCCTCCAGTCCGGACCTTAAACCTTTGGACTATTAAATTTGGCAGGTCTTAGAGAGGAAGGTATGTGATAAACCCCATAAAAATTTGGAGTCTGAAGTCATCTTTAAAAAAAGCAGTCACTGAAATCGACATGAATATGGTGAGTGCTGCGGTAGACGACTGGCCGCGGCACTTAAGGGCCTGTATTAAAAATAAGGGAGGTCATTTCGAATAATTTTATGCTATTTCTATTCCTTAATTAATGTATAATAAATTTACATATTACTCATTAAAAACTGATGAGTACTTTTGTTTTTATCATAATTTCCATTTATAACAGAACTTTGGGACCGACTACGTATAATCTGACGATTTCCACAAGTCGAAGTCAGAAAAATTCGTCGATAAAGTTTAATACGTGCGGCCGCGTGATGCCTATATTAGTTTAAAAATATTAACTATAAGAGCGAGATCTATAGAGCGCACTTAGACTTTGCTCAGACTTTACTTACGAAAAACTTTGCTTAGTGTACACTAAGCATAAACTATGATTTAGTATTTATAGACATTTTAACGGTGAGATTAAGCTAATCACAAGCTAAGACAGAAAATGTCAAAATACAAATCTGACGCGTTTGAGTATTTCAAAATGGTGATTTTTAGGGACGTGTCGATCGCGTGATTCAGCAAATCAGTTGACGTTTGTGTCCTCGTATGTGTACGATGTGCAAACTTCGCTCCTGCTAGGCTGGCTAAATTAGCCAGGACTTTTAACGCACAACGGACCAATCAGGAGTCTAATTACGGAAATAGGAGTCCTTCAACCCTAACCCTCAAAATTCTTGAGCATTAAACAAGGGAATGGGGGAAAGTTTGCACATCGTACACATACGAGGACACAAACGTCAACTGATTTGCTGAATGCAATGGAAGGATCCAGAAGCACAGAAGTCTCCTGGGTACTTCACAGGCTTCCCGGAGCGACCTCACTATTCCGAGGATTTTTGCACGTTGATTAGCCACAGCCTCGCATTCCAGGACTACGTGGGTGACTGTTTCCTCTGCGCTGAAACAGCCTCTGCACAAGGGGCTGTCTGTTGCGCCTAGGACAAAAAGATGTTTATTTAGGAGACAATGACCCGTTATTGTCCCTATCATTGTTTTAAGGTCGGTTCTATTTAAGCTTAGTAGTCGCTTTGTCAGTTGCGGGTTCACTGCTGGCAGAGCCATTTTGGATTGTTTGCAGACCGCACTACGCGACCATCGTTGATGCTGGAGTTCACCGGATCTCTGGCGAATCCAGGTTCGCACCAGCGAGAAGGGCAAGGGGAGGAGCGGATACGGGCCATCAGGCATCATTCCGGAGCCTCTTCTCGCAAGCTCGTCAGCAGCATCATTGCCGAGAGATCCACTGTGTCCCTTTATCCACTGCACCACCACTGAATTTTGAGGGTATCTCTACTTAAATAATGTCACTATGGTGTGTATTACGAGAGATGGAATTTTGCAACCTTAACGATAACGGCATTGTGTAACATAAATACCAATATTTATGCGCAAAGTACTTAGTAGGTACTATACTCTGTTAAGAAACTCGTAGTAAATACTTTTTAGCCTAAACGACTCTATGGTTTGAAAAAAGAATTTCCGATTTCGAACATAGTGTCATTGTTGTTTTTGTGCATTTATGTATTTTACCCGTATTTCTGATAACCAATTTCTGCTCACATAAGTTTTTTATAAAAATGGTCGGAAAGAGCGAGGTGAAGAGTAGTCGCATTTTCCACCAATGTTATTTGAAGTGTTGCAAGTTGCAAAATTTAACCCCGCTCACGAATGTTTTACCAACGGGTAACGGGAAAGTCCTAGACTTTTGTGTGGACAGGATCAAATATGCAGATTGGCCGCCGATATTGAACGCGCTTAGTTGCGACTTGAGTCTACACAGTGTGGCTATAAAATGTCGTCAACAAGTAAAAACGGGTAAGAAATTGTATGTATTGCATTACTATAGAGCGTGGTTCTTTATAAATAGATAGATAAATAGAGCCTCAGATTTCTGTTTCAGTTTAACGATAATTTGTCAATCTAATAGGCAAGTAGGTGATCAGCCTCCTGTACCTGACACACGCGGTCGATTTAGGATGTTTACCTTCACTGTTTGAATGTTTAATGCGCACATTAAAAAAAGGGGTTTGATCTTAAAATCGGTCCCCCGAATCTGATGATACTGATTATGCAGGAGTCTCGGGGCACCTTGATTGGAACACCTCCAAGTGATTTTTGCTGCCGGAAATGCGTCTAAGTATTTAAAAAAAATTAAAGTTGTGAAATGTGTTGAAATTTGTAAACAATCTGCCATTTTCTACTGTAGTTCTACTACAAAAATAATACCTACACAGATAATTCAAAATTAGATTAATAAATATATACTAAACTTATAACTAATAATAAAAGCAGCTCTTCTGAACTCAGCCAGATTAGAAACAAATAGGTCTTCCTCGATGGAAATCTTTTTGCGCCTCGCTAGTGTGCGCGCGGTACATCCAAAAGTTTTTACTACCGCCTGAGATTCTGGCTTGGGGATTAAACCTAGTCTCTCCATTATATCCACGTTATGCACTTTACAAGATACTCTTCAGTCTATTTGACAAGGCAGGCATACATAATATACACAAAGAGATTTAATAAAATTAAATTATAAAAACTAAAGGATAATTGATATCAAATTGTGAGGGTATATAACTATGGATATCCAGACCTAGCCCGTTTATCAGAATGCACAATCTGGATATCGGTGAGTTTTGGCCAAAACGCGTTTGAAAGAGACAAATGGGGTGATGGGATGCAAAATATATATCAATTAATTTTCTGATCTCCAAGTCCTGAAACCAAATATACTCTCTGAGTTTCAAATTATAAGCCATACATACTTAAAAAATCGGTAATTACAGTACTGGAACAGATAGATTGCGAAAGATTAGCTAAAACGGTGAACAAGCGGGCAGTGATCTTGACTAACTTCATGCTGAGCAATCTAGTAGAGGCGACGTCACAACTTCTATCAAACACGACGCTACTGACGTCATTTCTACTCGAGGGTCTCCCTTTGAAAATACCATATTTAAATCCTATTTGCGAGGTACGTATATATGTATATTATATAACGCAAGTTCGTAACCTTAATTGATTCATTTACGCCGTAGATGTATACCGTAGACTCTACGGTCTTCCAATTGTTGATACGTATATATTTTTTTTAAATAAATTTTGATTAGTGCATAATGTTTTAAGTCGGCCGATCGTCACACTTGATCACTTACTTTTTTATCACTCACTCACTGACGCATTTTGAATTTGATTATATGTTTGAAAATTTATTTATAGGTAGGTACGCCCACAATTTTTTCATATCTTAGTGAGTGTTTTAAAATAGTTACCTACTATTATAAAGGGATGTACTAAGTGCTTATTATTTTAAGTTAAAATAATGTATCAACGGCCACCGAACCGTTTTTTGTGGTACACCAATAAAGGTAATAAAATAAAAAGCAAGAATAAAATTGCGGTTAATTGATTGTATATCAATTTTTTTGTACTGTCAACCTACGTATTAAAATGAACGTGAAAAACACAACTAAGCCTTGATTCAGAATCTTATCCGAACAGCCATTATTCAAATTTTATATTAGAAGTGTCCCCACTTTGAATCCTAAAATTTCAAACTTTACAATGTAGGTACTTATTATATTATACTTTAGTTTTTTAATTCTATGTCCATTTTTAAACGATTTTGAAAGAAAGTTATCATCGTGTTATAGGCGTTACTAGCAAACAATACACTCCAGCATCTTTATCTTCCCCGATGTCTGATCGGAGACGCAGGCTGCCTGGCCATATGTAAGGCGATTCGAAGTTTGCCAAACGTTCTCACACTGGACCTTAGCGGCTGTGATCTCACGCCACTGGCTGCTGGATATATTGCTGATTTAGTTAAGGTAGTTTTATGAAAGATTTATTAAATATAGTCTATGCTTATTCTAAATGTGACCGAGGTCTTTCCTGCAAATGTGCGTGACATATTAAGCCTTTTAAAAGCCTCATTTAACAAAAAGTGTTAAAATTAATATTCATTGCTTATTCCAGGAAAATATATTATATCGTGACTTGCTCGCTGTATATCAATTTCACAATTTATAAAATTTAAGGTGACGAAGAATAATTGTAGAACTTATTAAAATGAACCAGCGGCGAAACAATGTATATTAATAAATATTATTGTTTTTAAATTTTATGTTTATATGGGGTAATCCCCGCGATATATGGGGAATACCCGTCAACATCGCGTAATATGAAAATGCGTAATAAGAGTAGGTACAGTAGGTACTCTTATTACGCATTTTCATATTACGTGTTAATTAAGTGTTATAAGGGAGATTACTGTTTATGCATATTATATTTATCTGTGATAATAATTCTGTATATATACATATACGTGACTAGCCTTCGTCGATTTTTTTATAGGACTAAGGCACTCGCGATGGTTTCTTTCGCCAAGTGATAATTTCTCACTTTGAAAGTGGATTTCCATCAACAGATTAGCACTGTTTAACTAGATATACGTAGATAAGCTGTATACTAAAACTTGAAAAATAACTGGAACAGTGATTAGTGAGTGAATGTTATCCCCGAGGTAGTAGCTTCCTGCTCCTATACACCAATGTACTTTTCGTTCTATGTGCGAATTGAATACTCGATCGTACGGTAAAAACATCGTGAGGACCGGGCATGTTTTAGACCCAAAAAGTCGGGGCGTGAGTTAGGCACAGTCTGATCACGAAACATATACAGAGGCCCAGACCTAAAGAGATTATGATGCTGCTGTTTTTTTAATACTAATTTACCTAAATCTATCTCTCATACCAGTACCAAAAAATCCACCGCTATAGTGAGAATTGGGTTCACACTTTGCGGTATCGTTTACCTGAACTCGATACGATGGCTGGATTACGACGGATCACGGTAAACGGAAATCCTCTTGGAGATCAGGGTGTAGGGAAACTATTGGATGTGTTAGCTGATGACCTTTGGATTAAAGGTCAGAAATATCAACTATAATTAGATTTTACATAGTTTAAAGCATGCTTTCTTGTTTTTTCATGTTTTAATATTTTCCTCTATTGTGTCTATGGCTGCATATACTTCTGACTTTAGATATATTACCTTGAGACAATTTTTTCGTAGTTATTTTTTTTTAAATTGTCTCTGCTCAAAGACATCGTTTAACTATCTAGCCTTAACTTAAGACTAAAAAGTAATTTATAACTAACCTAAATTACTAAAAAGTATATTTAACATAAGAAAGTATCCAATACATATCCTCTACTAAGGGGAAGTCACTCTCTGTTCTTGTGAACTATTTTTTTCCACTTACCACTGTTTAGCTAGCATGGCGACTTAAATTAATCGACACTTCTCGACAATGTTTTAGAGTAAATAAATGCGAAAAGGATGAAAACGTCAAATAATGAATATTATAAGTAGAATTTATCCCTCTGTAGTCGTCACTAATCTAGAAAAACCTTTTACACCCGCTTTTTCTTAAAAGAAAAAACAATTTACAGCTTTTGATGTCCAAAACTGTGGTCTATCAGACGACTGTGCATCTATGGCGTTACAAACTATGAGTTCTAATACAACCCTCGTGGTATTGGACATGAGGCATAACGCTATCGCTAGTGAGTTCCTCTCAAAGATACGAGCTGCTTTGAGAGAAAATGAAAGAGGCGCTGGAGGAGTGGTATGTAACCTTTATTGCAAAAAAAACCTGTCTTCTTGCCGACCTTTTGGTGATGACACACGCCCATTTTTGAATTTTATACATGGTTTTCACCTTTTCCTTTACTGTGAGCGAAACCAGCTGGGATGAGAACGCACGACCTTTGAAGTGCAAGATTGAAATCTGGCAATAATAATAAAATTGATGACTGACACTGATGCCGATATCCTAAGTACCACGCATAGAATTGAATTGAAATTGAAACACCTGTAAAATCGTAAGCGCGTAAAGCGAAGAACTGTCACTTCCATCGTTTTTTTTAAAGATTTTATTGCTTGTAACGAGGTCCTTAGGCTGAATTTAGTGTCACGCCGACCGCACGCGCACCGACGGCGCTGATGGTCGAGATATATGAACTTCTAGAAGGCGTTTTTGAATGACGCGTAGCTATAAGCGCGCAAGGTGGTCAGCGCTGATGGCTGCGCGGGCGTACGCGTCGCGCGTCGGCCCGCGTAGCTGTCAGCGCTGACAATACACTAATACACTCCGCATTTTGGTCTTCGTCTGTACAGTAAGGCGGTCAGTACGATACTAAAACGAACCACGCTGAGCGTCAGCGCTGACGAACTACGCGCTGATCTATGAGCGCTGACGGTGAGCGTGAGACTAAATTCAGCCTTAAACCTTATTTTCGGACACTCATTTTCACTTTTTTTAATTACGTGTAATTTAAAATGTTCGTATCGTAATACGTAAAAAGTAATCGCTTTAATATCAAATACTTTTTTATAATATCAATAAAAATATAAGCTTAATTAAAGGTGGGTTTTATTAAGAATTTGAGTTGAAAGTCCATATCAATATAAAACACGAAGAACGCCGATGTCTTTCAAAGATTTGATTCATTAATTGAATTATATAATAACAACTAGCTGACCCGGCAAACGTCGTTTTGACATGTATATCATTTATAATAAAAAATAGGGGGTGAAATTTAGGGGTTGTATGTATTTTTTAATGCTGTATCATAAAAAAATAAAAATTAAAAAATTATCTACAAATTAAAAAAAAATTAGGGGTGGACTACCCTTAACATTTAGGGGGATGAAAAATAGATGTTGTCCGATTCTCAGACATACCCAATATGCACACAAAATTTCATGAGAATCGGTCAAGCCGTTTCGGAGAAGTTTAACTACAAACACCGCGACACGAGAATTTTATATATTAGACTTTTGACTCAAGGACTTTTATTTTGAGAATTTCTGGAAATCTTGGATGATTACCATTCAATTATTTCGTTTAAGACAGTGACCTACTTTGGCATATTTGCAATTCTGTTCCATTATATTCACATTTATCTTGTTAATGAAATAATTTTTTTTTTCAGGTTCGTAGCATGCACACCGAAGATGAGCAAATCACTATGGAAACTGAGTTGGCGTATCATCAGACAATTGCACGGGTTTTTATATTCCGCCCATGATCGTTCAGAAGCTGCCAGAGTGTATTACAAGTTGACCATGGATAAGGATGAACACCGATTGGATAAGAGGTATATTTTCTAGTAGGGACTTTAGGGATTCGTGACTTGTAGTATTGGTGAAGCAAAAGATAGATTAATAATTCCAGTAATAAATTATCATTTAACATACTTATAATATTTTTGGTATCAAGAACAAATAAGTTCTAATTTTTTTTCTTCCAATGATTTTGGTGTTTGCTCATTCCTAGTCGAAGAAATTCTTCCGTTTGTCCACGTAATTAGAACCATAAATTAAGTAACTTAATTACGAATACACCCTCTGGCAGTCATCGCAGCCCATTTTAAGGGTGCGTAGCCGGCCTTAAAATGGGCTGTGGAGGGAGGAGTACACCTCTGAATAGTAGGAAGTCGTCTCAGGGAAGTCCTCCGGAAGTCGATTCCACAGTTCGCTAGGTCGCAAAAAAAAAGCCTTGTGAAACGGACTGTGGAAGACTTCCAGCCATCAAGGTGATGTTAAATTTTGAATTGATACGGCTTGAACGGTGTTGAAACGAGGCAGGAGGGATCAACACAAACAATTCTTCAGATCACTTCTTTGTGATTTGTGGAATTATAATTTCATACTAAATTGAATATCTTTTAATTTTATATTATATCTTATAAAAATCTAAATGTCATTAATTGGAACGTAATAAGATTGCGAAATTACAACTAAGAAGCGTGTTGTTTTTTTAAATCGTAACACAAATATTATTGCATTGTACAAAATGCTGACGCGTTGTTATCCATTGGCTTTGATATGTCAGATAAATGGTTAATTGGAACTTATAATTAGTTGTTTACTTATGCGTATGAAAGCACAGATATCAACAAAACATTGTGTGAAGGGTTCTAGTCTGTAGAGTTATTTCCGATCCAAGTTGATATAAGCGAAGCACAAAAACACTTTAAACATAATATGACGTATCAACTATCTTTAATCGTTTAAAACAAAAGCTTATAAGTAACCTAAATAGGGGGCCTCATAGCCTAGCGGTCTTATTAAGTGGCAGCTAGGTGAGGGGTACCGGGTTCGATTCCCGGTTCGAGGGCAAGTTTTAATTTAATTTAAATTTGTTCTCGGCCTTTGGGAGGGTTGTGCGGTACCGGGCGAGTGCTTAAATCGTACAGGACACGGTCGAATTTCTAGACAAGCACGAATTATAAAAAATCCTATACTTGACGCTGGCTAATGCACAAATCGTGCCAGAGTAAAAAAAAAACTAACCTAAAGTTTTGGTAGTGCGGTGCGACGCTTGACTAACAAAAACTGTAACATTATTAAGTTAAAACCAAGAGATACATCTCTTACCTATAACGGATATAAGTGATGTCGAGCTATTGTTCATTGTTTTATTACAATTTATATTAACTCATTTATTACTACTAAAACTGACGTTTTACAATTTATTGCCTACAAGTGTAACTGTTGCTAACAATTGGTTTGCGCTTCTTACTATCAACTAAAATATATGTCGTAGCCAACTAGTTAATTTACCGTTCAATTAACAGCCCAGTCTCTTTAATAAACAGCGCCTAAATAATAATCAGCCATTTGTTCAAACACCTAGGCAAATGACTTGAATCGATGACGTTACTTTACTTACCTATCCTGTTCATTTCAATTTAGTTCCACTTTCTGCTATTACAAACTGTCAATAAAGCGTCGGCAAACAACAAATTTGATGATGTATGGCACAGTTTAATAAAAATAGTATGGAAGAATGTGACACTAGAGTAAGAACACTAATAAGTTACATTTAAACATATTAAATAATAAATTTGATTAAATACTTGCTGACCCGGCAAACGTTGTTTTGCCACATATATAATTTCTGAAAATTTTTTTTTAGTTACATAAAAATAACTATCTACAATAATAAAAAATAGGGGTTGATCGTAGAGGGGTGAAATTTAGGGGTTGTACGCTGTACTGTTTTTGTATGCTGTATCATAAAAAAATAAAAACAATTTCTTATTTCTAAAATTTTTTTTTTTTTGGTGGACAACCCTTATCACTGAGGGGTTTGAAAGATAGATAGTAGCCGATTCTCAGACTTACTGAATATGCATAAAAAATTTCATAAGAATCGGTCGAACCGTTTCAGAGGAGAATGGGAACGAAAATTGTGACACGAGAATTTTATATATTAGTTCCAAAGATGACTCAAGCAATGAAATTAATTTTATCCTAAAGCTTATCGTGCCAATCAAATCCGGAAAGTCAAAGTCGTATCGTTCTGACATTGAGATGTGGCATTTATCGCAAAGATATAAGATTCAAAGTTTATTGACACGCTTTATCAACTAATCCGTAGTCGTTAACTCGTACGACCTTTCGTTTTCAATACACCCGGAACTGAATAGAAAATATTATTGTTGCGAATGTCAAACAACTTTGTTAACAGTGCATTGACTGGAATATTGTGATTCTGAAACTCCCTTATGTCAAAATCCAGTACAGATTTGTCGTTCAGTAGAAGCCCTTAACTATGAATTTTATCAAAGATATATTAGCTTTTGTTTGGTCTACCTGGAACTTATTACCCAGAGCAGTGTTGGCCTAGTGGCTCCAGCAACTCTCATCCCTGAGGTCGGAGCACCAATGGACTTTCTTTCTATATGCGCATTTACCAATCGCTCGTACGGTGAAGCAAACAGGTGTGTCACAGGAGGCTTATACTATTAGATTGACAAATGATAATGAAACAGATACAGAAATCTTAGGCCCAGACCTAAAAGCTAGCGCCACTGATTTATTTATTCATTTTTCTATACCTGGATATTAAAGGATAGTTTCATTTGCCACAAATTTATCTACAACATTCCACACCTTCCACAACAACGAATGTTTGTTGAGTAATATTTAGTTATTTTCAACGGCAATCGTCTACATTCTAGGCAAAGTTATCCGCGAAGTTATAGCGATATCCATAGAATTTATTCTTAGTATTGAATTTGACAACTTAGACAAAGTGTACAAATAAAATGATATGAGACTGTCTAAATAGAATAATTGAAACGAAGCTAGAATAGTTGGGGAACTGCTGGGGACAGCTGTTTCTAACTCCTGATAGCTTGACACAATTACAAGAACAATAATAATTGTGCGCAAATGATAACAATTATCACTTTCGACTCGAAAGTTGATCTAATTGCGCACAACATATAAACAATTTTAATTAATTTAACGCTTATCAAATAATTACGGGATTAGGATAAATTTTAGTATGATTTCATTGGTGACCAAACTTGCTGTAAAAACAATAAAAACTTCAGAAATTGAAATATCTTTTGAAGTAAGAATTGTCTAGAAATAATAAATATACAGTGAACAATTAGTTTCAATTCCAGCATTAGTATTCATTTATTTTTTTCCCAGTATTCATTTCATTTTCATTTAGTTAATTCATGCATAAAAATTTAAATTATATTCAAATTCAAAATCATTTATTCATTGAGGTAACACAATGTACACTTATGAACGTCAATAAGAAATACATATTTAGTGCTAAATGCTTCTAATTTTACATTAACTGCCAGTTCACAAATTAAGGGCGAAGAGAGAAGAACTGGCAATAAACTCTCCGCCACTCTTTTTTATCGCCAACTTTTTCTGTGTTGTGGCACCTTATTTATTATCCTTGGAACACAAATTTTAGGTTCGTACATCATAAATGTTGTTCTGATGGTTTCTTAATTAGACTGGATACATTAAACACGCCGTTTGTGTTTTATTATAGGTAGGTATATATTTTCTCAGCAGTGAGCAGTGTTGGCCTAGTGGCTTCAGCGTGCGACTCACATACCTGAGTGCACAGCCGGGAATCGAACCTACGACAGGTTCGATTCCCGGCTGTGCACCAATGTACTTTCTTTCTATGTGCGCATTTAACATTTGCTCGAACGGTGAAGGAAAACATCGTGAGGAAACCGACATGTCTTAGACCCAAAAAGTCGACGGCGTGTGTCAGGCACTGGAGGCTGATCACCTACTTGCCTATTAGATTTAAAAATGATCATGAAACAGATTCAAAAATCTGAGGCCAAGACCTAAAGAGGCGAGCCAATTTTATGTTAAGGCTTAAATTCACAATGGACAATATAAGAAAGATTGACAAGACAAGACACTTATAAGTCTAGACTTGAATGTTACTTCTATATCTTTTAGCATCAGTTAGCATTAACGCTTGTATTTTCAGACGTGCGAGCCAAGTGTGCATAACATATGGGGACCGAGATGTCCTCCCCGAGGCAGACACATTTGAACACATTCTTAACGTAACCAACCACAACGATGCGTTATTGGCCTATTACTACCTTGACAGTGATAATAAGGTAATACTTTCTGTTATACTAACGCTCCCTTACGAGACCTATACGCATAGAATCGCGGATGGTTTTTTTTACTTTACGTTACACTTCATGCCGGTTTTCTGTGAGACAATGGCCTGGTACTAGGGATGTGACATTCTGCATAAAAAATCGATTTTTTATTAATCGATTATTTTTTAGCATGAATAATCGATTAATAAATAACCGATTTTTCCTAATTTTTGAATTAATTTCAAAATAAACACCCTAAATATTTTATTTTTCATGGTTTTTTAAATTAAAAATAAACAATAGAAATTATAAACACAAATTAACGTTTAAGAATAATCAAAATCGAAATTAACTTAATCTCGTTTTGATAGATTTTGATAAATGTTGAGTGTATTCCTTTTCAGTAGCACATTGCAGTATTTTTGTTGTCTTTTTAATTGTATGTAGGCTTGTGCTGCTGAATAAATTTATTTTACTTTTAAATTATAGTGTTCCATTCAAACTTGAGTTTTTGTAAAATTAACTTCTTTTATCATCCTTTTGATGCTTTACAAAAAAATATCAATGTATCGAGTATATCAATACATCTTCAAAGAATCGGATTCAATGTATCGCATTGTAAACATCGTTGTGTATCGAATATCCCTAATAGTTCGAGGTCCGGGTTATAAAAGACCAGACATAATGTCGGGAGGTGGCAGATAAAAAATCGATTATGATTGATTTTCAATTATATTATATTTTTATATTTAAAATAATCGATTATTTTAAATATAAAAATCGCGTAAAAAAATCGATTTTCACTTTTAAATTTTTCGATTTTAATAATCGATTATTTTTTCACATCCCTACCTGGTACTGCCCCATGGCACTGCCACTAGGGAGCTATCTAAAGCCTTCGTTAAGTTGACTTTCCAGGAGTCTTTTATTAAATTTAAATCAGTTCTTGTGATTATTCAAACAAACAAACAAGTACCGAAGGATGAATATAAATTTCTTTTAAAGTTTGTTGAAAATATAATCGCAGTATGATCCACTGCGACACAGGTCTGTACATTCTTGGTTGTTGTTTTCTGTTACTTAAATATGATACGGAAAAATATTTAAAATACACCTTAACACAAAGCAACAAAGATTAATAATATATTGGAATTTATATTATAAATAATAAATGAATCATTATCAGCGCATCAGAAACATCAGCTTTTTTGATATTTTATTATGATATCGTAACAGATACATGTTAAAAATTTCAAAACTAGAGTAGAACTGAAGCTGATCATATATATCAACTTAATATGAGAAAATGTTGGTGAATAAACATCGTTTATCATCGCGTGACGCGTGGAGGGTTGTCGCGCCACTCTCGCCTGACCCCTGACACTCGTATCTGTGTGTTTTGCATTTTCGATGCAAATGGATAAAATACTTGATAAACGATAATTCTTCTACAATACAAGAATACGCACAGTAAATCTCAGAAGTATTTATCGACCATAATCTTATTAATACATAAATTAAAAGCTCGATTGTGCGATACCAAAGTTACATTTGTATGGCGACCATCTTTATTTCGGCCATTTTAAATGTTTTACATTAACCTTGTCAATGATTAAAAAAGCACTCGGTGCCACCGCTTGCAACTGTATAAAGCGCAAATTCGGTCATGTACTGTTCTCACCTCTGGGCGGGTACCAGCTCCTTCCACTTGGCCGTACGAAGAGCGGTTCAAATCGTCGACGACCAATCTCTCTCGTTGACCCCTTGGTGTTGTGTAGAGATGTGGGGTCACTCTGCATCTTCAAGCGTATTAACCATGGAGAGTTTTCGGAGGAGTTGTTCGGATTAATACGTGGGTGACACTGAAAATGTTTAGAACTGGCCATTTAGATTCTTTTTTATTTCAATTTTAGAACTCTTTGGTAACCTAATGTAGTAAATTGCATTAATTTGTCATTTATTTGTGCGAATTGGCGGCAAATTTAAAACTCTTGTTACACGTGAAAATTGACCTAACGCGAGAAAATTTTCAGTCAATGATTTATTATGACTTTTGTTGTGGGCTTACTCAACAACAAAACTATGATAGGCTGCGTTTAGCATTTCTTAATGAAGTCCCATCTGGTGCCACTATTTACAATGGTTTAACGAGTTTAAGCGTGGACATAGCAATCTCAATGATGATCCGCGTGAGGGACGTCCTTTAACAGCGACTACTGAACATAACATCCGTGCTGTGCGACGCATGATAGGGGAAGATAAGAGAGTGACCTATCAGAAGATACGGGCAAGCCTAGGCATTGGTATGAGTCAAGTTCAAAAAATATTACACGAACATTTAGGCGACAGGATGCTTTGTACCAGATGGATTCCCCATACATTTACCGACGACCAGAAACACCTTCGCATGGACTGGTGTCGCCAAATGTTAGATAAATTCAACGGCGGTGACTCAAATGCTGTATTTGACATCGTCACAGGTGATGAAAGCTGGATATATTGCTACGTACCCAAAACTAAAGATAAAATTCGAGGTATTCGCTTTACGAGCGAAAATGCCATAGAAGAGACCCCTAAGGAAGAATGGGCCCATTGCTTTTCTCAGTGGTTCCATCGAATGCGACGATGTGTAGAGAGGAACGGAGATTACTTCGTAAAACAATAAAAGTATTGGCAACTTTCTACTTTAAGCCGTTTTTCATTTTCTAAAACAATTCAGTGTTACCTAGGTACGTCATCAGCACCAAGGATGTAGGGTTTCTAATATCGTATGAACAGAAATAAAATATTATAAACTGAATAAATCATTAACGATAACCTCGACATTCAATTAATAAAACTCGTGTTTACATGGCTAAGGTAATGTTTACCGTTTATAGTTCACAACATTGTGCATTAAACGATAACCAGGCAATAAATGACGTAAGATTATTATCATTATTTTTGATGCTTTGTACTTTGCACTAAAATATCATTGACTCCGTAAATATTATTATCTATCTTAGAATCAAAACCAATGACGCTAGATCAATAAATGTGTATGAAATTTTTTAAAGCCTCAATTCATTGAATGTAAACCTAAGGACAGAAGAAAGAACAAAATGGATAAAAATACGATTTGTGGTTCGCTAACGCTTTATACGTTTTGTCCCGTAGATTTCTTATTTGTATTTTTTCCGTAAAAATAACACCCTTTGTCGCTACTTCTCTCTTCGAAGCCACTCTTAAAGTCACAGCCAGCATCGGAATACATACTTGGCAATGAATTATCAAACGACGTTCAGTTTCGCGGTTATTTGGGCAGAAAGGCTAAATTAGCCTCCAAAAAGCTTGGTGTGCTCAGCAGGCATGTATAAAGCGCGAATTCGCCCCCACATGGATAATTGCTATCACCTCTGGGCGGAAGGTCCCCAGTTCTAACTCCTACGAAGAGCGGTTCGAATCGTCGAAAATCAATATTTCCGATCCCTTGGCGTATCGTAGAGATGTGGGGTCTCTCTGCATCTTCTACCGCATTGACCATGGAGAGTGTTCAGACGAGTTGTTCGGATTAATACCTGCAGCTGAGTTTCATCATCGGACGTCGAGGCAGAATACGAAAATCCACCCGCATCACCTCCATGTCCGTCGTTGCACCACCGATAAGTGGAACCAGTTGCCCACCGAAGTATTTCGGAACCAATTCGACTTAGGGTCCTTCCACACAAGGGCGAACCAATTCTTATATAGAATATGTATTTTCAGATGAAAATGACAGAGATCTATGACGTAACGGACGCGGACACAGATGCCGTGCAGTCCCCGGATGAACGCGATCTCAACAAACAACTCGAGTTTGACAACGATTGGTCTGGAGATTTTATGGCTGAAGGTACAAAAAAAAAAAAAACATTTTCCCTCGTGATCCTGTCAATATAATCCGCTGTAAAACTTACAATTTACTAGCTCCTATAAAGCACAGAGGATATATCTGACCATTGTAAATATTGGTATTTTATTTTAATGTTAGGAACATTACCATTTATTAACGTCCATAAAAAAGACAATGGCGCTACAAGTTTTTAGCTCTCGGGTCTCGAATTTCTGTATCTGTTTTATGATCAGTTATCAATCTAATAGGCAAGTAGGTGATCAGCCTCCAGTGCCAGACACATACCGTCGACTTTTTGGGTCTAAGGCAAGCCGGTTTCTTTACGGTTTCTTTACTTTGTTTACTGTTCGATAAAATGTAACACACAGAAAGAAAGTCCATTGGTGCACAGCTGGAGATCGAACCTACGACCTCATGAATGAGAGTCGCATGCTGAAGCCAATTTTATATATTTGCACGCAAAACGGGTTTTAAAATTATGGTAAATACGTTTTGACAAATGTGTTAAATTTAAACTTTTTAATTTTTTTCCAGAAGTGGAAGAGATAGAAATAGAAGAATTAGAGAGAAGCATATTTTCGGAAACTGAAAGTGAGTGGCGATCTAATATGGAAGAATCCGAGCCCGAGTCAGATCAACCGGAATCCGATAGACCAATCATGTTTGTGGCGAATGCATCATAGAATTTCTGGGAATAAGGTTTCAAACCTTGGAGCCATCGCGGGCTGCAGCAGACTTTTTGCAGATCATTTTTGGCGCCTTCTACCCTCTTCTTTCTATCTTCTGTATCTCTATATTTAAACTTGACATATACGTTTTCGAAAAGAATCTTAAGCTTAAACAAAAAAAAATATTTCTGGCAACGCACTCGCGAGTTTACACCCTGTTCTACAAAAAAAATATCGAAGATCTGCTAAGTATGATCGTGTCTGCCCATGACTTTTCACCTTTCGTAAGCTACAAAATTCAGCTAAAGAATATACTAGAGGTCCTATATCTTAATTAACTTAATGTATATTTTATAATCGGATAATACAACAAAATCGTGGCCAAAGTGGTATAGCTTACGGAGCAAATAAAAGTGTCTCTATTAAAAAAAAGAAATGTCGATATATCTCTTCTCACTCTTCTGTATTTGCCTCAAATTTTATATTAAAACACCTGAAACACATAAAATAAAAGTAATTTGGACATTGTACTATGTACCTGAATTTAATTGTAAATGTTACCAGACCTAGTTTCAGAGTTCAACTTGACAATGACATTTTTGACATATGACAATGCGTCGCCTTAGGTATATGAAAAAGTATTTATTGTTATATTTTTATATTGTAAGACAATTTAAGTAAGCGTAATGTGATAAAATATTATAGGGATTTTATATTTTAATATTTACTAATGTTAAAGTAAATTTGTTGACTTTTCAAAGTACATCTTGAATTTTTTTATAATTTGCTTACGTCTTAATATTTTTGTTGGTGTTTTTAAACCTAAAACTATGAAATGAAAAATGTAATTATTGCTATAACTAAATACAAGAGAGATATTTTAATAATATAATTGTTAATAAAATTTTAATACAACTGCCAAATAATCTTATAAGATATAATTTATTATTCAATTGTTAGAAACAATACCATTATTATTAAGTGGTGTAGGTTAAATGGGCAATAACTTCGGAAACGTCAATCTCAAAGATCTGTCAAAACATTTCATTAGATGCCAAGTTTGACATCTTAAGATTTGACGTTCTTTACGAGCCTTATATTGTAAAAGGAAAAAGAAAAAAATGTCTAAGCTGACTCTTCGACCCGTGTTCTAGAACGTTAATCAAACTATCTAGTTTCAAGAGCTGTCTCACCTTTTTTCCGTTCGCAGATTGACTAATTTGATATTTTGACATTCCAGACGAGATTCTGATTTGGGAAACGAATTAGAATAATAACCTCCGTCTTAAAAATTGCCATTTAATTCGGCTTTTATTATCAGTGTTTTTAATTCTAACAGCTATTTGTTTAACAACCGACGTCACAAATATAGTACTAATATGGGAAAATTGTTTTTTATTTTACGATTTTTATCTGTGGTTTTCAATACTAAATTTTTTTAAAGAATTTAATACCGAGTTTTTACTTTACTTTTTCTTTCTGCCTTTTGGTCTAGGAATACGCAATTTGACACAAAACAAGGCTTTCTAAAGAATTATGGAGTAAAATAACTAGTAAATAAATAAACATTAATAAGAATTAAAAATTTACGTAAGTCACGTGTTAAACGTCATATTAGTAGGGGACCCCACAGAGGATTTCGGGATTTACTACACCGTGACAGATTAAAATACACGGGGATTCCTTGTACCGTGGTTAAGTGGCCATGCCTGTCAAGGATAAAGGATCAGATTAGTAAAAAAAATAATCATAAAACTTTCTCGAGCGCGTCAAATTAAGGTAGGGTGAGTTAATTACATGCTAAGAAGTATATATTTCACTAATTTGACAATTTGCAAGTAACGTTACGCTATGGGAGGGCTGCAAATTTGTAAAAAAAACTTCACCTCGACATTTTCGAGCATGGCTGTTTTTTTTTTTTTTTTTTTTTTTGCAATAATTCAAGGCTGACGAAGAATATACGTAGTTGGTCCCAAAGTTCTGTCACTGTCACTTTGTTTTTAAATTTCGAACATGGTTTTATAAAAAAACACCAGCAGTAATCAAAGCTATCGAGGCGCGAATAGCAAGGAATCCTGTCCGAAAACAGAAGTCGATGGCTTTGCAGATGGGTGTCAGTAGGAAAACAGTAAAAAAAGTTTTAAATGAAGATCTTGGTCTACGAGCATACAAAAAAAAGAGTGGGCATTTACTTAATGCTCGTCTAAAAGCAATAAGGCTTAAGAGATCGCGGGTGTTGTTAAAGCGGTACGCGAAAAGCCGACACAGTGATATCCTCTTTACGCATGAAATTTTTTTCGATATTAAAGAGAAGTACAATAAACAGAATGATAAGAGTGTACGCAGAGTTCCGAGGGTGCAACATGGACATCATCCATCATCAGTAATGGTCTGGTTGGGAGTGTCCTATACGGGCCAACTCAAGTTCATTATTGCGAAAAGGGAGTCAAGACTAGTTCAAGTACACTTTTGATCTGGTTTTGACTCCCTATACGCAAAAATAAAAGAGAGCAGAAGAAGAAATGAAAGAGGCCAGCAAGAGACAGTTTTTGATCGGCTTGTCATAGACCTGCCCAGCACGCTATTTGCGGGACATCACTTCGTGTTCGAGCAGGACTCAACACCTGCACACAAAGCGAAGACCACTCAAGCCTGGTTTGAGTCGCAAAACATCGACTTAATTAGACATGAGGATTGGCCTTCCTCCAGTCCGGACCTTAAACCTTTGGACTATTAAATTTGGCAGGTCTTAGAGAGGAAGGTATGTGATAAACCCCATAAAAATTTGGAGTCTGAAGTCATCTTTAAAAAAAGCAGTCACTGAAATCGACATGAATATGGTGAGTGCTGCGGTAGACGACTGGCCGCGGCGCTTAAGGGCCTGTATTAAAAATAAGGGAGGTCATTTCGAATAATTTTATGCTATTTCTATTCCTTAATTAATGTATTATAAATGTACATATCACTCATTAAAAACTGATCAGTACTTTTGTTTTTATCATTATTTCCATTTATAACAGAACTTTGGGACCGACTACGTATAATCTGACGATTTCCACTAGTCGAAGTCAGAAAAATTCGTCGATAAAGTTTAATACGTGCGGCCGCGTGATGCCTATATTAGTTTAAAAATATTAACTATAAGAGCGAGATCTATAGAGCGCACTTAGACTTTGCTCAGACTTTACTTACGAAAAACTTTGCTTAGTGTACACTAAGCATAAACTATGATTTAGTATTTATAGACATTTTAACGGTGAGATTAAGCTAATCACAAGCTAAGACAGAAAATGTCAAAATATAAATCTGACGCGTTTGAGTATTTCAAAATGGTGATTTTTAGGGACGTGTCGATCGCGTGATTCAGCAAATCAGTTGACGTTTGTGTCCTCGTATGTGTACGATGTGCAAACTTTCCCCCATTCCCTTGTTTAATGCTCAAGAATTTTGAGCGTTAGGGTTGAAGGACTCCTATTTCCGCAATTAGACTCCTGATTGGTCCGTTGTGCATTAAAAGTCCTGGCTAATTTAGCCAGCCTAGCTCCTTCCAGAAGCACATAAGTCTCCTGGGTACTTCACAGGCTTCCCGGAGCGACCTCAATGTTCCGAGGATTTTTGCACGTTGATTAGCCACAGCCTCGCATTCCAGGACTACGTGGGTGACTGTTTCCTCTGCGCTGAAACAGCCTCTGCACAAGGGGCTGTCTGTTGCGCCTAGGACAAAAAGATGTTTATTTAGGAGACAATGACCCGTTATTGTCCCTATCATTGTTTTAAGGTTGGTTCTATTTAAGCTTAGTAGTCGCTTTGTCAGTTGCGGGTTCACTGCTGGCAGAGCCATTTTGGATTGTTTGCAGACCGCACTACGCGACCATCGTTGATGCTGGAGTTCAGCGGATCTCTGGCGAATCCAGGTACGCACCAGCGAGAAGGGCAAGGGGAGGAGCGGATACGGGCCATCAGGCATCATTCCGGAGCCTCTTTTCGCTAGCTCGTCAGCAGCTTCATTGCCGAGAGATCCACTGTGTCCCTTTATCCACTGCACCACCACTGAATTTTGAGGGTATCTATACTTAAATAATGTCACTATGGTGTGTATTACGAGAGATGGAATTTTGCAACCTTAACGATAACGGCATTGTGTAACATAAATACCAATATTTATGCGCAAAGTACTTAGTAGGTACTATACTCTGTTAAGAAACTCGTAGTAAATACTTTTTAGCCTAAACGACTCTATGGTTTGAAAAAAGAATTTCCGATTTCGAACATAGTGTCATTGTTGTTTTTGTGCATTTATGTATTTTACCCGTATTTCTGATAACCAATTTCTGCTCACATAAGTTTTTTATAAAAATGGTCGGAAAGAGCGAGGTGAAGAGTAGTCGCATTTTCCACCAATGTTATTTGAAGTGTTGCAAGTTGCAAAATTTAACCCCGCTCACGAATGTTTTACCAACGGGTAACGGGAAAGTCCTAGACTTTTGTGTGGACAGAATCAAATATGCAGATTGGCCGCCGATATTGAACGCGCTTAGTTGCGATTTGAGTCTACACAGTGTGGCTATAAAATGTCGTCAACAAGTAAAAACGGGTAAGAAATTGTATGTATTGCATTACTATAGAGCGTGGTTCTTTATAAATAGATAGATAAATAGAGTCTCAGATTTCTGTTTCAGTTTAACGATAATTTGTCAATCTAATAGGCAAGTAGGTGATCAGCCTCCTGTACCTGACACACGCGGTCGATTTAGGATGTTTACCTTCACCGTTTGAATGTTTAATGCGCACATTAAAAAAAGGGGTTTGATCTTAAAATCGGTCCCCCGAATCTGATGATACTGATTATGCAGGAGTCTCGGGGCACCTTGATTGGAACACCTCCAAGTGATTTTTGCTGCCGGAAATGCGTCTAAGTATTTAAAAAAAAAATTAAAGTTGTGAAATGTGTTGAAATTTGTAAACAATCTGCCATTTTCTACTGCAGTTCTACTACAAAAATAATACCTACACAGATAATTCAAAATTAGATTAATAAATATATACTAAACTTATAACTAATAATAAAAGCAGCTCTTCTGAACTCAGCCAGATTAGAAACAAATAGGTCTTCCTCGATGGAAATCTTTTGCGCCTCGCTAGTGTGCGCGCGGTACATCCAAAAGTTTTTACTACCGCCTGAGATTCTGGCTTGGGGATTAAACCTAGTCTCTCCATTATATCCACGTTATGCACTTTACAAGATACTCTTCAGTCTATTTGACAAGGCAGGCATACATAATATACACAAAGAGATTTAATAAAATTAAATTATAAAAACTAAAGGATAATTGATATCAAATTGTGAGGGTATATAACTATGGATATCCAGACCTAGCCCGTTTATCAGAATGCACAATCTGGATATCGGTGAGTTTTGGCCAAAACGCGTTTGAAAGAGACAAATGGGGTGATGGGATGCAAAAGATATATTAATTAATTTTCTGATCTCCAAGTCCTGAAACCAAATATACTCTGAGTTTCAAACTATAAGCCATACATACTTAAAAAATCGGTAATTACAGTACTGGAACAGATAGATTGCGAAAGATTAGCTAAAACGGTGAACAAGCGGGCAGTGATCTTGACTAACTTCATGCTGAGCAATCTAGTAGAGGCGACGTCACAACTTCTATCAAACACGACGCTACTGACGTCATTTCTACTCGAGGGTCTCCCTTTGAAAATACCATATTTAAATCCTATTTGCGAGGTACGTATATATGTATATTATATAACGCAAGTTCGTAACCTTAATTGATTCATTTACGCCGTAGATGTATACCGTAGACTCTACGGTCTTCCAATTGTTGATACGTATATATTTTTTTTAAATAAATTTTGATTAGTGCATAATGTTTTAAGTCGGCCGATCGTCACACTTGATCACTTACTTTTTTATCACTCACTCACTGACGCATTTTGAATTTGATTATATGTTTGAAAATTTATTTATAGGTAGGTACGCCCACAATTTTTTCATATCTTAGTGAGTGTTTTAAAATAGTTACCTACTATTATAAAGGGATGTACTAAGTGCTTATTATTTTAAGTTAAAATAATGTATCAACGGCCACCGAACCGTTTTTTGTGGTACACCAATAAAGGTAATAAAATAAAAAGCAAGAATAAAATTGCGGTTAATTGATTGTATATCAATTTTTTTGTACTGTCAACCTACGTATTAAAATGAACGTGAAAAACACAACTAAGCCTTGATTCAGAATCTTATCCGAACAGCCATTATTCAAATTTTATATTAGAAGTGTCCCCACTTTGAATCCTAAAATTTCAAACTTTACAATGTAGGTACTTATTATATTATACTTTAGTTTTTTAATTCTATGTCCATTTTTAAACGATTTTGAAAGAAAGTTATCATCGTGTTATAGGCGTTACTAGCAAACAATACACTCCAGCATCTTTATCTTCCCCGATGTCTGATCGGAGACGCAGGCTGCCTGGCCATATGTAAGGCGATTCGAAGTTTGCCAAACGTTCTCACACTGGACCTTAGCGGCTGTGATCTCACGCCACTGGCTGCTGGATATATTGCTGATTTAGTTAAGGTAGTTTTATGAAAGATTTATTAAATATAGTCTATGCTTATTCTAAATGTGACCGAGGTCTTTCCTGCAAATGTGCGTGACATATTAAGCCTTTTAAAAGCCTCATTTAACAAAAAGTGTTAAAATTAATATTCATTGCTTATTCCAGGAAAATATATTATATCGTGACTTGCTCGCTGTATATCAATTTCACAATTTATAAAATTTAAGGTGACGAAGAATAATTGTAGAACTTATTAAAATGAACCAGCGGCGAAACAATGTATATTAATAAATATTATTGTTTTTAAATTTTATGTTTATATGGGGTAATCCCCGCGATATATGGCGAATACCCGTCAACATCGCGTAATATGAAAATGCGTAATAAGAGTACAGTAGGTACTCTTATTAAGTAATTTTCATATTACGTGTTAATTAAGTGTTATAAGGGAGATTACTGTTTATGCATATTATATTTCTGTGATAATAATTCTGTATATATACATATACGTAAGTGACTAGCCTTCGTCGATTTTTTTATAGGACTAAGGCACTCGCGATGGTTTCTTTCGCCAAGTGATAATTTCTCACTTTGAAAGTGGATTTCCATCAACAGATTAGCACTGTTTAACTAGATATACGTAGATAAGCTGTATACTAAAACTTGAAAAATAACTGGAACAGTGATTAGTGAGTGAATGTTATCCCCGAGGTAGTAGCTTCATGCTCCTATACACCAATGTACTTTTCGTTCTATGTGCGAATTGAATACTCGATCGTACGGTAAAAACATCGTGAGGACCGGGCATGTTTTAGACCCAAAAAGTCGGGGCGTGAGTTAGGCACAGTCTGATCACGAAACATATACAGAGGCCCAGACCTAAAGAGATTATGATGCTGCTGTTTTTTTAATACTAATTTACCTAAATCTATCTCTCATACCAGTACCAAAAAATCCACCGCTATAGTGAGAATTGGGTTCACACTTTGCGGTATCGTTTACCTGAACTCGATACGATGGCTGGATTACGACGGATCACGGTAAACGGAAATCCTCTTGGAGATCAGGGTGTAGGGAAACTATTGGATGTGTTAGCTGATGACCTTTGGATTAAAGGTCAGAAATATCAACTATAATTAGATTTTACGTAGTTTAAAGCATGCTTTCTTGTTTTTTCATGTTTTAATATTTTCCTCTATTGTGTCTATGGCTGCATATACTTCTGACTTTAGATATATTACCTTGAGACAATTTTTTCGTAGTTATTTTTTTTTAAATTGTCTCTGCTCAAAGACATCGTTTAACTATCTAGCCTTAACTTAAGACTAAAAAGTAATTTATAACTAACCTAAATTACTAAAAAGTATATTTAACATAAGAAAGTATCCAATACATATCCTCTACTAAGGGGAAGTCACTCTCTGTTCTTGTGAACTATTTTTTTCCACTTACCACTGTTTAGCTAGCATGACGACTTAAATTAATCGACACTTCTCGACAATGTTTTAGAGTAAATAAATGCGAAAAGGATGAAAACGTCAAATAATGAATATTATAAGTAGAATTTATCCCTCTGTAGTCGTCACTAATCTAGAAAAACCTTTTACACCCGCTTTTTCTTAAAAGAAAAAACAATTTACAGCTTTTGATGTCCAAAACTGTGGTCTATCAGACGACTGTGCATCTATGGCGTTACAAACTATGAGTTCTAATACAACCCTCGTGGTATTGGACATGAGGCATAACGCTATCGCTAGTGAGTTCCTCTCAAAGATACGAGCTGCTTTGAGAGAAAATGAAAGAGGCGCTGGAGGAGTGGTATGTAACCTTTATTGCAAAAAAAACCTGTCTTCTTGCCGACCTTTTGGTGATGACACACGCCCATTTTTGAATTTTATACATGGTTTTCACCTTTTCCTTTACTGTGAGCGAAACCAGCTGGGATGAGAACGTACGACCTTTGAAGTGCAAGATTGAAATCTGGCAATAATAATAAAATTGATGACTGACACTGATGCCGATATCCTAAGTACCACGCATAGAATTGAATTAAAATTGAAACACCTGTAAAATCGTAAGCGCGTAAAGCGAAGAACTGTCACTTCCATCGTTTTTTTTTAAAGATTTTATTGCTTGTAACGAGGTCCTTAGGCTGAATTTAGTGTCACGCCGACCGCACGCGCACCGACGGCGCTGATGGTCGAGATATATGAACTTCTAGAAGGCGTTTTTGAATGACGCGTAGCTATAAGCGCGCAAGGTGGTCAGCGCTGATGGCTGCGCGGGCGTACGCGTCGCGCGTCGGCCCGCGTAGCTGTCAGCGCTGACAATACACTAATACACTCCGCATTTTGGTCTTCGTCTGTACAGTAAGGCGGTCAGTACGATACTAAAACGAACCACGCTGAGCGTCAGCGCTGACGAACTACGCGCTGATCTATGAGCGCTGACGGTGAGCGTGAGACTAAATTCAGCCTTAAACCTTATTTTCGGACACTCATTTTCACTTTTTTAATTACGTGTAATTTCACTTTTTATTCATATTTAAACAACATACTTTAAGATTATTTCATCAGAATATTCAAGGTTGCTCTTCCAAATTACTGGAAATAGAAATGTTTTTAGAAAAAACCAAGTTCGATATTATTTGTTTAACTGAACATTGGTTAGATGATCATCAGATAATGTCTATTAATTATGAAAATTATTGTGTAGTTAGCTATTTCAGCCGGAAGTGTATGATACACGGTGGATCATTAATATTAATCAAAAATTCTGTTAAATCTAAAGAAAGGAAAGACATTATCAGATTGTCAGTTGAACATTCTATAGAGTTGTCCTGTGTCGAGCTCGATAGGCATGTTGTAGTATGTGTTTACAGACCTCCGGGCTATCAGAATCTATCTGTATTTGATTCTGTAATGGAAGATGTGTTAAAAAAAACTTAGTACTAGTAGTAAATCAATCATCATAAGTGGTGATTTTAATATTAACTAATTAGAAACAAACTCAAATAGTATCAGATTAATAAGTCTTTTTAAATCATTTAATCTGTCTAATGTTTTTATGGAACCAACTAGAGTGACAGCTTCTTCTGCCACTTGTATAGATAATATTTTTTGTAATTGTGATTACTTACATAAAGAAATTGTTAATAAATTGCCTTCTGATCACAGTGGACAAACAATAACGTTTTGTGCCTACATACCTGTACAAAAAATTCAAATAAGGTATAGGCCAATTACATGTAAAAATTTAGAGAAATTAAATAATACCTTGACCAGTAAATTGTGTGTTCAAAACTTTAATAATATTTGGGACCCTAATGAGTTCTATGCGGAGTTTTTTACCTTGTTAAAATCGCAATTTAATGACATTGTTCCACAAAAGACAAAAAGTATTTACACCAAGTTCTTATTTAGTGATTGGGCGACTCCAGGTATTCGTAAGAGCAGGGATAAACTTTTTGAACTATATGGCCTAAGGCAACATGTAAAAAAATACAAACTTTCATCAGCATGTTGCGAAATATTCAAAAACTTTTAAAAGTGTGTGCAAAATTGCTAAATCACTGTATATTAGTAATAAAATAAAATCAGCGGATGACAAAATAAAAACTACCTGGCAAATAATAAATAATGAAACTGGTAGAAAAAAAACAGCGTAATACTGAATTTAACTTAGAGACTGCGCATGGCCCAATAAACTCAAATGCAGAAATAGCTCAGGAATTTGAAAACTTTTTTTATCAATATTCCCTTTAAAACTACCGAAGCTTTAAGTTCATCATCCGCACTTTCTTTTGCGTTACTTACGAAGAATGTAAGGGCATGCCCTACGGAGTTTCGATTTCAATATACAAACCCCCAGGCTGTTATGAAAGCTTTTAAAGATCTTAAAATTAAATCTACAGAAGATCTTTGGGGATTGTCTGTAAAAGTCTGTAGTTCTATCATCGAAACTATTGCGCCTTATTTAGCTTTCATATTTAACACCAGCATAGACCAAGGAGTCTTTCCGGATCTCATGAAACACAGTAAAGTAGTTCCGTTGTTCAAATCCGGTGATAGTAAAGAACCCAATAATTATAGACCTGTGTCAATTCTGCCAGCTCTCAGTAAGGTTTTTGAAAAGTTAATGCTCAATCAAATGTTATGTCACTTTAATAAAAACTCCATCTTTCATGAACAACAGTACGGTTTCACCAAAGGGCGTTGTACAACTGACGCCGGTGTCTCCCTAATCAAGAACATTTTTAACGCTTGGGAGGAAGCACAAGATGCCATTGGAATCTTTTGCGACCTTTCGAAGGCGTTCGATTGCGTAAACCATGAGACTCTTCTGCTGAAACTTAATCACTACGGGATTAAGAACAAAGCTCTGGACTTACTAAGATCTTACTTGAAAAACAGACAGGTTAAAGTTCAGGTTAACGGCATAAACTCGTTAGGGTCTGAAATTACAATGGGCGTTCCTCAGGGTTCAATATTGGGTCCATTCCTCTTTTTTAGTATACATAAATGATTTACCCCAATTAGTTCAGAATAAACCGAAGATGGTGTTATTTGCAGATGACACATCATTGATTTTTAAAGTAGATCGACGGTCACAAAATCGTGACGACGTGAATAACTCTATTCTTCGGGTCCAAAATTGGTTTACGGTAAACAATTTGGCACTGAATGATAAAAAAACTAAATGTATTAGATTTACGTTGCCAAATGTTAAAAGTAAGGAATGTGACATAATGTTGAATGAAGGAAAACTGGAATTTATTAATCAAACGGTTTTCCTAGGCATCACGCTAGACGAGAAGTTACAATGGGGACCTCATATCACATCTCTTGCGGGGCGGCTGAGCTCAGCCGTTTATGCGGTTAGAAAGATAAGATATTTAACCAATGTAGAAACTGCGCGTTTGGTCTATTTTAGCTACTTTCACAGCATAATGTCTTACGGCATTTTACTGTGGGGTCGGGCTGCTGACATAGAATCCATTTTTATTTTGCAAAAGAGAGCGGTCAGAGCCATTTATAATCTACGTCGTTGCGAATCTCTCAGGGAACTATTTAAAAAGATTAATATTATGACAGTACCTTGCCAATTCATTTATGAAAATATTATGTATGTAAGAAAGAATCTACATCTTTTTAGTAAAATAAATGAAAGACATAATTTTAGTACTAGAAATAAAGATAAAATAGCTCAACCATCTTTCAGATTAGCCAAAGTTCAAAATTCATTTATGGGGTACTGTGTGAAATGTTACAATAAAATACCTTGTGACATTTTAAAACTAAATGAACGAAAATTTAAATGTTTTATTAAAAGTACACTTTGTAAACAAGCATATTACAAATTAGATGATTATATTCAAGATAAGAATGCTTGGAAACATGCTGGTCCTGCTCCATAGGACAATCCTATGATTGGCTCTATAGCCTGGACAAAATCAAATTGGTTGCTGATTTTTTTGCTAAAAAAAAATATGTTAATTTTTGTTATTATTATTATTATTATTTTTTTTTAATTTATATAATGCTACCAATGTAATTATTTTTTTTTTGTATCTCACACACTGTTTTGTTGTGTTTTTTTTAATATTTTTATTACTCTTTAATGTTAATATTCTAAGGTTTCGATATTTGTAAATATGTGAGGAACATGTATACTAACTTTTTTAGTATAGTAGTTTATTCTAAGAGTACATTGTCTTCACATATAATTATTTAACAAATGTAACAAAATATTGTAAACCTATTTTAAAAGAGTAAGTGTGGAGTTTCTTGCCCATTCTTCTCCACACGAAACTACCTTTTGGAAGGGGCAACTAGAATCATCTTTATATTTTTTTTTTTTTGACGTTCAAAAGTGCCATTTTAGATGGTCTAATTGAAATAAACGATTTGACTTTGAAATCATCCCTACTGTATTTTTAACGTATTTATATAATGTACCTACTATACCACGGTGTCGGCGGGAGATACTACTATATTCGCTCAAATATTTCACTTGCCATTTCCGTCAAAGATCCGTTTCAATTGACAATTTTATAACCAACATAATATCTACGACTTTTAATATTTAAGTATAAATTTTAATAATAGGTAGTCATTTAGTAAATTATGTTTCGTGCATAAAAACTTACGTACGAATTTGAGAATAGGACCGGGATTTTACATTTTGATGTTCTATTTGTCTTTATGGACCTACCTTTATGCCTAATTAAGTCTTATTATTAATATTTATTTTAGTATTCCTGGCTAAGTGTAAGTGGAAGTTCAACGGACGCTAGATCGGTGAAAAATGTAGTTACCAAGTGAGTAGTATACTAGAAAGTACAAAGATATTTATGTCAAGGCTTACTCTAAAACTTCCAGTAGCGATACTGTCAGCGGTCCCGATACCAATAATGCGTTTTTACCGTACCAATAAAACGTAGTCGGTATTGGAAGTTCAGTAAGGGCGCTGATATTAAGATATTTGTCCCTTTTCCTGTATATGCACAAGCAAATAATTCTTCGGTTTTGGTTATGCTCTTTTTTTATGTAACAAGGGGAATAACTCACCTGAAGTTATGTGATATTGCCCATGGACATTGCCAGAGGGCTCGCAACTCGCAAGTGCGTTGCCAAAAATGCTATATTTCCTATACTACATTGGATATTAAAAAAAACAAATCTCACTGAACGGTTAAATAGATTTTACTATTAGTAAATTTGTTTATTATGTACTTTTCTTGGGATTTTACAATTACATTATATTAACGTAAGTAATAGTTTGAATTCTAACGAGCTTAAAATATGTCAGAACTAATACGTAAGAACTGCTAATATGTAAGAACTAAATATTGTTTGTGTAAAAAGCTTTGTTTATGAAGATCTGTGTATATTATTTATTATAATATAAATATGAAGATTATGTATTAATTTCAGAAATGGAATAATCAAAGACCGAGTCGCGTCTAATGTAAGAAATGCGCCAATCAAATACACGAACAAAAACAGTGCAGTGAAGAAAGAGAAGTGAGTAAAAACTTTTTATTTATAATATGGAACTTTTTATTTTCTTACCAGTTTATGATGACGTATCATTTTATGACATTATTCAAAGAAAGCCAAAACTCACCGATATCCAGATTGAGCTTTCTGATAAACGCGCAAGGTATATAATATATCAAACTCAAACTCAAAATATCTTTATTCAAGTGGGTAACCAAGTACACTTTTGAATCGTCAAGTTAAATTAATCGTAAATTTACATTTACTACCAGTTCGCAAGTCAAGGGCGTAGAGCGGGTAAGAAGAACTGGCAAGAAACTTTCCGCCACTCTTTTTAATCGCCAAGTATTGTCATATAAATAGTTTGAACTGGAGCAATTCAATCCCAAGGATTAGGATCATTTAAGTAGTCCTCAAATTTATAAAAAGCTTTGTTGATTAATTTTCGTTTAACGAGGGCTTTGAATTTATTTAGTGATAATAGGTACTCTAATTTCGCTTGGGAGTTTGTTGTAAAAACGAATACAATTTCCATATAAGGAGTGGTTTATCTTTTGGAGCCTGGTTGGTCTTACACTCAAATTAGTTCTATTTCGCGTATTATACTGGTGAAAGTCACCATTTGTTTTAAAATCGTTTATATTTTTTTGGACATACAACAAGGCTTCAAGAATATATTGACCAGATAGTGTCATAATATTTAATTCCTTAAACTTATTCCGTACCGACTCCCTCGGAGAAACACAACAAATACCCCGAACAGCCCGCTTCTGCAGCACAAATATGGATTGAACCTCTGCAGCAGCACCCCACAGTAGAATACCGTACGACATAACGCTGTGAAAGTAGCTATGATAAACAATTTTTGCCGTGTCCTTATCAGTAAACTGTCAGATTTTCTTTACTGCATATGTTGCAGAGCTCAGCCTATTCGAAAGAGTATCTATGTGTGGGCCCCATTGGAGTTTACTATATATTGTTATGCCTAGAAAAACAGTTTTGTCAACAAAGTTTAGTTCACTGTCCTTTATTTTCAGGTTACCAATATCTCGCTTTACGCTAGTAGTTGTAAATCGAATACATTTTGTTTTATTCTCGTTAAGCAGTAAGTTATTTACATTAAACCAGTTAACTATACGAGAGATAGAATTGTTTACATCGTCCAATAATACGTTATTCCTATTCACTTTAAATAGAAGTGAAGTGTCATCAGCAAACAATACCATCTCATGAACTTCGTTGACAAAGAATGGGAGGTCATTTATGTAAATTAGAAATAAGAAAGGCCCGAGAATCGATCCCTGGGGGACGCCCATTGATACCTGCGAACCCGGAGAGGTGACTCCATTGACATGAACTCTTTGGATCCTTCCCTTTAAATATGAATTCATCAGGCTGGAAGCTTTGCCATAGTGTTGAAGCTTTCCAACGAGTATATCAGGATGAACACAGTCAAAGGCCTTTGACAGGTCACAAAAGACGCCGACTCCATCATATGATTCTTCCCAGGCGTTAAATATGTCCGAAATCAACTTCATATAGTTGCTCCCTTCACACTTTGAATACAATTTTCCTTTACTTTTTATAATTTATGAATGGATTTTGTTCGTGTTTGTTGTTTGCCTAGTGCTTGTCACATTATCTTGTATTTTATTTTTCTTGTACCAATTGCAAAAAAGTGCAAGCTTTCGAGAATTATAATTTAGTAAATAAATTATATTAATTATATCGGTAATAACTCTCGTTTATAAACTTATGGAATTATTTGTGTTGCTTATTATTGATATTTTCTTCCTTGAATTAATATATCTTGTTTAATATTATATTCCTCGTTTGGTTTCACACTTTTTTCGTATATAGGGATTACTCGGAAGTGCTGGAGGAACAGCTCCAAGAGGAGATATCTCATCGACAACAGTTAGAGGAACTAAACTTGCAACTGGTAGAACAAATGAAGCAGATGAAGCGACAGCAGATGCAGCTATGGGCCAATAACACGTCATCGGGTATGGGAAACATTGCGAATATTTCTTGGGTTTTCAGACTGTTTTAATTTTGATTTAAGTTATAATAAATAAATAAACTTTGTGTCATCCCGCTCCAGGTTCGGAACAATCATTCCAAGCAAGCTCGCACTCCGGTGACCTCTCCAGCAGCACGGAGTCGTCATGTTCAGTACCGATAGACCAGAACACGCTGTCATACATTCAGCAGGCCTTCAAGGATATTTACGCCTTTATCAAGAATAATCAATGTCATGGGTAAGGCATTTCAAAATACGTATTTATGTGTTTTTAGCAAGAGAAGCAACTACATAAATATTGCTATGTAAATGTTCATCACCAAATAAAAAAAATACTATACTACTACTAATAAAATGTCTATTCTATAGATTTTTTAGCTAGTCAGTGTTTTAAAATAGCGATTAAAAACGGTAAATTTATTATTTTAATAAAATAAATTCGTATGAAGGATTTTGTTTTAATATAAATTTCAGTCAATGCGAAGAAAAGTTAAAGAAAGAAGAATCGTCGCCGTCTGAATCTCCCGTGTCCGATCGGGAGACTGAATTGCGTATCAACATCGCGCCCAAACGAGCACAGAGCACACATATAAAGCTTCTAGAAAATCACACCAGGAATAAAACAACGAAATCTGCGCACTTACTGGGCGACGGATTCAGAGATTCTGCTGAAGTGGTAGAGCATTAATTATTTGACAATTAATTATTAATAATAATATGAATAATACGCTAATTTTGTATCAGTTTTCGAAAATACTCGCACTAACGGTGAAGGAAACCATCGTGACGAAACAGATATGCCTTAGACAAGTGTTTCCCAACCTTTTTTGTGCCATGCCCCACCTTAGCCTTTCCAAAAATTCTTATGCCCCGTATGTAACTTAAATGTTAGGTTTTAGGAAGCAGTTACTAGAAAATTTAATTTATTTGTCTATTAGGAAACCAAATGGTCACGAACAGAGACAGAATTCTGAGTCCCAGACCTAAAAGCTTGTAACACGTGTTTTTTCGAAAATTCTTACTTTAATTCTTAATTATAAATCAATATATATTAATTTATTTTTTCTTTGTATTTTTGAATGTATGTATATAGCGAATAAATCACTAGGCTATATTTAGTTTCAAAATATTTTAAATAGTAAATGTATAGGTTATATATTCCCTTCCTAATGAATATATGAAGTTTTTTAATACTGTTTGATGAGAGATTTTTCAGAGGAAATTTAGGATTTGTTTTCTTTGTACTTTTACATTAATAAAACCTATTTTGTGAGTTATGTTTATTATATTTACAACTATTTAACATAATTTTAAATTTATCCGACGTTTCGCGTGCTTTACAGCGTGCGTGGTCACCGTGACCAAATTACTAATAATACATAACTTCAATCCGGTCAAAATAGTGTTTTATTTGTTTTCTTTTTAGAAACCGGAGATGTTTGAAAGGCAAATGGGAGACACAATGAATTCAAACTATGAGTGCAAGAAGAAAGTCCTTGACGATATTCCTACAGGCCAGAGAGACAAGAAAAAGGTATCAACTGAACTTTGACATTTTTATTTGAATATTAAATCTTGTAAATGTGATTATTTCAATTCTATGATGTATATATAATGATAAGTATAATTAATAAGAACAAATCTACGAAGGTATATAGGCTATGGTACAAGCCGATAAAAAAATTACACGTTGACTATAAATTCTCGACAAAGGAAGAAGTCGACAGTATTACTTGCATATGTCAAAACCCCATGACATAGGGGACCGCGCCATCAAGTATTAGATGAGTCAAAAATGTATTAGATTTTGACATACATAGTTCGCGCTAAGTCTCGTTTCTGAATGACCTGACCTAATGTGATGTATGATAAATGCCTTTACGATTTTCATCAAAGGTAAAATATGAATCAAGCCCGTCTAGTTCCGGAATCAGTGATTCGTCCGACACACTTGTATGTTCTCCGAGGGCCACAGCGCTTAACCCACGAGACGCACTTTACTCCTCATCGGATGAAGATTAAAACAGAGAAACTTTTATATGTCTGTTAAATATTTTGTAAAGATTAAATTTGTTTATTTTTTCGTTTATTTAACAATAAACACATTACACCGATAAATAATTGTTTATTATAATTTAGCACTCTACAGTCTACATTTAACTATGAACGATAAATACTAGTACTAATAAGGTATTAGGTAAGTGGGGGCAAGATGAAAAATGGGATAAGACAACAAATCGTCTATAACACTAATTTTAATGTATTTATTTGAGTGCTGGTATATTTATTAAGACCGCCAGTTTCTAACGTTCCAAACCACATTCGAAGTTAGTCGCCCAGAGTGCGTGGAGTGCAGAAATATTTTCAGCGTCGTGATTTTTTCCTAAAATTTTCAAGTGATTTAATCCTACTGTAACTTTAATTACAAGATAGGTACGTCTGTTTCTTATGAATATTTAATTATAGTTTTCTTAGTTACGAAATCAAATCAAAATAATCTCAACTTTCCATTTTTACCCAAAAAAAAATTACGGGGTAAGATAAATATACAAAAGTTCCGATCTTAGTCCGTTCCCAAGTATCATACAAAAATTAAGTTATTCTCAAACTTTAACAAGCAACAGGAAATAAATTGGCAACGTACTTACCTAGTTGATATTTCCACGGGATTATGTATACATTAATGAACAGGCAAAGATAAGTCAAAATTAAATAAATTAAAATTCGACGTTAACTATCTTATCTATATAAATTTTTACTTAAAATAAAAACCGGCGTTAATTATTACATTAGGTCACCCCCCTGTCTTTGCTCGTGAAATCAAAATGAGATTAGCGAATGTCCTTAAAGTTTGAAATGGGGTTTTGAGCTAGGTATCTAGAAAAGAAGTAATTTTTCTCGTGGAACGCTATATTACCACATTAAAGGACGATGTTCCAGGACCAGATTAGTTCACTAAATTGACGTTTACAGAAACGTAATGGACTTTCTCTGAAAAAAAATCGCTTGAACATTGCACAAATAAACATAGGTACTGACCCGTATATTATTCCGAGAAAAGGGAACCCTGTCCTCTCGAACATGGCACAGGCAAATAAAAAAGCATTGATGTTTTAACGGCCGTAGGTCCAATTTAAAAAAATATATCCCCTAAATTTTATGATGGGATTCGTGGAAAATCGAGATGGCAAAAGTTTGAGAACGTCTGTTTCAATATTTCCCCGTTGGGGTAAGATTAATATATAAAAAACAAACAATTAGCTGTATCTTTGTTAAATAAAGGTATTTTTTCACTAAAGTCAGATGTGACTTTTCAAGTCACTAAAAGCTATGTACTTAAAACCGTATACGACATCTCACATTAATTTTAACGATTTTAGAAAAAAATTGAATCTTTCCCCGTCACGTTTTTATCTTTACCCTATTTTGTAGTCGTATCTTTATTTTTTTATTTACTTATTTTCTCTGCTTTGGAACATGGATTTAACAATATGTTATTGATATGATAGAAAAGTATATTTTTTGCTCGTTACTAATCAAAGCCATTAATTAGTTTAGACTATAGGTTAAATATTAATATATATTGTCCTGCAAGAGGTTTAAACACAACTCTGCTTATCTCAACAAGAAAACCATTCAATCTTCCCCCCACTCACCTTATTCTGATTTTGTTCAATATGGAAATTAATTATCTTTATATTATCACTCACAAGCGATCTCTTCCAGGGAGCCATACTGAGGAAAAATATTCTAAGCTTTCTGTCATTAGTTGACTGGTACCACATTTCGTTAATAATCAACAATAGCCATTGTTAGGTTTGCTTTTAAATTTTAACAGGTGCAAATATTTGAGTAAGCTAATAACGCAACCTCCAACTACTGTTATGCTAATATAGGTCAATAAATAACGTTGTCGGTATTCTAGTAAAAATATATAGCTAACTCGTATGGATCCAAAATATTGTCAATTTATTTGAATATAATACTTATAATAATTTTATTTAAAACAATTATTGTGAGCGTTCAAAGATCTATAAACAATTGTATGTCTATTAAGGTGTTATTGGCTAAGCTTTGAGGGCAGTATTATAGGCAGATGGCATCTTTATTTTGAATATAAATACAATAAATTCTTATATATAACCATTTATTACTACAAATTTATACTATTTATAATATAATATACAATTCCAGTTAACCTATCCACCACTCTTTTCTGCAACTTCTCCCTTTTTCTCCTGAAGCTTAGCAATCATCAACTTTTCACGAGCCTCTACTCTTGCTTGTTTTTCTCGTTTCTTCTGTTCTTTTTCCCTCTTTACTAACATTTCTTGGAACCTTTCATCGCGTGGGTCTAATGTGAAGCCAAAGTGTCTTCTCACTTCTTCCACAAGGCGCTCTTTCTTTATCTAAAACATACAAAGATGGCAAGGTAAGATGGATCTCTGGCTTAGTTAGTGACAATAGTACTTTATTTTTTATATTGGATGGTCCAATTCTTGACGATGGCTATAGGCTATATATCATGATACACTAACATTATTAGCAAAGCAATAATGTAAAAAGGAAAAAGATTATATTTGCTTTCATTGAAAGCAAGCTCTAAGGCTGTGTTTAGTGTCACGCCGACCGCACGCGCACCGTCGGCGCTGATGGTCGAAATATATGAACTTCTAGAAAGCGTTTTTGAATGACGCGTAGCTATAAGCGCGCAAGGTGGTCAGCGCTGATGGCTGCGCGGCCGTATGCGTCGCGCGTCGGCGCCGCGTAGCTGTCAGCGCTGACGATCGCTAGAGCGCCTCTGCTTTCAGAGAGCGTTGTAGTTTCGAACGGAGCGGACGTCGTCAGCGTGTACAGTCATGGCAAAACGCGAAGTGGATACAGTTCGAGTTATCGACGAGGTACGCCTGAGGAAGAAATTGTGGGTTGCATCCGATCCACTCTACAAAAATATCTTGTTGACATTCGAAAGTAATTAAAGAATTTACTTTCGTTAGCCCTCAAAGTGCGATATAACCAGACAAAGTCTCCTGCAACGGCTCTCTGCTCAATCAATGGATGATGAGTCTTCGTCGTCGCCGGTTTTTATTTTTTTGAGATAGGTAGTACAAAGCAGCAATGACTAATACACTCCGCATTTTGGTCTTCGTCTGTACAGTAAGGCGGTCAGTACGATACTAAAACGAACCAAGCTGAGCGTCAGCGCTGACGAACTACGCGCTGATCTATGAGCGCTGACGGTGAGCGTGAGACTAAATTCAGCCTAATTGTTATCATGGTCAATACTATGCAAAAATCACGTTTTCCAGAGTTGTCTTCTTTAAACTTTGAAACAGCATAAGTGTCTCTTAAGGCCTATTTTATTGTAATTAAATTTGTTTTTAAATAACCCTTCCCTGCCTTGTATCCTAAATATAAGCATGATATGAATACAGATATATAAATTATTTATTTATTGCTAGTATTTTCAACAAAATTACCTTTGACACAATTTGAATTCAATCAATATGTACCTTAGGAGACATCATAATTTTCAAATAACCCTAACAAAATAATAATGATCCTAGAAAATGATGGAAATTTAAGATATGCACAGGTCTTAAAGTAATGAGGATTGAAACAGTGGCAAATAGTTTGCCATATTATAAAACTTAAGTAAACAAGTTTAGGAGCTGCATAACATTGTTAGCATTATTTAACACATACTAAATATTAGATCTATGTATCTAATATTTCTTTTAACCTAAAAAATCATTTAAATTTTACTTTAAGTACAATACTAATACAAGTTGTGGAAGTCAGAGTGCATTACCTTCGCTGCTTCAACTTCAGCTGTCTTTTTAGCCATTTTTTCTTGAAGTTCTTTCTTCCATTGATCAAGTTTTGCAAATTTTATAGCAATCTCATTATCCCGTTGCTGGATTTTAAGCTGTTCTTCTCTTCTTTTCTGAGCGGCTGTAGCCATCATTTCTTGAATAGTGAATGGAAATGCTACAGCTTCAAATTCTCGCTTTTCTTCTATGTCTTTTTGTGTGGGCCAGCATATGCCTACAAATAACAGTCTGTATTAGACTATTTAAATGCTGATGTAGTTTTACAATAGTTGTCAATTAAATTCACAAAATCTAAAAAAATATTTACATCATTTTTTAGATTTAAGTAGATTACAGATTTAAGTAGGACATTAAAAGGAGGTCATCAGAAGTACCGGTGACCCCAGAGCTGTTGCTTTCCTCACTCAATGCTGCCAGCGTTAAATTCCACAGGGACCAAACTTTTTAAATAGCGGAATTTAGCAGTATTCAGTGTTCTATTTAATTATTTTTATTATTACTATGTAGGTTAAGAATATTTTAAATACTCTATATTTGAATGTTATGAAAATCTATTGTATCATTATTATATACAGTAAGATTTATACATTACTTGGATTAACACCACTTGCGGCACCATACTTTCCATACATCTTTCTATTGAATTTTACTGTTAAATGGGTTATGTGCTTGGGCACCTCATAAGGCCGTCTTCCATTCATTACATCGTAGTGAGCGTGTGATAAACGTGATATATTTCTTTTCTTTTCTATTTCTGCTTCTTTAGCAAGTGCATCTTCAGTATCATCGATGATAACCTGTTCATTCTGTTCTATTTCAGGAACGGTTGTCGCTGAACGGGTCGTGTTAATAAAAAAAGAACGTAATAGTTTTGGTTTTATATAACGGTTCATGTTTGTTAATAAATAGCTATGATAGAAATTAGAAATTCTTTGGTTACTATATTTTTAAATAAGGTTAAATTTTGTATTTTAATTTTAACACAGATCAAACATCAAGATTGTCATCTACAGCTTGCAAATTGCTGTGAGCTGTCGTCTGTCATATCCATTGACTGACATTTCATATTTAAGAAGTTTTTATATTCCAATCTGAATGCTCTATGCTATCACTGTCAAGTGTCAGCGCCTGTCGGTTTTATTTTATGTATTGACGTCAGACGGTCAGACACAAAACTTGTAATTTGTTGAATCACTAGGAGTTCTGAAGAGTTCCTTAATTTTATTGAATTACCCACATTTTGTACTTCAATTATTGAAAATGGATGATTTTGGTGATAATTTTGTTCAACCCGAAGTGGACCCTGCAGCCGAATTTTTAGCTCGTGAACAGAATCAGCTCGCAGGTCTAGAAGATGACCTGGAAACAAGTGCACCGCCCCCTGTTGCGACGAGTTTAGCTTCAAATGGACTTGACGATTTCGTGGGTAATATATTCCTTTTCGTTTATTAAGGCTATATATACTATAGATCTTATGAGTTTCCAAGCAAGGAATATTTTTAACTAACTTTTAATTATTGCCCGGATATGTTCCTTTCGTAGTGTATTAAAACTATACACCAAATAATAAATATAAACTATCATTTATTGTCATTGCATAGAAGTACCAAGTGCTGCAGCTTTTGACGCGAATGGTTTGATGGATGATGAACCCACTGTAGCTCCAGCCGCAACCCCTGTAGTTTCGGTATTTAAACAAGAAAGAGAAGAGCCCGAAAAAATCAAACTCTGGAGGGAAGAACAAAAAAAGAGACTAGAGGAGAAAGGTAAAGAATATTTTATTACGAAAGGACTTATGTACACTGTTCCTCACTTGAGTAAATCTTGTTTATATCTACAATTGTGAATAGTCTACCTTTTAAGACGTTGTATCCTTTAAACATATATATAGAGTGATTTGTCTCAAATTATAGATGCTGAAGAAGAGATGAAGAAGCAAGAAATGCTAAAAGTGGCGAAAAAGGAACTAGAAGATTGGTACAAGACACATGAAGAACAGATATCAAAAACCAAAGCTGCTAATAGGTAAAATATTCATATAGTATCATAAAATTTATTCTGTATATATATATTATAAAACCACATCTACAATTGTTTTTTTACTATTATATGTAATAATACAATAGAAAGCTTATTCAAGTAGTAAATTGCATGTAAATAATGTATATATATATATATTAAAATATACAAAATCATAGTAGCTTAAAAATAACAACCACTCAATTATTAAGATTTATGAAAGCTTGTAGATTTGGTATAATTAAAGACAAAAATTGAATTCTATTTACTGTGCCTTATATATTTTTTTTTTCTATGCACGCAGGGAGTCTGCAAAGTGAGTACAGCAATATAGGGGCTCAATACTAATTTTTTGTTCTTGGTGGTGGTGTTTTATTATTTTTTGGGTCATAGGTAATCTGGGGTTTTGTATGCAAAAAAGTTAACAGGGTTTTGTTCTGTCCACATTGAATAATGTTAAAAGATCATATTATAATGGTAATAAAGATGTTGCAGATAATTTTTTTGCTAAAATATTAACCAAATACATACATGTTAGTTTTTTAACTTGTTTTTCACAACATAAATAAATATTTATCTTGTTTATTAAGGTAACACCTTTAAATTTTACAAAATTATTGTACCATAATAAGCAATATATTTTTAATCATAATGTAACATTGTAAAGATTTTTCAATTTGAATATTAGTACATAAATCTCTTTATCGCGGGGTATAAATTCCATTAATGGGTATGCCGCGAATACAAGGGAATTTCTTATTGGGGTAACCTTAAAAAAACACAAATATATACAGAGAAATCATTTTATTGTGATGCTTGTATATCCCCTCAGCTTAGGCAATGGTTTGGAGATTTGTTACTGTTTTTCTTGCTTGGCAGTTTTTAGTAGCTCCTTAATTGAGACTGGTACTCAGCAGTCGTGCAATTTGCCTCTTAAAATTAAGACTTTGGCCCACAGATGGATCAATGTTCATAAAGAAAGCCCATTTGCCATTCTTAACCAAAGTCAAAGTTTGAACTTGCCGCTTCTCATTTTCCGCAGTCAGAGCAGGCCATAGTTTTTTCCAGCATGACTCATGTGTGTGGTGTAGTTCGCCATTACACACATTCAGGATTCCTCCATTTCTATTGAGATGCTTAAACACCTATTGGAATTTTGTTGCAAGTCCGCGTAGAAGCAGTCTGGAGTCAGTCCTAAAATGCGAGCCTAGCTCGTGGTAGGAGTACTGTCGAGGCAGGGGGGGCCCCGCGCCCCGGCCCCTCGGCCCTGGCCCCCCCGGGGGGGCGCGGAAGCCCCCCCGCCCGCCATTTTGTTGGCGGCGAAGAAAGCCGGGGGCCCCCCTAAATATCCCCCTCGTGCTAAAGTGTAAGTTCTTAACATGTCTAATATGCACCATGTAAAATACATAATATATATATTTGTAAGAGTGTGTCATGAATAGAATAAAATAGTTACCATAATTGATTGATGACAACTTTTATTGCGAAAATTTCAGCTGAATTGTATGTGTATGTATAAGTTGGGTGAATAATTACATTAAACCAAACAAGCAATATAGAAAATGTATACATTTGAGTAGCTAATATAGAGAACTAATATTTTTAAAATGGTAATCCCATTAATGGAGAATTACCTATGATACCAAATTTCTTTTCAGGGCCTGAAGAAGCTGAATTAACTACAACAGTTATTAGCCTAAATTTTTGTCATTAATCTTGGAAAAATGTCACAGTTGCTAAATAAAATACTAATAAAAAACGTTACATTTAAAATAGAGTAAAAATTATATTATATTGAGTAACAGACTGTTATTGTATGTAACAGACTGTCATTGTATATGTATTTATCATTTTTTCCATATTGTTCAATAATGTTATTGCATGATTATTTGGCCATAGTATTATAAATAAATATCATTCCACAGTTAATAGACTTTTAATATAAAAACATTTAACCAACTAAATAAATTAGAACTGATTACATGACAATAAAAAACATGCATGTTTTGTGTATCATATTATATACAAAACCTGTATAACCTGTTTTTTTCTTATGCAGTATTTTTTGTTATTTATATTTGTATTAAGTCTGAATTTAGATGGGTTTTAACTTGTTTATGCCTTAATATCAAAACATTCATATTTACTTCATAACTTCAAATCCCTAGCTATATCAATATGTTTCCTTTTGTATACTCTTTCAACTAATTGTAACAATAAATACATTAAACTTATGACTAATAAAAAGGGCCACACCCCACAGGAGAGATAGCTTTTCAACTGCAAACCTAAAGGTTTATTTTTATTGAGCAAAATTCTGTCATATACAATTTCTGTTCTTCTTGTAACATCCATCCAATTATACATAGTCCTAACATTTGTATTGCACTGGTATGGACATACAAAGTGTCCATCTTTTATATCCGTTATGGCAACTTCTAAGCTATTTATTATACTACAAACATTTGGTTCAGCTAAATAAATCATATCATCTGGTAGTACTTCAGGTATACCTCCAACTTTGGTTGAAACAACCTTTAGACCACAAGATGCAGCCTCAACAATAGCCATACAATATGCTTCTGTTAGGGATGTATTCAAAAATATATCCCCTTTAACTAACACATCTCTTACTTCTGAGTGCTTAAGACTGCCAAGTAAGGTAACACAGTGCTGAAAGCCCTTTCTCTCTCTTACTTCTTGCAATAACCACATTTTAGGACCATCTCCTCCTATAATAAACCTAATATTAGGATAACGGGGACACATATCTGCTATTACAGCAGCCATTAAATCTACACCTTTTCTATAAACTAGTCTAGAAACAATTACAATTGTAACATAATTTGGATCTCTTTGGCTAGGATCTGGGATAAAAGAATATGCATCAACAGCATTTGGTATAACAGATACTTTATGGGCCTTAACTTTTGCTCGAAGCACTGTATTCTCTTTTCCTGTATGTGATACACATATGCAATGGTCACACTCACACAAGCACATTTGTAAATATTTATTAGTTAATACTGCAGACATATCAGCAAAACCAAATAGGCTGTGATCTGTAAAAACAGTTTTGAGTCCCATTAATTTTCCTATTATAGACACTTCATGAGCAAGTACACTAAAAGCTGAATGGCCATGAACAATGCTGATGCTCTCTCGTATCAAAATATAACGGACAATAGCTATATTACAAATCATGGTTGGGAGAGCACATTGGCTATAAAAGACTCTAATAGGCAAATAATATACTTTTAAGCCTCTGGTTAAATACCGAACTCCAACACGTTCTCCATAACAATGTGTTATCACAATAACTTTATGACCACGTTTTATCAAACATAAAGATAGATTGTAAATGTGTTCCTCAACTCCACCAGTGTTTGGATAAAAGAAATCCGAAGCCATACATACAACATGCTTTCCTTTCCTGGAAAGCGGTTCCTAGAATGTAAAAAAAAAATGTATAACTCTATGAATGAAATTGAAATAAACAATTTCCAAACAAAAATATTATACCTACTTAAAACTTACCGTTTGTAAATTCATTTTTCTTTATTATTAAAAGTTTTTAATGTAACTTGTAACTTTTAAGTAGTAAAGTAAATGAATAACTTATATGATGCATAATATGAGAAAATAACTGTTTTGTTTTTTTCACATAAAATATTTGATAATGATGATGTTTTGAACTTTAAATAAATAAAAGTCAGCACTCAGCGACGAGCGAGACTCCGCTTATTTTTTTTATGCCGTATGTCAAAAACGAATGGGATGGGACTTAAGTGTCTGACAGTGAATCCTTCATAATAAAATATATATGATATCCTGTATATATCTTGTCATAGTTGCTTACAATGTCTTATTACTTTATTAGTCTGTTGTATAGTACTGTCAGCAGTCAGTTAACATTTCGAGGTTATGTTTAGATTAAATTTAACCATCAATATTTAGTATTTACATATTTAAATTTTCCTGTAGTCTAACCAACCTAGCCTAGACTAAATTGTGTATTGAAATGGAGAAATTAAAACAAATAAATCGTAAATGTAAACGATTTTCAGCACGCTTAAAGACTTCAAAGGGAGTTTTATGTGTTGAAACACCAAGTACTGTAAGTAAACACTGTTAAGATTATAATAAAAAATTACGTCGTTTTTGAATTGACTCATTTTATATTTATACAAATATTTTATTTGTTTAGAACATAGTGTTGTGTAACGTAGGCCAGGCTACTGGCTTCCTTAAGGAAGATGCTAACAATCTCCTACAGGAGCTTCCCACAGTGGACTTACTTAAATACATTGCTGCAAAAGGCGAATCACACTCTTTTTTAGTGTTTGCTGATGTTGAAAGTTCTCGACTGTTTCATGAAGCTCACAATGGTAAAGCAAAGGCGATGAATGGAACAGTGATTTATATGAATTATGTTGAAGGAGGTGAGTTAACCAAATTATTATTACCTATTATTAAATTTTGTCTGTATGTAGTCACTTAAAAAATGGTATACATTAAAAGATTTAACATAACATAAAATAAATTTCTAGTTCCAAGTGATGAGATACTTTGCACAGTAAATCCACCAAAAGGACTTAAAATAATACCTGATTTTATTACAATTGAAGAAGAAAAAGAATTTATAACACTATTTGATTGGATAGATGAGTCTAACCTAAAGAATCGACAAGTAAAACATTATGGGTATGAATTTAGATATGGCAGCAATGATGTGGATTTAAACGCCCCCTTAGATAAAGAAATTCCTCCTCAGTGTGACATTTTATGGGATAGATTGAGAGCTCAAGGCATTGCTATAAATGTACCAGATCAACTTACTGTAAATAAATATTTGCCAGGACAAGGTAATAATTATTACTGAAGAGAATCAAAAGTTATTTTAAAATTCCTTTACAAATAGAAATCCACACTTGTGAAATCTTTATGAAAATTGATGTACAGCTTAAAAAATACTTGATTTGAGTCTGTCTATATAATGTAGTGTATTAACAAAAAATTTCAGGAATTCCATCACATGTTGATAGACACAGCCCCTTTGGGGACACAATTTTATCTCTGTCACTAGGCTCAGATGTTGTTATGGACTGGAAGCATCATAGTAATAAATATGTACCCATTGTGGTGCCTGCTCGGTCTATGCTTGTTATGCAGGAGGAGGCAAGGTAACTTTCATTAATATTAGTAAAAGTGATATTACATCCAGGTTCTGGTTTTAATATAGCTTGTGCTGTGTACAAAAAACTTGGTAAAGTAAATTGTATTATTGTATTGTTTAGAAGTATGAGAATAAAATCTTAAGATTTTTTTGGGTTGACTATGACAAAAAATTACTGGTTCTACAGGTGTTTCATAAATTCATTATTATATATTGCTTACCAAAATTATATAAAAGCAACCAATTTTTGCAGCCATTTATAAATGATAAATTATTTTTCCTCTTTTAAAATTTCGCTTCAATCTATTTTATAGATATGACTGGCAACATGCTATTCAACCTCGTACATGGGACCCTATAGTACAAATCAGAAAACACGAAAGAGTTATAACTGGCGATACCAGACCTCGAGACACAAGGATATCTCTTACTTTCCGTAAGACAAGAGAGGGACCGTGTGAATGTTGTTATAACATTTTGTGTGACCGATTTAAAAAAGATGGGGAGTTAGACAATGTATTAGCATCGCATTTAGAGGAATTGCATGTACATCAGGTATATTATTTGCCACCATATAACACTACAAATATAAGACCATAATATAACAAAAAATTAAGTATAAAGGCTTGTCAACAAACATTCATATGGTTGCCAATTAGTAATGTCTTTTAGGCAAGAGAAAATAAAAAATGTTAAACAAAAAGGTGTACTTAATATATATACAGTGTAAACTCTATATAACGACACTGAAGGGACTGCATTTTATGGCGTTATAGAGAGTAGTTGTCGTTAAATGGCGAGAAGAAAAATCAGAATTAGAAAAAGAAAAAGTATATTTCAGACTAGTCTTAGTAGTTATGTACACAAAAAGAATCTTATTTCAACACTATTGCGTATACTCTTTAATTTTTGTCTGACGTCTTTTGCTGCACCAGTAATTTTGTTGTATTTTTTTTCTTATTTTATTCATATCTTGTGATATTGAGGCATCTTGGTGATAAAGGAAATAATTTTCCAATAATTTAGCTGCTTCCAGAGCTTTTTTAATGCTCGGCGGAGGCTCAGTCTCATCTTCTTCATCTCTTGATCCTGTTTTTCTCACTGAATCTAAAATTTCTTTGTCTGCGAGTGAAGCCGTTGTAAGCAGGCAGTCTTCTACTTCGATATAGGTTTTTATTAATTTTAGCAATATATTATTGAGAATGTTGTGATGCTATGTAGAGTGTATCATTGTATGGTAGACAAGCAAAACCAACCAAAGTCAATTGATTTCGATGCTTTAGAGAGTTAAGTCGAGTGACGTTACATGGAGTTTACACTGTATATGATAAATATAATTCACAAACACAATATAAGATTTTTAATAATATCAACTGTATATAAATAAGTAGGCACAGGACAGGAGGCTGATTACCTACTGGCCTATTAGATTGACAAATGATCATGATACAGACACGGAAATCTCAGTCCCAGACCTAAAAAGGGTGTAGCACCACTGATTTATTTATTTTATTTATGTATGAATACATAGATAATTATGTTATGAACTTATAAATTTTACTGAGGTAGACCTATTTGTTTGGACACTGGCTGAGTTCACAAGGGCTGCTTGTTATGTTATTAGTTATAAGAATTAGATATATATATTTTTTTTTATTTAATTGTAGAATTATCAGAATTCACAATAATGCTGTAGGTATTATTGAAAAGTAGTTCTTTTGTATTAGTAGTAACTGTTAATATAGAATAATATGTGGTATATACGTAGTCGGTCCCAAAGTTCTGTCATAAATGGAAATAATGATAAAAACAAAAGTACTGATCAGTTTGTAATGAGTGATATATCAATTCTTAGTACATTAATTAAGGAATAAAAAAGCATAAAAATATTCGAAATAACCTCCCTCATTTTTAATACAGGCCCTTAAGCGTCGCGGCCAGTCGTCTATCGCAGCACGCACCATATTCGTGTCGATTTCAGTCACTGGTTTTTTTAAAGATGACTTCAGATTCTCCAAATTTTCATGAGGTTTATCACAGACCTTCCTCTCTAAGCCCTGTCATAATTTCTGGTCCAAAGGATTAAGGTCCGGACTGGAGGAAGGCCAATCCTCATGTCTAATTAAGACGATGTTTTGACGCTCAAACCAGGCTTTAGTGGTCTTGGCTTTGTATGCAGACGCAGAGTCCTGCTGGAACACGAAGTGATGTCCCGCAAATAGGGTGCTGGACATGTCTTTGACAAGGCGATACAAAACCGTCTCTTGGTACACTGTAGCACTGGTTTTGACCCCCTTTTCGAAAAAATTAACCTCAGTTAGCCCGTAATAGGACACTCCCAACCAAACCATTACTGATGATGGATGATGTCCATGTTGCACCCTTGGAACTTTATTTTCAGCTTCTTCAGAACTCCTAGCGTACACTGTATAATTCTGTTTATTGTACTTCTCTTCAATATCGAAAAATTTTTCGTCCGTAAAGAGGATATCACGGTGTCGGTTTTTCGCGTACCGCTTAAACAACACCCGCGATCTCTTAAGCCTTATTGCTTTTAGACGAGCATTAAGTAAGTGCCCACTCTTTTTTTGTATGCTCGTAGACCAAGATCTTCATTTAAAACCTTTTTTTACTGTTTTCCTACTGACACCCATCTGCAAATCCATCAACTTCTGTTTTCGGACAGGATTTCTTACTATCCGCGCCTTGATAGCTTTGATTACTGCTGGTGTTCTTGCGGAGCGTGGCCAGCCAGTTCTTTTCTTGTCCTCAACACTGGAGACTTCAAGGTACCTATCAATAGTACCGTACACAAACCTAAGCGTTATATTCAAATTTTTGAGCAACTTGAAAATGGTACTCGGCGAGTGTCCACAGCGGTGCAACGCAATAACAACTATTCGGTTTACTTTCAATGTCCACTCCATCGTGAAAAATTACGGAAAGTTATTGTTTTTTGTTTTAAAACAATAATCAAACATTCCAAAATAGAATGCAATAATTTTTTTATAAAATCCTGCTCGAAATGTAGAAATAATGTGCTAGTGACAGAACTTTGGGACCAACTACGTATATATGGAAATAAATAAATAAAAACTTTTAAGGACCATGACTGGCTGATTTAGATTAATTTTAGTTTACGAAAAAACAGCTAAGAAAAGTAATATTTTGAACTAATAATATATAATTAATGTATTTCAGGTGTATGAACAAATAGCAGGCCACTTTAGTACGACGCGTCACAAGCGCTGGCCTCGGGTTGATGAATTTTTGCAGAGCATACCCTCTGGAGCAGTGTTACTAGACCTTGGGGCCGGAAATGGCAAGAATATATTGAACAGGAATGATATCCTACAGGTATGAAAAAATATTTCACATAAAAAAATTTACAATAAAATGAGACTACTAGACCTTTTGACATAAGATTTTGTGCTTTACGTTAAGTCTTCTACATATAACACTTAAAATTTAACTACTGTTGCACAAGAAGTATAGTTTCAGCATAGACTAGAATATGTTTTTTTTTTTTTTTTTTTTTTTAAGGCTCTGGCACGATATTTTGTGCATTAGCCAGCGTCAAGTATAGGATTTTTTATAATTCGTGCTTGTCTTTTTTTAGAAATTCGGTTTAAGCACTCGCCCGGTACCGCACAACCCTCCCAAAGGCCGAGGACAAATTTAAATTAAATTAAAACTTGCCCTCGAACCGGGAATCGAACCCGGTACCCCTCACCTAGCTGCCACTTAATAAGACCGCTAGGCTATGAGGCCCCCACTAGAATATGTTGCTAGTAAATGTATAAAGTTTTTTTTTTGAGAAAGTGGTTAAAGGGCCTCTAAAAAAAGGTTTGCATTGGGTATTATGTGCTATGGTCGTTATTGGTTTCCATATATGGCATATTGCCATTAAGTATAGTTGGCTAACCGTTAGAAGATTTGTTTCATTGTAGAATTTTGAAGTTGGGTAGTGAAAAAGCTTCATATAAAGGAAAGCACATATTGAAAAATTACAGAACAAGAGAGATTTGTTTATGTGTTAAAACGACTAAGGGAAACTGTTAACCATGATGCGGTATTAGCTGCTTATCATGCATATGTTACATCTATACTTAGATATGGAATTATAGTTTGGGGAAATTTAGTTGAAGTAAATTGAGTATTTAAGGCTCAAAAAAATGTATCAAAACTATCTTGATAGTTGTGTACCTTTTTTTAGAAGCTCAAAATTTTATCACTTTCCTGTATGTATATTTGTTATTCATGTATTTTTTATTAAATCCTTTTTTATTACGTGCAATAAAGTTTTTTTTCTTTTCTTATGCCAAACACTTAAGTTGTACTAAGGAGGTTGCCATTTTTGCCAAAACCCTCCATCTTTTAGTCGATACCAACTCCGGGGAAATAAATACAGATAATGCAACTTTCTCTGCAGCTGTGATACTTTTTGACATTCAACATCTTTTGTCTTCAGTCACCGTGACCACGCACGCTGTAAAGCACGCGAAACGTCGGATAAATTTAAAATTATGTTAAATAGTTGTAAATTTATAATAATACATAACTTCAATCCGGTCAAAATAGTGTTTTATTAAATAATTATCAAATTGAGTGTGTGGTATATAATTTCTCACGTCATTAGAATATATTGAATTTTTATTTTCACCATTATGAAATTTCTCTGACAATAAAATAAAATTAAAAATGATTAAATACCAATGTATTACCATTGAAATAAAATATTTCAGATAGCAGGCGAACGTAGTGCAGGGTTGTTATTAGAATGTTCGGCGCACACACGCGCTATATCTGGCTCGGATTGTGTCAGACTTGACTTACTTCATTCGCCGTTAAGGGACGAGTGTGCGGACGTCATTATTTGTGTCGCTGTCATACACCACTTTTGTAGCGAGGTGGGTGATATTCAGTTTGCATTCCTATACATGCAAAATTTATCGCAAATTGTTAGTTTCTTTTCGTTTCAAATGTTTGTTACAAAAATATATCATAATATCTTACTACTTATTATAAAATCAAGATGTTTTAATAAATCGGTATTTTTCTACTATTTTGACCAAAGTAGGTACGTATCTTTTTCTGACAAATTTAATTAACTCTAGGAGCACATGAGACGTGGTTTTACGATCTCAGGCCTAATAAATTTTATTCTTTTATTAATTAGTTTTCCCTTGCGTTGATTAATACTGTTAAAAGTTGGTATTTGTGTGTTATAGAAGAAATATTTAGTAAGAAACATTAAGTAAGAGTATTTTTTCTTAACATTTCAGGCAAGAAGAAAACAATCGATCCTTACGATCGCGCGTCTTCTCCGTCCTGGAGGTGTTGCCCTCATCACAGTATGGGCCAAAGACCAGACCAAATCGAACTACTTGGACACAAACAAGGAAAACCGCGATACAGACCTAGTGACCACGATTGGGGGTGTAAATCTTCCAATACACGAAAATAGAACACAATTTCAGCATTCAGATCTCCTAGTTCCGTGGAAGTTGAGGCAAATCCGGGATAAAAAGTTAACGAATACGTCCGACACATTTTTAAGGTATTACCACGTGTTCGAAGATGGCGAATTGGATGATTTGTGTAAACCCGAACTCAAGATTGAGAACAGTTTCTATGAGGAAGGGAATTGGTGTGTTGTTTGTAAGAAATTGTAAAAAGTCATATTGTTGTTTATATCGGATAGTCTTTCATTTAGAAAATTTTGTTAAATCATAGATTATTTTAAAGTGAAGTCACACTTCAAATGTCAGCTGTCTAACGTCATCGTTCGCGTCATCTGTCAATCTTGTATTCGTGATGACATTGAAATTACCTCATATCATAGAGTACCTCATTATAGAGTTAACACTTGACATTGTAGCGCAATGCCTTGAGTTAGTTGTGGAAACTAATGGCGCAAAACGCGCGAATGCGTAATTTCAAATTATGTCATAAAGATTAAAATGATCATTCTCATAGCGGTGATAAACATTTTTAATTCAACGTTTTTCGCGTGTAGCGGTAGCCCATATTGAATTAATACCATGAGTGGAAACGTGACTTGGACGAGCGAAAATGATGTTGTTTTTTGCATTATGTTAAAAAGTCAAGACGGCTGTTAGTTAGCGGCACCGCTTTTCTAGGAAACCTAAGCGTTAGGGTGCGTACAGACTATGTAACATGTTATATAACTTGTGTTTTATAACACGTCCACAGTATGTAACCTTGTTATTCAACATTATAACATAAAACAATACTGTACACATTAGAATAACAATGCAATATAACAATGTTATATAACCATTGTCGTTTGTCGTTCTCCAGTAGGGATGTGACATTCTGCATAAAAAATGGAGTTTTATTAATCGATTAATAAATATGGCAACCAAGAGGCCATAAAAGAAACAGAGGTAGGCAATTTAAAAGGTGGGCCGATGAAATCATGGAAATGGCAGGAAAGACTAAAACCTAGACGAGATTGGTATACAATAAGGAAAAATGGAGGACAATGGGGGAGGCCTTTGCCCGTAGGCACACAGAATCAGTTATCGTAGATTAAGAAAAATAACAGTTATAATGTATATATTTAGTATTTCTGATATAAGGCTGTAAATAAATAATAAATAATCGATTTTTCTTTAAAAATAATAGATTTTTTTTATTAATCGATTTTTTCCTAATTTTTGAATTAATTTCATAATAATCACCCTAAATATCTTATTTTTCATGGTTTTTTTTACTGAAAAATAAACAATAGAAATTATAAACACAAATTAACGTTTAAGAATAATCAAAATCGAAATTAACTTAATCTCGTTTTGATAGATTTTAGGTGAAATTTGATAAATGCTTAGTTATGCCTTTTCAGTAGCAAATTGCAGTATTTTTGTTGACTTTTTAATGTATGTTATCTTGTGTTGCTGAATAAATTTATTTTACTTTTAAATTATAGTGTTCCATTCAAACTTGAGTCTTTGTACCTAAAATTAACTGGTTTTATCATCCTTTCGATGTTTTACAAAAAAACATCAATGCATCGAGTATATCAATACATCTTCAAAGAATCGTATTCAATGTATCGCATTCTAAACATCGATGTATATCAAATATCCGTAATAGTTCGAGGTCCGGGTTATAAAAGACCAAACATAATGCCGGGAGGTGGCAGTGGAAAAATCGACTATGATTTATTTTCAATTATAAAAATAATCGATCAATAATCGATTATTTTAAATATAAAAATCGCGTAAAAAATCGATTTTAATAGATTTTTTTAATAATCGATTATTTTTTCACATCCCTATTCTCCAGTGCTATCCACAATGTCGACACAAGAGGACGTTTTGCTGGCTGCGGCAGCGACTGTTGTAATTTTAAATAACAAAAGAAAAACAAAAAAACCTAGATGCTGGGTTCATATCAATAACATAACAATATAACACTGTGGTAGATATCAATAACTTGTTATTATAACATGTTTTATAACATTCAGTGTCCACATTATCTGAAATATGTTATATAGCAATGTTGTATAACATGTTATATAGTCTGTACGCACCGTTAGAAAACTTTTTTAACTTCTATCACTGCAAACGGTGCTTAATTACGCACGTAATTGTTGTAAGAATTTTATTTGTACGCAAAATAAAAATACATTAAACTATTAATATATTGTTCTGTTGAATATAAATAATAATTCTATGTATTGGTTTTTTTTTTATCCCTAACCCTAGTTATTCAGGCTATGTAGGCTAAATTAGAAAAACAACAAACAATTTCAACTTTTATTAGAAAAAAAACATCTACAAAATAAAAATTCTAAAATTGTACATGACATGTCTAACAGTGACAATAGTGTAATTACCTCACTTGTAGTATACTACATACTAATAATTTGATAACAACACAATTATGACAGTTCATCGAATATGGGCATTTGTACAAACAATACGTAAAATTCAAAAGCTCAAGTAATAAAAAGAAGCTTTTGATATGAAACTGAAACAAACAAACTTGATACAAATAGTTTATAATTACCAGTTTGACAGTTCAAACGCATAGATTAATAATCCGCTTAGTTCCAAATACAAAGCGCTAAGATTTTCGTAAATGTCAATAGCCGCGTACTGACTGAGCGAGCAGCCTCGCGGGCTGCCTCGCGGAGGCAAATCCTCGGTCGGTCAAGACGTGCCCCCCGAGGCAACACCCTGCCTCGCCCGAGCGTGCCGCGGCCCGGCCGAACGTTGTCGGTTTTTGTCGATGTTCAAAGGCGCCTCGTAGTTTGCCGCGCTCACTCAAGACGGTAGTGTTTTGCCTCGCTTTTCGTTGCGTGTTAGTTGTGCGTCATGGATAAAGAAAAGTGAAGTCCTTCTTGCTTTTTTGGCGTTTATGAGAGAATACACATTGTCAAATTCGATTTTACTCATTCGAGTGAAATTTTTTCTTCGTCATCGAAGCACAACTCTTCAAATAATCTGTTCCCAGCCTGTAATCTTTTTTTGTATAAGAGTTTAATCCAAAAACGTTTAGTTTTCTTTTTCTTTTTTTGCAAGCCTTAGAATTATTAAAAAGGCAGTGGTAGCGACAGCTTTCCGAATGTGCGGCCTCATGGTGGTCTCGGGCAAACTATCGGGCACGCGCGGTCTCTTTCGACTTCAAGTTAAACTGAGCGTCGATGTACGTGGCTCGGACTTGCCGCGCGAGGCAGCCTCGGATTAGAAAACTTCAGACCGAGGCTGCCTCGCGCGGCAAACGTTGCGAAGCAAACGTCCGAGGCTGCTTCGCGAGGCTGTCGCGTCAGTACGCGGCTAATAAGATATTTTCATACTTTTGACAGCTCGAAAGAATGCATATATTTCAAAATATGTTCAAGTATTGTTCGTTCTAATGCATTTCGCCTGTCCCAAGGCAAATGTATTTAAATAACACTTCAAACTAGGAAACGAAAACTTTATTGAGGCTTCATCAAAGTCAATTGCAACAGAGGAATGACGGAAATGGTAGACAGGTCTGCTAAAACAGCGTCAACATTTTGTATGGTGTTCACTTGAAAAATATTCTCCTTTCTAAAACTCAGTATTGCCACCGCCAATAATGGTAGAATTTCCAAACAATCGTAGCCTAAAATGGTATCCCATAACAGCAAAAGTTGATCAGGCGGTAAGTGACCGCTGAATGCCCGCATTATCCATTTGAAAACTACACGTATTCTGAAAAACAAAAATCCTATTAATCCCAATAGACCATAGAGATCATTTTTGATCTTTAATCAGCCAAACCTAAAATTGTTTTCCCCGTAATCGTATCCAGAACCTAGGAACTAAATAACAATTGTGTGTGTACAAATTAATAGTAACGGGTTTTATGGATATATTTCAAATGCTTGTACTTAAATACATAAAAGATAACTTACGGATTGATATTAATATTCCGAAAATGAATCCATAATAACGGTTCGTTTGCTTCTAATAACCTCTCATACAGTAAGCAAAGTGACACAATACCCTTAAAATATATAAAATATTTATAACTGCGTATAATATATGCAAAAAATGCGTGAACACACATCAAAAACTATTGAACTGATTTTGATTGACTGCTAACCAACGCTCGGTACACTCGTACATTGGTACAAGGAAAATAACATACAAGATTTAATGGGACAAGCATTTATAGGCCAACATAACATACACGAATAGAAAAAAATCTATTCAATAATTATAAAAAAAACTTTTTCAAAATGTGAGGGGAACCCTTTGAATAACCAAACCTAACACATTTAACAAAATGCTCAATGTAGTTATCGGTGAGTTTTGAACAAAACGCGTTCGTCTGAAAGGAGGGACAAATAGGATGATGGAGTATAATATTGAAATGTCAATCAGATCAATATGAATTAGATATAGTTTCCAAAACATTAAGGAAATTTGGTAGTCGTGCTCGGATGTCTATGCTCCCTTTTTGGGGTCGGTTAAAAATAGAGCAGTGTTGGCCTAGTGGCTTAAGCGTGCGACTCTCATCCTTGAGGTCATAGGTTCGATCCCTGGCTGTGTACCTACCAATAGACTTTCGTTCTATGTGCGCATTTAACAACGGTGAAGGAAAACCGGCTTGACCCAAAAAGTCGATGGCTTGTATCATTCAGTTAAGGCTGATCACCTACTTCTCTATTAGATTGACAAATGATGAAACAGAAAAAAAAAATCAGAGGCCTCAAAATGGTTGTAGCGCCACAGGTTTTTTTACGCTGACAAATTATTGCTACATTTAAAGCTCTAAGCTCTCTTAAACAAATTGCTTAGCATAGTTTATTTATAAACATTTAATACATAATATTGTATGTACCTGCGGATGTGTAGAAATATAATGCAATTTGTGCCAATAGCGAATATAAAACGCTCGAAAAATAAAATACAATTGCACAGGATCGTCATATAGATAACAGAATGGCGTCGCTGAAAATAAATGAGTGAAATTTGATCAGTTTAGTTATCATTTATGGCGCAATTAAACCTTCCTAGAGTAATCTTGATTGTCATTTGAAAAATAAATTTGACAGATAAAAAGGCGGGACCTCGGGTAATATGTTTTGACGTCTTATAACCTTTCAACAGTCCAGATACATTTTTGTGACTACATGATTATTGTGCCTACCAAATCGATACTATTGTAATCGAACCGGGGTATCTACATGTTAATTTCTAACTTAGAGAAGAGAGAGAGAGATATACCGTAACGACAACGAGAGGTTCATCCCCTCCATTAAAAAAAACTAATTATCACGAAACAGATACAAAAATCTGACATTCTTACTCTCTTTATCTTACTGCTTTTAGTCATAACGTTTTAGATTTGACGTTTTAGACATAATTTCTTTAGACCACTCATTGACATGAAAAAGTTTCGCGCTAAGTCTCGACTCTGAATTTCCCTGTTTATATACCTGCTTTATGCTTAGTTCTTTTTAGCTAATTTTAGTGATATGTAACAGACCACAAGAACAGAGTTTCTCATGTTAAATATCACTATTAGTAAATTAGACTAGAGTTAAATTACATAAGTCTCAGTACGCCTTAAAACTTACCGTACATAGTGAAGCCATGAAAAGGTATAATTCCACTTGGCGGGAAAACTGTGATACTGTCAGCAGATGTCTGTTTACCTTTGATCGTGACATTTAGAGGATTACCGATACAACCTTTTAGATTCTGAAGGACATCACTATCTCTCGAGAAACAGAGCATAACCTAAATTTAAAATATAATACTAAGAAAATTTAGATTTTTCGTTTGCTACAACTAATATAATATTTTTGAATATTGAAAAGGACAAAACCATTCGAATTAGTGAATTAGTGTGAGTGCACGTTATTCTTATGTGCTAAAGAGTGGTATTAAGTAAAAAAAATAGTACACAAGAACAGTGTGTCTTCCCCTTAATACAGACTGTAATTAAGTATTATAGGACACTTTCCCATGTTAAATATCCTTTTTAGTAAATAAGGTTAATTTCAAATTACGTATTAGTCTTAAGTTAGGCTAGATCGTAAAGTTAAATGATGTCATTGCGCAGAGAAAATTTATAAAAAAAGAATATATATTTATTAAGAGAATAAAAAAAGTGCGTGCGTACAAAGTAGGTATATGTCAGAAGTGAAACTTCTTTGGCAAACTAATTTTTAAGTCTTGTTCATATTTATACAAATCTAAAACTTTAGATTTCCGAGACTTAGAGGGAGGAAAAAAGGCAGATATGTTACGGTGCGTACAGACTATATAACATAACATGTTATACAACATTGCTATACAACATATTTCAGATAATGTGGACACTGAATGTTATAAAACATGTTATAATAACATGTTATTGATATGTACCACAATGTTATATTATATTATGTTATTGATATGAACCCAGCATCTAGGTTTTTTGTTTTTCTTTTGTTATTTAAAATTACAACAGTCGCTGCCGCAGCCAGCAAAACGTCCTCTCGTGTCGACATTGTGGATAGCACTGGAGAATAGGGATGTGAAAAAATAATCGATTATTAAAAAAATCTATTAAATCGATTTTTTTACGCGATTTTTATTATTAAAATAATCGATTATTGATCGATTATTTTTATAATTGAAAATAAATCATAGTCGATTTTTCCACTGCCACCTCCCGACATTATGTTTGGTCTTTTATAACCCGGACCTCGAACTATTACGGATATTTGATATACATCGCTATTTAGAATGCGATACATTGAATACGATTCTTTGAAGATGTATTGATATACTCGATGCATTGATGTTTTTTGTAAAACATCGAAAGGATGATAAAACCAGTTAATTTTAGGTACAAAGACTCAAGTTTGAATGGAACACTATAATTTAAAAGTAAAATAAATTTATTCAGCAGCACAAGATAACATACAATTAAAAAGACAACAAACATACTGCAATTTGCTACTGAAAAGGCATAACTAAGCATTTATCAAATTTCACCTAAAATCTATCAAAACGAGATTAAATTAATTTCGATTTTGATTATTCTTAAACGTTAATTTGTGTTTATAATTTCTATTGTAAAAATCCCTAAATATCTTATTTTTCGAAAAATCGATTATTTTTTAAAGAAAAATCGATTATTTATTATTTATTTACAGCCTAATATCAGAAATACTAAATATATACATTATAACTGTTATTTTTCTTAATCTACGATAACTGATTCTGTGTGCCTACGGGCAAAGGCCTCCCCCATTGTCCTCCATTTTTCCTTATTGTATACCAATCTCGTCCAGGTCTTAGTCTTTCCTGCCATTTCCATGATTTCATCGGCCCACCTTTTAAATTGCCTATCTCTGTTTCTTTTATGGCATCTTGGTTGCCATATTTATTAATCGATTAATAAAAAATCTATTTTTTATGCAGAATGTCACATCCCTACTGGAGAACGACAAACGACAATGGTTATATAACATTGTTATATTGCATTGTTATTCTAATGTGTACAGTATTGTTTTATGTTATAATGTTGAATAACAAGGTTACATACTGTGGACGTGTTATAAAACACAAGTTATATAACATGTTACATAGTCTGTACGCACCCTTAGGAACTGAATTGTCATTAAAATATTAAAAGTGTTGAAAATGAATACGAATTATCAATTTAATTTTTTAAATTTATTTCTTCGATAATAAAAACACGTGGCATTCTAATTTACAATTCGTCATTTGAGATTTCAATAAATTATTTTATTCTCTTAACGAAATTTTAATTTAAAAAATAGAATTTCTATAAGGTAATTCACCCTTCTCACTCTCTCTCAATCGGTCTCAATCGCTCTCTCACTTTTTTTCACCAAAACTGCACATCTTCGTGACGCTAATATTATTATTATTGCGTATCATTCGTAAAAATTTTACCCTTATGCGCCTAAAGAAGTTTCACTTCCAAAATAAAATGTGCTGGATTGGCCAATTATGCAATTAGCACGCTACGATCGAATAATTACGGGCGAATTTGCGAGACACAGTTTAAATATTCTATGCATTAGAATATTAAAAAAAAACATAGAATACAGTGATACATTTTACAGGTATATTTACGATAATATTTTTATGATATTTCTCTTAAACCTAGTACTTACCTGATACAATAAATCTTCAAAAACAAAATATTGGTCATCGTTGGAGGCAGTAAGCTGGACGTCTTTAAATATCAACTTGTCTATCATCAGATCCACTTCTAGTACACTCTTTTTTAGTCTATTGAAGTACGCAGTTTGCTTAAATCATTTAAAAAAAAGGCGGATTAAAAAAATTATTTATGAAATTATTATTAAACTAATACGTAATTTGCTTTTAAGCAACGATATGATCAAATGTATATTAATGATTGAAATGTGATGCCAGCAGGGCCACTCTGTAATTCAATGGGAAAATTCCGCAAGCACAGTCGAAAGGTTAGATTCAGAAACGAGACATAGTCCGAACTATGACGCTCCAGTATGTCAAATTCCAAATAGTTTTTGACGTACAAGAGTCAGACTTAGCACTGAGTATCGTTTCTGAATTTTGAAAGGATTTAACAATAGATATGAAGCCATATAAAGATTTTAACAAACGTAATATTGCCATTGCGTTCTCAGAGAATATAATAAAGTAATCGAGGTAATGTCATTCTCATACAGATTCCTTTGGCGGCAGTGGGTCACGCCTGTCGTTAAGTGACTTTGTCTCAAGCCCCTAACATTTTACACAAAGCTGCAACTGTGCTGCTATTTAACAAATAAATAAATTTTAAATATTTTTTCTGTTTAAAAAAAGAGAACTTTATAGAACAATATTTAATCTAATATTATCAATAAATTTATGTGTTGAAACAAGAAACTTAGTTTACAAAAAAACTTCAAATCGGTCACTTCTCTAATACACTATAGACCAACTTGTGTATACGGCTTTTTCAAAAATTAAACATTGACTGTGGTTAACGTAACGTTTAAAAATAAATATTAAGCATACCTTGATATATTCAACTCAATAAGACATAAAAGGCACACAATTTTCAGTCGAATAAGGAAATTAATATAGGGATAATAGGAAAGGTTAGACTGACTGACGTAATTAATAAATAATTGAGATTGGCAAATATCGAAATAACTACAAGTGCGTCTAACGTAACTTGCCAAATAGATAAGTGAACGTAGAAATCAAACGTCACCCAAACGTATCAATAACGAATGTGACGCGAATTCATTAGGCACATTGTCTATTCTATTATCTGTAAAACTAGGGTAAAATCTGATACGACAACAGAAATACTATGATAACTAACCTGTGCACCAACATCAGCACCAAGTACTTGAGCCCAAAGCTTCGCCCTCAAGCACTGGGGGCTGCCCTTCTTCAAGTACTCTTGTATAACTGGCGCGTAGCCCAACCCCGTGACCCTTTCACCTAAACCTATTCTCTCCGCTTCTATTGTTGAAAATCCAGAGACTGCACTGGGCATATTCGGATTGACACCTAACAAGGGTTCACCGTTTGTCCATTCCAGGTATATTTTACGCTACAAAATTTTTCAATTTTAATTTGTTTGTTTATAGAACGCATCTTTTATTAGGGATTTGCTAACATCAAACTTAAATAAGTTCTTGAGCACCGTACTCTCAGGAAGCGTGTGTTTTCGATATATGAGAGTGGTTTTACAGTGACGCTTTCGCCAGCGCAGTTGGTAAGCGTCGCGGGCCACGAGCTTTGCGTCTCATGGATCATTACATAGTCACGCGGATGGCCCGCGTTGACGGCAATTCAGCCGCGCTTTTCAACCGCGTGCGGGCGAGGAGTCATTGTGTTCAGTGTGCGTTGCACAGTCTCGCCGGTCGGACGCGCGCATGCGTACCGTCGTCGCCAAAATGAATGCGAATTATATCGATACGGGTCGATTGATTGAAGAAGTTCGCTTTCGACCGTTGCTGTGGGATCCATCGAACGAATTATACAAAAACAAAGACGCAAAAAATAAGGCTTGGGAAGAAGTTGGAGAAGCAATCTTTGGAGAAAATTACATAAAGAAAGACAAAGGTATGTTTATAAAATTTGTATTTTTATCAATTACATTTATAATATAAAATTTATATTATGTTGGTATAAAAGTCGTCGTTAAACATATGTAGGGTAAGATTTCAATCGATATGTAGGGTAAGATAAGGTAAATTGATCAATTTTACTTGTTGGAGCACTATCTTTATGGATTTAAAAATAAGATTGTGGATTTTTGATGATTTGAACACTCTTCAACGGTTTACTTGCAGAAAAAACACATTAGATTAGTCATAAATGACTATGAATCATCACTATAGTCTATACTTGAAAGGACGACAATGAATTCAATTCCACTAATAAGTTCTTTCAAATAGGTACTAGGTAGGTACCTCTAGAATATTTGTCTGTCTTGCCACGAAACACTGCCAGCAGGCGATATAAAGTAATCGGCAAACACTTCGCGTAGTGTGTTTCCTGTTCTAGAAACTGGCTGAAGATTCATGTCAATCAAACCACTAATGCTTAATAAGTCATTTCCATTGTAGCCGTCTCGCACTCTGATAAAATTGTGTAATACGCAACAAGCTTTAACTATAGTTTTTGCGTTGGAGAAGCTCACGTTCATTGGAGTGTGAAACACTCTAAACTTGTTTGATAATATTCCAAATGTACATTCTATGTACCTTCTGGCACGACTTAGACGGTAATTGAATATCTTCTGTTTGTGGCTCATATCATTTCGAAGATAAGGTTTCATCACATAGTTCGATATGCCAAATGCACCATCACCAATTATTATATGAGGTGCCACAATATTAGATCCTTGCAGGTACTTTGGAGCCGGTAACCTTAAATTATTTCTTTCTAACTGTTGAAATAGTACACTGTTTTGGAATATGGTGGAATCAGAGTTTTTCCCACAAGAACCAATGTTGACATAAGTAAAGCAATAGTTGGCATCGCACATTGCCAGAAGGACAATAGAATAAAAATGTTTGTAATTGTAAAACATTGACCCTCCACCTGCGGGATTAACTATGCGTATATGTTTACCATCTATTGCCCCACAACAGTTAGGAAAGTTTGCATACATCTCAAACTCTGCACTAATACGTTGCCACATTTGCGTTGTCGGTTGAGGAATGCATTCTTCGCGTAGTTTTTCCCATATCTCACAGCAAACTTCCTTGACGATTTTGCTTATAGTAGTAACGCCCATTCTGTATGTGACATGTAGATCGGAGTAAGTGTTCCCAGTAGCTAAGAATCTGAAAAAAATATATATAATTATTAGAACTAGTAGAAAGTTCCAAGTAGGAAAGGATTCATAAAAAAGTACAAGTGAGAAGGCGTGATACACAAAATATTATTTTTGCCAATTTTTTTTTGTTTCAGATAAGCTTTTACGTCAAAGATGGAAATCTGCAAGAGATGGATATTTCAAAACCAAAGCTAATATGAAAAAAGCACCATCTGGTAGCGGGGCAAAAACCGTTACAAAATACATTTATTTCAAAGAATTAAACTTTCTTGATCGTATCACTGAAAACGAAGTTTCAGAATCTATGTACAACATTAATGAACAATCAAGTTCATCTGAAACAATAGCTCACGTAGTAAATAACGACGAAATTTCTGGCTCTTCTCAAAACAGTTCTACTCCGGTGGCTGACCAAGATAAACCAACATGGACTCGGAAGAGGAAACATGAACGGGTACAAGAGAACTCCGCGTTTGAGAAAAAGTTGGTAGATTTGTTAGACAAAAATATGCCAGACATAAGCTCTGACGATTTGTCATTTTTTAATTCTCTAGGTCCAATACTAAAATCTTTTAACAGTTATAAAAAACTATTATTTCGTGCCAAAGTATTGCAAATCGCCATGGATCTCTCCGCGCCAACTTCAAGTGGCACTACGTCGACGTCCAACATCTTGTCACCAGAACATAACTCAAATTCTACTACAACATCAACAACCAATCATTCTAATGATACTACTACGCAACGAGGTTATCAATCAGCAAGTCAATATTACACCGTCATGTCACCAGAAAATGATTCTAATTCTTCTGTAATGTGTGCAACCAATTCATCATATTTTTCAAACCAAACGCTACCAGTCAACGAATCAATGTCTAGTACCACCACTCAGCAAGGCTATCAAACAGCAAATCAATATGATCCTCATTCAACAGTCAATAATTCTGTTCAGCAAAGCTGTGAAGAAATACAGCACTTTCCAAATATTGCATCAGAAAACGACAATTTCTATTAATTACATTTCAACGAGTTTTGTTTTTTTGATTGTTTAAATTTGTAAATAAAGTAATTACTAAAAATTAAATAGTATTTTTCATGCCACTTACCTTAAGGTAATCGCCAACTTTTCAACTGGTTCTATAGGTGCTCGACGTAAACTTGATCTTTTTAAATTATGTTCTATCTTGCAGAGTAATTCATCAAATGTTGTTATAGACAGACGAAAATGTTTAAAGAACTTGTCACTATGTTCTCTTAAATCCGCAAACGATGTAGAGAACGCGCCTCTCAGCAATCTAGTGGCATTGTAAGGATGTACTTGTATACGTCGTCGTCGTTGCCTTTTTTTCCATAAGTAATATAGTATAATAAATACGAGAAGTCTCATCACGACTGTATGAGCCGGCAAACCGATCACGACTGTACGAGGCGGCTAACCGCGCGACTAGCTTTAAAACTAGTTTTAAGTTTCGAGCGGGTCATCCGCGCGCTTACCACCCGCGCGGACAGAAGCGTCACTGTAAAACCACACTGAGAGTAATACTTAGCGCTACGTTCAACGTTTTGGACTTGCTACGAGATTTATCGCTAAATCTTGGCTAACTCTCAAACTTAGCATATTTAAGTTCAAGAGCTGTCAAATATTTTTTTCCTGAACTTTGACATATATTATATTATGCTCATACAAAGACTGTGACTTACGATACCTTTTTGAATATAGGTCTAAGAACCTTATAGACCTTCAGCAAAAAATTTCTGAGTGCATGATAAGCGAGAGCCAACCAAATTCTTACGTTTATTTTCACATTACTCACTTAAACCGTTAGATAAGTGCCGAGCTGAGTGTATGCCCGTTTTATAAATATTAACTTCAGAGATACATGTCAGTAGGCTTATAAAAATCGGGTATAAAGGTAAAATATGTTTTAATATTGTATGTGATTTCTCCGTACTAGGCGTACAACAAGTCATGAATTTTTCCTTCATGCTGAATTTATTATACAACAAAACCTTATAAAACAAAAGTAGACTAATTCAAATTTACAAACACGTTATTATGGTGTGCAATTATTTAATCATTATTTAATTGACTTACCAATTGATCTAAATTCTTAACTTGAAGGGGCAGATGAGCAAATTCCCACTTAGGTTCACCTCTAGAAAGTATCATTTATGATAAACATACGTTTTCTAATAATTTAAAAATGTTTAATTAGTTTAAACTACTAGCTAAGAGACATTATAATGTGTGATTTACTTACTCTTTAGTAAAAGGAACATAGCCTGATAGCGTCAATAAAACTTCTAAAAAATCCTTTGGTGCATACACAGGTCTGTATTTTGATAGATCTGAAAAGTGAAATATTATTTTAATACTATAAAACTACACATCAAAATAGTTGTAATCAAGATGTTTATAATGTTTTATTTTTAACACATTTGGCTAATCAAAAGATATTAGAACGACACTATAGTATTCAAACCTAGTATTAACGAATATTGACTAGTATACGTAATCTCACCTAAATTGTATGTACTAAGCTCGCTCCACTTAGCCGAGAGTTCTTCTTGCTCGCTCTGTGATCTCACCTTCGCTAAAGACGTTTCTAAATCCGAACACATCGAATTTAGTGATTTGTGAATTCTTTTCTCCCATTGCGCACTTGCTTTTGATAATGATGTTAAGGGATCGAGTTTCTGAAAATGATTATTCATCATATTTGATACATTCAATTCACTTTGTCAAAAGCATGGCTATCTTGATTAGTTATAATAGATTTTTGTAAGGAGTTCCCGAAACTCGAAATGGGAGATGTCCTCCCCATTTCTGCTTAAAGGCTGTGACACTTATCACTTGGCGTTCTAAATAGTATACAGAAATGAGAACTATAGTGCGCGCTAGGTTTTGGTAGGTATAGATTACTTCCATTAAAATCCCATACGTTCGTTTCTGACATATTGGAGTCACAATTAGACATGTCTCGTTTTCGAATATCAGCCCTAGTATGTATTATATAATTATATTGTATCTAACAAATTTCTTCAAATTTACCACTCGCCAACTTATAATTGGCTAAACAAAATAAAAAGAGCGTGCGTACAAAGTACACATGTCAGAAGTGAAACTTCTTTGTAAATTAATTATTACTATAGTAAAAGCCCCAATAGACCATGTGCCAGTATATGATCACTCCATGTATTTGTATATCTATATTTACACTGTTTACACACTAAACGTGCTAATGATAATATCAATAAATAAAAAAATCTGCGTTTACTGCACAAGACGTTATGCGACAGAATTGCCATCTAAACTTCTAATATGTAACTACTAAACGAATACATCAACCAATAGGGTGTATTTATTCTCGATCTCATTTACTCTCTCTCTCAATCTTTCTTCCTATAGCTCTCTCCCACCTCTCGCTCCGTGGCATTGTGCGTGATGCGACGTTCGCTCCATCTCACTCTCTCCCACGATCTTTCTCACTTGCTTGCTACCTACTCTCGCTCCATGGCTATTTGCTTCATGCTACGTTCGCCCTTTCCCATTCTCTCTCAATCGGTCTCAATCCTCCCCTTTTCTTCGAAATAAACGCTGCACATCTTCGTGACGCTAATATTATCATAGTTTCATCCGTAAATATTGTACCCTCATGTGCCTAAAGAAGTTTCACTTCAAAAAACTATTTAACAACGAGGTACCATTTTACGTTGGTACATCTTACAAAATCTTACTCCTGCACGATTCGCTTCTTATATTTCAACATGTGCTTCAACTAGAAACAATAATCGTTTCGCTAGAATATAATCGATAACCTCCAAATTGAACACAATATGAAGAAGTAAACGTTTGCCCAACTAGGGCCTTAGTCAAGATGCTTTAATAGTATTGTATGTAGAAAGTCGGAAACTAAATTTGTGTAAAAACGACAGTTCGTGTCGACGAAGGCCCCTGATAGGAAGTGTTAATAAAAGCTCTATGTGTTAATTTATTTATTGAAGTATTTCATTTATATATTTTTTTCTTCGAACTTACATTTTGCTTATTCTGTGATCGTACCCAATGGAAAACTGTATTTCGTAATTTTGTATCCAAGCCCTTTTCTTTCATTGCCTGTTGAAGTGTCTGTTTGAAATCCTCTTTCTTTACGTTCGGTGACGAAACTAATTTCTATAAAAGCATAATTTTACGAATTAATTGCAGGTCATATTAGAAATATAAAATACCCACAATATAAACCCTTCCTAACATAATATACTTAATCACAACTTACTTGAACATCGCTATAAAATGATTTGTAAATGGACAAGCTTTTTAATTCTTCGGCCAATTTCATAGCTGTATGGTGGATTGCATCTTCTTTTAAAGTTTCCATTGTATTTTTAAAGTTTTTAACTAAAAAGCCTGGACTTTTATAGTATATGATTCATGTGTTAAATTTGATCCGTCATATTGTTACTTTCAACGATTATCCTTATAACTCTGGTTGCTATAGTAACATCAGATTACGTTGCATATTATTTGACCGTAAAATCGATGATTAAACAATGGGCGTGTTCGGCCGAAGTAAGTACTTACTAAACTTAGTAAGCCAGTAAGCATAAAAAAATTAAAGTCTTACAAGCTGACTGTAGCGCTTTTCGGCCAGGACAGACTTACTGGCTTATTAACATAACACAAAACACCGGTTTATGTCATATCCCGTACATAACCTCATAGACTGAATATAATTGACAGTACTAAATTTAGGAATATAATTTAATACCTGTGAATAGTTTCAAATGGATAATTTTATGAGAAATATTTTATTGGATATTTTATTGTCCGTTTTGTTTACATCAACAATAAGCAAAATGGCGTCGTATATTAAGCCATACTTACTGCGTTAGCACTTATTTTGTGTCCCGGCCGAAAATTTTGTAAGCATAGTAAGTGACTTACTAAATTTAGTAAGTACTTACTTCGGCCGAACACGCCCAATGTATGTGGTTAGCATAAATCACATAAAATAATACTTTTATATATTGACGGCCTGTGTATACAATTAATTTAAAAAAGCGGCGCCAAGCTAAAGTTCATTAAGATTCAACAATGTTAACAGAAGTCATATCAACAATGCTTACCGTGTGACTTATGTCAAAGCGACACATTGTTGTTGTCATGTTGTTTATGTCATGATGAAATAAGACAAAAATAAAAATTATTAAATCGAATCGTAAACGTTAGTTTCAGAGGAAGGTCATCTTTATCTTATTAATTTTTAGTTATTACAGCACAATATATTATTGCTCGTATAATATACAGCGTAAAGTCGTAAAAGTATAATGGGAAAAATATTTCTTGACCACATTGGAGGAACTCGGCTGTTTCTTTGTGCTGCTTGTGATGTCGTCCTTACAAATCGATCAGAGCTTATAAGTACAAGATTCACTGGAGCTACAGGTATTTAATTGTATATTACCATACTGCTATACCCCAACTCTTTCCTATGTAGTTATTAGTAAATAATGAGGCTCATCTAAACTTTCACTTTAGATTACAAAGACTGTAATTTACTGTTTTCAGGCCGTGCATTTCTGTTCCACAAAGTAGTAAATCTAATTTATTCTGAGGTGCAAGATCGTGTTATGTTAACTGGTAGGCATATGGTGCGAGATGTATCTTGCAAAAACTGTTGCACTAAACTTGGCTGGGTGTACGAGTTTGCTACTGAGGAGAACCAACGGTTTGTACTGTTATTCATTACAATTTTACTGAACATCATATATAAATAAAGTATAACTTCTTTCTTTGTTACAGCTATAAAGAGGGCAGAGTTATTTTAGAAAGAGCCCTAGTAAATGAAGCTGAAGGTTTTGAGGAGATTCCTGTAAATAATGATGATTAAATTGCCCATACAAATTCTATTCTCTTGTATTTTCAAATATCAGATGGTTAATTTATATTTTGTACTTTTAAAACATAAGAATATGTAGGTATTGGTAGAATTTAAAATTTTGTGATAACTAATCTTAGGTATTATATTCTCTAACAGTAGTAAAAATATTTAATTTTTAATCAATAAAATGAAATTTTAGTATTTTAATTCTATGTACGATCTCTAAAATAAACAAATACTAAACCCAGTTTTCATTTTACTATTATCTTTAACTTACATAATAGATATAAATAAAACAAGTTGGCATAATACAATATCACATTTTATTTATTATTATATTACATAACACAACATATATCTTTTGCAGATAACAAAATTTGTTTCTCTAAGAAGGTTTATGAAAAAAATTATTAAGCTCAGCTTTTATATTGGAATATAAATAAAAATGCCAACAACAAAAATAGCTATAATATTTGAACACTGAATGTTAAATAAGGTTTCATTAACAAATAGCTTTATTTTGAAAGCGCTGTTTGAAGCAATCAAAACTGGATTAAATTGTGATAGTGTTCTAAATTGCCACCTTATTTTAAAGTGCCTGCTTTTAAAAAACTAAATACCTACAAGATTGCTTACTTAAATAACATTCATTATTCAAAGTGTAATAAAGTACATCCTACTTTTAAATAATAAAAATCCTTACAAAATTGCGCACCGCCACCCATGATTAAGGGTGTTACTTCATTCAAAAGCACCTTATGTTATTTCGTAATAACATACAGACAATACAAAAGAAGTATAACATTGCATATTTCATATAAACAATATAAAAGGGAAAAATTTAGTACTGTCTATATCATAAATAAAAATATATTTTGTCTAATTTTGAAGTATTACCAGACACACAATCATTGCCCCATCAATATTATAGGTACTCATGACACTATGTTGTTTAAAAAATATTTTTGCACCTCTAAAAAGCTCTATCTTAAACCTAATACATTCTTGTACTCAATGAGGCAAATTTTAAATCTTTTTCAAACATACTCAACTAATGAAATTTCTAAGAATCTGGGATCATGTCATTATCCACTAGAACAGCAAATCAAACGGATATATTTTATGTTCACTTCAGAACCAATTCGAGATCACTATGAAGCCATCATCTAGACTTCGTGTAGTACTTTAAAGCAATGATTTGAAACATTGTCAGGTCTCCTTTACCACATATTATTTTTGCATTTGCATATAATCACCAACAAGACATTATTTTACTTTTCTGTACATTACTAAATATTTTTTTGAACTACTGTATAAATTATGATAACCATATTTGAATATGCATTTAACACTTAATAATATATTTTTAAAGGAATATAAAATATTCACTAAATTAAACAAAGCTATAGCAGACTGCTTAGTGCTCTTTTCGTTTTAAACCGTGATAAGATTTTTACACCTTTTCTCTTATATAACAAAACTTAAATATTGTTTGTATCATACTCGATCAAAGTACCTTTAAGTATTTATACAACAACAATAAATAAATGATATATCAACCTTGCTGCATAATAATAATCTAATTAAGAAAACCTAAACAATGCATTCTTAGAACATAGAAAAGATTCAAAACATGTGTATTGATAAGCGCCTTGAATGATCTATAATCTAATATTTTTTAATTTATTAAGCATTTTATAGCATATCCTTACCTCTGTACAGGTCAGAATCATACACGGGGCGAATCAGGCGCAGGTTCCGCTGCTATTAAACCCACCCGTTGCTTTTCAGTTTCAATAAATTCTAACAAGGCCATGTAAATAAATTTGTACTGAGCTTCATTCTGGACCATACCAGAGCGCTGGTCTCTTACCATTTGTACAGTGCGATGTACGTCGATTTCGCAGTCAAACCCTTCTTTCCTTATTTGATCCAATATCATGTCAATGACAATGAAAGTGCCTGTGCGACCAATACCAGCTGAGCAGTGGACACACACTACAGCTTGCTCAGGTGGCTCCGGGCCTGTCATAATCTGCTGCAGCCTGAAATTCACATCTAGTAAAATGTTCAGTACTCGGCCTGGCTCTGAAGGGACACCATGATCTGGCCATGCAGTAAAGTGAAAGTGGTATATAGTCCTTTTTACATCAGACTCATCCTTTTTTGTTACAATAAAGCGTCTTAGTGTATAATCTTGAGTTGATGATTCAGATTCATTATAAATAGTGTATTTCTTTATAACTTCTGTTTTATTTACTTCAGGCCAGTAACGTTCACATTTTACTTTGCCACGCTCAATCTCTTTTGTAGTCATAATAATAATGCGCACATCTTCCTGCCATATCATTGACCAGAATTGATAAATTGTGGTGGAAAGGCATCCTTGTGTAGCAATGTATAGTTTGTTGTACACATTTTCTGGGTCCCCATTAACTACATTTTTCTGTACTCTTTTTTGGCCAACTGCATCAATATAATTTGTAGGTTGAGGGATTGAAGGCTCAGTTTTTGGTTTGTAAGTTCCATTTGTCTTTCCAGTTTCTGAAGGAGTTTCTTCTGTTATAATAACTGGGGTGTGTACTGGAGATGACTTATCTTTTAGATCTCGTTTAGAAAAGCCATGTTGAGAGGAATTTTCATATGTTCCATTAGTATCATGCTCTGGTGTGTCAATAAAATCAGACCTAATGTAGTTAGCATTAATATAATCAGAACCAGGTGGGGCATCTGGAGGAATATCATTTAAAACCACTCTTGTATGGTCAAAGGGTATAATATTTTTGTATCTATTTTTTCTTATATTCTCAGGTTTTGAACCTTCCATCCTATCAAATAACTGCAAGTTTTCCATCATCTGTAATGTCTCAAACTCTTCCCAAAAACCTTGTTTATATGCCATGCTTTCTATTGGACCCTCATTTTCTTTTTGTAATTGTTTGACACGTGTATGAAAGTGTTGTACCTGAATACGAGTAGCATTAAAGGGTTGTATTAGTCTGAGAACATCCCCTGTTGTTTCAACCATGGGGTAATTGCGGTAGTGTTCAATTAGGCTAACGAGGTCATCAAACTGTTGACCTCCACCAACATCATACTTATTGTCTTTACGTCTTATTATGACGTGTGTTACACGATCTCTTGTGCGCACTGATAAAACAAAATCACCAGGTTGCCTTTGTGATTCTCTTACAAGAAACGAACCACTTCTACCATTTTCCAGCATCATTCTTTCTGCCTCTTTAGCTGTAAGCTGACCATGGTACCACCTTTCAGTTGTAGGATCAGCACAATTTAAAGGTGTTTTTAACCTAATTATACTACCACTTATTTCACGCAGCTGGCCTTGATTGTCCATATAATATTGGACTAGTTCTGAGAGAGTAGCAAACTTTTCACCTCCATAAAGATCAAGAAATTCTCCATTATTTTGAATTTTGATGTGTGTTACCTCACTTCCTCTTCTTACAGATAGTGTAAAATCACCTTTGTTGCTCATGCTTGGCCTAGCTAAAAAATAACCATCTCGCCCACGGTCCAAAAGTAACTTTTCTGCATCCACACCATTTAGATATGGATGGAACCATCTCCGTGTTATCATCTTATAGTGTTATTACCCAAAATTTAGTAATTGGGTATTTATAAATGCTTGTTATCAAAGATATACTACCTTATTCTTGCACCTCCTTGCACCAAAAGTAACCATCTGAAATTAACAAAAGGGATGAAGATAGTGTTTTGGTATAATGGGTATTTGTAAAGAATTTTTATTACTATTATGTTTGCCAAATCCTAAGACAACAGATATCAGAAATCTCTTCTATCTTCTGTAAATTATATTGAAAATGTGCAATTATACTGTCTTTAATTTCGTAAATATAATAAAAGCAAATTGTTTTGAAGTCAGTTCAAAATATATTTTTCCATTACATGTTACATCATAATAGCAATTGAACCATAAAAGTGATCACACATTACACAGACACACCCTCTGTTTCATGTGATTTGAATATTCAGGTTAGGTTTAGATCTTTACTAGTTTTACATACAAACAAGATAATAAACCAATATATATATATATATATATATAAATTAAGTTCCAGTTAGATATTATAGAATTTCATTTAGTTATTAAACTAAATTGATATATATAAAATTTGGATGTAAGCTATCATTATACCTTGTTCTAAATTATTTTATAGTTTATAATAAACATATTTTAACAATAATAATATACTATAAATAATAATATACTATAAAATAATAGAAATCATATGGTTTGGAAATTTGTAATCGTTTATACCATACACACTAAAAGATACAAAGTGGAATTTATATTATGTACGTATTTATATATACGCGGTTAGTAAGAACACAAAGGTAATCCAGCCAACAAAAAAAATACTTATATCACTTGTGAAAAAAATATGTCAATATATGTATAGCTTGCATTCTTACCTCATGAAAGGCACCCATGCAGCAACCAACACACCGTATTCCTTAAAAATAGTAGTTAAACGTTCCGAAGTGTTGTTGCTATGCTGACTTTAGACTTTTTTGTATCACTGTTTTCAAGGGCGTATACACGCGATCTCCCATAATAATATTAGTTGTAGATATTAAATGAAAGAAACAGAAAAAATCGATCTTGGAAGGAAAATAAAGAGACAAAAACTAAGAGAGTTCAACATTGAAAGACGAAAAATATTTTTTCTTTCAATACGGGCTTCCAAGACGGTTTGAGCTGTGACTTCAGACTGGAAGTGGAAAGTCAGACAGTGGACTTGTTAAACAAATTGTCTTTACAAGTCTGTGCCATGTCTATGTCAATGATTTCTCTCACCACAGAGCACAAAAGGTAAGCGCAATACATATGATTATATGGCTGGCTACTTATCATACGTAACAATCATACATTATATGGCTACTTAATGATCAAGTTTTAATTCAAATCATATGCAGCTGAAAAATGACACAAAAAGATCATAGAATTAGCTATAACAATTAGTAACGAAAATAGGTATATTTAGAATAACTCGTTAAAAATACTTTCAAATGCCTTATTTGCGTTTTACTAACCATCGTAATCTGTTCAGTTTCAAGTACAATTTTTTACATAGGATTCTGAATGTTTTCTTTTTTTGTCCAAAAAAAAGAGCCTATATGCCCCTTAAAACTAAGATAAATCTAAAGTAAATAACAGTTATTAATAAGTCCAAAAATATATTCCTAAATCATTACTATTTATCTTCTTTAGAATCAGATTTTAGAGATTTTCCAAAATAACTTGATAGCACTTTTCGGACTGCTTGGCGTTTGTTTTGCGATGAGCTTTCTCCATGTTGAAACGGAGATTTAGGCCAATGTTCAGCAAAGCTCTGACGCCTAAATACTTTGCCTAGAGATTGCCATTTTTGCTCAGGCGCTACGTCCTTATCTTCAAAGTTTTCCTGAATTTCTGAAGGCCTGTCACCCTTAAAAGCGAATTAATTTGTAATGTGGACGATACATACAACAGAACAAAATAAAATTTTGTTAGCAAAGAAAATAAATATTACTGACATCATTGGATTTTGTTGACCGCAGTTGATTTCTGAAGAAATTTGTAATAGATTTCTTCCATGTTTTGGGATTTTTATACGAGCGCAACTCCATGCTACTTGTACCTTCGCCGGGTATATTGTTATTTTTATTATATATCTTCTCTTCTTCCTTTGGATGTATTTCATTTTGTAACTGACTTCCTTCTGGACACAGCATTTTTACGAGTTTTTTTAAATGTCTTTCCCAAAATATTGAAAACAACAGAAATGATCGAGCGTCATTTACTATTTTTGACAATCAAAGACAATTTAAAAAAAAAACAAGTTTAGTCTGAAAATAGTTTTGATTTGTTATAAATATGTTATTTTATTAAAAATCTGATAGCAACTTACTTCTTTGTAAATATTTTGTTTTATAAGTAATATAATACATAGTAATTATCTTTTGTCATTTGATAGGGTGGACTAGCGGCTATAGGAATGGAGGAGAAAACGCAAAACTAATTGCAGATGTCGCTATCATCGCTTGACCCATAACAATACGCTGTCAGTTTTCAGCAATTTTTATGTAAATCTAAGGCTAGCCGCACACACAAAATAATATTGACAATGCAAGATTGTCAATAATCTTCATCAATATATGGTCCCCGCACACTACGCAATATTATTGGCAATTTTTCATGGTACAACCTAAATCAGTCGCTCCGCAGCTAGATTATGTGCGCACGTTTAACATAATGGATAGAAAGAAAAAAATCGTTGCATTGAGTATTGCATTAATTTTACTATCTAAAAAAAAGCAATCAAGAAAGATACGATGGAAAGGAAAGACTGGATGAGAAGGAAAGCTGAGTTAAATCACTTTAATCTCATAAATGAATTACGAGTTACAGAAGAAAATGATTTTAAAATAAACATTCAATCCTTAATGATAAAACTGAGAACTTCTATTGTTTTGATGAATATATTTTTCCCTTTCCCGATGATTTCGATTAGTGAATATTCTTTATTTCTTTACGAAAATTTGTTCGTAGGGAATTAATTTTTCTCTTTACGTCTTCTCTCATGCTATTTGGTTTGATTTTGTTATAAATATCGAGCAACTTATCAAGCGCATTATTTTTCTTAACTGTATCACGATATGATTTGCAGGATGTATTCCATAATTCTGGATAAGTTTCCCATGTTTTAATAAACACTGACAAATAGTGTTTTTCCGTGAGAGTGGCATCATCAACAGTATCAACACTATTTTCGCTTTGGATACTGTTTTCGTCCTCCATTTTGAATAAAAAACAGGAACGTGCGCCTGCCTTGAAATGTTTTTCTTGTTTACAGGTGAAAACTGCTGAGTAATGTATTCGACATGGACTGTTCCATTATTAAAAGTAGGATTGAAGACCTGGGGCGGTTCTTTCTTTCCTTTTGGGAGAAAGGCAGATCTTGTCACGAAGTAATCACATTGGATGTTTTTCAAAATTCATTGAAATTTTTTATGAGGATAAGGATGAAGAATTTTATCAATCATAATATGTTAAAAGTATTGAACAAATTTTATGTGGAATATTTTAAAACGGCCCAACTTAATAAATATATTTATTAGAATTACTAAGAAACAATAAAACCCACTAATTACTTTGGACTTTTTGGACAATTCTTTCTTTAAAATTACATAGCATAACACAATTGAATCCACGGTCAACCATTATTGCATCTTTTTCATCACTAACAGCTAACAGGGAACGTCTTTCAGTTATTTGACGGTCACCGGTAGAGCCTGTATATCCATCTGAACAAAACGATACGAGATGAACTGAACAAATGCCACCAGATATAGCGCCCACCAATAATTTTATAGTGTTTGGTGTAATTAGCTACTAAATGTTGTTTGTGGCGCTGTAGGGTTTGTCGACTTTGATATGGGTATTTCTGTACCATCTATTATCACTCTGGTAGCTGGATCATATTGCCTTGTTATAAGAATAAAGTAGGGGATTTGACGATTGTTTGCATTTGCTATGGGTCAAGCGATACCAGTGCTACTAGTGGCAAAGTTTGGCAGTTTCTCCTCCATTAATTAAAACGCAAATAATACTTGAAAACATTGTGTTAGATTAATGCATGTTGTGAGACACGTTTCTATACATGCATTAATCTTGCACAGTGTCTTTCAAACTTTACTTTTGATAATGGTTTTGTCATTACATCAGCTAACTGAATTTCTGTGGGACATAATATTTATTGATCCATGCACGAAGTGTTCATGTATAAAATGGTACCGCACGTCTATCTACTTCGACCTTTTGTTAAAGGATCCAGACTTCACAAGTTGAATCGAACTTTGATTATCAACATGCAAATTTATTTTTATGTCCAAACCGGTTATTTCATGTTATTACATTTTTTGAGATTTGAGATACAATGCCTCTTTGCAACAGTCTGCTGCGGCTATGTACTCGGCTTTAGTCGACGATAGCGCTACTAAGTACTATAGGCTGCCTTTTGGATGCCCATGATTTTGGCCCATCGGCTATCATTAATATTAGCACGGAGTCAGAAGTGCTGGAGACCCATTGACGCGACTTCTTCGCGTCTCCAGCATAATCCGAGGAAAAAGTTTCATCACACATCAAATGAACATAAAACAAATTCCAACAATAATAATATGAAGCTTTTCCAGTTAGAACCGTAAGACAAAGTAAGAAGTAATTTAAAAAAATCAAATAATACATTTGGTCGAAAGGTTACAGCCTACCCATGCTAAACGTACGAAATAATATCTATGGCGGTGTACACCAGGCCACAAAATTATAAAAAAAAAATGGCGGTGTAATTTATTTGCGCGGGAAAACTAACGTTAAAGTAGTAAAGGGGTTTATAAAATATTTAGAAATTACACCCTGTGCCAACCGTCTGTAATCTGTATCCTATATATGGTTATTTTTTTACTTTAAACATTTTAACTTTATTACATATTGTATATTTTTGGCGTGTGAAGAGTTCGAGAAAAATACGGATAATGACTGGAACTGATTTGAGAATGACTGAAGTATTTATTTTTTCATATTCCTCCTACATTCCAAGTATTTATGTGTTGCTTTTAAAATTAAAACTTTTTAGGTTACTTCAGAATGGGCGAAGATATTTACAGATAATGTTACTGATAACTACACCAATTCAATGCTTTTATGAAGCAATTAACGTGCATCGCGGTCAGTACAATACTATACATGAAAAATGCTTTCTCTGAAGAAAACTACCATACAGAAACATTTGCGAACATAAAGTTGCGACTTTTAAAGAAAACCTGCAGCGATGAAACAGCACAGTTTGTTAGTTCGTCTATGCTAGCAGCTTTAAGTGCCGTTGAAAAGAAATATGTAAGTCGATTAATTATAATGAAGACTAAAATTAAAATTTATATATAGCAACTTGTAAGCGAGATTAAATATTGTTTCTTATTAACAGTTAGACTCAATAGCTCTATGCTTTTACGAGGGCGAAGATACGGCGAACAATTTATCGGAATATCACATATTTAAATATCACTATAAATCTGGCGAGGCGACAATGACTATCAGTTCAAAGAGCAAAGATACAGAGAGACGCACGTCATGTTCATTACAGGATGTCAAGAAGAAAACCTTACAAATGATTCGGGCGTGTATGGTTTTTATGAGTTGTTCAAACTTATTTACTGAAAATACTAACATCGGCATTCGAATTTATTTTACTTCAGGTAAGTTATAGCTGTATAAACCAGTAAAAAAGAAGCAAAATTAAGCGTAATTTTTTTGGGTTTTCCAAATATCGAACGTGGAACTTACCCAGTTTACTATTTTTTTAAGCGTCTCTGTAATCCATGGTATTTCCAACACATATTCTTCCATGTATGACTTCTTCATTAGTTATAAAAATGCATATATAGCATTAAACGAATAGATAGAGCTTTAATAAAACTATTTAATTTCCATAAAAACAGTTATACGACACAAGATATTAATAATAGGAAATAAAATAATAATTTTGCTTTTAAAAATTTATACTAGCTGCCTCCGCGAACTTCGATTCGCCTTAATATAATTTTTTTACTTAGGCTTTTTTCCAACTTTTCTCTCCATAAAAATTACTCGAATTGGTCTAGCCGTGTTCGTGTTTTTCGTTAAAATATTTTGCGATTAATTTTTATTTACATGTTGATAATTTTTTTTTTTTCTCTCGATCTCATGCCGATATTTGAAAACGTAAATAGTTGTAATGGACGGCCTTACCGCTTAAAGCGATCTCTTCTCGGCCAACCACTCGACAAACACTATTTAATTAACTGAATATGTGGAATGACTGGTGTTCAATTTTTTCTACATTTTGTACTCACCATCTCAATGTCCTTTAAAAATAAAATATAAAAATCAGTGGCGCTACAACTACTTTTAGGCCTTAGATCTCTGTATATGTTTCATGATCATTTGTCAATCTAATAGGCATGGTGATCAGCCGTCTGTGCCTGGCACACGCCGTCGGCTTTTTGGGTTTACGCCAACGGTTTCCTCACGATGTTTTCCTTCACCGTTCGAGCGAATGTTAAAAGCGCACATAGAAATAAAGTTCATTGATGCACATTCGGGGGTCGAACCTACGACCTCAGCGATGAGAGTCGCACGCTAAAGCCCCTAGACCAACACTGCTCAGTTTCCTTTAGTAAGCCTAATTCAATTTTTACCGACTTGATATAAAGACGCACCCGATGGCTACGAAGTGCCCGGTTTCACATTCGTGGACGAAGAGATAGATCCTTTAATGTTAACTATGAGTGAATCCATCAAATTGGGTTGTGTCGAGACGCCATATCATTCGCTAACAGCCCGCGGGAATAGAAGCTGTACTTTCAAGGACAGCAATGAGGCGTATGTAAGTCTTTACATTTATTAAAGTTCGTTCAATCTTCATCATCGTATTATTTAGTCCATCCTAGAAAATGGAGGCCATGACGTAGGCCTCCATTTTCGTCCAGTTCGCCCTGCACTATTAAATAATAGCCCATAAAATATTCAAAAGTTGTTGCGTTTTTCGCCATAAAATACGCTTAACACCAATTAACCCTTGGCCTCTGATAGTGATAATTTATTTTTTGGCCAGATAAAGGTGGTCAGCCTTATGTGCCTGACATACGACGTCAATTTTTGGGTCACAACGGTTTCCTTACGAGGTTTTCGTTCACCGTAATAGCGAGTGTTAAATGCGCACAAGGGGCAGAGAATCGATTGGTTGAACCAGTTCGAAACTACGACAGCAGGGATGAGAGTCGCACGTTTAAACAATTGAGTTTAATTAAATCATGTTTAATTTAAGCTGTGTGCTGTAGTAATAAAATAAAAGGCGTTGTAATCCAATAAAATCAGCACAAAACATTTTTAGGCATCTCAAAATGTGCCGGTCCTCACAAATGACACGGATTTTTCTGGTAAGTGTGCTTGATTCTGAAACTACAGTACTTAAATCTAATGTGCTAAAAACTACAGTATTTAAATCTAATGTGCTAAAAACTACAGTATTTAAATCTAACGTGCTAAAAAAACGCATTTCTTACTTTCGAAATTCGATTATATTATTATATACTCTTTTAGGTAAATTTTGGTATAAATCTTGAAAAAAATACATATTCATTTTGACCATAATTTGAAAATATTTAGTATAAACTTTGATAAACGTTTTTTTATGATTTTATTTTTGTTGTATCTGGCAAAATAAACTGACCAAAATAGCAATAATATTTCTGTTAATTAATGCTTTGCCCAAAAACTTCGGTCCGAAGAAACCGCGTATCACTACTATGTGGGACCAGCTACTCACTGAATTATTTCCAAAACAATTCGAGTTAGAGTCCTTCAAGAAAAGAGCCTTAAAGTCCGGCACGCACTCACGAACCCTCTGGCATTAAGACTGGCCATGGGGTATCACTTAACATCAGACGAGCCTCCTGCCCGTTTACCCTGTTCTATAAAAAAAGGGTGCATGTACTTATGTACGCGCGTAAGAAGTTATACTTCTTTGGCATTATTAAAAATAGTTTTTGATTGCATGCAAATAATTAATTACAATTAAATAATCAAAGACTGGAAAAGGAGTCATTATAGTCAATAAAGTTCAGTTTACATTTGAAAAATTAAATAAATAAATATTATATTTTCTGATAATTAAATATAAAATAAAATAAAATATGTTTATTATGGAACATAAGATACATGTATCACTTATTCCACGTCATTAAATTTGAAGGCATCCCTACTCATCGGCAAAGAAGACAGAGGGTGTAGGCCTAATTATTATTAGTATTGATTTAAATATTCAATTTAAATCACTTCTGATTATAATTCAGACGCACTTATAAAATTCGCACTTGTATACACGTGTTTTAAATGTAGAAACTTAAAGCATGTGGATACATATTATAAATATAAATACACAGTGAACAGACGCGGCGTGCGTGCCAACATGCGCCACTAACTTCATTCTGTTAATTTTGTGTCACGGTGCGTGCGCATCGTAAAATTTCACTCTCATCAATTTTTCATAACGCGCCTAAAGAAGTATAACTTCAAAAATTACATAATAAAGAGTTCATTTAAAATGCCTTGCTTAGTCAACGAAAAGGTACTTCGACAAACAGTCTTGAACACTAAGTCATTATGTCAAAATATTTTTGACGTACTAGAGTCAGACTTACGTACGTCAACGCTAAGGGAGAAACAAGCCAGGTACGTTAAAGATATACATAATTGAATTTGTTATACGGAGGCATAGCTCATGCTCTCGTCTCGTCATATATAAAATGATCATCCTTTAACCTTAAGTATTTATTTCTATTAGATACAATTGAGTCAAAATGGAATTGTCCGTGCAATAAATACAACGATAAACGCGATACAGCACTGCTTACTTGCCAGTAAGTTTTTTTTATTTCTTATATGCAAGTAAATATAAGTGCTAGAATCAGTTACATGTTTATTTCAAAATGGTTTAGTAGGTTCCTCAAAACGAGCTTTAGTCATAATCTATTAGTACCTACTATCTATAGATTATTATTATTAGACGCACGCGTTTTCAAAACTTATAGATTTTTACATGCCTTTGAGACTTTCTAGGTTCAACGGATTTCTTTATCTGTTTGCAATTTCCTTGTGCTATAAATATTGTTAAGCAATTGTGAATGTGCTATTCGAAGGCTATATTTTAAATATGTGATTTATAGAATCAAATGCTCATTTAAATATTTAAACAATCTTCGTAATAAAGATTTATCACCTGTTATACAATAACCTTTTTTGCTAAAGAAATAGTGAATATAGTTATAGCTTTCCAACATTTTATGAATATAAAATTAAAAATTAAAACATTTTTTGTTCTTTTCATAAAAAAACTGTCCAGTCTCACGCACTGTATCGTCATAGTCGTAGAATAGTGACGGATCTGACAAATAGTAAACTTTACAGGGCAGCCATTTCAAAATAATATAACCATTTTAGTGTTTGTCATAACTAATTAAATTGATATTCTGTTATTGTGAAAATTGGCATACAAGCAAACAAAAGGGTTTGTTTTGAAAAAAAATAACATTAAATTACACAGATTTCTAGAAAAATCACATGTTTCTATCAAATCCGTCACTTTGCCGAATGATTAATTTGAAATTTAAAACACAGATTTTTTTAATGTAGCCGTAATATTTCGTCAATGTAGTATCCAAATATGATAAAAAGTGGATTTTGGATTTTTTTTTCAAATCCGACATTGTTCTACGATCTTGACGGTATGTACACCAAGACTAATAAGACAGACTGTACATAACTACATACTTATATGAAAAGAGACCACATACTGAACCTTCCCTCACCATACTTTGTAGATACTGTAAGAATGTTCAACACGCGGTCTGTTATGGTATTCCCGAAGAGAATGCCGCAGACGTCACAGGCCACTGTTGCATACAGTGCTATGATAATGATAATACTAGAACTGCTACCGACTCTAGCCTAACCACGATGGCCATTAAGAAGAGATCCGTACGTATAATATGGACCACGGAAGATGAGACCTGATGACATAGGCGCATAGAGAAGCTCACTCTAGAACGGACTAAAGAAATTCAGACGAATAATGATGACGGGCCTATATGCCAACTCTGAACTCCACATTTCTCGCCTAGATTTCACCTAAAAATCGTATAAAGTGTCATGTCTCATCTTTGGTCGTGCGACATATGCATTTCTATAGTAATAAAATAAATTTTAAGTAAATTACTTTTGAAGTGAAGAGACAGTAAACAGAGACAGACACATACGAGTATATTCGTAAGATTTAACGTGGGAGAAAATGATATGTGAAGCATTATACAGTGTATAAACTTTAAATTAGTGTGTATTTGATAATTTTCTGTATTAAATAAGAGATTAATTTAATTCGATTATAAAAACTCTTTGAAGTGCAAACTTTTTACTACACTAATTTAAAGTGTATACACTGTTAAATGCTTCCTATCACATTTTCTCCCACGCTCAATCTTATGAATATATGTGTCTGTCTCTGTTTACTGTATCTTTTTCGTTTCATCGACTTCCAACTTTAATTATTTTTGTTTTTATCAAAATTAAACATTGATATTAAATTTAAATAAAAAAATATTAAAAGAAAAGTCTAATACTACATTTACATAGTGAAAGAATTCTCATTTACATATTATTAATTATAAAAAACTTTTTTTAATCATTGTAGTTCTTATCTGATATTAAACTTAAAAATTAAAATTACATTCGTCTCATTATCTAGAAACCAAATTTTTTGAAGGTTTCATTCACTTCTACCACGTGTGAATTGCACACATGTTTTTGTCTCTGTCTGCTTTATTTTAATATTAAATTATTATTTAAATACGAAATGTTCTTCTGGTGAGCTTTCGGCATAAATTGAACTTCCTCAATGGGACACTCGACTGGTCATTGATGGCTGGTTTCTGAAGGCGTGATCTCTCCACCAATAATTTTGGCCCGGTTCGAACCCAGGACCTCTAGGTCACGCCATAAGCTCTGGAGGCGATCGAGGTCTTTTTATATCCTTTATTGTTTAGTCGATATGCCTGTTCCGTCGTGCGCTTGCGGTGGCTCTGCAAATGTCAACTGTAGGGTCCGAGGACTTTGTTCGTAATCTCGAGTTATCCGAGCAAAGTGCTATTAATCTCCTGCGAACATTTTTCTCATACGAAATTATTAAGAAGGAGCCCCAACCCATGTAAGTGTTTTAATTATTTATTCTGAAAAGTTTCGGGGAGTTAGATAATATTTCGTTTACGGATTATGTGAGAAGTAGTTTTTGACTTATTTTCAACTATACAGCGATTTAGATTAATTTTGGTTGTAGTCAGAATAATATATAGTTTTAGATACAAATTATGATCTTTGTATAAATGTAACTAGCTTAATTAGCCGTTGAATTAACAGCCCAGTCTCTTTAATAAACAGCGCCGTTTAACTAGCGGCCTGAATAATAATCAGCCATTTGATCAAACAGCTAGGCAAATGACTTGAATCGATGAAGTTACATTACTTGCCTATCCTGTTCATTTTAATTTAGTTCCACTTTCTGCCACCTACTGCAAACTGTCTGCGTCGGAAAACAACAAATTTGATGATGCTTTCCAAAGTGTTATAAAAATAGTGCGGAAGAGTGCAGTGACACTAAAAGTAACTGTAAGAACACTAATATGTTATATTTTAAATATATTAAGCAAAAAATTTCTTATGTCAGATATTTCAGCTTTATTATTTCTGTCACATGGTCGTCATTAATTAATGTTGTAACAATTATTACGACTGAATATTGCGCTGTTTAGTAAAGAGGCTAGGTTATTGACTGAACGGCTAATTATGCTTGTTGGATGCGAAATATATATTGGCTAATTTGTGCTCGAATCCAGCTTAATTGTGCAAATAAATAGTTCGAGTCTAACAATTTTCTAATTTACTTTCCTTAATTCAAAGTATTCATAGATACTTTATATTAAATTAGCTTAATATAACAAGAATCTTATACGAGCTTAGGACATAAAAGCTTAATTGTGGAGACCAATATATATAAATCTACCGTTTTAGGCTCCAGCACAAGATAATGAAGGATAACTTAAATCGCGTGTATTCCGATTACTTTCAAAGAAGCAAATTCGATTCTATTATTTCACAATCTAAGGCAGTACCGAACGATCCGTTATCGCAAGTTTTAAGTCCTTCAGAAAAAATTAACTTACAAAGCGCCTCTAACATTTGTGAATTGGTTGAAATGCCATCTGGAAGTAACAAGAATGAATCCATGGCGGAGTATGAAGGGGCAATTTCTAATATAGATATACATATTATGCCGCCAATTAAAAAGGTCGCTAAACGGAAAATACCTTCCCGCGCAAGCCAGGAGAAGGCAAAGAGAGGACGGAAGTAATGCATTTATAATTCGTAAAATTTAAATAGGCTTACGACTATAATATAATAAGTCAGAGCAATGGCGCCAAATTATTTTTTTCTATATTTGACGTTATTAATGACAATGGCAGCTGACACTAACACCATTGCTTCAACATAAATAATAAAGACTATTAATTCACTACAGACTATCAAATAGTCGTTAATTTGTAGATCTATTAATATTGGTAAATAAAATTATAATGAAAATGGCAGCTGATACCAGCGCCATTGCTCCGACTTAAATTAATAAAACTAAAAACTGGAATTTTACGTATCTTTAGGTAAAATGATTTTCAAGAAAAGGAATAGAATACATTTCATTGTATAATTCATTAAAAAAAACTATTAATTTTTCTATAAAGGCTTACGGATTGAATTGAATTTCTTAGATATTTAATATTCCATAATATAAGTTATAATTTTTTCTGTTGTATATAAATATAATAATAAAACCATTGTCTTTTTATTTGTTTTATTCCAATATATAAAACATTTTAAATCTAATTAGGGTAACACTTAAACTATTTATAACTATACCTTTCTATAATAATAGTTCATTACCACGGGTGCGATAAATTCTAACATTGAAGGCTTATGAAGGGGTTCTAAGGGTAAAAATATTCACTAACCTTATTTTAGGACTAGATCAATCTATTTAAAAATTAATTGTACTTGATCACTGATATTGTAAGTATTTTAACAAGTTAGAAGTTACGATTTTTAACTACGCTAAAACTAACGGAAACTGGATGCATTTGGTATTTGGTTGCGTACAGGAGTTTCCTTACAGGCTATTTATAACAAAAAAAAATGGTTGAAAGTCAGTTTCACGCGTAAGACAATATTTTTCGTATGCTCTACTCCATAGGAAATTATTATAGCAGAACAAATATACCTCGTCTAGGTACACCTAAACAAATATACCTAAAAAAGTTTGAAAGAAATTTAAACTACATAAGTTCATATTTTATATAGTACTATGCGAGATCCGTTCTACTGAAAGCAAATAAATCTTTAAATTGTATTAAATTTATTCCTATACTATATCAACAAACGAATTGTGGCCTTTGAAAGTCCCCGAAGTTAGTGTAGGTCCGACCCCAGTACTTAGGATCGCCCCGTTGGTCCAATGGTTGATTGTTCGGAGGGACAGCGGTGCGATTTATTTTTTCCAACTCGTCTAATAGTTTTTGCAAGATCTCAGGTTCTCTGAAATTCATAGTGGAAAATTTAGACGAAAATAAGGGAAAAGAAACAATGTGAAGGTAGTACTTTCCATTGGATGATACGAAACTTCAAATATTTCTTATTAAAAATAGATAAAGTTTGTAGGAAATTACTTCAAGAACTCCAAAAGGAAAATAAAGTTTGATTTTTTTTTGTCATAAGAAAGATTGATGCAAATCAATCCTGGGTAGACAGTGAAAACTTACTCGTTAGCAAGATTCCTCACTTCACAGGCATCTTCCTCAATATTGAAGAGACAAGGCGCCTTCAAAGGTTCACATAGTATTGGATCTAGTTTCTTACATGTCACCGTTGAAGCATTTCTAGAAATATAAAATGTAATGTACGAATAAAGCATAGCCTTTTTGTTTTTATAGTAACTTCTCGAATACTAAATGCGTATAAATAAATATTGATACGCAGAGATGTATTCTAAGCCCTTAACGGCCGCTTTCTATACTCAATCCAAATCCAATTTTTACTACTAGAGATTGATACTTCAATCCATTTTTCATAAACTACTTTTCAATAATTGATCGGTATTTTTCAATTGGTATTTGTAGGAAAATGACAGATCGATGCTTTCAATAAAATATCATTGAATTCGACAGATCGAATTTTGTCATTTATTAATCTAAATATGCGATCTTCCCACTTTGACCGATTCACGATGGTTGCGGTGCTGTTTTGTTGTGTAAGATATACCTAGCACGTGTTTATAACCATTAAAAATGGATTTATTTTCAAGTGATAGTGACAGTGATCTCGAGATTCTAGCTCAGTTATCCGACTGGGATGATAGCGACGGTGAACAAGAAAGATTTGTGTATTCAAAAAGTTCAAGTTTTTATTTAAATAATAATGTAGGAAAAAACGTTGTAGAAGACTACTATTTTTATTATTATTTATTCTTATAACAACCGATTAAAAGAAAAATCGGTACGACAATCGTTTATTAAGAAAAATCAATCACTTTTATAAAGTGTTAATAGTGTGGCCAACCTACAAAAAATATGTGTAATGCCAACATTACCTTAGTTCCAAAATAATTTCTTCGCTCGGCATCATTCCTAATTGCGCGAAAGCCTTCCCCGCGAAGCTGTTCAATACCTCCTTAACATCGTAGACACCGACGCGGCCAGTAGGCCCATACCAGTAGTCCCAGGCACCGTTGTAATTTGTGCCTAAAGATGTATACAGCCTTTTATGACAGACACAAAATGTGTGGATTCTCTCACGATGTTTACTTTACAGTACCAGCAAGTGTTAATCGCTGATCTAATAAGAAAAGCCACAGCCGAGATTTCAACGCTCAGGATTGAAGGGAAACTTAAACTAACTTGATTTGAAAAGCCCGTTTTTTAATTGATTCATCCTGAAACTTTACATTAATATTACTACTAAATTGAAAATGTAATGTTACGGAAATGAGGCTGATCTCCATATAATTCAATCTCACGTTATTTCACTATTCACACAAGTTCGAAAAGAGGGAGTTTCGAGATAAGGATTCTTTAGGACCCAGAATAAAAAATACTAGAAAAACACAACGACAATAGTGAAAGTGAGAAACGTCTGTATTCAGAATGCGAATTCGTAAAAAGCATTCTCATGAGCCTTTGTGACAATATAATTATAATACAATAGGCGATTATAAATGCATTGAACTTATTGACAAATCAAATATCATTTTACAGTTACATCTATTTAGTACAATAACTACCTAGGAAGGAGTACAATGTGTCTTTAAGTATAAGAAATATATTACATTGTATTTGCGCGTTTTCCGCTAAAAAGACTCCCTTTGTCGCTACTCCTCTCTTTGTAGACACTCTCCTTAAAGCCTCAGCTAGCATCGAGATACTGGGCGTTGACATATCGAATGACGTTCAGTTTCGCGGCTATTTGGAAGGGAAGGCTAAGTTACCCTCTAAGAAGCTTGGTGTGCTCAGCTATGCGAGGCGGTACTTCAATCCGAACCACCGCTTGCAACTCTATAAAGCGCGAATTCGGCCCCATGTGGAGTACAGGAGTTCCCCAGTACTAGCTCCTCCCGCTTGACCGTATTCAACGAAGAGCGATTCGAATCGTTGACGACCAGTCACTTTCCGAGCGGCTTGATCCCTTGCTGTTGCTTAGAGATGTGGGGTCTCTCTGCATCATCTACCGCATTACCATGGAGAGTGTTCAGAGGAGTTGTTCGGACTAATACTTGTAGCTGAGTTTCATCATCGAATGTCAAGGCAGAATACAAAATATCATCCGCATCAACTTGACGTCCGTCGTTCCACAACTGAGCTTCCTTAAGGCCGCTCAGCACCACTATGTGGAAGCAGCTGCCTACTGAAGTAATTCTAAACCAATTCGACTTAGGGTCCTTCAAGAAAAGAGCGTACCAATTCTTAAAAGGCCGGCAACGCACTTGCAAACCATTGGGCAATGTTAGTGTTCATGTACGGCGGCCTCACTTAACATCAGGTTAGAAAATAAAAAACCAGCCTATCAATTCCTAATATATGAATGAGTCTTTAATTAATGACAAAAAATCTCAATATCAAAAAACGTTCGGTTTTGTAATGTACATCTTTAAGTACCTAATTTGTTTATGTTCTGGCAGAGTGCATCAGGTAATATATTTATTGTCTGTATAGTCTGAGGTCGTGTGTGTGAGGAGTTAGTTCACAACTCCTTTACAAAGAATTTATCTGTTAAAAGGTGATATAAACACTGTGTACTCGTACTGTGTAAGTAAAATCTTGAGGAAAGCGGAAGGTCTTAGGGAAGGTTCAGAGTCAGAGCGTAGAGTATGACTCCTTTATTTCAAAAACTTATAGGATTTCGTTCACGGGAGTCTGAATCTAAGGAACACTTAATTACTATTTAATTATTTAATAATGATACCTTTATGTAATTTCCACTGGTCGACTGTGATAGAAGCGCTGCCAAATTCATCGTCAATGTTATGTAGAACTGTGGTTCGCTCAGATTTGAGATCGGACGATAATGCTTTCCATTGGTCTATACCGTCGATGCCAGATAAACTGAAAGAGGTAAACAATTTTGATATAAAAATCTTAGTTTAATGGTGTTTGATTTAAGATTCTTATATGTCATTCTATACATTAAAAAATCTTATAGTTTTCACTGAAATTTGAAAAATTTCTTAGCTATTAAAGTGACGAAACATTCTTTAAATAATTTTGGCTATTAGAGCATTTATGAATAAAATTGAATCAAGTTACTTTCCTTACTATTTATTTAAACTGTACACACTTTAGTTTAAGGTTTTGAATATTATAAAAGTGTAATTACTTACTTACTACACTGTTTTTTGTTGTTGTAAGTTGTTCTCGTCCGTTCAAAGCCCTTGACTTGTGAACTGGCTGGTAAATTATCATTAAGCATCGTATACCTCATATTGGCCCCCGCAGCACTAAGCAGTGTGGGCATCCAGTCTGCGATGTACATCTTCTGTGAGGCGACGCGAGGTACCTTCTCGAGCAAAGGGCTCCAGAGTGCTGCCGCCCCTCGGACTCCGCCCTCCCACAGGGTGTTCTTTACCTGGATACAGTTGAATTTAAGATTATAAAGCAGGAACAACAACGTGAAAATACTGACATCGTTAAAACTTTGCCACTGAAACCAATCTATTTAAATTCATTTTAGTGTTAGATTTTCATTGTAACTAAATCTACGATTGTAAATAATTTAAATATTAATTCTTTGTGAATGTCATTAAATAGTATTAAATTAAAGAACTCAACAGGTAACAAAAGTATAATTAATAAAAGATATATAAGCTCAGTTCAGGTCGTAGGTTCGAACCCCAGCTGTGCACCAATAGAATTCTATGTGCACATTCAAAACTTGCTAGTACGGTGAAGGAAACCGGCATTAGAGCCAAAATGTCGACGGTGTGTGTCAGGAACAGAAGGTTGATTACCTACTTTTGTATTAGAAATGATCACGGATCAGATACACAAATCTCGGATCAGATACACAAATCTGAGGTTTAGACCTAAAAGGTTGAAGCGCTATTGGTATATATCAGTACCTACTCAAATAGATATTTTTTTAATGAAAATACTAACACCCTTAAGAGGATAATTCGATGCAGCATTCAAGTTGAAGCCAGCAGCGGCGCCGCCATTGTCTGTGCTGAAGAGGATAATGCTGTTCTGCAGCAGGCCGTGAGTGTGTAAGGACTGGACCACTTTACCAACTGATTCGTCCATTTTTGTTAGCATAGCTTAAAAGTAAAAAAAATATTATGCATTGATTAAAAAATTCAGCAACTATATTTTTATTTATAAAGGCAGACTATTTTTTAAATGAATTATTAAAACTGAAACGCTAAGCGTGGTCACTTATTTTTTCAGCAGCGTACGATTATTGTTTGTATAAACTATATTGATGACATTACTTTTAGTTCTAAGACAAAACTATTGCAGGAAAAGGCGAAACATTATTTACCTGCAAACTTTTTCCTCTGAGGATCAGTTATCCATGTAAAGTTGGCTGTTAGGTCTTCAGGTGCCCGGATAGGTTCATACGGGTTGCCCGTGTGAACTGCCGAATGACCAACCATAAGGAATAGAGGCTCACTCTTGTTGTGCTCAGATATTATCTGTATGTTTATGTAAAAAAATATTATTGATCTGTGCCAGTGCGTTTTCACCAATTATTAATTTTTATTTTCGGTTTAATTTTAATTAATTTAATTATTTTTATTAAAGAGTATATTTAAAACACTTCATTTGAAAATATTTCTTGTAAAGTACTCTTTGCACACGTAAGAAGTGAAACTTCTTTATGATCTTATTTTTCGAAAAATGATCTAGTATATGCAGAAACTATATAACTTTACAGAAATTCGTTAAATAAGATAAAGTTTAACAAAAGGCTTTTATTATCATAGACATGAATACAAATATTTCATTTTACCTTATTACTACGAAGATTATTATAGAATTTCATTAATTGTAATAGAATTATTACTATCATTGAAAAACGTGACGATTTGCTACAAAATTTCTCCCATACGTCGATAAAGAAGTTTCATTCCAACGCCGATAAAGGTTTGACTTCAAAAGCAACATGGCGCGTAACCGAAAAATGTGACGCGTAACGAAAAAATGTTACACTAAATTTTTTTCCAACCTCGATAAAGAAGTTTCACTTCAAAATATGTTCAAATACATCAATATAATTATTCTTTTGTCTATAGACAAGGTTATACTAAAACAATATACTAACCCTGACAGCCTCCTCTGTATACACATCGGTTACATATTTACCGAACAAATCGTGAGCCACCGAGTAACCTGCGCAACATAAAGATTTGAAGAAAATTTAAATAAATGAATATCATAGATACAAAGTCCTGTTGACTCTTATTGCTTCCTTACTTTGGTTTGGTTAACACTAAATGCAAGAAAATTGATTGGTTCACCGTCGATACTTAAACGGGAGCGTCACGCGCCTATAAAGGCCTCAGATTTCTGTATCTGTTTAATGATCATTTGTTTTTTCTAATAGGCGTAGGCCTTCTGTGCCTATGCACCGACTTTTTGGGTCTAAGGCATTTCTCACGATTTTTTCCTACTACGTGAGTTAAAGCGAACTTGGAATAGAAATCCATTTGTGCAGTCATGAATGAAATGTATTAATTTTAAATTACCTCGTCGGAAATCGAAGCCCCATTGGCCAGCTTCCTGAGTCGTGTGGTCATACATATCTATCTTTCCTGTCCAGAATCCTAAATGTGTATCGAATCTAAAATAATGTCCATAATATAAGGTACCTACTTGTATCTAAGTCGCTTGAAGGGCTGTGGGCTCCAAAACTACTTTTGTTGATTTGAAAAGAATTTTACATTAGGTATCCCTGATAAACACAGAACACAAAACATCTTTAGAACTAAAAGGGCAAAGTGATATATATGAGAGTTCTATAGAATACATCAATAACTACCAAAAAGCAACGCAATACTCTAGTATATGAATATAGTTAGTAATAAGATATTATTATATTATATATATTTAGTAAAAAAATATTCACTAATAGCTAGCTAGATTGATCCCAGCGATCAGCCCTTATATTATCCCCGGCTAAGCAAAGATTGGGAAAACAAAGTGAAAGACTGCAAACGTTATTAAAAAAGAGTCAAAACTCTATCTGCCCCATATCCCAATGCAGCACAGGGGTAAGTGTACAGTAACGTATAACGCGGTAGAACCGGACCGCGTTATATGTAATCGCGTTGTAGGAGAATTCTCGAAAAACCGTTTTTTTGGCCAATTCAAAAACTAGGATCACGAATTTAATAAAGTTATTTAGTGTTATTATTAAAACAGGTGCAAATGTACGCTAAACTAATTATGGACTAATTTAGGAATTTCATACTACAGATTTCAAACTTGATAAATCTCCGCTTTATAGGGGAGAAATACCGCGCTATATAGGGGACAGAAACAGCGTTATAGGAAGACGCGTTATAGGGATTCCTCTCATAGGGGACCTAAGAAATGACAGCTCTTACCCTCTACTCAGCGGTAAATAAGCTTTCTTGTAACTCCCGAGGTGCCATTTGCCAACCAAATGGTTTCTGTATCCCAGTTCCTTCAAGTATTGTGGCAAGAGCTTCTCATTGAGAGGTAGGCCACGAGGTTCGATACCATACAACACTCCATGCTGCATACCTGGTACCATAAAGTACATATAAAATCTCATACCCTTGAATTTAACGGGAATAATATACCCGACGATTGCTTTTTGTTAACGGGGCAAACTGGCAGGAGGCACCCTGATGTTAATTGATATGCAAGTGCGTCGCCCATGCAGGCGGGCACATCAAGAGATTCCCAAGACAGATACAACCGATTCGCCCTTTAGATTCAGATTAATAATTTATGCAATTCAACCTAGGTCAGTATTATAACGATGTCAGTATTTTCACACATAGCTAAAGGCGAAATTCACTTTCCTTTCTATAGCGAAGTTAAAAATTCCAGGATGCATTCTACTATAGACGATTTCTTTATACTTTTTAAATTGGTTTGATTCCCCCGTAAATAAGTGTAAATTAAGTAATTTCGACTGTATCGATACATACAAAACACTTATTAACAATAGAGGCTACATTTGAATAAATTATTTAATTTTACGGATATGTAAAATAAAAATTTATGCACAAAGCAACGTGTATCAAAACAATAGTGCTATCATGTGTTTTAAAATAACTGTTAAAGTACAGTGAAGGTGAATGACCACGAATTATTAAATTCTTATACAGATAACCGATTATCATTATTCAAACAAATGATAGGTTTTTAAATTTATTACTCAGTTATTACACTGTTTCTTTCTGTGTCTATGTTTTTTCTGTATTTAACACAGGATCAGAATTTTAGGCTAAGATTGAGAATTCTAAATTACCCTGACTATTGAGATTTAGTTTTCATAAGTAAAACTACCCAAAAACACATGTCATACATGTCACACATACTGTGCTATTGTATTTTACCCTGGTGGTGGTTCGTGATTCTTTACTTAATAAAAATTATTTTCCCCCTGTCCCATTAAATAGTGATTCGAATAAAACAGTGAGTTATACAATTCAATATATAACGGAGCTTAATAAATGTCCATTCGTGATTGATATAGTTTTAATATTAATCGTTAATTACTTCTGAAATTGCCGGAATAACAATGGTTTAAATAGTTCTCTTTGTTAAACAAAACATCTCTTTTTATGATGATGATGACTGATGCCATAAGTGAAAGTGGATACAGCATATTTGCTAACGTTAGTAAATAAAATAAACAATAATATCGTGATAAAATAATAACAATTTTGGGTCAAGATTGTGGTCTCGACAAAGGTCACCAACAGAGTTTTTACCCACTTAACGCAATGACAAAAAGTATTTGAGCGCGGTCATTTCATTTAAGTAAAGCATTTTTAAACAAATGATTTGTGTTTATTACAACAAAAGATGTGTTTTATTACTAATATGATAATTCGAGGGAACTCCTGGACCGATTTAAAAATTTAGTTTTCTGTTTGAAAAGGTCATTAGGTCAGTCATGAGATCCTAGAGAAATCGAAGAAATTCTTCAATTTCGGCAAGCGGTTTGGGTCATTTGGTAACTCGTACATTTTCTTTGATAAAAAATGATTTTATTAGTGTTTTCGAGTGCAGAGTACATTCGCAACATCACGTCTTCTACCATTAGGACCTTAAGGACTACAATTAATTTATTGTCTTTTTATTCTGTTGTTCCAAATCAACTGTTTAAGTATACATACCCGTATGAATAGGGTATTTTCCAGTCATAAGTGCCGCTCGGGATGGCGTGCATATTGGTGCAACATAATAATTATGTAGTGACAGACCGGAACTAAATAATGCGTCGATGTTCGGAGTCGGAATTTGATTTGATCCGTGAAAGCCTACATCGTTCCAGCCCTGTAATATTAAAATAGGCAATTTTATAAGAGGATTTTTACGATTAGATGTAAGTTAGCTATTTATTTTATTAATGCAACATTTTCAAATAAATATTAGGTACCTATTTAATTTTTTTTAAGTTAGTCCTTCAGTTACTTATTTAAAACTTAATGAAGAGTAATACTTGTATGTTATTGGTGTGTGATTCTGTAAAATATTAGTAAATTATAAAGGAAAGATTTTCCAAACGATAACTCAACTGTGGGGCCGATTTCAATTCGTTTCTACATTATGGCGCGTCTAAACGGGCCATGTTTTGCTGCAATTGATGGCTGCAACACTGTGGCCGGCAACATTGCAAACAATAGCAGCCACACTATGCAATATTGCAGTAATGTCCCGGCCATATAGCCAAACATGTTTTGTATAGCCACATATGGCCGATGTTGCCCCGATAGGTGGCCGGACGATCGCTAGGCTATCGAATTCAACTGCAATATTGCACGGCCAGTTTTCTTGTTGTTTCAGTCACTCTCTTTGTTATGGCATAGTGTATCCTTTTCTACGCGACATGACGTTTGCTTTGAGTGAAGTGTGCCTGTTGCTTTATTCTGTGTTTTGCGTTGTCGATCAGCTGTATTTGACGTTAGATTACTACGTAAAAATGACTACTTTTGACATTCTAGTTCTTGAATAATTTATTATCAAGACTTATTTCTAGACTCAAATTGTCTACAGTTTCACGCCTATTTAAGTAAGGTCGAATCCACAATCTCGTCTTTTTCTGTTTCTTTTTTAAAACAATATAAGCTGCTGCGACAAGTGTGATTTCGTCAGCCATTGTTGCCGGTTTGTGTAGCCCGTTTAGGAGTCTGCATCATGGGCCATACTATTGCAACACATTGCCCAGCCATAGATTGTTCGGCCATCAGCTGCATTAAAATATTTTTGTAATGGCCGGGCAATTAGTGGCCAACAGTGCAGCCATCAATTGCAGCAAAACATGGCCCGTTTAGACGCGCCATTACAATAACTACGACATACACAAAAGCTATATTTATTTTTAAAATACATTGTAAAATATAAATGTTCAGCTGGGATAAGCTATTACATAGATATCAAGGCATGATGAAAGTGGATTGATTTCCCATATTTAATGCAACTTGTGACAAATGGATTTGAAACTGTTACATAGGATAGGATTTTGCTTTGAGTTTAACGTTCGATTCATACAAAGTAATCATATATCTTTTTATGTTTGTACTTGTATGGTTTAAAATAAATCTGTGGCGCTAAAAGCTCTTTAGGTCTTGGCCTCAGATTTCTGAATCTGTTTCATGATCATTTTAGATGAAAGAAAGAAAGTCCATTGGTGCACAGCCGGGGATCGAACCTACGACCTCAGGTATGAGAGTCGCACGCTGAAGCCACTAGGCCAAAACTGCTCTTTTGCATGGATTGATGAACTGCTATTTTGGTCATTCTTCAAAATGCTTCTCTCTCGAGTTGGCAAAGGTAATTTTATAGGTCCTATGAAGTTCGACGATGTGTGTTAGATATTTTGAAGCTTGCATTCTTTTGGATATTAAAGTTTAGCACAAAGTAATCCGTTAGGTTGACCTAAATATTTGAACTGTACCATCCGCCTACGCATAATAACCATCAGCGTTTAGATTTAATTGAATCAAAATTAAAAAAAAATACAAATTAGTATACAAAAATGAAAAATCGGTTATAATTATTGAACCTGCAAATCTAATTCATTGTATTTATTGTGTTATTCTTATAACATTTAAAAACTGTATAAATTGTTTTCACTCCAATAAAAGTATAAAATTTAATTAAATTACTAGCATAAGTATGGAAACAGGTAGGTGATATTATGTTAAATTGGCAATGATAAGAAATGAACAATTTATTTTTGTGTTAATAAGATACTATACTAATTATAATTCACAAGTATTTTAATGAAATTGATAACAAAATAAATAAAATGTTTAATTACTCACCAAATCATCAGCGATGATGAGGACGATATTTGGAGCACATCGGCATCCACAAAAACACAGCAGGAACCACAAAAAACACAACATCCCGACGCGAAGTCCAACACGTTTATGAGGTAAGAGTTTAATAATACGTGTTTGACCCATAGTACCTTAGCTCACAAAATTACACAGCCGTGTAAAAATTCAGCAGATATAAATGAAAAAGTGTTTTCTTAATATTTTCTTTAATTGGGGATCAGCAGTTCTAGATATGTATTACTATTTATTTAGTAATTCTCCAGCTAACATAATTATATATAAAAACAATTGGGTATATTTTTTTTCTATTATATAAACAAAAATATTCAAACATTTACGAATTAAATAACTTATAAATATACTAAATACATTTAACTGAGTAATACCTAATTCAGCTGTATTTTATTATGGTGTGAAAGTGAGGGTATGTACCTACGTGATGTATGTGGGGTGTGCTAAAGTTATTAATTTTATATCAAAAGTTTAAAATTGTGCATTTTCTTAGGTTTTTTATATTTTTAAAGTACCATTGAAACCATTTGTTTTCTAGTTTCATAGTGCATTTAGTGTTTTTGTATTATGCATATATCAATGGTAATTACAGCCTGATAGCAATGGTTGGTCCATTAATTGACCTCAGTTATCAGAAACACGACGCGGTCGATAAAGCTTTCCTTTTGATAAACTAAGAAGTCAAAATAAAAACATTTTACTTTCATTTTCTTTCCTTTTCTTTGTTTGTTTGCGATTATCTACTGTCAATAGAAAATAAGCAATCCAATAAAAGTGTGTTTTTAGGTCAATTTCTAGCAGTTTTGTAACTTTTTTTAATGTAATGACCCTAAGTCGAATTGGTTCGGAAAATGCTTGTTTTTTTTTTTTAAGTGAAACTTCTTTATCGAGGTTGGAAAAAATTTAGTGTAAAATTTTTTCGTTACGCGTCACATTTTTCGGTTACGCGCCATGTTGCTTTTTGAAGTCAAACTTCTTTATCGGCGTTGGAATGAACTTCTTTATCGACGTATGGGAGAAATTTTGGAGCAAATCGTCACGTTTTTCAATGATAGTAATAATTCTATTACAATTAATGAAATTCTATAATAATCTTCGTAGTAATAAGGTAAAATGAAATATTTGTATTCATGTCTATGATAATAAAAGCCTTTTTGTTAAACTTTATCTAATTTAACGAATTTCTGTAAAGTTGCATATAGTAGATCATTTTTCGAAAAATACGATCATAAAGAAGTTTCACTTCTTACGTGTGTACACCTAGTACACGCACAATTTTTTTTTTTTTTTATAGAACGGGGGGCAAACGGGCAGGAGGCTCACCTGATGTTAAGTGATACCGCCGCCCATGGACACTCTCAATGCCAGAGGGCGAGGCTCTCGCGAGTGCGTTTCCGGCCTTTTAAGAATTGGTACGCTCTTTTCTTGAAGGACCCTAAGTCGAATTGGTTCGGAAATACTTCAGTGGTCAGCTGGTTCCACATAGTGGTGGTGCGCGGCAAAAACCGCCTTAAAAAGCTCAGTTGTGGAACGACGGGCGTCGAGAACTGAGAATTGTCTTGAAACTAATTTTTATGGACATTATTATTGATTACATAATATATTGTCACCGAAAATGATTTGAATGGCGGTTTTTGAGTTCAACTACTTTTATTATAAACTGTACTGAGGGTACTTTTCACTAAAAACTAAAAAAAATGTCGTAATGATAATCAAAATATTGTAATTTACTAATCAATTAAATAATCGGATCAAAATTCAATTAAAGTTGTCTTTCGCCCTTTAAAGGTTAATTAAAACCAAGAAACGTCTTAAAAGATTTTTCTAAAGTTATTTTAAAGCTTCCAAAGCTATATTTGAAATGATTTTTTTAATTAAATGTAATATAATTAGCAAATATACTGAACTAATTTTGAATACTCTTTAAGATTTTTTTAGAGTAATGACGGCTTATATACGTAGTTTTTTTTAAAGAACAGGAGGCTCAATGCTAGAGGGCTCGCGAGTGCGTTGCCGTCCTATATTCAAAAATATGTTCATTTTAGATCGAGATCCAAATCTCTAGTGCAATTGACAAGTGAAAATTAAAAGACAATATTTTATAAATAATTTATTCATGTAAATTACGGTCCATTTACGTACCTATCACACACGTACATACAATATAAAATACTTTAAACCTTTCGTTGATACATAATAGTTTATTTAAATTATTTATTCAGACATAAAATTGTTTCAATCTATGGAGCGAACAGACTAAATAGGTTAAGTTGCCAGACACATTACTGAAATCTACATTCCGCACACATAAGCTGCCAGGTTGTATAATATATAACAGAAATTGTATATAATTCGTGCTTATGTATCGTAGATTACCTCAAAAAATATTTGAAGTAAAAACGATAAAAAATTTCATCTGTGGTGTGTCTATGACTGGCAACCCGACTATATTATTCGCATTGTCTGTGACACAACGGGGGTAACTTTCCTCACTTTTAGTCTTGCTATTGCAATCTAAAAGTTTAGCCCGTTTAATTTTTACGCCACAGGTTTTAATGCGGTTTATCTGTAGGCGTTACAGACAATAAACAAAAATGTGTGTGTGTGTGTGTGTGTGTATGAATTTAAAATTGATATAAGCCGAAGTAAGTTCTATATTATTAGACACTGAATCTTAATAATTTATTAGTGGTGATAAGGTGAAACACAATTCACACGCAATTTATTCATTAAACACAAGTCCTTACATTACATACCCGATGTACTTATAACATAAATGCGACAAATGAACAATTAGCTTTGTAATTCAAAACTAAAATTTTCAAGGTGAAATCACAGTTAATTTTTACACAAAAGCAGCACTGCTATTTTTGTTCCCCTCTAGATTGTTCGAGCTCTATGGTTTCAAAATTCTTTGGTAGACAGAGTGAATCGAAATTAGTAGACGAAATTTCCTATTATAAATATATTTTTGCATATAGACATACATATCTTAATTATGTACTAAATATACGGTCTACCAAACAACTTAAATTACTTATAATACGCTCTAAAAACAGTTAAATGTGGTCAGACATGAAAATTAATATATTATGTAATGATATAGATATGAATTCATGAAAAATAAATTATAATTGCGCTCATAACTAAAGTACTATTCGTCTCTTTCTATCCAAATGCATTCACACTATGATGAAAAGAGACAGATATAACTTTTGATAAAACAATGCATTTAGATTTTAGACATTTTTTTATGAAAAAAAAAAACAGTTTTGTTTAGAAGTAAAGATCATAAGGAACTTATACTGTTATTAGAAATATATACATTAAATTTAGCTACAGTGACCACACCCACACTGAATCCGTCTCCAACTAAAAAGCTGAACACTTTTTCTAAGAAGCAATCGACAAAAGAATAACACGACGCGCTAACTACAAAGTATTTCACCGTCCACTGATTCAAAATAATTTCAGAAAATTTAAGAGAAAATTAAATATCATAAGTCAGTAGATAATGAAATACAATTAGAAAATTATTCTTTACGCGGTTTCCGTTTCCTTTGTCCATCACCAGCGCCCTCCGTGTCGATGACTGGCGCGCTCTGGAACAAACAATTATTTATAACAATAACCTCAGTTCCTAAACGAAAAATCTAAATATTCTAGCCTTTTTTTTAAGTTATACTTCTTTAGGCGCGTTATGAAAATTTGATGAGAGTGAAATTTTACGATGCGCGCGCACCTATGACACAAAATTCGGAGTGTGATTATAGCGTGCGCAATCTACAAAAGAAATAGAATATAAGCTAACTTCACGCATATTCTATTTCTTAGCTTAGCAGCTTAACAAGAATTTTGAATATCCATGACAATTGACATCTGACAATGACATTTACCTTTTAAACAAATATAGGAGTTTGAATTATTGTTTAAAATAAAAGATTCTAAAAGTACCTAGTTATTTTCATTATACAAGTGCGAATTTTATATGTGCGTCTGAATTATAATCAGAAATTGAATATCTAAATCAATACTAATTAATATGATAAAATATTTGTGAAAAAACTGTGCCAACCTTCCTGAGTGCTTCAATACAATTGAGGTTAACTATCCGTATGTATTATCGAGTTTTATTGTTGATTAAAACTGAAACATGAACTTAATTAACTTTTGTTTATTGCGTTTGTTACAGCAACTTTTTAGAAATATTCTACGACCATATATATTAATAATTGAGAACAAAGATTTAAGCACGAATACTAATAAGGAGAAAATGAAGGCTTGGAGCGATATTACAGAGAAGTAAACATTTTAATAAGTACCTGCATCTCAAAAAAATGATTACATTATTTAATCAAAACATGTAATTTTTCAGATTTAATCTAGCAAATATAAGGACAAGAGACAAAAAACAATTTCAGTGGAAGTGCACTAAATTGAATAAAAAAAAAGAGTTGTCATCTTATCGCCGTGAAACATCAAAAACAAGAGGTGGAACAAAGCCACCATCACCTTCTCCAGACACAATGGATATGGCAGAGATGATACCGCAACGGTTTGAAGTAGATTTCAATGAATTTGATTGTGATGGTGTCGAGGTAGGAATGTTAATTATAAATATGATGGTGATGTTCAAGGCTCAACCTCTCAAGCATAGGCACATACTTTATTCCCCTACAGGGTAGTTAGAGATATTGTAATACCTCAAAACATCCATGTTGCTCTTGTAGTACCGAAACTCTGTCCAGCCAGAAGTGAGCCCATTCCCACTTATAATGGACAGTGGGTATAATACACCTTAATACCTGAGTGCGAACCACTCACCATGACACTTAAATTAATAGATGTTATTTATATATTTCAGGATATTACAAATAAAATCATTTTGGAAACAATTGCTATCCCAAAAGCAAATAAAGCCAACAATGACAAGGTAATAAATCAGTTTTGACATAACTAGAATACTAAAAAAGCCAAACAAAGGTGTGCACAACAGTGACAACATAACTTAACAATTTCATTATTTTGTAGGATTAAAGAAAGGTTAAAGAAAATCATGTCGAACTGATCAACAAGAATCCCCAAACAACTCAAAAGAAACCTACAAGGAAGACACCGGTATTATATTTAAATTATCTCTATCTCTAAATAGAATAAAAGAAAGTTGCTTCCAGGTCTGTAGCATGTGCTACAAATTATATTATTAACACATTTATATAATTATATTAATATAAATGTGTTAAAAATTTTATAATATGAATAATAAAAATTTTTTATTTTGTAAGAGAATAATTATAAATATTTATTTATTAAATTTTTCAAATGTAAACTGAACTTTATTGACTATAATGACTCCTTTTCCAGTCTTTGATTATTTAATTATAATTAATTATTTGCATGCAATCAAAATCTATTTCTAATAATGCCAAAGAAGTATAACTTCTTACGCGGTACATAAGTACACGCCCTTTTTTTATGGCTCTGGCACGGTTTGTGCATTAGCCAGCGTCAAGTATAAGATTTTTTTATAATTGCTTGCCTTTAGAAATTAGACCGTGTCCTCCATGTACGGTTTAAGCACTCGCCCGGTACCGCACAACCCTCCCAAAGGCCGAGGACAAATTTAAATTAAATTAAAACTTGCCCTCGAACCCGGTACCCCTCACCTAGCTGCCACTTAATAAGACCGCTAGGCAATGAGGCCCTTATTCTAGCCTTAAACACTAAGTGTTACTATATTTCTTTTAGATTTTTAATTATCTGTCACGTTTCTTCTTTTCGCCCAAGGCGCAGGCTATAGTCTTTCGACCATGTGTTAGTCTGTGGAAAAACTCAAGTGACATGTCATTGAAATTACATGTCACTTGAGTCCTTACAAGAAGCAGTTCTGTTTTAGAATATTTATATAGTTATAGTTTTAAGGTTTTTTTAACAATCTACGGTTAGAATAAATCTATAATTATTTCAGCAACACATTGAAGTTTTATGCTATTGCATATGCAACACATTGCTATATGTAATAATAATTAACGGTAATTATACTCATTTTATACGTAAATATGTAATTATATTTAGTATAGGTCTACCAGAATCTGATGGCAAAAACAAAGTTTAAAAATTGGCGATTTTCATGTGGCAACAAAAAAAAATTTCATCTGTCATCTGAAATTTCGAGGAATTGTTTTTGGTTTGGCTTCAAATTTCCTTAAAAAAGTGGTGAAAATGTCGAAGAAACCTCTTCGATCGCAAGCAAGAAATATTGTTTTCAATGTTTATCAAAGAATACTTGATCAACAAGGTGCAGAACATACATAATCATCGATATTGAGCCATGTGCAAGTGTTGACTGATTAGTAGGAATCGTCTTGATACTTTGGTTTATTGGATTTTCGTGTGTATTATATTATAAACTTATATACTTATATAAACTCTGGTTTATTTCAGGGGTTTCTAATACTACCACAAGACGAATTGTTGCCGAAGGCAGATCTAACAGAGGCGTATTAAGTACGCCCGGTAAAAAGAGGAAAGGTGGTTTTGATTTAGAATTGAAAAAAAAACCTAAATATCAGATAGATGAGATTTTAAAATCATACGGCCGCGAAGTCTTGAGGCTCCCACGATATCATTGTACGTTAAACCCCATAGAATTAATCTGGGGAATAATGAAACAAAAACTTGCGGGTAAAAACGTCAATAGACCTGCAAGTGATATAAAATTTTTAACAGAGAAGAGATTTAAGAAGCTTACTCCCAAGTAGGGATCGATGAATGGCGAAAATCTTGTGAACATGTAATAAAAATTGAAAATCAGTTCATAGAACAAGATCAGTTAATTGAGATGCAAGAGGATAGGTTTATATTAAATACTGCGTCTTCCTCTTCATATGAAGAATCTCTTTTTATGGATGTGCAGTATTTGGAACCAAATTCAAGTTCTAATAGCCTATAATTAATTAATAAACTCATGAACAGAGTAATTGGAGTTTTCATCTAAATTTCAAACCCCACATTCGCTACAGTAAAACTTTCAAAAATTATCCTTGATCATTGGATAAATTTTTATATTTGCATGTATCACACACAATCAGCCCCTTTAAGGGAAAAAAAGTATCAAAACGTTTTACTCCAATTTCCTCAATATTGCTAGCGTCAATTTCTTTTTTCCCTTTTTGCCATCAGATCCTGGTAGACCTATAACAATCTTATATTAGAACAAATATTTTAAAAAGAGAAATAAATATTACCTCCTGAGTATTATCTGGTCCCTCTAAATCAGCCTTGCTCTGTTTCTCTTTTTCGGCACTCTCTTCTGTCTTCTCTTCCTCTCTCTCCTCGTCGGATTGGTGAGGGTCGTCCTCTACTACTGCATCAGTTTTCTTAACGTCTTCTACTTCTGGGTCTTGCTGTATTCGCAAATAAAATTGTTAAGTTTTTTGAACGATTTTGTTTTTAATAAACTTCATGATTAGTTTAGCATATTCTTTTTTTTAAATTATTTAATTTTAATTACTAGTGCATTATATGCATTCGACATACTTTATGTCGTATTTTAAATAAAGCCAAATCATCCAATGAAGGTAAACAATCCAAGTCTCATCAAAATCAGTTCAGTAATTTTCGAGATATTTGGTAATAAAAGTTTTTTAAATTACTTTTATTTTGTACTTACGGTTCTAGGCCCACAGCACATGTAAGCCACAAAGCCCACAATGATGAATGACCCGATGATGACCACGGCATACACCCAGGGATTCTCACCCGCGAACTTCAGACCTCGCTCCACCAGCGATTCCTGTTGATAGCTCTAGACTAGCATCTACTCAAACAAACTACCAAACCAGTACTAGCTTAAAACCTTTTGAATATTGGTGCAATATTAACCAGCTCTACAAGGTCTGGGCCTCCAATTTCCGTATCTGTTACGTGATATTTGTGCCTGACACACGCCCTCGACTTTTTGGGTCTTAGGCAAGCCGGTTTTCCATTGTTCCGGCGAATGTTAAATGCGCACATAGAAAGTCCGCATTCGTCCGCAAGTCTTACGACCTAAAGGATGTCTCTAACACTGCTTTTTTTATTAAAGAGCAATAATATTGATAATATATATATATGTTGCTGCCAACTAGCGAATAATAAGCCTTTTAACTAAACAGCGCCGTTTAACTAATACCGTCACGCAATTTTTTTTATTGACACCCCCCCCCTGTAACGCGCCGTAACGTTTTTCTGAACCATAGTATAGTAAAACGTTTCGTGACCACCTAGTGACGCTTTATACCTAAAAGTTACCATTATGTGGTGTAAAGTACTGGAAAGTCGAAAATTAATAGTTATGTGTATAATTTAATATCTGCATAATGTGTACGTTTTAGTATCCCTATTACGCTTTCTCGCTTAAGCTGTGTTTTTGGGTATCAGAGAAATTGTCTTTAACGGATTTTACTATATATTATATTATACACGTTCCATAAAAAACTAACTTCAAAGGACGAATACCAATTTGACATATATGTTCTATCATAATCTCCTAACATGCTTGCTTAATTTTGCACCTATGATTGCATTTCTATATTAACATGTATGTATGACAATACATAAAATCAATTGTTTTAAGCCAGTTTGATTTTATAAAACCACTATCCGCTTGAGAAACACGTTTTTACGCGAGAATAGCCAAAACTAAATAGCCTACAAATCATTGACAGTGCCTCAAAGCCTAATACTTGAGCTGATCTAAATAACCTCTCTGGATCTCCCCAGCAAGTAAACAATGTAGAGAGTGATGGGCACTGCACTGTACAAAGCATACATGGCCCAATAGCCCGGCTTGTATTGAGTGGCGGCCAGAATTTTACCCCACAGGGTTTTCTACCGAAATAGTTTATGGTTAGTTTTTAATTTTAATACAGCTAATACCTAGGTAACACTGAAAATGTTTAGAAAATGAAAAACGGCTTAATGTTGAAAGTCGCCAATACTTTTATTGTTTTTCGAAGTAATCTCCGTTCCTCTCTACACATCGTCGCATTCGATGGAACCACTGAGAAAAGCAGTGGGCCCATTCTTTCTTACGGCCTGGCCACGGGGATCGGCGGTGCGAACGGCGAAGCGGGAGGCGAGGCGACCAATCACGCGGCGCCGTTTGCAGGCCACGGACCAGTCACGTTCGCCACCGCGACCAGTAAGGAAGTTCGACAGCGAAATGTCTTTATCGAAATCATCTCGATATTGCTTGGAAAGTAATAGTTTTTGGTTCAAGACCTAATATTTGGAAGAGATTGTGAAGTACATGATTTAAATAAGATTCGAAATCGAAGGTATAGATGGAGAATTCCACAAGAAGCATGAGAAATACAGAATATATCCAGATTTTTTTTTTGATTATACCAGAATGAGTATTGAAACCTTAGATTATATTCTTATGAATGAATATTCTTATGTTGAATAACCAGAATTCGAGAAAAAAGTTAATGCAAATAGAATTTTAAGTGCCGCTGAAAAATAGTTTTTGACATTAAGGTATATTAAATTTATGCTGTGGATGGCCAGACTTCCAAATAGCTGGTCTTGCCAGTATTTCAGTAATAAAAAACTCATATTCATTTTTCGCCGCGAAAACGACTAAACTTATTTAATCTCTGCTCTATTCGCCGCGACTGCCGCCTGACTCCGTGGCTTGCGCCGTACTGATTCATGCCTTTGTTTCGCTCGCCCACCGCGACGCCAGTCGCCCGCGCGATTCGCTCAGTACATTTCGCCGGTCGCCGTTGCGCGTGGCTTGATTAGTACATTGCTATGAGTTTATCATCGCTAGACGCTTCGCCGTTCGCACCGCGCGAATATTCGCATCGGCGAATGTCCCGTGGCCAGGCTGTTAGGGGTCTCTTCTATGGCAGTTTCATACGCTTTCACGCATCTTCAGGGTTCGTAAAGTGAATACCTCGAATTTTATCTTTACTCCTTGGGAATAAATGAGTCGCAGGGCGCCAGGTCAGGACTGTATGGCTGACTCATTATTTCGTTTTAGATTTGCCGCCAATTCACAAAAACATTGACAAATGAATGCAATATACTACATTAGGTTACCAAATTGAAACTCAAAAAAGTTTTCATTAGCAACGTTTCTAACTGGCCAGTTCTAAACATTTTCAGTGTTACCCACGTTTGCCCAAAGGATAATTTAAGGATTTTTTTTTAAATCTTTGAAATTTTTAAAAGAAAGTTTTTTTTAAATAATTTTGTCTGTTTTAAAATACTCACCGCCTGGCTAGTAATCCTGTCCCGTTTGAGTGTGTATGTCTGTCTGGCCCACTCCGCGGCCACCTCTTCATCGTCTGTTATGATCAAGTTGTCGAAGAGCAGCTGAGGCGACATCGACCACAGTTCGAAGCCAACGGCGGTCTGAAATCATACAATATACATATTAGGAGATTTTGCGGACCCGGCCTATGTGTTTTATTATATTTAAATATATGTTTAATATAAAGGTACACAAGCTTTTATTGCTAAAAAAAATTATTTCGTTTTTCAGTACTGCTTCTTTGTTCTTTAGTCGTTCATTCTTATTGTTGCACAGTAAGAATATTTTCTGTATCAGTTTCTATACAGAAAACCCGTTCTAATGTGATAAAAAACATAGTGTTTATTGTAAAATATCATGATTTTTTTTTTTTATGGAGCGCATCGTGCAATCAGTTTGACTATGAGCAGATGAGTTGTAGGATGGTTTGCGGGTGGAGTATTCCTCTTAGGAATATCTACCATATAATATTAGCTCAGTCAATGCTGCTGAGCTCCAAGGTTCTTCGTCTTTTGAGTCGGTTTATATACTCCGGTAGGGTGAGTTGAACAGCTAGGTGGTTAGGATGATATTACAGCCTAGTCTTGTACTTCTGAGCGTATACTTTTATTTCCTCCTTGACTGTAGGTATGCCTAGGTGTTCATGTACTTCAGCGTTTCTTATGAACCAAGGCGAGTTGCTTATTTGTTTAAGGATGTAGTTTTGTGTTCTTTGAATTTTAGTTTTGTTAGAGTCACATGTAGCTCCCCACAATTGTATCCCGTAGGTCCACACGGGTTTTATAACAGAATTGTAGATAGGAGTTTGTTGTCGATGGACAATTTCGGTTTCTACCCAGTAACCAGTACAGCCTCTTATATTTAATGTTGATCTCACGCCGTTTTGTTTCGATGTGTTTTTGCCATGTCAATCTACGGTCCAAGTGCAGTCCAAGATAAAAAATTTTGATTAGTGCATATTATATCGTTTCGATTGGAAGTGACCATTAAATGGACAAGGAAAATGCAATTAGAAGAGGGAAAAGTCTCTCTAAAGTGCTCGAAGAAAATGAATACGCCAAAAAAGTATAACTTCTAACGCGTGTACACACACGTTTTTTCCTTCAACTCTGAGGAAGGTTTTTATGCAGAGAATTTTTTTGTTTCATTCTAAGGTTTTTATTCCGGAAAAGCGAACAGTCTCAGTCTATGCTACCCCAAGCATAGCAAAATGTTCCAAATGTTGGTAAATCTATTTAAAAAAAACATATTAAGGCGAAACGAGGTTCGTGGAGGCAGTGCATTATTTATATTATATTGTACTTACAATTGTGGTCATACGGAACGGGTGCTCGTCGTTGAAGTAATGTGGGTTTGGGACGCGTCGCGGGGTCCACTTGCCTTTGTAGTTGGGGTTTGGGATCAACGGCGCCCGCCATACACCCTGAAACAATTCGTTATTTATAAAAGATCGGTACATCACTTCAGCGTCCATTTTAAGCAATTGTTTTTATAGAACAGGGAGCAAACGGGCAGGAGGCTCATCTGATGTTAAGTGATACGGATTATGGACACTTTCAATTCCAGAGTCTCGAGAGTGCGTTGCCGACCTTTAAAATGAGCCCTTTAGTTTTTTCCACATTCATAAATTGTAATATAACATTCTCGTTTCCGATAATGTCCAAAAGATCGACTACTTTTCGATCTTTATTTTCTTTATAGGCAACATAAGATTAAACTTAGATTTAAAAACCCTGCAATGAGTCAAGTTAGGATTTTGTTAGTTTAGCCCTACCCCAATTATATGTGAGTTATAAGCTCAAGTTTTAGGGTCTGTTTTACAATGTATGGATAAAGTTCCAAATAGCTTTGCAACACATAAATTATTTAGAAGATAAATTGTGCTATTTGACATTCATCGGACTCATAACTTATGATGGACTTTATGTGACGAATAGCGCTATCTGACAGTCGTAAAACGCAACAATAGTGTTTATCCTACCAATAAGTAATAAATAGCTAATTTGGAACTTATGTAGAACTTATTCGTACATTGTGAAACAGACCCTTAAACGACTAAAGCCAGTTGACCCCCAACTTCAAACGAAAGTTTAACACACATATGAACATCCCTCCAGCAACCGCCACCGAACTTAACTAGCTACAACCTTTTAAGGTCTGTATCTATTTCATGATCATTTGCCAATCGAATAGGCAAGGTCGACTAGCCTTCTGTGCCTAACACGTCGACTTTTTGGGTCTACGGCAAGCCAGTTTCCTCACGATGTTTTCCTTCACCTTTTTTCTGAAAGAAAGTCCATTGGTGCACAGCCAGGGATCTGCTTTTATGTTCCACCATACCTTGTAGTTAGGGTTGGCGATGAGCGGCGCCTTCCACTCGCCACATCCAGGGGCAGAGCTGCACAAAGGGTTGTCCACGAGAGGCGCTTCCCACTCTCCGTCCATCTCCTCCTCCCAGTCCGATGGCTTCACCGCGTCGGGGTCTGCAGAGAGGATATACACCATTTATTATTTATTTTTTTCGTAATTCTACAGCTAACATAAATTATATATAACAAAAAAACAATTATACTAAATATATAGCCAAAGATGTAATACAAAAACATTTACAAAAGGAAAAAATTTATAAAAATTATTCAATATATTTAACTAAGTAATACCTAATTCGGCTGTTTTGTGTGATGGTGTGCAAGTGAGGGTATGTACGTGGGGTGTGCTCATGATGCAGGTGATTTAGCGATATGGATATTCTTAATATTCTAAAGCATATTCCAGAAAGTAATTATGCGTCACTAACAGTTACGCCACAATAAAGCGTGGTTGACCAGGGAAATTCGGAATGCCATCACGTTTATTTGTCATTAACGTGGCGCAACGCTAATATAGTAACTATATCAAAATATCAAGTTCCAAGAATAAACGCAAATATAATTAAACAAAAATTAAGAAGTATGGCCAAAAAAGTGTGAGATCCACCATGATTTGGTGATAACACCATAAGGAAGTTCATCGATACCAAACAATGCAAACTTGTCAAACATGTATTACTAAATTGAACCTAACTCTTTAGGTTTGTAAAACAATTATTACAAAATTAAAGAAATTAGTAAACAAGTGTAGGGAGTATTTTAACATAATTTGTGTTTTTTTAATAAATTAATAAGATATTGCAATAAAAACTTTTTGTATGCATTATAATTTGTACAATTTAAGTAAATATAAATCTCACCAGGTATCATCTCCGGTTCATTATCAAGCCAGCCTGTTGGTTTAACCGCGTTGGGGTCAACTATTTGCGCCGGCGCATCTTCGTCCCAATCCTCTGGTTTGGTCGCTGTGGGGTCTACAATCTAGAAATAAATATAGAGTATTAGAAATACAATCTAAAACGGCAATAGATTTTTGTGTATTTTTGTCTTGATAATTTCTCAAAATACTGAAGTGATTTCAAAAGTTTTTCACCAATATAGACATTATCGAGGAGCACTGTTCAATCAGTTACAATCATAAGGCCAGTTGGACACATTTACCTTTTCCCTCTCATCCCAGTCCTCTGGCTTCTTATCATTAGGGTCATCAATCTCCTCTGGTGGGTTCACTGCGGGGGTGAAGTCTTCTAACAGAGACCCGGAATTGACCTCCTTATTGTCCACCAGTATTGTGAATGTGTTGTCAGGACGAACGATTAATGTATATAGGTGAGGCTCCTTGTCTTTGTATATATCGTCTAGCCGCTGACTGAAATTGTTATTAAATACATTTACAAGGGGGCCGTTCAAGTATTACATAAGCACTATTGAGGGGGATTAAAATCTTTCATTTTCTTATTTGGTGATTACGTCAACTGTAATTATTTACTTTTTTACACACACATTGTCTATGCTTGAAAACGACATGCATTTTCGAGAATTCCTACAAAAAATTAATACGTTTATGTACCATTATTTTTGAGAGCTTTGCTTACTTTTGCTGACAAGAGGTGGGGGGGGGGGGGGGATAAATTGCAGTAAATCTGCTTACGTAATACTTGAACGGTCCCCAACAAATAAAACATTTTTTAAACAAATTTAAATATATTATTAACATAAGTCAAAAAACCACAGTATCATATTGAAAAATTACTTTCAAACCTCCCTTGGGGGGCAAGAAGAGTCTTGAAAACTTGATAAATGCTTATAAAAAAGCTAGCAACAGAATATGTCTAACTTTCATTATATAGACACATAACTTGTTTTAACTCAAAAATTACGGCACGGAAAATATTGCCATTTCCACCAATATCTAGAATAATGAATGAGGAAGGTTGGTATAATTTTTAATCGCTGATCGCTGGTACATAAACAGTGCACTCACGTAGGTTTCTTGGCGTGTTTCTCCTCAATAGTACCATTCTTTGGATTCTGATGTTTGAAGATGAAGTGCAGTTTGTTGTCATTGCCGCACTTGTCTGGTCCGAACATAATTGTGTATGGAGTTTGGTCATGGAATTGTTTAAGATCATTCCGTGTGTTGACGCCTTTGGAGAGAAGCTTTAAGTACGCGCCACCACAGATTTGGCCTTCCTGTAAAATTATATTAAAAAAATTAAATATCATTTTATACAAAAATATTATTTTTCTTTCACTTGTATATTTTCATATATATTTGTAGAATGATAAGTTTTTGCATTCACAATTGTACGAGCCAAGGTTGTTCGGACTTTCTTAGTTTTATAAGCGTGGCGATTTCTTAAATCATGGACGTTACGCTCCGAGAGTATAACCAGGCGTAGGCACTCTTTTCTACTGTTTCATAGCAATTAACATTTCATTACTTCACTTATATTCTATTGTTGTACGCGAGCGGTTGATATAGAATAAAACTAAAATCTTCTATTATTTAAAGCACCCATTATACGGATTGTTTTTGGTTAAATACTACTAAGCATAATTTATTCATAAGGTAACAGTACACTAATCAACGTCAAAAAGCATTAAATCGCTTCTGATTTATATTTATAACCAGTTCTCAAATGGGCGTAGAAGAAAAGAACTGGCACACAACACTCAATATTTTTAAACAAAGTTTTTTTTTGTTCAAGATGCTATACGAACTTTCCCCTACCAATTCGACCTAGTTATCTTCTAATCACAATTGAATTTCATCGCTATATCGTGACAAAGTTACAAAATCCCCAATCTATTTGAATGAATTGTATCCGCCGGAAACATTCGGAATGCAGTCTCCATATACTTTCTATTAAACAACGAATAGTTAAGTCCCACAGTAGTTAGTATATATGTAACTTCCACAGTTAAAGTTAAAATGTGAAACTCCCGTAAAATACCAATGCGGAATTATAAGACTAACATTAGATATTGCTTTCGGAAATCGCATAACAGTTATTTAAGTGACCCTAATCCTTGGGATTGATTTGCTCTAGTTCAAACAATTTGTATGACTCAAAACTTGGCGATTTAAAAGAGTGGCGGAGAGTTTCTTGTCAGTTCTTCTCGCCCGCTCTACGCCCTTGACTTACGAACTGGTAGTAAATGTAAATACGTAGTCGGTCCCAAAGTTCTGTCATAAATGGAAATAATGATAAAAACAAAAGTACTGTCAGTTTTAATGAGTGATATATCAATTCTAGTACATTAATTAAGGAATAAAAAAGCATAAAAATATTCGAAATAACCTCCCTCATTTTTATACAGGCCCTTAAGCGTCGCGGCCAGTCGTCTATCCAGCACGACCATATTCGTGTCGATTTCAGTCACTGGTTTTTTTAAAGATGACTTCAGATTCTCCAAATTTTCATGAGGTTTATCACAGATCTTCCTCTCTAAGCCCTGTCATAATTTCTGGTCCAAAGGATTAAGGTCCGGACTGGAGGAAGGCCAATCCTCATGTCTAATTAAGACGATGTTTTGACGCTCAAACCAGGCTTTAGTGGTCTTGGCTTTGTATGCAGACGCAGAGTCCTGCTGGAACACGAAGTGATGTCCCGCAAATGGGTGCTGGACATGTCTTTGACAAGGCGATACAAAACCGTCTCTTGGTACACTGTAGCACTGGTTTTGACCCCTTTTCGAAAAATTAACCTCAGTTGCCCGTACGTAATGGACACTCCCAACCAAACCATTACTGTGTGGTGTGTCCATGTTGCCCCTTGGAACTTTATTTTCAGCTTCTTCAGAACTCCTAGCGTACACTGTATAATTCTGTTTATTGTACTTCTCTTCAATTCGAAATTTTTCGTCCGTAAAGAGGATTCCGGTGTCGGTTTTTCGCGTACCGCTTATACAACACCCGCGATCTTTAGCCTTATTGCTTTTGACGGCATTAAGTAAGTGCCCCTCTTTTTTTGTATGCTCGTAGACCAAGATCTTCATTTAAAACCTTTTTTACTGTTTTCCTCTGCACCCATCTGCAAATCCATCAACTTCTGTTTTCGGACAGGTTTCTTCTATCCGCGCCTTGATAGCTTTGTTCTGCTGGTGTTCTTGCGGGCGTGGCCACCAGTTCTTTTCTTGTCCTCAACACTGGAGACTTCAAGGTACCTATCAATAGTCCGTACACAAACCTAAGCGTTATTTCAATTTTTGAGCAACTTGAAAATGGTACTCGGCGAGTGTCCACAGCGGTGCAACGCAATAACAACTATTCGGTTTACTTTCAATGTCCACTCCATCGTGAAAAATTACGGAAAGTTATTGTTTTTTGTTTTAAAACAATAATCAAACATTCCAAAATAGAATGCAATAATTTTTTTATAAAATCCTGCTCGAAATGTAGAAATAATGTGCTAGTGACAGAACTTTGGGACCAACTACGTATAGAATCAATTAACATCTTTTCTGTTCATAAGTGTATTTGGTTACCTATATGAATAAAGTCACTTTGAGTTTGAGTGCCTACGCCTAGTGATGTAGTAAAACCCCAGAGATTGTTCCTGCTTATGAACAATTTCCATTTCATTGTATTATTTACAATACATCTTATCCTGCTTAATACAAGCAAACAAAAGATTATATTTAAAAATATGCTAAATAACATAAAGGAAAAATATTAGCATATGTTCATTTTAGGATCGTATATTTGTACGTAAATAGCATGATAACGTCAATGCTCTCGGCATGTTTATGACACGGCAAATGCGTGAGGAAATTATTACCATACAGAAGATAACTTTAAAAACCAGAAAGACTGTTTTAAAAAGTATAATAAAAATGTTAATCAAATGTCTTGTAACAATCTATATATGTGAACAATAAAGATAAAATCTAACCCAAATTATTGAATTTTAATTTAATTTAATGTAAAAGCAATAAAATAGTTTTAATAATATTCAACTCATACAATTTTTGGCCTAATAATAATAATCCAGAAGCTTTCTATCAGCAGATTTGGATGTCCAACTGACTTTGACCAACATTCTGTGCCTAAATCCCATTTATGAAATACTAAGACGAACTAACATTACTTTCGAAGCTCGGTAAAGTTATTGATTTTTCCATAGGTAAAGATTTAAGACGCAACATTCGCCTTTTATTGCATGTTCTTGCGCAGTAAGCTGATAAGCCAATTAGTAGTGCATTGTAGGGATGCTAACCCTTTTACAATGCTCCATTCTAGTCGAACATTTCTAGATGTGCTTGAGAAATTCCCCACTTTCTCTTAGCCAAATTGGTAGTCTGAATAGAGATTAGCGTAGTCGAAATGGTTTATTAAACAATAACTGGAGTAAAATATACTGTTTTCAAATATTGCTGGCAGCCCTAATCTTTTATGTTATAAGTTATAATATAACCGTGACTTGTATATTTTAAAATACATTTTGTATTTAAAAATAAATTTTACTGCATTTGGGTATATTCCAATGTTAGTTTATATGCTGTGCAATTATAGAATATTAATTATATTCTATATATAATTTGTAAGAAATGTCTTCATAATAAATAAATTAATCTAAATAACTAGTTTTTTATACTCAGATAAATTATGGCTTCGAATAGGAATAGATTGAATGGTAACTAGAATATTAGTATATATTCCAGACAAAACTATTGAATGAATTCTTTATATCAAAAGTCACTAAACAAATACAAACACATTTATCCACATTTACCCTGTAAGAACCAGTGAACTAAAATAAATCTTTATACCTTTATATCTAGTACATTGTATTAATACTAATTAACTTCTCCAATACATGTTAACTATTACTAGAAAATACTGAAACGTACCTGCATAGTGACTTCATACTGCACAATTAATGGCTTATCACTGAACACAAATGGCCTGTTGAGTAAGGCTGATATCGCTGCATGCTTGGCTTCTGTTGTAAGCACCAGTCCAAAGTCATCCTTAAGTAAACGTCTTGCTGGTGTTTGCAACTAAAACAATGTTAATCAAGTGAGCAGTTGCTCTTCTACTTTCGAACTCAACTTAGGTTGAAAAACGACAAATAGTTTGTAAATGTTCCAGATATCTTAACAAATCATGTGCATTATTTAGAACTGACTGTAAACTTGCCTACTATAAAAATATTTAGACAACAAATTCATCTCTTATAGTGTAGTGACTTTACTAGAACATTAAACATTATGACTTATTGTATATTTTTAATGTATAGATAAATAAATGTCAAATTTATGTTACAATTAAATAGAACAGATAATTTAACAAAAATATAGTAGTTCTTACCTCCCATTTTCCATCATATTTGGCAATGGTATCATCAACTCCTTGCTTTTTGGTCTCCGATTTCACCCATTTCTTTTTAAAAGCCTCTTCATCATCAAAATGTTCCGCCAAGTATGCTTTTTTAGAATCAATTTGAGGTGTCTGGTAGCCATCTTCTTCTACTGTCTATATAATTAAAACTTAATCATTAAAATACCTGTAGACCTTTTATCATTTTATATGAGATATATGACTTGATATATATGCATATCAAATATAACTGCGACTAAATAGACACAAACTGGTAAATTAAGGTCATATGAAGATAAAAGTATATCTTTAAAAAAAATCTTATCAGGTTGTTAGCACCTAAGTCAAATAAGCTTTTAATACAATATTGAGACATGTAAAATATATTTTTAAGTGCACTACTTTAGATTTATTTTAATTTACTTTTAATTTATAAGATGATTTCCCCTCATAAATCCAAGAAAAGACATGTAACAACTGATACATATACGTATACTTTTACAGAAGTAATGGGTTTAACTGGGTCAAACTAACCTCAACAGTAACCCCATCATCTAGGATTTCGGCTTCAGCGTGGACAGAGGAAGTCGCCGCAAGCACGATAAATGCGCTTGTAATTACAAGACGAAGTAGAGCCATCTGTAAAGAGTTTTAAATTAAATGTTGGAGTCACGACCCGTAATTCAATTAAATAAACAAGTACCGATGACTATAGTCCAATAATGTAACCCAAATGTTTATTCGACACTGAAATCGTACGATGGTATTTCTTTATTTAATTTATAAATAACTTGGTTTACAAGTAGTTATTAATGATTTATTTTAAACTAGAATAAACAAAATTGATTAGCGGTTAATATACGAACCTTGCTCATAAATAATGACTATGCTGTTAATTCATAAGTTACTGATTTAATCAATGGGATGTATAATTTTTTTATTTGCGATAAAACAAGCGAAAGCTGATATTATAACACCGCAATCCACAACTACTGCTATTTGCTGTCTTTTTCACTTTCTGTCGCAGACCAAAAATTAGTTGAAAATTTAAATGTGCATTTATTTTTGAAGTTCGCATTGATATATTTATTTTTTATATTATTCGCTGAGTAATTTTAATCTTCATTCTAGGCGAACTTTTATTGGTAGTTTTCACTTGGTTAGCTCGATTTTGACCAATCAAAAGTAAACATTTGTCAGTAGCTTTTTGTCAAACAGTGCTGTGTGCCAATGATGGTCATGTTACAGTTTGCCATAGATATATAAAAAACATTCCTGTCAAATATAAAAACCTGCTTTTTGAAGTTTTTTGAAGACATATTGCAAAAATAAAAAAGGAATAGTATAACTATAATATAATAAACCTATGTAGATATATATTAATGTAATAATTACACTGTTACATGTAGTACAAATATATGAAATCTAGTTATATTCTTGGTGTGTTTGCTTGTGATAACATTTTTGTGTTATATTGTATATAAAATTTAAGATATACAGTTTATGTAGATAATACTTTTTTTGTTTCGTTTGATTTTTCAGTTTCTGATAGTGAGATAAAGTGAGAAAAGCTCAAGAGGTGATCCCTAGTCCCTAGATGCAGATGGTGACATCTACTTAATCTGTGGTCTGTGGTCACAAAGCTCATGTCTCCCGCCTCAGATGGGATAAAAAGATTTGTTTGGTTTATTTGTAAACTAGTAATTCATATTACTGCTTCTACTTTATTTTTAATCATTATCTTACAAAAAATTAATCTCATTATTAAAGTAGCTTAAAAATTGCATTTCTTGAACTAGTTTCGTATACTGGGGCCTTAGTCAAGGTGCCTTAACAGTAGTGTATGTAGAAAGTCAAAAACTAAATTTGTATGAAAACTTTTCGCCGAACTGTCATTTCCATACAAATTTAGTTTTCGACTTTCTACATACACTACTGTTAACGCATCTTGACTAAGGCCCCTGCAGTGTTGGTGGCGAAGCCGGTAAACGCGTTTTGGACAGTAATATTTAAATTGTTGCCATATAAGTGCTCCTGTTTTTAATTGTTTCGTTTACGTTAAAATTATACTAGTTTCAATTTTACACATTATACCATGGGCGTAAGAAATTGTGTTACAACTTGCGGTTAAAACTCTACTTTTTATTTTAAGACAAACAAAAGGTAAGTTTTTTTTATTTATTGTATAGTTGTAATTAATAGTTTTTGTTATTGTCGAGTATTGTTTGGCATAGATATTCTGTTTAATTTCAGACTGTCTTAAATAAAGTTTTTTATAGTATACAAATACTTTTTTATAATGTAAAAACAGATTTGCTTTAATAATCTTAGTATTTCCATTATAAAAATTTATTTTTTTAATATCTTATCTGCCTTACTGAGATAAAAGTTCTGCTGATAATTGTTGTAATTTGTAGTTGATTATTATTTATCTATCTAACAAATGACTAGCACTAGTGATTTGTTAATTAAATCTTTTTTTATTACAGGACTACACATTAACATGATGAGACGACACATTCTAATATATATTATAACCCCCTTCCCCCCTTTTTTTTTGGGTTTTTTTTGTGCCCCCCCCTCCCCCCCCCCGGGGGGTTCCCCCCCCCCCCCCCCCCCCCAACCCAAAAAAAATTTTTTAAAAATTTCGCCCGGTTTTTTGGGGAAATATATATTTTTAATAATTGGAACTATATACCTTGTAAAATCCTTCAGTGATGTTAAATCTTTAGAACCATTTAAACAATCATTGCATGGCACTGTGGTAAAGGAATATTTCATACCTTCTAGTTTGAGAGTAAGTTATTGTACTTGTAATTTGATACCTAGATTTCCTTTCACTTTCAAGAGGATTGAAATGTTAAAGCTAGGAATTAAACATGAGTTGCTCATTTATATACAATTATCCTCTCTCTCTCCTTTATATGACCCAATACCATATTTGATTTGGCAGATGAATAAAACACATTTTTACTGGAACATGATGAGATAAAAAATGTTTAGGAATTAATCTTGTTCTCCTAGATTGTTATTTCCAAATATATTTTGTTCTTTTATCTTTTTTCTATGTTTGGATGTGTTTTTGATTAAAAAACTGCAAATGAATTTCCTTACAGAAAATTGACTGGCATGATTATAAGAAGATAAAATATGAGAGGAAACAAAAGGGTGTGTATTCATTTGATTTAAATTGTTAAATATGACATCTTGAATAACTATGTTTTAATTCTTATAGGGATTGGAGAGCAGGGCATTCCTGCATATTTATCTAAAAATGAGGAAGCACTTGAAAAAGTATTATACTCAGTAAATGGATTTAATGGCGCACTCAGTGATAAAATACCTCTTAATCAATCTTTACCTGACATACGGCATATTAAATGTCAGAAACGGTTATATATTGAATCGTTGCCTACAGTTAGTGTGGTGGTACCATTTCATAATGAGAATTGGAGTACATTACTTCGTACAGCTGTTAGTGTTCTTAATAGGTCACCCGAGTTCTTAATAAAAGAAGTAATTTTGGTGGATGATGCTAGTACAAAAGGTAATTTGAACTTATATTACTGGCTCTTATATTTATTATAATGTATACCCATTACTCATGCGGCAACATTGTGTGAGGTCTTATATAAATTTTTTTTTTTTTGCATTTATTATTGTTTTTCCCTGATTTGAAGCTTACTGCATATACCCTATGCAATAAGCTACAATGATAATTAAATATACATAAAAATATTAACATTAAACCTTAAGACTTCATGATAATGATAATAATAGTATGGAAATACCAATTGTTAGTTTAAAATATTTATTTATGAATAATTCATATCCGCCAACTGTGTAATTATCTTATCAAGGGCACTAGTAACATACAATTTCAGCTCTACCTTCATGTTTCCTTTTAAATTTAAATAAACTTGTAAGCATATACTGCTAATTATTTTATTATATATAAAATTGTTTGATTTGGATTAAAGGAATGCACACAGATTTTAAACAAATTGGTAGTTATATTTTTTTTGCCCATAACTTGATCCACAGTATTATTACGGTAGGACCACAAAACTACATCCAAATTCCAAAATATTTTTAGATTATTATGATATCAAGAGCTCTTTGAGATATAAAGAAAAAGTTATGTGCTGCAATATCAGGAACTTTCTCTCTAAAAACGTTATTAGATTGTAGAAGCTTAAGTGATATTTAAAAAACATTGTAATTATTGATCTAATTATAATAATTTCAGAGTTCATATTTTTTCGGCAAGTGGGTGATCAGCCTTCTCCGATTGAAATTTATTGGTCTAAGGCATGTTTCCTCACTATGTTTTCCTTCATCGTAAGAGTGTCAAATATCTAAGAAGTCATCAATGCACAGGCATAATTCGACTTCTGGCACCTGCTGAAACCACTAGTATACCACTAGTATACCCAAAAATATACCACTTACAGTGAAACGCAAATGTTTTCAGATTTCTTAAAAAAGAAGCTAGACGACTATTTATCAGCCAACTTACCCAAAGTGCGAGTGATAAGGCTGGCCAGCCGGAATGCTCACAGCTCGACTTGCGGGAGCCAAAGCGGCTTCGGCTGACGTCTTGTTATTCCTGGTCTCGCATACAGAAGCAAACGCCAACTGGTTACCTCCACTGTTAGGTCTGTGTATGTATTCGCTTTTGCTGTACTTTTTCTCGAATGTTCTACTCTAAATCTGACACGATCCGTGGATTCGTCATTTCTAGATTTTCAAATCTTTGGTAGATGTTATTTAATATTTAAATAATTGTGTTGAAAGGTTTTGGAAGGATTCAAAATCCTTACGTTTATGTTGGGAAGAAAAAACTTGGTTCTTTATATATCGGCTCATCTGAAGATACTGCCGCCTATGGACACTCGCAGAAGGCTCGATAGTACGTTGCCGACCTTTTGCAAATACTTTGATGCATGCTCCTGAATCTTAAAATACTTGCAGTTGTCTAAAAGCCACTCAGTTATTATTATTATTATTACTATGTATATTACTTAGCAACTTAGTAAACTGATGCGTGCGTATTTGGGGATTTGGAGAAATTATCCAACCTATTTTTAAAAGGGTCCAAAGAGTGAAAAGAATCAGGAAAGTTATGTTATAAACTTTAAATAATTATTACAGAAATACATATATTACTCTTACAGACTATGCCAATACGATAATGTCGAGAAAAATAAAATATAATATTAAACGCATAATATACACAATATCGCTACTGTGAATTCACTCTGCGAACATATAAATATGTCGATAGTGTCGGAGACAGCATTCAGTAGGCGCAACGTTTTTGTTAAAGGGGAATCTGTGCAACAGACTGGTTCTGGCCCTAGGCTTTCGCCGTCGCACATATCCCATAGGTACAAAGAAATAACATAATTAAGCAACACATTTAAAAAAAAATCTGCACAATTGTCTTACGAAAATTGCTGATAATTTTAATAATAATTACAGAACCAATAGCCCTAGATCACCGCACAGTGGTGTGTCCATACATTGACGTGATCGCCTACGACACATTCGAATATCGTGCCCAAGACGAAGGAGCGCGCGGGGCCTTCGACTGGGAGTTGGTCTACAAGAGATTGCCCTTGTTGCCTAAGGACGTCGACAATATGCCGGAGCCATTTGAGTGAGTAACAATTGGCAATAAATAAAATAATATCCCTGACATTATAAAACAAATCTAAATGTTACTATTGTGGCCGATACACATATTTATACTAAAACTAGCGGACCGGCCAAGCGTTGCTGTGGTTAAGGTTTAAGTTATATTAAATAGTAGTTAACCTATTCGAGGGAAACGGTAGGAGGACACCAGTCATAGGGACCACCATGCTTTTTGGTGCTTATGCCATTAAATTGTAGCTTATTTGAAACGTTGGTACTTTCAACACAGCGTCATCCATTAGAATTGTGTCAAATAATAAACAAATATTTTGCAATAAATTACTATTGCGTGTATAAGTTGAGATGTAAGTATCCTATCTTTTAAGTTGGATCAAACTGCACACGGTGTGCAAATTTGATTGATATCGGTTCGGTAGTTTAGGAGTCCATAGCGGACAAACAACGTGACAAGTAATTTATATATATTAAGTTAAAAAGTCGATGAAAATTTCGATATATCCTTTCCAAGAAGAACGTCACAAAATTGTCAGTCGTAAGGATATGGAGAAATTATGTTAGTTTGGGAACGATAAAAGTAGTTCGACTGATAGCCTACTAATACTTTTCCTCTCAATAGTTCAAAAAACATACAAAACACTCACAACTAACTCGTAACTACATACTAACAAATGTAATTGGCAAAAAAAACATGTGTGCAATTCACACGTGGTAGAAGTAAAACCTTTAAAAAATGTTGGCTTTTTCACTATCTACAAGTAGTATTAGACTTTTCTATAAATTATTTTTGAAGTTATACTTCTTTTGACGCGTTAGGGAAAAATGAAGAGAGTAAATTACGCGCACACACCGTTACAAAAAACCGACACCCTGAAGTTAGCATAGTCAACATTTTAAAATAAAAAATGTCTATTTCTTTAATTACGTAGAAATAATTTTTTATTTATCTAGATAATGCGTTATAATAAAATTTTCAATGCCTTTTTTCTATTGTTAGTGTCGTTTTTTTCTACAAACATTAGAATAAGGCGAAAGATAAAATTTTTAAAACGATTTTTATCTTATTACGCCAAAGAATAACTTCTAACGCGTGTACAAAAGTACACGCACATGTTTAATGGTTACTTTTGATAAAAACTAAAATAATAATACATAAATTCATTAGATTTAACGTGGGAGAAAATGAGATAGGGACCATTATACAGTGTATAAACTTTAAATTAGTGTGACTATACATTTTCTTCAATGATAAGCTCATTAAAGAAAACCGTCTTCTGATACGAGTTGTCCAAAATTCCAGGAGTCTGGTAATGGCGGGAGGTTTATTCGCGATGTCCCGATCGTTCTTCTGGGAGTTGGGGGGCTACGATCCTGGATTAGACATATGGGGAGGGGAGCAGTATGAACTCAGTTTTAAGGTGAGAAATTGGAGAATAGGAATACTTATAAAGAGTTTACACTGTAAATAGAATTCTAGTTTTAGATACAACTATTTTGTATAATCACTTTACAATAGGTTTATTAATAGGTATAACTTATATTATAAAAAATTATTATAGAATTAGGTAAATGATTAATTATTAACATTCTAGTTTTTTTGGTAGACAATATTTTAGATAATGGCTCCATACTTTTTTTTAAAGTCTTGGTTATGCACTTGCACTTTACCCATCATATTTTTTTTTAGTTTTATTCCTTACTAAGGTTGCCTGCAAGCGATCGCCTGTTAATGATAAAGCCACCCGTTGCATCCCTTATAATTTTTATGTATTATGTTAATTGTTTTTCTATAAATGTAAGTGCGAATAAATAAATAAAAGTTATTATGCAGGAAAATTTGTACCGGTCTATAGAGAATGACCAAGAAATGAAATGTAAGGCGAAAACTAAGGGTTCTAACGCCCCTACTTTGATGTACCTAATAAACTCTCTAGAAGTATATTATTTTTAAAATAAATAATTTAAAATGTTGTTTTTCAGATCTGGCAACGCGGTGGTCGAATGGTGGACGCGCCGTGTTCCCGTGTGGGACATATCTATCGAGTTTGCCCCATTCCCCAACCCGGGGCATGGAGACTTTGTGGGATGGGTGCGTATCCAGTAAACTTTAGTGTGTAAATGTGTCAGGAGTTTTTTTTAATAAAAATATTTGCCGTAAGTGCTTTTGTGTGTATGCATTGGTAATTTTCTTTAAGTAGAAGTGTTAGCTTGGTGACTTTCGCGTGCGATTTCCATCTCTAAGTCCGGAATTACAAACTAATTTCCCCAAAAAAACGCGCGGGGCACGAAACTCAGTTGCAGTTATGAAATAATGCATGCATTACCAAAATTATTAAATTACACGTGAAACTGTTGGTAAAACTAATGTCACGAAATTAATTTCGTAATGTAATTCCGGCTTAAAGGTCGTAGGTAAGGATTTTTCTTTCGAAATGAAAAACATCGGCAACCGAAACCATAGACAGATATTGAAGAAACTCTAGGGTACTTAGTTGTCAAAAATGGTCAAGATATAAATTGTAGGCCAAAACAAGAGCTGTAGTGCCACTTATAACAAACAATCATAACACTTAATAAGGCCCTGTCTTCATTTCTTTTTAATTATACAGTATAAAAAGCGAAAAGATATATTCATTAAAAAATGATGTAATAACTTTTTTAGAACTACCGTCGCGTGGCCGAAGTTTGGATGGACGAGTACGCTCAGTACTTGTACAAGAGACGACCCGACTATCGCAACATCGACACGGGAGACATCTCCGAACAGAAGGCTCTGAGGGAGAGGTTGCGTTGCCGGTCCTTCAGGTGGTTCATGACCCAGGTGAGGACTTACTGATGCACGATTTGTATTTATTAATTCTCTAAAAGTTTAATCTACTTATAATCTAACTACAGTGGACTTTCAATAATTTCAATCCCGATAATTTGATGTGTTTATGCACAGACCTGTCAATTGTTTTATAATTCTTTGGACCTGTGAATTGTTTTTTAAAATTCTTCGGCCATATCAATTGTTTTTATGTTCTTTGGACCTGTCAATTGTTTTTTTTAATTCTTCGGACCTGTGAATTGTTTTTATATTCTTTGGACCTGTGAATTGTTTTTTAAAATTCTTCGGCCATATCAATTGTTTTTATGTTCTTTGGACCTGTCAATTGTTTTTTTTAATTCTTCGGACCTGTGAATTGTTTTTATATTCTTTGGACCTGTGAATTGTTTTTTAAAATTCTTCGGCCATATCAATTGTTTTTATGTTCTTTGGACCTGTCAATTGTTTTTTTTAATTCTTCGGACCTGTGAATTTTTTTTATATTCTTTGGACCTGTCAATTGTTTTTTAAAATTCTTCGGCCATATCAATTGTTTTTATGTTCTTTGGACCTGTCAATTGTTTTTTTTAATTCTTCGGACCTGTGAATTGTTTTTATATTCTTTGGACCTGTCAATTGTTTTTTAAAGACGCTGTTGATGTGGTGTTATTATTATTATGGCAAAAGGAAAGTGTGAAAATTAAATGTGATGCATCAGCTGTGTAATTAAGCAAATAATGTTTTTAGGTGGCGTTCGATTTAACAGTGAAATACCCGCCGGTGGAACCCAACGCTTTTGCTGAAGGGAGAGTGAGTTTTTTAATGTTTAATCTATGGTAATAATTGACAAATCGATTTTGAAAATTAGAGCTTTATAACGGTTCAATTGTACTCACTGCAAATCAAGTTAAAGTATAAGACAAAATGGTCGATTCGTGTCAATTTTCTTAAGAACGAGATAAAAATTCACCTGATGTTAAGTGATACCGCCCATGAATACTTACCGCTGGAAGGCTCGCGAGTGTGTTGCCAGACTTTTAAGTGACACATTTGTGATTGGTCAATTAGATCTCCGATCACAGTCAAGCGAATGTATACGTTTTAGATTATGACCTCAAAGTATCAATTAATCGAACTTTGATAATCTCCAAAAATTGCGTTACGTAATACTTGAACGCTCCCTAATACCATTTTTAGAAATATATTTATCGGTTATAGATAAAACCGGTGTCGAATCCGCAACTATGCGTAGACGCATATAACGGCGCACGGATGGACAAACTGCTTCTAAAGAGGTGTACGTAGAGCACAGCGGGCGAACAGAAGTTCATGCTGTCTTGGCATAAGGACATCAGGTGAGGGGATGAAATTTAATTAATTATTATTAAGAGTATAATATAAGTTATTGAAAAATAAGTAATATTATTGTTTGTTGTCCCCCTCATAGGCCGGCAACGCACCCACTAAAATGGGTGTATATATCGTATTATATCGATTATATTGTAATCGATCAATTCAATCGTGATTTCCATTTACCTCCTTCCCTATATCCATACAAAATAATAGATATTTAAAAAAAAAATAAAATTTAAATTTTCTTTTGAAAAATGCATCAGTGCCAATCAATGCCATTCCATCAGTATTTTCTTATGACGTTGTCACGTTCAACTATCGTCAGTAAACCGACTTTACAGACAACCGATTTTTTTTACAAAACGGAAATTCATTCAAAACGTTCTTTTGAATGAATTTGAAAAATTTTATAGAATTTTAAAATCAATATTTATTTTAATTGTGTTGCATGAACTGTATATTATTATTTTATTTACACACATTCTTGGACATTTTTACCTATTTAATTTGTATATATTTGTTATTACTAATATTTATCATTCCAGGAGACAAAACGCTTGAAGCAGGCCACAATTGACGGTTGTCTCGACTGGGATCCGAACACACGAGCCCTATATATAATGCCGTGCGGGGACGCCACCACTCAGCAATGGAGTATAGACCACGTGGATTACGAGATGATGGGGAAATGGGACAACGTGGCTAAACCGGTCACCGGACCGGTTGAAGATTATTAATTTTTATGATTGATTATTTTTTGATGTGGATTTCTAAGTAGGCATTATTTGTCTTTCTACTGAGGCGTTGAGTTCACTTATTAATTAAAAAAAACTAGTTAAATATTTTAAAAAATGTTTTAAGTATAAATTAAAAATATGCTGTATATTTACAATAATGCAATTTTTTTATGAGTTTTTAAACAGTTTCGTAACTTTATTTCAAATATTTTTTAATTATAGTTAGTGGGCAAAAGTTATTATACATAGTGCATAAAAAATATAGTAATCTATTTTTTAATTAGATAGGGAAGTTTGTAAAGATTATAAATGTATGTAAATGATAAATTTGCTATAGTTGAGTTGTACAGAAAAGTAGGATTTTTTTTAATTAAAGAAATATCATTGTTAAAAGTTCTACGTGCATTTATAAACGCATTTTATAACTAAAAAACCGTAAAAAATATATTTCCCTTTTTTTATTTTTTAAAATAAATTTAGTACCTGTACCTACTTTATTGTTTGTTTTTTTTACATGATTGTTTAAAAAAAATTGTTTTAAGTTCGTTAAATATAACGGGTGGTAATTCCGTCCGTAAGTAAATATATTTCACAATAATAATAATAATCTTTATTTTCTTCTCTCACATATACATACAAGGTTTTTATGATTAAACTAAGATGATAACATTAGGAAGTGTATGTGAGAGACTGGTCTCTGTAACAGGAGACCTGAGTGACAGATAGCCAGCCTCTCCACCACCGGACCGGAACACGTACAATCAGGTCATTGTCATAAGATACAATAGAAGAAAATAAGTATTAAGTGCTAAAAGAAAACATTGCAAACGGAGTCGTAAAAATAAATTTGGTGTGAGTGTGCATGTGTGTGTGTGTGTGTCTCTCTCTAAGTGTGTGTGTGTGCGTGCGTGGGTGTGTGTATATATGTGGGGGAGTGGGTGTGTTACTGAATACAGTTATTAAATCTTCTGTTTCATCATAACTCAACGTCTTCAGCCAAGTATACCATTTTACATTCAATTTAGATAGTGGGTAAATGTTAATTTTTTCATTTAATTTATATACAAGTAACAGCCTAGGAAACCAAAGAATCTTTGCGAGAAAGAGTTGTCCATTGTGTAGTACACAGCAACTTTTGTTTTCCGCTTGTTTATATTTAATTCGGGGTCGTAACTGTTTTATAATGTTGTTTTAAACTGTGTTGAGAATAAATAATTGACGTTGTTTATACTCGGCTAGGGCATAAAGCTCTTTGGTGGGAAAAGAAGCGGTAAGGGTGACTTACTTTTAACCTGCTCGTTGGCCCTTTCCGTTTTAGGGTTGGTTTTGAGTACCTCCCCAAACAGTGTACATGCCTAAAATTGACTGCTAGCCTGATAACTACGTTAATAAATTTTTTGTCTGCTGACAAAAAATTTCAAAAGTCTTAAGTTTTAAAGATAATGAGTTTCGGTTCTGCATGGGAAGTCCACGTGAGAATTAAAGTCAAGTTACTTCGATAACTCACCCTCTTTACTTGGCGGGTGCTTTGGCAATGGCAGAGTTGATTTGAAGAGCAAGTATGGGCTGTGATAGAAAAATTATCATGAATGTGTGAGGGAATGTTTTTAATAGAGAAGGGCATAAATTTTGTTTTATCAACATTAAGCGTAAGGCCGTTGCCTCTCAACCATTCATTAACAAGGCCAAAACCAGGCTGCGCAGAATTATAGACATCATTTCAATTGTTGCCAGAGAATACAAGGGCAGTGTCATCTGCAAAAGATATTATCTTACCATTTGGCAACTGGAGGTTACATAACTCATTAATGAATGCTAGAAACAACGTTGGGCCAAGTACGCTTCCCTGAGGGACACCGGAAGTTATTGGCAAGTCACTACTTACAAAGTCACCGACCTTCACCCTTTGAAATCTATTTTTAAGGTAACTTTGGAAATTACTCAATTGAGAACCACGGATACCCAGAGATTCAAGTTTGTTTAAGAGAAGTGGGACAGAGACTGTGTCAAATGCCTTAGCAAGGTCCAAAAATATCGCTATAACTTTTTGCTTTCGGTCAAGTTTGGCTACAATGTGATCAGTAAGTTCGTGAACGGCGTCGTTTGTAGAACTACCGGAACGGAAACCAAATTGCGAGCTAGAAATGAGATTCTTGGTCTCAAGATAGTGAACAAGGCGTTTGTTTATGAGTTTCTCTATTACTTTTGCAATCGTGGGTAGTTTAGATATTGGTCTATAATTATTGACACATTCTCTGTCACCACTCTTGAAAATTGGAACAATATCAGCCAGCTTAAGCTGATCCGGAAAAACGCCTGTGGAAAAAATCAAATTTACAATGTATGTCAATGGTGGGACTATTATTTGATGATACCGTTTTAATATAGCACCTGAAATATTATGCCGTCCAGAACATTTGTCTTTTTTTAAATTGAGAATACAGTTGCGAACTTCACTTTCATCGGTACTATCCAAAACTAAGGATGCTAGTGGCTTGGGCATTGAGGATATACAACCCTTACCATAAGAATATGCCTTTTCAGCCAGATCTTTACCAACAGAAACAAAGAATTTATTAATATAATTGATCGATTCAGAGGGGTTATCAGGAGAAATAAGTTGCTCAGCAGGTCTACTGAGTTTTGATGTATGCGTTAATTTTCTAATAGTGTCCCAGAGTGCTTTATTATTTGTGTTCGCCGCTGATTTCAACTCTTTCTCCTCATATTCCCTTTTAAGTTTCTTAAGGAGCCAGTTCCAAAAATTTCTGTACCTTTTGTAGGTTATTTTCTTAATTTCATTGTTCGGGTCTTTTTTATATCTTTTATGAAGTTTATCTCGATTTCGTACACATCTTAGAAGACCAGCAGTCATCCAAGGCTTCTTTAGCCTCTTGCGATTAGGTACGGTGTGAGTTTGAGTATTAGAATTTATTTTAGCAATTTAATCTCCGAGATAAGAAAAGAAGTAGCAACATTTGCATCTGAAACCTGATAGATCGGTTCAAAGCAAAGGTTTTTCATGTCATTATCTAGGCCTATATAATCAATTTTACTATGAATGAAGTCCTTATTTTGTTTGTGAGATTGCTGGTCTTCCAGTATGAGAACTACGCTGTCATGATCAGTTACAGATGATTCAACTACATAACAAGCGGAAGAAAAAGTACTTTTCATAAAAACATGATCAAGGCACGTCTTGTTGTGAGTCGATATTGTATGTGCGGGTAACAGACCATGAGAAGCTAGTAGATTTAAATAAAATTGAGAATTCACATCCCTAGTGTTTGGCATAATATCGATATTGATATCACCAATAATTATGACTGAAGATAATTTTAGAATGGTTTAGAGATAAAACTATTTATTATTCTTAGGCAAAAAGTCGTACAGATAATCAGCATGCATAACAAAATGCTAGAAAAAGACAAGGTACCATGATATTGTTACAACTGTGACTTCTCTTCTATATACATATTAACATACATAAACCTTCGCTCTATAGAAACAAAACACATAGAACAGGGGGCAAACGGGCAGGAGGCTCGACTGAAGTTAAGTGATACCGCCGCCCATGGACACTCAGTGCCAGAGGGCTCGCGAGTGCGTTGCCGGCCTTTTAAGAATTGGTATGCTCTTTTCTTGAAGAACCCTAAGTCGAATTGGTTCGGAAATACTTCAGTGCTGAAAGTCAGCTGCAGCCGAACAACTCTGAACACTCCATGGTAAATGCGGTAGAAGATGCAGAGTGACCACATCTCTACGCAACGCCAATAGAAGATCTATTTATAGAATAGAAGTCATAGTTGTAACAATGTCATTGTATGTTGAAGTGATTTTCAGACACTACTAAGTCTGGAGTCACACTTATGTATGTATAACTCGAAAACAATACACGTTTCTATACAAATTGTATGAAACGTCGTATCGATATGTCAAAATTATTTGTATCGACAAATATTTCGAATCTAGTGAAAATCTTGTCTATTAAAAATGCCATTTGTATACTATAGATTATTTTTATACATTAGGTTTATAAAATTAGTTTTTCCTTTTTACTATGTATATTGTGTTTTTGTTCCTTAACAATTATATCTACATAATTTTAAGACATATAATACTTAAGCTTTATAGAATAAAGTGTATTTTTGATTATTTTAATCTATTATTTTACCTACCTAAAGTTGGCTGGATTACCCGAGGAAGGTCCATATATATATATAAAGGTTACTCAATTCGGGATGGAAGAGTGTAGATAAACCTCTTTTCACGTTCATTATCAAAGAAGTTTCACATAATGTTGTAAAGCGATAGTTTTATTCTTCAAATTTACAGGCAAATATTTGGTGCACTGGCAAATAATACAGGTTAACTGGACCTGAGCATTTGATAGAAAAGAAATGTCAATAAAGGAATATTAGAATGTTACAGTCGTTCAGTTCCAAAATCTGGACTGCACGATCCACGTCTAGTGTAATATGCATAAATAAGGAGATATATCTATCGGCTTAGTCAAAGACCAGTCCGAAAATTTCCGTCGCAAAAACGGAAATTATGCTAGTAAACCGTTCAGGTTGCTAACGACTGTTCTTGTTTATTACGAAGCTTAGAGATTTGCCCAAAATCCCGAGCTTAATTGATGCACAAAGCATATAAAATTACGACATTTCTTTGTGCTTGAAGTAAGTGCAGTAGAACTTAAAATGGTGAAGATATCGATTGAAATGCTAGATTTTTTGACTAAGGCCAATAAATTTTATTATTTAAAATAAGTCAACAACGAAATATGTTAAAGTAAATATACGTTGCAACCACTTTCGTATGTAATATGACCTTAGTAACGGTTATAACTGTTTTTATGCATTGTCTTACAAAGTCTACAGAAATCTATTGTACAAAATATTGTTTGCATTGCTATAAATATTTTTTTCCCTCCTGAATTCCTCCAATCTACAACTCCTACAGCACATTAAAACATCCCACTTTAAGTAACTTTACTGCTGCTAACTGGTCCACGGTACAGAATAGTAATTGGTGTAGTGAACAAGGGCCACAGCGGCAGCATTTTTATATTAATTTCGCTGTTTTGTTAAAAATTAATTAATTTAAACATAAAACTGGACCGGGAGCTTCATGGTGCACAGAAAAAGTAATTGTTTTTATTTTCAGTAGGTCAATAAAGTTTTGAATATGACATTCATCGAGCTATTTTACAAGGAAATTAAGAAGGTGGTTGTGGATAAAAAAAACAAATGACAGTTTATTACTTTTATTACATATTCCATTAGAATACTATATTATGCACGCTTACACGCACCCACGTACTAGACTTACTGACTGCAGACTATACACATACCGGTACTACGCGATATCTACAACAGATTCAACAATTAAATGCGCAGGAATCTATTCGATAGCAATTATAACTTGACCCAAGTGCGAAAGAGATGGAATACGACGTGGAGTTAGAGGAGGATCCGTCTCTTTCGCACCACGGCTAGTGTATAATTGTACTCTTAAATGCGATCGCATCTGTAAGCTCACTAAAATCCTAGAAGCTTAGTCTATGGTAAAATTGATGACACTAGTACCTGATCGATTCGTTATCCACGTAACAGAGTATAAATGCAGGAAAATGAACAGATTATAAATGCTTTGGTTGGTTAGAAAACCGATCAGAGAGCGAATAGGTCTAAAGCCTCGAATCTGCACCTAGTCTCGTATAGAGTTACAACCTAACCACTTAAAGGTACATAAATAATCCAAGCGTAAAGATATGTACAATTATTTTTTACACGTTACAATTGTTAAGTACCTATTTACATATTAGAATTCTTTATACATTATAAAAAGATAACTATACGCTCTATATATCACCGCGAAATCAATAACTACATTCATAATAGATATAAACATTATATATATCATTACGTTATAAATAAAAAATTACACCTTACAGTCACTAACTAAAGGATTTAGACGTATTACATTACAAAGTATTGCTTCGTTTAGTCACATTTTGCAAAAATATCACTTGTAGCCCCACGTGCCCAGGGGCGTACGTAGATTAAAATTTATTTCATTCACTTTTTATTATATTTTTATAAACTTTTCGTAAAAAATATTCCATGCCTATTATTCAGTCAACTAGCATTTAAATGATACCTCTAACACAGAGTAGACACCACAATTTAAATGAGACATTTATGGACAAACACTATCGAACTACGCGATTTTATTTACATACTTCTCGCTGACTCAGAGGCAATAATAATTGTTGTAAATAATAAAATTGTAGGAGATAAAACGACTAGCATTAAATTATTATAAAATTCATTTCAAACAAAGATTAAATTCATCGACTACAGAGTAAGCGTCCCATAATGCATTAAGTCTATAAATGGTGGAATAAGTCAGCGAGAAGGTTCTACGCTCGTACGTTGAATATACTCTAGACTTGATTATTGCACAACACATACACATTGTACGTATTCACGTTTCACTTAGCATAATTTGTAACGAGGCCTTGTTCAAATTAAATATAGAAAAAAATATACACAGAGAGCAAATATCTATTATTATGGAACAATAATAAAATAGTTGAATTAATTGTTTAATAGGCCGGCACACGTAAATCTAAGTATTACCAGGTCCTAACTATAAACTTCTCAGGTTAGTAAAACTCTAATATTAGAAACAGCATGAGTATGGAACTTTAGCTAAACAGCTATCCGAAGAAAACCGTTGACGTAAAATATAAAAATATTGCAGACTCGATTTAAATTAAGAACAGATTTTGATATGACAGTCTCCAACGGTCGCCCCGGATAGATTCGAGATAGGAAACCTAACACTACTTACGATAAAATTATTGCTTAGATAGTAATAGTATTGCGAAGTAATAAAACGACCTTAGGTCTACCGTTAAAGGAACAGACTACAAGAATAAAATATTATTTACAATCACTTAACGCGACAGAAAGAAATATTTGGCTAAAATATGTTAGGAATACACGATAAAATAATCTAAGCGATCGTATATAGATGTAAAACAATGTAAAAAGGTAGAAAATTGTGATCGTATGAGTATAATCGTTATTATGCCCGTCGTTATTACCCTGTAAAATCAGAGGTAGGGCGGAATAAAAAAACGAGATTCGATAAGTACGTGAAGCGAACGACGCCTACAGCCTATTTTACTCTTTCGCATTTCAGTCCTCGAAGTGAAAATCCCAAATGAAAATGGCACGTTAAGGAAGTCACGAGCGGTGGCGTGCGCGGCCACTCTTTCTCCTCTTGCGTCTTCCGTCGCGCACGAACACGATGTTCGCGGGGTCGTCCGCCAGCTGCGGGTATTTGGACACGGAGTGGACGTCCCTGGCCGCCCATCCGTCCACGATGCCGTGCGAGATCAGCTCCTCCTTCTCCTCTTCGGTCCACGATCCTCTTCCTTCCCATCCGGCGGCCACTAGAGCCTTTTCTCTTTCCCAAGCTCTGGCGGCGGCTCGTTTGTGCGCGTGCTTCAGGAGTTTTATCCTTTCCTGGGCGGGATCGACTCCATAACGTAGAACTATGACCGCTTGAGCTGAGCCCTTGCCCACTGCATGTACTCGAACCTGAAAAAATGGTTATTTCAGATTTTACGAAGAGTATCTCCAAATATATTTTTTTATAGAACACTAGAATGCTGAAGAGTTACACAACAAATATATACACGCCACTACAGGGATACACTTAGAATGTCAGAACCAAAGTGATTGTATATTTAGAATTAAAAATAATAAATTGAGAAGAGGAGGAAAAACTTACCTCTAGTCCCTGGTCATTAGTCTCGTCTTGCGAGACGTTGAATTTTCCAGACAAGCGTCGAAGCTCATCCATATCATCTCTCACTTTAAGGGAGTTATCCTTCACAAAGTAGAAGACATCCTGGTCGTGTATACTAAAGTGTACGTCCAAAAAGAATGAGTTATTGAAGACAGTGGTAATAACGTCTTCGACTACGCTATTCGCGCCGTCTGCGACACTTATGAAGGCCCGGCCGTCGACTCGAGAAATCAAAACTCCTTCGCCGAATACTCCACGTTTGTAGGAGACACGAGGTAGTAAGTTCCGTGTTATGGGTTCCATCTTCAGTAATGGTGTCGGTACGAATTCTATATCCGACAGCTTGTCGTTCACCTGAAAGAGTAATATAAATAATTTAGTATAATTCATAGTGATACAATACAAGGTATATGTTAATTTAATGATGGATAAATATCTCTAGACGCCTGATAAAGTTTTATAAAGAGTGCCTGCGTGAAATCCAATTCATTTAGATTAGAAATTTAAGAATAAATTTCGGTTTCAAAAATATCATAATAATAGTTTTCACTGCCACCATTGTTCAAATTCACATTTGAATGATGTATGAAAAGAAATAAGTTCAGTGTTTTAGGAGCAGTATTGACCTAATTGGCTTCAGTGTGCGACTTTCATCCCTGAGGTCGAAGGTTCGATCCCCGGTTGTGCACCAATGGACTTTCTATGTGCATATTACATTTAACATTCACTCAATCAGTGAAGGAAAACATCGTGAGGACACCGGCTTGCCTTAGAAGCAAAAAGTCGACGGTGTGTGTCAGACAGGAGGCTGATCACCGACTTTCCTCTTAGATTGACAAATGATCATGAAACAGATACAGAACCCAAAAAAGGTTCCAACGCCACTAATTTATTTTTATTTTTATTTTACGTGTTTAGAAACATGATAGAAAATATAAAAAATTAGCTTACCTTTTCAATAATGCACTGTAGTCCGGACATCACCCCGAAATCAGGCGCAAGTTGAGGTGCAGTGACCGATGTTTTTGGAGTAAATATCATATCTGTGATGTACTTCGCACCCATCATCTTCGTCAAGTCATACCCATAAAGTTGCAACCAACTGGACAAGCTGGTCATGTATGGAACATTCTGTTTTCTGTTAATAGGATCATTATTTCTAAACCTATAGATGAAGATGTCAGTAGGAAGACTGAGTTTCGTGGCAAGATGCTCCCAGTTCGGCGTCATCCATTGTCCAACGAACGGATCATATAAGCGGTTCTCGAGATATATCAAATTGGTGTTGAAATCCAAAAGACCTCCTTGGAAATCTACAGGAACATAGAATCCGGGATTTGTGTCTTTGACGATCTTTCCGAATGGTGTACGTTTAATTTCCTTCACGATTTCGCCGTTCACGTCGAATACGGCGAGAGGTGAGCCGTTGTGATCCGTCGCGACATAAAACCGTTGGTCTTCAGTCTCGATGCAAGTTAAGAAATCTCTCTGGTCGTACAGGAATCGCACCGTTTTCTCCGTCTTAGGATAGTGCATATGAGTGATTAAGTTAGGCGACTGTGGATTTGTGTAGAAGAATTGTGTTATATTTTCTTTATCGTCTTTCCACGCAACTAATCTATTTCTGTCATCGTAGTAGTACCAAACCTGGAACTTATCTCTTTCGAATGCGTGGACGAACTGTCCGCGGGAATTGTATCTGTACTTCTGTTCGGCACGGCGAATGACAAATCCTCTGCCGTCGTAACTGCTGTATTCAATGTCACCATATTGTACAACTCTGTCTCCAATGTCGTAGCCGAGGTATCGTTTCTCTCCATGTTCAATCACTCCAATGACGTTACCGTTCTCGTCGTACACGTATTTCCAGTCGTCTTCAGACGCTACGACTTCCATTAGGTGGCCATCATAGTTGTAACTGATTCGTTCGTTCGAAGAAGTGTCGCCGATCATCATTTTCTTTGATTTTATCCTATTTCGTACGTCATACTCCAATTCTAGACGGAAGACATCATAAGATTTGATATTCATGAGAATAGTTTTAATTCTGCCGTGGTCGTCGTAATCCGTTATCGTGAAGTATTGCTTGCTGGTATCTTGCATTACGGATCTATTAAAGGTGTTTCTGTAGATTCGCAAATCGCTTACGGCTTCAAGAATACCCAAATTCTGGTTGTACTTCAATCTAAGTTGCGGCATTTCTTTACTGTTAATGTTCACGTCGATCGTCGAAAGTCGCGCATTGCCATCGTATTGATATTTGATATGAGCGTTATTGATGCCACTCTTGGAATTGAACTTCATTTTTTCGTCTTTGAGAATTCCAGCGTGATACTTATAATCTTGCCTCAATTCGTAATCGGGGTCTGATATCTCAACATTTTTAACGAGATGAGTATTTTCGTGGTACACGTAACGAATAGCCGAGGCTCCGGCAAGTACTGTTTCCAATTTACCAGAGTTGTCGTAGACGTATAAGATTTTGCCCGATTGGTGCGGGAATATCTTGGCTAAAATATATCCATCGTCATTGTACAGAATCTCATATGGATGCCTGTTCATCGGTGAAAAGTATTGGTATTTGAAGTAGCCTAGAGAAGTCATTAATGCGAAAGTGTGAATATGACCTCGTGGTGTGGTAAGATTCTGCAATGCACCAGAGTCATCGTAGTCAAGTAAATAGTCGCTACCTCTTGGCGTCGTAACCTTAAGCGGTAGGCTTGTGAACATGTCTCGGAAAGAGTAGGCTAGGGATGACCCATCGCCGTAGCGAATCTCGTGCAGTCTTCCCGCTCTATCAAAGCCATAGGTTTCGTTGAGTTCTCCCCACCGCCAGCTTGTCAATCTATTGAACCTATCATAATCTAGCTCAACTTCAGCAAATATTCCGCTTCTCGGTCCCCAGCGTACCGGTCTGGCCATTCTGTCATAGGTAACGTTTAACAGTTCCACTTTGTCGTCCATAAATATTGCTACCGTGGAGGTATCTCGGTCGTATTCAAGTGTGAGTAGATTTTCCCCGTTCACTCTCAATTTCCGCCCAATCTGTGCAACTGCTTTACTGCCCTTTCCTTTATTAGACTGAAGTCTTCGTAAGAAATATCTCCATTCGAAACGGTTCGCCAAATCACCACCGACTTCGGTCCTCTGTTTTGCAGGGACAGGGTAACTTTCTCCCAAAATCGGGTCGATTTCTGATAATATCGTGTACGGGACGGTGTCCGTCGAAATCACCTGACCCCAGGGCATACTAGATGAAATACTGCCGTCAGTAGAGATTATAGTCTTCTTTTCCGCCTCGCCAACTTTAGTGATGACAGACGATCCCTTGATGAGAATTGAAGTAGGCTTCTTGTTGTTTTCGCTGACGAGGACAGTGGCACCCTTCAGGCTTAGATCGAATGTTAGAGTTATGATTCTGCCGGTAGGAGTCACGGCTGAAGTCAATCTACCGAATTCATCGTATTTGTAGATGTAGCTGCGGCCGGTGCTGTCGTATTTGGCTTTCAATAGACCTGTTGTTCCGTGGTAATCGAAGGTCATGTTGAAGTTATCGGGTGTTCTTAATTCTTGAAGCATCTTCATTCGCGACATTTTCAATCTACACTTTTGTCCCTTGGTGTTTTCGATTGAATTGACGAGACTCGAATAGTCGCGCAGTAAGAAGACTTTATTTCCAGCGGCGTCTGTGACCGTGCTGAGCTTTCCGTTGCTGGTGTTAACGGTGTACGTGAACACGTAGTTGTTTTCGCCGGTCAAAATATTTTTCGTCATCACGTGTTGACCAAATCTGTTGAATATGTAAGTCTCCTGCGTATCTGGCGAATAAATTTCATACTCTCTCGCTCCACTTGCGTCGGGAATGCTCGCCATGACAGATCGAATTCTGTAGTTGGCCTGGTCCGCAATATGGACGATTCCGTCAGGGCTGACCGTGACCGCAGAAATCGTATTAAATTTGGAGTTGGACGCTAAGAAATGATCGGCCTCGAAGCAATCGCATCCTCTCTCCAAGCAGTTGCATTTCGATTCAGCTCCGGCGTAAAGTGAAATCTTTCCATCCGTCGTGATCAACCTGACTCTGTTGATCCTCTGCGAGTCACTCTCCGCAACGTACAAATCTCCAGCCGCACCGAACGCTATGCTCTGGGGCATGACTAGAGTGGCATAAGTGGCCAATTCCATGTCATATCCGGTGAGCGGCGACGGACAGTGCAACGGCCTTCCGGCGATCACCTTCACTCGGCCGTCGGGAGCCATTTGGAGGATCATGTGGTCGTCGATGATATGCAGACTGTTATCCAAAGGATTGATAGCTAACTCCGTCGGCCATCGTAAGTGAACTTCCTCAACGCTCAAGGTGCCTTCGCAGGGGATGGGTTTCCAGTGAGCCCTGTGCATATGGTTGCCGATCACTGTAGTTATAATTCCGTCTCTATCCACCATTCTGATGTTGGTGCCGTCGGCGAAGTATAGAACGTTGTCGGTAGACACCGCCACGCCCTTAGGATAGGCCAGCTTGGCGTCACGGGCTAAAGCTCCATCTCCACAGTGAGCTTCGTCTCCAGGCAGACACCTTTCTCCTGAACCCACGACGGTTTCCCAGTTCCTCTCTGGGTCGCTAAAGTCATCTGTGTTTCGGACCTTAATGATTTGGTGTGACTCCGGGTCGGAGATGTAGAGTGTGCCATCGAGAGGTGATAATGCCATGTGGTAACGGTAGGAAACGCGAGTAGCACTGAAAAGAAAGATAAATAATATATTATGTGACATTAACATTAAAAGTTTAAATTTAAAAGTTCATTAACTAAATTATTTAAACTGAAATATTTCTTGTGTGCTATTTAATGAGATATTTTTCGTTTATTATGTTTATTATTCTGCCTTATTTCCTGCACTTATAATATTATTTATTTTTATGAATTGAAAACTATATTGAAACTTGTAGTAATAAAATTAACATACAAATAAAATCACAACTCACTTGAGTTTCACAACGGTCCTGACGGAGCCATCAGTGTTGATCTTGCGAACCAGATTAAAGTCTCCCACGAAGATGCTGCCATCTGGAGCCGCAGTAAGAGCCACGGGGGCCAAAAGACGCTGCCTGGTGGCTGAGCCACTGCATTCCGAGGAGCACTCCAAGGCCCGTTGTCTGCCGTCGCCCATTGTGGTGATGATCAGACGCGGCTTGTGCTTCAGGTAGATGTTGGTGCCGTCACCTTTTTGGAGGATACCTGCAAATGAGATTATTTATTAGAAGGACTTTTAAACCAAGAATATATTTTACATATTATATTAGAACGTAAAAAATCTACGTTCTCCCTCCTATAACATGTTAGATTGGTTTCGCGTTATAGGAGTACTCTCGCATAACGCGCTTTTATTTTTCTCGTTAAAAGGAATTTAAATCGGATATTAAGAACTATGTTATGAACGAAGTATGTGCGTATAAATCGTTTTAATATAACGTGTGAAATGGGGGAATACCCGTGTTATACGAGAGACTGAATAATGCGTTATAAGAGTACCGTGTTATACTGTATTGCCTTTGACAATTCTCACCTTCATGGAAATTGTATCGATGATGAATATCCAGATTCCATCCACCGACATCAGAAATACTCATATCATGGCCGCTCAATTTCGTCGTTTGCACGTTCCAGATAATATCCTTGCAATCCGTGTACTGGTAGCCAACTTTCACTAAAGCCGTCGTTACACCGTAGACCCTCTGCCTGTACACGTTCAACCTGTTCCACGGATACGTGAATTTGATCACTGGATCCGCCTCAAAGGTTTTCTCGAAGAGGATGCCTTCGATGGTAATACGCAGGTGGATGAGGGCAAGGGTTGGTGGCACTTTCTCAGGGGTTAATTGCAGTTGTATTGTGGAGAGATATCCAGCTGCCCGGGAACTGTGGTAGACCAGGTTAAGGCCTGTGCCTGGTATTTGGAGACTTTCTTGCACAACCTGAAAGTTTTAGCATATTAAGTATATAATAAGATATTATAAAACCTATCGTAAATTATGGAATGGTAATCAATGACTCAACCGACAAATAAAATTGGTTATGTGAAATCAATGAAATTATTCTTAGGCAAGGCAAATTAATAAATGTAATTGCTATTGTTCCAATAATAGTGCTACTTGTTGCTGATAATATTTGCTCGGAGGTTTGAATTCTACCCCACCTACCGTACCTGAAAGATTTTTTTTCTATTTTATACATTATCTATAGAAAGATTTTCACAATTTACCTGAGATTCCGCTAAAATAGCACTCTTATCGGGACAGGCGCCTTGGAACCCATGCTTCCAAGTGGCCAGTACCACAGGCTTCATCGCGTCATAGTCGTGAGCGAGACAAGCTTGAGGAGGTCCCATGCCACTCTTTTCATCCGATGTCGTCATAACTACTTCGTCGATTATTACCACCTGTAATAATAATGGAAATTAACTACACATTGATATTTTTGATGTTAAATAATAATTGAAGGACGAGAGTTGAGAAAATTGTAATATATTATACATTATAATGAATTGTTGGCTTTTTATTAATCGTAATATAAATTACCGCGACGTAAAAAGAGGTTATAAGTTTGACATGTCTGTATGGCCATGTATCTGTGTATGTTTGTGACGTGGTAGCTTCTGAACGATGACGAATCATATTTTGTAAGAAAGCTGACGCGATCGATATGGTTTTCAAATTTATGAAGTAATTCCCATTTTTTTTTTAATTTCATCAATACAATTAGTTTGTTTATATTTTTTATTAGTTAAATCGAACATAAGATATTTATAAAAGGTAATACGTAAGGAATGTGGTTGCCTGCAAGAGATCGCTCGAAAGCGATAATGCCGCCAGTTTCCCTGTTTTTTATTTAATTATGTCAATTGTCATATAATCCTGTACATGCAACGAAGTATTAATAAATAAATATTTTATCATTTAACAGTTAACTTGAAATGTATTCAGTTTTAAAGTAGTTCAAGCCACAAAACCAATTATTGTAAAACTACGGTCTTGAATTAAGAGCAATATTACTTAATTTTCCTTTGATTGTTGTTTTGCGTGTTGGTTGTGTGAAAAAAGTGTGACAGCTTCATATGTGGCTTGTGGAAACTATTGCTCAGTTTTAAATGAATAAGACTTCTATAATATTTGCCGCCTGTATTTTTTAATAGTGTTATAGAACTGTAATAATTTATTATTATTATTTATTCATCCAAGTACACTTATGAACGTCAACAGAAAATATGTTAAATTGATTCTAAATTTCCATTTACTACTAGTTCGCATGTCAAGAGCGTAGAGCGGGCAAGAAGAACTGGCAAGAAACCCTCCGCCACTATGTTCTGATGTTTTCAGGAATGCTGTGTTTTGTTTTCTATTTTTAGTTGCTAGTTTCTCCAGAAGAATCTAGTATAATTTAATTATGTATACACTGAGCTTAACATGACATAATATATTGTATTAATAATGTATCTTACTTTTGATTTGTCTATGTAGTTAAGTATTTGTGTTTAAACAAACAGAAATAAAATAAATATTTTACCTCATTCCATGGCACGAAGACAACTTGTGTGGATCTCTTAAACGGCGCTCTGCCAAAGTGTAAGGTCACCGCACCTCCACCATTCACAAGCAGATCAAACCAGCCATCCTCTCTAGTTAAAGTAAAGCCTTCAAGTGGAGTCGAAGTTGAGACTCGGACTCCCAACAATCCTGATCCAAGGGACGTTACCACACGACCTCGGATAACGGCAGACCGGCTGGAATTTTAAGGTTTTATGTTAAAAAGTTCAGCAACTTCGGGGCAAAAGGGGATGTAAAAGGACATTAAGGGTGTTTTTAGTTTTATAAAGCCTAATTTGTTATTATGTGGTCAATCTTATAAAATTGTCACTCGATTCCTGGATAATTTATGAATATTGTCTCATTAAATAACTATAAAAATTAAGTCTAGAAGTCATGTCCGAACCCCTTGTTTATAGAATACCAAATAACTCTGACATTCGTTAAACTAAAGCATTGTTCTCTTTTTGTCAAAGCGTAATTAGAATTTGATAGAAAGAGACAAATAAATGCTTTAGTCAGAACAGAAAAAGACGGACATTGTTAATCGACTAAAATGAACTGTGTCGTCTAAGTAATAGCTAAGCTAAATTTATATATTTATTTCAATTTTGTATGGGGACTACATAAAAACATATTTTAAAAGTTAGTAAAAAAAATTGTAATAGTCTTTAAAAATATCCAAAACAAATATAGTGTAAATTATGAAATATACTAAATGACAAACACAATCAAATACCAGATAAAACCAATAGAATTTCAAATCTTAATACTAAGAATCGTTTTCGAATATAATTTGTTTTACAAAGGGAATATTTCTCTACCTAGATACAATTCCAGACACAATACTAGAAACTACAGTATAAATCTACATATTTATACATAAGAAGCGAACACAAATTTCACAGGACACAGGTAAATCATGCACACAAAAATATAATGCCTGTTATCGATAAATATTAACTAGGTACACACACAGTTAAATTCTTACCTCGTGTTGAAGTGATTCCAAAACATACTGAGCAGCGAAAAGAAATAATAATGTGAATATCATTTGATACGGTTAGATTTATTAAGATTACTCCCGATTAACGTGCGAACTGATAAATATATTTTATTATTTTAAATTTATAGTCTATAAATCTCCAATGAGTAAAAAATGTTTTGAGACAAATGATTCATTGGATGGACGCTCATAGTACGTCCATATTTTTTAAGTTTGACAAAGCGTTAGTGTATGTAACTATCAGAAATCTAAGTTCTGCGCAACCACGCTGCAGTCCAAAAACTGTTATAGTCAACCGAGTGAGAATACGATAACTACAACTAACTTCCAAGGAATACTTTGTCAATCTCAAGTGAAGAAAAAATATATTTATCAGAATTGTTAGTTAAAACGCTGAAAGAAATTAAAAGAAAAATGTAAACACGTTTTGAAATAAACATTAGGAATGACTGGGGCACAACATTGCGTAACAGATATTTTTGTTTTCATTTAAGTAGATTCGATTGATATCTTTACAATTTAAATATCAATCGATCCAATTTTGATAGACTACGACATATATGGTTCATAGTCACATGAACACATTCAGACTTTAAACATTTTCCTTTGAAGGACTGGATTTTACGTACTTAGTGAAATATCACTGCGTTACATTTCAATTTAACAGATGAAACATTTTAATGTAAGTAAAACCCAATTTAGTCAAGAAGGACATATAACATCGAACATTGATCCCACCTCTCATTAAATGTCTCCTGTTTCGCGTAATTCTGGAGGCTTCCTTCGTCAATAAGGAACTTCATTCGTTCAAAGAATGAAGCCGTGATGGCTGGTGGCTGCTTCCGGAGAAGAATGTCTGTTGGTTTAGGAGAAGAGACGCACAGTTGGCTGGACTTGCAGGCGGCGCTTTGACAGCATTCGGGGTCCTCGCAATCGACAAGGCCGTCTATCGAATAAAAAGTTATTAATGGCTTATTATTGTCATTATCACTTTACATTATTTATATTTCATAAGTAAAGTATATATAAGAAGAGCTCCTGCTTTTAAATGATCCTGAAACAATGACTGTTTCACGGGAATCGAACCTAAGAACTCTATGGGCTACGCTGAATTGTAAGCTGTCATTTCAGTAATACGCTTAATTGGTAAGCTCATTTGATAACTGTTGAGATTGTAAGATTTGTTAAAAATGCTAAAGGAAAATCTAAATAATTTATACTAATACAAAAAACGCAATTATAATAACAATTGCTTTGGTAGTTTATTGTTAATGAGACGAAAGTTATCCAAAGTTGACGGACTTGAGAAGAACTTGTCAATGTACTAACTTTTATTGGATTCAGGCGGTGCTGATAAATAGTGACGGGCAGTTTGTAATGTCGTTATTAAACTTTCGTTTGTAAAGTTAACATTTTAAAACTATAAAGAGCTAAGTTTTAAATAGATTTATTTAATAAAATACGTGAAATATATTAAAAATAATAAATTGCTTAGTTTAGTAATTTGATAATTGTGTCAACATTTACTTTTAACGAGTTTAAGATATCCAATATTAAGAATTTGATATATCTTGATAGAAATAGACACACAATGAAAGATAAGTATTATAAAATTATCATATAAAGCATAAGTGTATTGAGCCAAATTGATAATAGTTTTTTTTACTTTTAAATCGTTTTGGTAAAAAATGTAATCAATAATATTATCGATTGGATTTTTAATACAATTTAAGTTTTATTTATTCCACATCATTATTCTATCTTTACAGTTATTACTAATTCGATAGAACGACACATTAATTATACCCACACCGATTAACCTACATAAAAACATTAAAAGAATATATTATAACTAATAATATAGGAAGCAACTCTTGTGAACTCAGCCAGTGTACAAACAAACAGGTCTACCTCAACAGAAATTCTATTTATTATAAGTATTGCTCGCGTATTGTGCGCGTTTTAACAGGTATTATAATTTTCTCCACCCTACCTTTATCATTATCCTTAGAATCGTCACATATCTGTTCCTTAAGCGTGGTACAGTCAGGTCCATCCCATCCATCGAAACATTTGCACTCCCAATGGCCATCATTCGCTACGCGGCACTGCCCATGGCCAGCACAGCCTCTCGGGCAGCCTTCTAACGTGCAATGCCTTCCGTTCCACCCAGAAACGCATAGACAAGTGCCATTTTTGCATTGTCCATGGTCACTGCAGCGAGGGTCACAGAGTTTTGAGGTGCAGAATTCGCCTGTCCAGCCTTGGTCACATACGCACGACTCGCCGACGCATCTTCCGTGAGGACCGCAATCCAGGTCGCATACCTCTGAAAGTTTAAGGACTCAATGTAACATATTTTTATAATTAGAAACATTTTATATTAACTTTAAGTGATGGTAAGATTTTGAGATGGTTGCTGATAATAATTAAGGACTTCAGAGTTATTTAAGTCACATCTTAATATATATTTTCTTCTGTGCGTGTGTATGTGACTGAACTCCTCTCAAACGACTGGACCGATTTTGATGATTTTTTTGTGTGTTCAAGGGATCTGGGAATGGTTTAGATTCACAAATCAGCCGCGAGGCGCGCGGTACTTTCATACTTTGCTTAATATCCTAATCGCTTTAAATATCATGCAGGACAACGTCTGTGGGGTCCACTAGTATATTATATATTAGTGAATAATAAAAAGCTCAAACCAAATGTTAACGTTAAATTATGTTACACTTGTAGCCAATAAAATGTAAAACGTCAGTTTTAGTAGTAATAAATGAAACCCTTCAGTTTTTCATAGATTGTATAACATTCTCGTTTCCGAGAATGTCCAATAGGTCGACATCACTTATATTCTTTATAGGTAACATATGTGTCACTTAGTTTTAAGAACCCAATAAAGTCACAGTTTTTGTTAGGCCAGCGTCGCACCCCACTACCCCTTATGTTAGTTATAAGCTCTTGTTTTAAACCCTTACAGTTGACACATAGCTTCTAACAGAGGGTTTCATTTATTTGAACAACTCTCCAACAACCGCCACCGAACTTAACTAGAGTTAAAATACGTTTTTTTTCCTAATATTTGCTCATTTAGGCTTTCTTCTTTAAATATTTGTAAACATTGGATATATCCAAAAATAATATAAAAACTAATTACACTTTCAGTAGTATGATACTAAGAATTAACTTAAATTAACCTTTGGCCAAACTACAGCCAAACGTGGATTTATATTAAACGTTCACTGGCACCACAAGTCAAAAACTCATACACACAAATTTCGGTGTATTTTCAGAAATCCTAACGAGTTATCGCAATTGTAGGAAGGTGGTAAGCGAAAGTGGCATTTACATACTGCTAAATAGTTTCCGTAAAATCGTAGGTGTTTTCTAAAAGCCTCACCTCAATTAATGGACATATATTTAATAATTATAATGTCAACGGTCGACATAGAACGGTTAGGCGAAAATACTATATTCAAAAGTTTTTTGTTACAAATTTATGTAAATAATACATAGCTACGTGCGATAAGTATTTACATGTAATTTATATGGCTGAGATTTATTATAAAAATCACAGCTAGAACAAAAACGTTTGTAGTTCGAATTTATAGTCCGTAAAACGCAGATATTTTTTAATACAAAGTGACTGTGACAGAAGTACTAATATTTGCAAAACTTTTTTAAAGTTATACTTCTTTAGGCGCGTTATGAAAAATTTATGAGAGTGAAATTTTACGATGCGCGCGCACCGTGACATAAAATTATCACTATGGGCGCCGAGCGTGCGCGAGCGAGATGGGAATAAGACAATCTACAAGTAAAAAGAAATAGAATATGCGTGACGTTAGCAGCTATGCCAAGAATTTTGAATGACCATAATGACCTTTGTAGTACCTTTTAAACAAATAAAGGAGTTTTAATTATTTTTACAAAGAAATTTAGGAATGCTTTTTTACAAAGACCTATTGTTACTTAGTTAAAAGGTTATGAAACATACCTAGTTATTAAATTGAATTAATAATATAATAAAATAATAAATAATACATATTATTAATATCAATTAATAATTGAATAATATACTAAATATTAAATATTGTTAAATTATTAACGCTAAATATTTAATATTAATTATTTAATAATTAAAAAAATAAAGAAAGCCAAAGAAGTATAACTTCTTACGCGCGTACATAAGTATACGCACCATTTTTTTAATATTAATTTTGACATAGATACAATGTTAAATATTCATTATTATAACTTTGTAAAACTCGTAGCTTACAGATAATTAATATAAATCATATTAGTCTTAGTTATATTTAATTCATTACCAATAGCAATTCATCTAATACCGGTCATAATTGCCGTATTAAGTATTAATCGTATCGCTGCAGCCATTAGATTAGCAGTCATGATCGTGAAGGATTTAGGTTACTATTAGCATGTTAATAAATTATTATTAGCCGCTACTAATGTTTCATAGTGGATGTTGCAGATATGAAAGGTCTAGATTGAAGATCGGAATAAAGCTTTTTTATAAATTTGACGATTATTTAAATGATTCAAATCCTTGGGAATGATTTGCTCCAGATCAAATATTTATGGCTGCCTTACAAACAATTGGTATGACTCAAAACTTGGCGATTAAAAGAGTGGCGGAAAGTTCTTGCCAGTTCTGTTTGCGCGCTCTACGCCCTTGACTTGCGAACTGGTAGTAAATGTAAATTTAAAATCAATTTAACATCGTTTCTGTTGACGTTCATAAGTGTACTTGGTTACCTATATGAATAAAGTTATTTTGAGTTTGAGTTTGAATATTTCTCGCTGTGCTTGCGTCTATGTGTGAAGTGTGAAGTTTTGGACATAGTTTTCGTCTGATGAAAATTACTTGATGATTAAAGCATTACACGAAACATTACAGTGCAATTGTTACATGGGTGAGAATTTTTGTGATGAAGATAAATTACCTTTGGAACAGTCGTCTCCCGACCATCTTGCGTGACAGGAGCAAGTTTGTGTGTCCACATCAAATGTCCCATGTCCCGAACAATCAGGAAGGCACTGCAGCGCATCCTTGTCCATTGTGGCGCAATCCAAACCCTTCCATCCTTTTTTGCAGACACAAGAGCCTTCAATACAAAACCCGTGGCTGGAGCATGTCGGATGCGGGCAGTCCACTTCCGCACAGAACTTCCCCTTGTATCCTCTAACACATGAGCATTTTCCATTGACGCAGTGTCCGTGACCATTGCAGTCAGGGACCTCGCACTCATCGTGTCGTAGGGAACACTCCTTGCCTTTCCATCCGGGGTTGCATTGACACTCACCATTGATGTATTCACCTCGTTGGCTACACAAAACAGGGCATACACCTGGAAAATATTAATATACGTTTAAAAAATGTTTGACGTTAACTTATAGTAAATTATTATAGGTTACTAGCTGCCCCCGCGAACTGCCTTTCTCCTTAATGGATAGCTTATCTTCTTAGTACATACCAACATGGAACATTTTGCTATGCTAACAGAGACTGTTCGGTATTCCGGAATGAAAACTTTTTAGGTTTTTCTGTGATTTTTCTCTATATAAACCTCAGAGTTCATGTCATAAGATTTTAAGTAACAAATAAAAAAAGGGGTTGATCGTGGAGGGTATATAATTATTAAGAGTTGTATGTCTTATCACTTAGGGGTTTGAAAGATTCTCAAACTCACTTACTCTTACTTACTCTCTGAATATGTATAAATTTTTTTATAAGAATCGGTCGAGCCGTTTCGGAGGAGTATGGGAACGAACAATGTGACACGAGAATTTTATATAGTAGATGTTACGTTTTAGGGTAATCTTTATTTTATAAGAGTGTATGTTGATTGTATGTTTGTGGGATACTTACTTTCGCTACAATCATCCCCACCAAAGCCAGGCTGACATTGGCAATGTCCCATCAGGCATTCACCTTTTCCTGAGCAGCCATTTGGACAGCTGTGAGTAAGATAGTCAGCTAACACTGCGATGAACGAAATCTCTTGTGGATCTCCATCGTCGTTGTAAAGAGAGAGAAACCAATGTCCTTGCTCCATATAATGTGTGACTTCTTTCCTTATCGACGGCTGAATAATATTGACAAATCATCATTTTATGGAAGTAATATTTTAATATGTTACTTTTTTCCCAGAGATGGAATTCAGAATTTCAGAGTTTCAGCATTTAATAAATGAAGTTATATAAACTGATGTGGTGTTGGCCTAGTTACTTCAGCGTCATTCCTGAGGTTGTAGGTTCGATCCCCAGTTGCGCACCAATGGACTTTCTTTCTATGTATGTGCACATTAAACATTCGCTCGAACGGTGAAGAAAAACTCATGAGTCTTTTGCCTTAGACCTAAAAGTCGACGGCGTTTGTCAGGCACACTGATCACCTACTTGCCTATTAGATTGACAAATGATCATGAAATAGATACAGAAATCTGAGGCCTAGACCTAAAAAGGTTGTAGCGCCACTGATTTATTTTTATAAAATGACGTGGCGATTAATCTAACTAAAAGTAACCAATTATCTTGCACAAAAACAACGGAGTGAATATACCAGACAAGAGTTTAAAGCCAGAGCTTTGTTCGAATTGAATTTCAATTCAAAGTTGAAGTGTTAGATTACAGATAGTACTTACGTGTGATGCTCTCGTAGTTCTAGCCTTAAATCCGCTTAGAACTTCCAAAAAGTGATACTGTGTATGTGTCGGTAGAGCGTTCCGCCTCGCGTACACACCTATCGACGCTCCCCTCGGTATCATGTAGTCGAATTTCACATAAGAGGCTTCCGACTGATAGAACTGCATATTCCAGTAGCTATATGGAGGGATTTCTTTTGATAATTTTTCACCTAAAGTAATTTGTTTGAATGTCGTTCCGTCGGGAGGGAAGGTCTGCATTGGGAACGTTCGCGCACCTATAACGTGAATATAAAGTTATTGTCGGTTCGAGGGCGCTTTAATACAAAACCATGCAATGTGATGGAATTTGAATGAAATATACCCGATGCTTTTGATAGAAAAATAATCATGCAAAAAATTAATCTAATTCCTATGCTATTACGGCTGTTATCATGCGATTTAGTTTGTTAGATCGTCACCCCATAGATGGTTTCTTTGAATGTTAGTTGAGTTATCAGAAGGACGCAATTTGAATACCTCACCTTCCAATACTAAGATTGGTGGAGGCTTAACCTTTGGACACACGCATGAAAAAGGCACTTCAGTGGTTGAAATAGTGTCATATACTGTTATAGTTTCGTCACTACTTGTATTTATTATGTCTTCTGTCGTGAGCACTTCACCTGCTGTAGGTTCCGTCGTTATGTTAGTGGTTAGATTTTCAGTTGAATAATCTTTATCTGTTGTGTATTGGGTTTCTATTGTCTCTGTAGTGACATAATCTTTTTCCGTAGAATCTGTAGAAAAATCTGTTTGATCTCTGTTAGTGGGCGTTGTCTTGTCCATTCCCTCATCATAAAAGTCTTCTGCAGATAAGCTACTCTCACATATTGGACAAGAACACTCGCAACTACCTCCCCAATCATCTGCTTTAGTCGCTGTTTTCGGGTCCTCAATTATCACTGGCTTGTTGAAATTAGTTGGTGCTGTAGGTTCTAAGTCCATTGGTGTAATTTTGACTGTAGGAATTTCATTCGTATCACCAACTGTTGGGACTGTGAACGTTAAGGAATAAAGAGGTTTGTATGAATTGTCTGCATCGTCAGAGGATATGGTTAAATTAATCAAAACATGCTTTGTATTTACAGATGTTTCTGAAGTTTTAGATTCAGTAGCATCATTTGCTGAGGATTTTTCTGTGCTGGAGGTAGTTGAGGAAGCTTTTGGTTTATTCACACTAGTAGAAGATGTGCCCTGGGTAGTAACTGTTAATAATGCATCAGAATTAGTCGGTATTCTATCACTATGAGTTGTAAAAACATTAGAGTCCGTCACACTTTTTTTGGTAGTTAACAACATTGGAGAGTTGGTTGTTAGTTGGTTGGTAGGTTTATTTGTACGTTCTGGTGAAAGTGATGTCGTTTTTGGTGCTTTATTGTCGTAGTGATACTTTTCAGGTTTTTCATGTATTTCTTCAGTATCATTTGTGAAAATGTGCAATTCTTCGTTGACTTCATTCAATCTTGTTAGTAATTTTAGGTATTGAAGCTTTTGAACACCGTATGAGTAGATCGAGGGGTATGCATCACTTTGCATCTCTTCTGGATAGTAAGCTATTTCTTCTTGGTCAAGTTTTTTAGCTTCAGGTGGTTGTACCATGTTCTCGGACTTGTTAGTGACAATTTTAGAGAAAATATTCTTAGTTGTGCTTGTGATTTCAGGTTGTATTACATTAAGCGTCGTTGTATTAGTTACATTAACATTGAGCCCCAGATCGCCCGTAGTACTAAATACAGAAGCATTAAAAGCGGCGTCTTGAGATTCCGTACTTACTTCTGATGACACACCATGCACTAAGCTACCAGTGGTCATAGAGGGAGAAGTGATTAGTTCATGCATCATATCTACAGTGGAAGAATCCGTAGCAGAAACAGAAGATAAAGAAGCATGCTCGTCTACACTTCTACGAGCGCGCGAAAGGCCGCCTTCTTTACCTGAGGTAGAAGACGTTGAACTCTGGTGCTGTCGTGGCAATGATTTATTACTTGATTCAAGCGTAGTGGCTTTTGACGCTTGAAATTTATCTACATCTCCAACTATAACCGAACAAGGCTTCGCATTCTCATATGACCAATTGTCCGTAAAATAAGAGGCTGTAACAGATACCTCTCATTATTAAATATCAAAACATACAATGTTATATATTTTAAATTAATTTATAGGATTACTAACCTGACATATAAGAAGCGATAGATAATAGTAGAACGAATAATACTATAAACACTATGGCAGTACATTTCCAAGAACATCTCGAGGACAGGCCCTTTCTGAAATGAAACCTCGAAGCGGCTGGGGGGAAGTGGGTCGCCCTCAAGTTGTTCCTGACGGGAAGCACAGGCACAGGCACGCCAAAGGCTGGATGCCTGTCGCTCCTGTCCATTCTTTCTAACGTTCCTTTTTCTTGTTTTCCTGGACTACTACACGAAGAATTCGATTTGTAGTCCATAGACGGATTCTTTTGAATGTCCCCTAAGAAAAATTGATCTTCATTAACATATAACTCTTATTCATCACATAAAATACATTAAAACTTAATTATGTATATAATCTGATAATAATAATAATTATTTATTTAGCAAGAATATGGTACAAAAATGTGTAAGGTACAATCGTAAGTTCGCCTATTCTGCCACACAAAATGGCGCGCAAATTAGTCTTTAAAGGAATTTAACATTTAACGTTTGTAGTCGTATGAATTGGTCAATTCTTATATTATTTGTATCGTAAATATCAAATCATACTTTATGAAATTTATATAAACTACAGCGTCTCACGCAAATAATCATTTATTGAATAGTACATTTTTTCCAAAAGTAATACACCAAGTCGCTTTTTAAAGACTCTAGTCGGAAGATCTTTTAATTCTTTTGGTAAATTATTGTAAACCTTAATTGCCATACAAAAAGTGTTTTTCCTAAACAGTTCCAGATAGATTTTTGTTAATAATATATTATAGTATAAGGATAATTTATTTGAATATTAAATGCCAACAGTCAACAATGAAACGACCTCAGATTATTATGAATCTTAGAGATATTATTAGAAAGAGATACGTACAGGTATTGAGTTCACCCGAAGGCACGTAAAAGTTTCCAGATGGAGTTCGCACGAGACACGATGGCTCGAAGTCACCAAGGTCCGCGGGGTTTCCGGTAATTCTCCCGTTCAGACGGGACATTGTCGGATTGCGGGGCGGCACATCGGGAGGGGGCCGAGTCCCTTCTAGAAGACAACCTGGTGACAATGAAAGGATAATGTAAATATATGGAATAAAAGGAATTTAGGATCTTAAATTGAACTTATCCTTTCTTAATTCTTTATAAAAATAGCAACGCATGCATGCCTCAATGTTGTACATTTTGTTGTAAGTAGATACCAAAGCCTGTTGCTAGATCCCCGTTAACAAATACATAAGCTTACATAATACTATCTCCGACTCTATCGACATATTTATATGTTCGCAGAGTGCGATCACAGTAGCAATAGTGTATATTATTTATTTCATTATATTCTTTTTTTTTAGCTTAGCTTTGGCTTACGTATACGTATTTTTATGAATAAATAAATAAATTTTATTAACAACACCAATGCTTGTAGAAATATGATTAATATTATGATTTAGGTAGAAATTTGTGTAATAACACTAGATTTAATTATACGCCGTTGCACAGTAGGCCAATAATTGACAATGTCCTGTTAATTAATTATACATTATTGGACAAGGCTGGTCCAAATTGGTTTTGACCGCAAAATTAGCATGTCGTAATTCAATTAGGGTCGAATTCTTGCGATCGGCCGCAAACAAATAACGTTTAGGTCTCCGAAATGGATCAAAGATCGCGTGTTTCGGCAGTTAGTTAATAAAGGAGATATATTAGATCGGGAGGTATCTGGAGCGAGGCGCGGCCTTCCCATCGCTAATATAAGTTAATGGAAAATCGAAGCATTATCTGCCCCTCCCCACGACCCCCGAACAACTTTTGATCCTCGACAAATTTTAAAGATTCCTTCGAGCGTTAATTAATTGATTGTAGCGGCCGATGTAGCTGTAAGAAAACTCAATTAATTTTAAAAGGGTTTTTGTGTTTTTTTCAGCGATCGTTTCCCGCGACGCGAAAAGAAAGCTACAATGCGACAGTCCTTTGAAGCCCGATCCTTTTGAGCCGTTCGGTACGTTGTAATTAGAGGTAATGAATTTACTCAGAACCCAAAGAAAATATTCTCCTTTTATTACACGAGCGGTATACGGCTTCCATATTAACATTCTATTCAACAAAGATTTATAGGCACAATCTTGTTAATATACAATAAGTATCCTAAACCCAGATCGAGAGAGGTAATCTATCTTAAAGCCCTTTGGAGTTCAAACTGTAATAGTAACTAAGTATTCATCCCACCCAGTGGCCAATGAAAAACTAAATCACCTCCCTAACCTAATTTAGGAGGACAAGTATAGCCATTAATACACATGTCAGTCGACGTTCTAGTACAAAATGCGGCTCATTTATATCTCGTCTTGGGGAACGGGAATTATGGTAATCGGTCGAATCGTGTCTTTTGTCTGTAATGGTGGGTAATTACCGAGCCACCTCTCGGCTCCCGGGGACACTTCGTTTCTTTAGAGGGCCCAGGAGCACGAGAATTCGACACTCGTTAACCGAATCGCCTCAACTTTAAAGGGAACACGATTTAGAACGTCGCATTGGGATTTGTCGGTCGAGCGAGCCTCTTTGATTTTAGAATTGCCAACATTTTTTTCCGATTGTTTACGTACAAATAGTTTATTACGCCAGACTTTCCATTCTTCCGTTCATTTACTAAGGGGTATTCATAAAACTGAACACTATCTGTATTACGGATCGTTCGTTTTTATATTTTTCCAGCCATCTGCTATACGTTCTTGCGTAACCTTTTCCTGTACGGAAACGCTAAACTTGCTTACTTATTGGAAGATAAAGGGGGTGTGTTTCGGCTCATTTGCGGAGCTCATTCAGATCAAACGTGATTTCTTATCGAAGGGAAAACGTTGAAGCTAGAAACTATACACTGAATATAGAAAAGTATGTGAAAAGCATGTTTGTACTTATTTTAAAATACACTTTTCAAGGAAAACACATTTCAAGTTAGTGGCGTAATTAATCGTAAGCGAAGACAATGGCAGCTCATTTACCGCGAGAAATCCGTACGATATGATGCAGAACACAATCAAGTTAAGTGCTCGCTTGCACATTAGAGTCTCAGCTATATTTAGGTCGTTAGGCCGAACAGTAAAATATATTCAGACTCAGTTAACCTGTCAGGCATATATCTCTTTCAAGTTGTTTCATAACAGCGGACGTTGATGTATGAGACATAGCGATGGAAACTGGATACATTTAGGCAATCTCACGACACGTGCCGGCAATCTTAAGCTCGTTTGTGGAACAGCAATTTAGAATTGAACCCTTTAATCGATACGATGCCGTGGCTTCTGTAAGTTCTATCTGACTTCACATTTTGCGGCGCCAGTTAGTAACTTGATAATCGATTATATAGTTCATTCGCATGGAACGCATGGGTTTGAAGGGAACTCTTTAGTCGCAATATTTGCTTTATAACCAGATAACAAAACATATGCTCTCCTAAGTAAGTCTTACTTTACTTTTATCGATATACTAATTTAGTGTATAATCTACTACGCCAATACTGCTCGTATTGGCGTAGTGGTTTCAGCATGCGACTCTCATCCCTGAGGTCGTAGGTTCGATCCCAAGCTGATGGACACCAATGGACTTTCTTTCTATGTGCGCATTATCGCTCGAACGGTGAAAGAAAACATCGTGAGGAAACCGGCTTGCCTTAGACCCAAAAAGTCGACGGCGTGTGTCAGGCACAGGAGGCTGATCACCTACTTGCCTATTAGATTAACAAATTAAACTGATACAGAAATCTGAGGCCCAGGCCTAAAAAGTACAAGAACGTAATACTCGTGATAATAGATTAAAACAACGACAATAAATTAAACACGATAGAAACATCTCTGATGCCGCAGTGTACGACAGCTCCCCAATTTCTATTTTAAATTTAGCATCAAAGTTTGTCTGAGCGTGCAATATTTATATGAGAGAGACGCTGCGATTTAGTTGGGAACAATCAGAAAGTTGCTCTGACTTGACTTCGTTTTAATTAGTTCCCATTCATCGTGAAACAATCGAGCCGGGAACAAATCTATTATTATCGGGAACTTTTCAGAGGTGTTGAAAGTTAATGATGGCTGCTATCAATCTGAAAGTTCTGTGACAACATTTGACCTAATAATTTTTGACAAGGACATGTGAAAGCATTTTTAATTTAGCGTCAGTGGAATATTTGAAAGTTTCACAAAAACATATCTTTAAGCAGTCAGGAAAACATCGCTTGTAAATAAAATATTTTGCTTAGATATATACAGATATATTTTTAACTAAGTATTAATGGTTGTACAACATCAAAATGAATTTATCAACGCAGATTACATTAAGGATATATTTTTATCTCGACGAGAGTCGGGAAATAATTTCCTTAAGGTTCGCCATCGGATGTCATTGGATGTATTACGAAATTATTTACCAAATTTACTAGTTGCTTTTCTTGAAAATTTTACTATTGAAAGTATTAATACATTTATTGACGCATTCCAACGATATAAGATTTACGGACTTTATTCTAAAAATATATTTTTCAAATAGAAAGTAAAAGAAAATGTTAAGAACCGAATCCTTAAAAGTTTATCTTTTGTTATATTTAGAGAAAAAGAGTTATTTGCGCTGTAACCACTGGCTCCTATTATTTTCAAGTATATATAACCCATTGTCTCAAAACAGGGCACGGAAAAACTGTGAAAAGAATAATCGCACCGAAGTTCTAAAAACGGCATTGAACTTAACCGATTCTTGGCCGGTGGCCTTTTAAATATTTACGTTATCAATTCACGGAAATATCGTCTTATCAATGATTTCTAAATATTGTTGCTCTTCTCCTAATACAAATTATAATTAAAGATTCGAATGGCCATCATATGGACGCTATTCCGACTTACAACAAACTACCAATCAAGACATTTTTAACCAAAAATTGTTAATTGTTTTTTCCCATCATACTATATGGTTTTAATTTTTGTATGTGTCAAACTGTGTTAAAATAAAAATATTGTATAATAATGAACTTAAATTCAGAACATATTGAACTCTAACATTAGCCATTTAGCGAGGTTTGTAGTAAAACAGTTTATCGTAAGTAAACTTTGTACAGACGCATGTAAATCTATACTGTAGGCGATGTATCATGTCAAGTAGCAACCGCTTGGCGGCTGATAAGATTACCAGACAAAGGAAGTCCACCCATATCACTACCACAACCGCTAAACGCAAGCCTTAACGCTAAAATGCACATTTTCAATTCTAACACAGAGTGCTAAAGTCCATTTTCCTCTGCACGCTCTTTATTAGGACTAACATCAACGTCTCCTTCGTTAAAGGACACTCGGCTTTATTTATGTCGACGTAACACTGTTGCCTTAGGGCAGTTTTAAATATCGGCGTTTAGCGAACGCAAATCCGTAGAATTTTAACACGAACAGCGGGTAGATTTTCATAATAAAAAATCGATGTAGCGCGTAGTAACACGTGGCATAATCTCATCAAGATTGCGTAAAATACTACGGGAAATTCGCATGAAACCTTTAGATTGCCTTGACAAATCAATTTGCACTATATGTGTTTAAATAGAGAGTTGAATTCCGTTTGCGCTTTGCATTCAGTACTAGGGTTATATAAGGGAGGTTGGTCTTTTTGATGAAGCTGTTAGAGTTTGTTTTTAAATGGGGCCGGGTTACTTCCGCTAACGATAAGGACACGATTCCAAGACGTCACGGCAACGTTGCATTAATTTATAGTGATTTAAGATTCTCTGGACGCACCTTGCACTGAACCCTAGGTTTTTATGGTTTATTATGGTAATAAACTGTCTAGGTAAACAACGATAGCCTAAATTTGCATATTTGCCGACGCCGTAAAGAAAATTATGGTCTGTGTTTAATGTAAATATTGTATTCAATTAACTAAACTTTGTGGGCAATTAATATTTTAAATCTCACGAATATAATATTATCCAATATAGTTAAAAGTTTATAATAATCACGCTCGTTAGTGATTATTAATA